AGATGAAACTGAACATATCACAAACATGCAACTTGTTCGAATGATAGATTCAAAAGAAGAATTTTTAAAGGAATATCATGTATTTATATATAGAAATATTATTTTTAAAAAAAATTTAACAATCTTAGACTTTGAATAATTATATATTGATGGAATTTCAAGAAGGAGATAAACCAAATTCAGTAGGAAGAATTTTGAGCAATATAGCATCATTTCAACAGTAAGTGTTATCATTATTTTATCTATCTAATTGATTTTATAGTTATTTAAAACAATATAAAAAAGCTGCTGATATTTTGAAAAATGTACCAGAGTTTTATTCGAAAAATGGTTGGGAAAAAATTGAATGTTCTATGATACAGATCTATGCTTCATGCGCAATTGAGATTGGAGATATCGAAAAATATATGAAATCATGTTTGTCATTATTAACATTTGAAAAATATTTGCCGCAAGATAAAACATTATTTTATATCAAAGAAATAGAAAAATATTCAAAGGTTCTTAGTAATGGTATGCATTTAAGATTTTATAAAGCGATTCTTTAATTTCTTTAAGATATTTCATATCCTTTAGAAAATTATTTCTCTGCTCATCTAGATGAATATATTAATCAATTTGAAGATAAAGACAGCTATTTTTTGGAATTAATATTAATAAACAAAATTTCTCAAGATATTTCAATACAAAGTGCAAGTGTTAAAATGCATAAAGAAAGTGATAGTCAAGAACTATGTTTTATTAAAGAAAATATTATTTTAAAACATGATAAAAATGTAATTAATTTAATATCAAACGTAAGTTTATACTCCAATATTCAATTATTGATTAGAAGAAGATAACTAGTCCTGGAAATTATATAATAGAAACCATTGAAATAAAAATTGGGAAAATTTGTCTTGTAAAGAATTTCCTATATTCAGGAAAAAAATTTTGTATAGCTTTATTTCCACGAATAGGTTCTCTTGATGTTAAAGTTACATTGCCGTCCGATAGTATTATTTTATTTATATTAACATATATACTAAATATTATAGTATTACTTAACAAACAAAGAATATCTATAGAGATAGATCCTGGGAAAAACAATGTTATATCAGGCCATTTAGATATTAAATTTAATATTCCAAATCTTAAAATTCATACTTCTAAAATAAAAGCATATCTTTTTAATAAAAATGATCTTACTTTAGGAGACACTAAACAGTCGGAAAAAGCAATTCCATACGAATTAGAAAAAATTACTGAAAACAATATACTTACATTTGGGAATATTAACTCAGATCAAATACTATCTTTTATAATTCCATATTTTTCTGATAATGAAATTTTGGAGATTAAGGTATATTAAATATTCATCTTTTATATATATATATTGATCCATTGAAGGCAAAAATATCAGTAACATATTTTGTATCAACTAATGAATCGTATATTTATATATCTAATTTTAACATACTGACTACTTTGCCATTGACTCTTGATGTACGAAATTATTTTAGAAAACAATGGTAAGGAAGAAATATAATACTTCTTTTTCTTATCTACATAGTATTTTTTCTCAATTTCTTATTTCTTTTAATACTTCATCTTTGAGAATTATTAGCACAAAACTAGAAGAATCAAATGATTTTTTTGTTTCTCCAAGTGAGATTTCAAATAATACGGTAAATGATAGTTATCCTTTAATTAAAATATTAATAGGCTATTAGTTAATTCTTCCTTCTCAGTCAGCATCTTTTATATTTAAGATTGTCAAAAAAAATAATTTTTACTCTAATCAACCTTTAACTTTTAATATAATCTATCATACATTAGAAGAAGGTATGTTGTTAAGTTTAAAATTTATATTTAATTTTAAAAACATTCAGAAATGTTTTATATTGCCTCAAATATGTTTCTTCATGAATTACAAATCAATGGTCTTTGCAAATATTATTCATATATAATTCGTATTTTTAAGAAATTTCAACAATCTAAAATCAATCATGACGAGTATGGGTTAAAACAGATTATTTTTACAGAAAATCATATTAGTTATTGGAAAGATGAATTAAATCTCATCAATTCTAATGATAGAGCCGAAATAATAAAGATAGTTCAGAAAATTATGAGTGTAAGATGATAAGATAAGTTTTATATTTTATAACAATCTAAGGAATTCGAGAATTTTTCTCTTGATATGAAATTATTGAATTGTCCCTGGAAAGAGGCTAAGATTCATGTTAAAATACCTACTATTCATGTGTTACATTCAGTAGATTTTATAATTAAGTCGGATACAAATATAAATAATAACATTTATTCAATTCTGAAAATGACAGTTGGTGAGCCTTTATATGCAGAACTTAGGATACAACAAACATTAGGATATGAAATAGACAAAGATTTGCTTGAAAAATCTGTATTTTTTTACGAAATACATGTTGACAATAATACGTGGTTATTATCTGGATATAAAAAAGCTAGTTTCTTTATCAAGGTTTAATTATATAAAATAGCATAGCTATTATTAATATTTTTTAGGATGATTGTTTACAAGTATTTTCTTTTGTATTAATACCTTTAAAATCCGGATATATCATGTTACCAACTATCGACATTACAACATCTATGACCTCTATTCGTTTTGAGGTTGATTATAATTATGACATGAAACATGTTCTTGTTTTACCTGCAGAATCATCTGTAACTTTTCATCTTGGGTCATTTCCTCATTCTGAATCCTTAAATACTAAAAGTTCTATAAATTATACTTAGTAATATGGTTAAAAGATATAAATAACGAACAAAACTATGATGATTTTGTTGATTATATAATTTCTGTATTTTTTATTCAAATGATTAATTTTCATAAAAATAATACAGAAATTTAAATATATGATAAAGTTTTATCAAGGAAATAAGAAACAATAGTTTTAAATGAAAAAAGGTTGTAAGTGAACTTAATATCTCTAAGTATTTCATCTATAAATAATATTTTGTTATAATTTTCAGAGTATTATGTACACTTTTTGTTAAAAAATTAAAAATAAGAAACTTTTGAAAAAATAAATATGTTTCTTTGTATAAATCAGACATCCTTAAAGAACAAGACTTATTACAAAAATTAAAGAAATTATTCTTAATATAAGAAAATTAGAGAATATGTTTTTTTCATTATAGAATTGTTATGGGTTATACATATTTTATGTTTATTGAAGTAGATTCATCTTTTATATCATCTATGAAAATGCTGAATACTTATGATTCATTTATAATTAATATTATTTTAATATTTAAATGCAAGTAGTAATTAATATATAAATTGACTTGAACAATATTTTAATCAATTAACATTATTTTTATGAAAACTCATTTTATATATAATAGACTATAAAATATTTGTTTTTTAAAAAATCAATAAACTAAAATGCTCAAATACTACTTTATTTGATTTATATAGTTTTTTATAGATAAATAATTGATTTTCTGCTTTTAGCTATATTTTATTGGGATTTTCTTAAAGTTAGACTTAGTTTTTAGTTTTATTTTATGATGATTTGGTATTGTATATTGGTGAATATATTATTATTAAAAGAAACAATAAAAATACACATATTAACATAATTCATATATTTTATATAGAAAATCATTTACATGTTCCTATGATTTTCAAATTTCTTCTAAAAAACATATTATGCAGTATATTTTTATAATTTTTTCCATTATTTGGAGAATATTATTTTAATGACTAGAGAATTTAATATTATTATAATCAGAGAACTTATTAGCAATTGCAAGTTCATTGATAGATACATAATTATAATACAGAATTATGGAAATATTTTTTAAAATATATTAAATATTAAAAAATCTTTATGAATTAAACTATAGGACTTTCACTCTAAAGATTTTTCTTGTAATAATATTATTATAAGGTTATATCTATTTATCTTGAATAATTATTATATAAAAATGTACATTATTAATATTTTTCTGAATCTATATATTATTATTATAATATTTCTTTAGTTAGCATGAAATAAGAAAAAATTATACAGAAATATTTAACAATTTTATATTATTTTTTATAAGTAATATTCATTATAAATCTATATTTTTACGAATATTTTACTAAATTAACCAATACTGTTATTTATTAGTATTAATGATCATTTTTTGAATATATTAACAAATCTAAACAATTAAAACTAGTATAAATATTTTAATTCTTACTAGACATATAAAAAATTCCTAGCTTTTTATGAAAGAATATGATATTTCTAAAAAAATCTACTATTTTATTTAAACAGTTGCTAATAATATATTAAGTAGAGTCATATAAAATTATTTATAGCTGTTTCTTTTATTCATAACATGTCTATATATTTTTAATATTAATTGCCTTTTGTTTAAGTTTTTTTGAATCAATTCAAACAAAGTAAATTATATCTATTTTATCTTAACTATAGACAATTCATAAAAATAAACATATTTCAATGCGTTGAAAGATAAACTTATATATTTCATCTAAAGTTATATTTTTCTAAAAATTTTAATGATAAAAATGAGCTAGATAAATATATTAAGAACTAAAAATATCATGCAGCTCTATATAAGTATTCATATGTATACTAGTCTAATAGAATATAAATAATATTCCATTGTAGTGAGACTTTACATTTAATATTGGTAGATATGATTAAATTATAATTAAAATTTTGAGAATATATATATATGTATATGAAATTTTGCACAATCAATATATAAAGAATATATCTTTTTAAAAGAAAATATTTAAATATCCTTTATATTATCAAAAGGAATTTGCAATATATAATATGAATTGTCATACTAAATATATATTTTAATTAGTATGTACATGAAAATGTTTTAAATATGAATTTTTAAAAGCTAATTAAAAAAATATTCTAGATTATTAAGATATTTTATATTGAAATAAAATTATCTTTTTTTTTTTGAAAAGAATATAAAATGAATATATGATCAAAAACATATGGTTATGCAATATATAAAAAAGAAATTGCTTTAAATGTTCTTATTACATAATTTCTTCTAAAAGACGATCATCAGGATTTAATGCGCCTACGGAATTAAATATAATAAACATTAACTTATTAGCTTACGGAAAAGTTCCATATCGAATTCCCCCGTATCAACATTAATCAATCGTTTTGCTAATTTATCAATCGCAATCACACTCAATACCGTCTGTACATAACCTTCAATTAAATCATCCAATGATATACCCAGAGCTAATCTTAATCAATCTCCATTTTTTAAAATAAATTTCTTACTGTTAAAATCCCTATTTTTAATTTAATTATCAAAAAATAAATTATTATATATTACTTACTTTCTATCCATTAAAACCAATCTTTGAGACTCTGTGCTAAATGATCCATCAGGCAATTTTATGCTTAGGTTCGTTCCTAACATCTCCCAACTGGTTGTCAAAGGATCATCAGTCAATTTTCTTAACAAAGGTTTCCTCGCACGCCTTCCGTAGATTGCTACTGGTTGGAATCCGCCTACATCACCAACCGTTACCATACAACGAAGATCTGAAACAAATGTTTTTCCCTTTTTATCTGGTATATTTCCAATATCTATGGGCGAAGACAATTAAAAACAAGACAAAACTGCATAGATTAAATCGACTTACGGTACTGCATCCCTTCTCTCGTAATACTACTCCAACTTGCATTTCCAATTAAACTCTGAACAATAAACTTATCATAACGATGTTCTGTACACATAAAATCTTGCAATTCTTTTTGATTTGTAATAATATACACGCCTTGACCTAAAAATTCTCTGTTATACTAATTTCTATAGAACGGATATAATATACCAGCATTACTATAGGGAACTTTAACTACTGCATGGCCTCCCCAGCTTGAAATGATCAATGGAATTTCGCTTTTTGAGATATTATTTAATGTTTCTGGAGTTCGAATCATTAAGCCTGTTCCTGCCATTTCCGCATTAAATAATTCATAACTTTTTAATTATTTTTAGTTAAAATTCTCAATAAAAATACTAACTTACGCTCTTGCCGCCATCATCTTATTTCTTCCTCCTGCAAGACATGAAATGACACTATTCAACACCAATGTCCGAGTTTTTAATGGAATTCTGTTCCATGGTGCTTTTGTTACATAACGAAAACATGCACGAATTGAATGCCATATATTTTCTTTATCACGAACATGTAGAATGCCATCTTCCCATTTCACAGGAGGATTCGGATCACCATCATAAAATTCTGCCATCCATACCGATTCATGTGTAAGGTCTGCCATTACCGTAGCATACCTAAATCCATTGGTATTCATAAATTCATTATTAAACACTTTTAAAACTATTACCCAGTCGCCTCCATTTCATTTTTGTCATAAATTACTGCTAATCCACCAAGTTCCGGGTCAGAATGAGAAAGTGAACTCTGAAACGCTGTCGACAAAACTGTATGATATCTATATTCCCTCAGCATTGTCTTAAATATAACTATTTATGTATAAAAAAATTTATCAACTTAAACCCAATTTTTCAGAAATTGAAAAATTCATAAAACATACATTCCTCCTCAATTAAACACATATAAAAAAAAGCATACCCTCCATGTTCATCAATGTCCGATAATAAAGGCATGCTTTTTTGCCCTGACGGACATGAATTCGTCTCTACAATAATCATCTGCCGTTGTCCATGAGCATTCGTCACATTAAACATATCCGTCCCCGCCCAACGAAAATGTGACGGCGTATATCTTAGACAATCCCGAAGCTTTGTCTCATTAACTGCCGGATTTAAATGACAATATCTCAATATAATTCGATCGTTTCCAAGATTAAAAAACGATGAAACTAACGGATGGATCTGGGCATTTACTATACATATATAGCCTCCTTATCCTCTTCTTTATACTAACTTACAACATCTCGGATAAAAACACTCCTGTGGCTCAAAATCTCCCGGTTTTTTTAGTAACGCATATCTACAAGGCAACGGGCTCATTAGCCACCCTAAAACAATGTAAATAAGATCAAATAATGCTTTATACTTAGTTATTTATACACTTTATACGGCTTGGCTTGCCTTTAAGTAGAGTTTAAAGATTGAAGTCGTTGAAAGGTCTTAAATGAGGGCAAGTTGCCATAGAAACGGGATAGTAATAGTATATATAAAGTATAAATTAAAGATTTATTAAGATAAGAGAAGAATATAAGAGTTTTTAGAAGGTTAAGCACCGATTTCTTCAAGTATTTTTTTGCCTTTAGCTCTTGCTTCATCGATATCACCAACCATGTAGAAAGCGTTTTCGGGTAAATCATCAGCACGACCCTCAATAATTTCTTTAAAAGAGCGCAAAGTGTCTTTTAAATCTACTAAACGACCTTCTAAACCAGTGAAAACCTCAGCAACAGTGAATGGCTGAGACATGAATCGCTGAAGTTTACGTGCACGTTCCTGAAAGAAGAAAGTTAATAGAGATATAAAATTAGAAAAAAGCTTTTAAGGCTTAGTTAGGATAGAACATACCACTATCAACTTATCGGCTTCGGATAATTCGTCCATACCTAAAATTGCAATCTTTTTATATAATTAGAATTGAAATTGAATAAGAAGTTCTTACGATATCTTGAAGTGATTTATAACTCTGGAGGATCAATTGTACTTCAGAAGCAATTCTGTAGTGTTCTAAAAACAAAAATATGAGATATAATTGAGATTAAGATGAATGATTTACCTTCACCTACAATACGTGGATTCATGAGACGGGAATTAGAATCTAATGGATCTACAGCCGGATAAATACCCAATTCAGAGATACTTCTGGATAATGTGGTTGTTGCATCTAAATGAGCAAATGTTGTTGCAGGAGCAGGATCTGTTAAATCATCTGCAGGAACATATACGGCCTGAATCGATGTAATTGAACCTTTTTTTGTCGTTGCGATGCGTTCTTGCATAGAACCCATATCAGTAGAAAGTGTTGGTTGATATCCAACAGCAGATGGAATACGTCCAAGAAGTGCAGAGACTTCTGAACCTGCTTGTGTAAAACGGAAAATATTATCGACAAAAAGCAAAACATCTTGTCCTTCTTCATCACGAAAATATTCTGCTACAGTTAAGCCAGTCAATGCAACACGTGCACGTGCTCCTGGTGGCTCGTTCATCTGTCCGAAAACCAATGCAGCTTTAGAGTCTCCGTCCAACTTGATTACACCCGTTTGAATCATTTCATGATATAAATCATTTCCTTCACGAGTACGCTCACCTACCCCTACAAATACAGAATAACCACCATATGCTTTAGCAATATTATTGATCAATTCTTGAATAAAAACGGTTTTTCCGACACCTGCTCCACCAAATAAACCTATTTTCCCTCCACGTGCATATGGAGCAAGCAAATCAACTACTTTAATGCCTGTGACAAGAAGTGATGGTGTTGTTTCTTGATCAGAAAATGTAGGAGGCTCAGTATGAATTGGATTATATTTAACTGCTTTAATAGGACCTCGTTCATCAATTGGCTCTCCAATAACATTCATAATTCTTCCAAGTGTACCAGGTCCAACTGGAACTTTGATAGGTCCGCCAGTTGCCTTAGCTTTTTGACCACGGACAAGACCTTCTGTCCCATCCATAGCAATAGTTCGTACTGTACGCTCACCCAAATGTTGCGAAACCTCAAGAACAAGACGTTTACCATCAGGAAGATCTAAATGTAATGCATCCAAAACCTTAGGAAGTTCTTCTGTATCAAATTGAACGCTAAATCTATCAATAACTTGTTTTTTATGGGGAAAAAAAGATTTTACTCTACAACAGCCCCAATCTATCAAATAAACAAGTCATAAACATGTTATACACATATAATAGAAGACATACCACTGCTTTTACCCTTCCAACTGGCAAATTTTGCGCAGATGTATTTGTTGTTATGTACCGAGCTTTTTATATCAATATTTTGCCAAAAAAAAGCAAAAAAAAAGCAGAAAAAAACGATATATACCATTAAATAAAGGTAAATGTTCTATTTCTCGTGCTTTTAACTGGATTATTTGCTTAATATTCTCATTTTTTATCCTTAAAGATAAAGATCCTCTATTAAAAAAAGGCCTAATTTTACGTGCAAAAAACATAATTCAGATAGAAATAACCCTTAAAAGCATTAGAAATACTCATAAATACCATAGAAATACCTATAAAAGACCCTCTCTAGCAATATTCCCCTTGAAATAACCCAAATATAATCCAAGCCTATTACTAGGTCTCGGACTTAAAATCTCGACGTTAAAATAATATATAAGCTAACAAAAAAACAAGTTAAAAAGTCAGAAAAATAGTATTAATAGAGCTATTTATAGATTAAAATGAATGTTCCAAAAAACTTTATGTATATATTAACTGATTTATATTAAAGCCATTACAATAGCAGTTCGTGTAGGAATATAACACTGAAAAGATAAATAAAAATAATTAAAGTTAGAAATATACTTTTATAGAATTTCTCCTGCCATTCCATGGGAAATTGTTTGTTTTATAGTGAATAGTTTGATCAATGTGTTTTACACCACCAAATTCCTTGTTATCGGTATATAAAACAATATGATAAGTTCCAGGAACATCTACACCCATTCTATTTGTATTAGAAGAGAAGAAAAAGGAAAGAAATATACAGATAATCGGTAAAACTTTTATATGGATGAAAATTGAATATAAATAAAAGGCCAGCTCTTTCGTATACAATAATTTTATCATCTAAAAAGAATTTAGAGTAGAAAAAATAAAAAAGTTGTGTATACATTCGTTCTTTAAGGAAATATACGCTTGAGGTGAATTAAGCCATCCATATTTTTCCTCTAAATGTTGCAATGCTCTATCGAATTCATTTAAACATTTATAACGTAATAAAGAATCATCGACAAGATGCCACTAATAATGTGAGCCAATTCATTGAAAATATAGTTCTTACTTGTCTTCTTGCATAATGAAAACTATTATTGTTACCTCTATTATAAAATTAGTCAAGTTAATCAAAGAAAATTATTACTCTCTAGGAAAATCTAGCCATTCCTTAATTAAAGTTAGTAAATTTAAATTATTTAAAAAATATATTACAGGATGACCAAACTCATTTCCTTCGAAACATAAATATCCTTCACCGCCCAAACTATGTGTAATCAATCTATGAACCAATTAAGAAATACAGGCAAAATTATGTATATATTTGACCTTATCATCTAATTTAAATGTTAATAAAATTCTAAAGAAAAAAAAAATACTTTGTGTAATGAAATTCCACGATCAATAATAGGTATCAACTCAGAAAGATGACTCATATGGGTATACCTGATAAATTAGATTAAGATTATTTATATATATTAATAGATTTACATTTCTTTATCCATCAACCAAAATGCTAATGTTTTATCACCTACAAGTGATTGGTCATGAGATTCTGCATATGAAATAGTTTTTTCCATATATCTTCGGTTTGTTAATATATAACATATATTACCCATATCCCAATCTTCGTCTCTTTTATTTTTTAAAAGATTGATCCACCTTATTTGATAAGCAATATCCTTTTAAATATAAGTTTCCTCACATATCAGGTAAAGCCATTGCTAAACGATAATCAAAACCAATGCCTCCCATGGACATAGGTATACATAATCCGGGCATACCAGAAACATCTTCTGCAATTGTAATACATGATGGGTAAAATCTATGAAGAATTTCGTTTGCCTTAGCTAAGTATTAAAACAATTTATTAATATAAAGAAAAAGAAGATTACCAAAGTTAAATATACAATTCCTTCATCATCAGCATCAGGACCAAAATATTCATTATAATTTCCAGAAAAACTAACACCAATTCCATGATGGGTATACATTATACTTGTTATCCCATCAAATCTAAATCCATCAAAACAAAACTCTTCCATATAAAAACGTAAATTTGAAAGTAGAAAACGTAACACCTCATAATTTCCATAATTAAAAAGTCTAGTATCCCATAAGTCATGAACACCTTTTTTACCCTCATGAAAATATAAATGATCAGTTCCATCAAACATATTAATTCCATCATCAACATTTTTACAAGCATGAGAATGAACAATGTCAAGTAAAACTGTAATACCCATACCGTGGGCCACATCAATTAATTCCTTTAACTCTTCTGGAGTTCCTAGAAAGTATGAAAATGAAAAAATTTATTTGATAAGATATAATTGCTATACCATAACGACTTGAAACACTGAAGAAATTAGTAACTTGATAGCCAAAAGAAGCATAATATGGATGTTCCATGATAGCCATAAGTTGTAATGTATTATAACCAAGATAATGAACACGCGGTAAAACATTTTTTATGAATTCAGAGTATGTTCCTATACGACATTCGTTTGTGCTAATACCAACTAAACAGCGTTAGCAAAAAAGCAATACAAATACAACAACTAAACAATGTAAGTAGCGTCTTCAAATAATATAAATGATAGAATGACCAAATACATTGTAAAAATTTGTACTGAGTGTTTAAATAAAACTATTTATGTTTTAAATAGTTTTATTTAAACACCCAGGACAATTTTTTTATATCAAAAGTCATTGAAAATGGATTAAAGTATCCAAATCCTTAAAATACCATTCCACTGTCATATCATAACATAATTTATAGTTATATGACAACTACATCATTGTAACAACTTGAGACCTACTATGAACTTCATAAATCCGGAGTGCACTTGGAGGAGGTGGACGAACATTACGAAATACATAGGGAGTTGGGTTCCAAAAAATCCCATCATAAGCTGGACTTACTGAAAGATCTTGTGTTGCTCGTGTAATCCATGCAGGAATTCGATATATTCTTTGCCCATCTGTTGTTATCATAAATATTTTTACACGAGATCCATGAGGAATTGCCGCTTTTCCATCTACTGCTGGAACAATTACTTCAAAAACACCATATGAATTCTTCGACATAGGATATAGTTGTGTATCCCAAGAATCTACAGATCAGCCGAAATATTGTGCATAGAAAAACCCACTGAAATCTCCAACGAGGCTTGCAAAAACTGCATTTGGAGCCCATTCACGGTATATAATATCTCCATTTGGCTGTACATTTAATCCCATTCGTTCATAACTTCTTGTAAACACATCCAGCCCTTCTGATTCCTCAAATATTTTAAGAAGACGTTGAGACATATCATATCTTCGGCGTAGAATACTTTCATATGGCTTTAAATAAGGATCTATAAAGATAAAGATTAGAAAAACTACATTTATCAGAAAAAAATAAAATTTACCAATATCTAGGATTTTAAGAGTCATGTCAAATTATAATTCTAAAGAATAACAATCTCGCTTTAATTATGTATATTTGTCAGCTTTATTGTATTTGTATCTATACTTAAAATATCATGGAGTTAAAGTCCGTATTATAAAAAATGACCTAACTCTTGAAAACAACCCTAAAGAAGGTAGCTTGTATTTGCAGACGCACTTATCAAACGAAAATTAGACCCTATTCTTATCGCCCTTTATCACTAATCAACGCCTTAATATATTTGTGCTTTATGAAAAAATGAAAAAATGACCTTTGTTAATACTAAATATGCCAGTTAATCAGGAAATTAGAATGTGTATATAAACTTTAAACTGTTTTTAGAATAGCTAATAAAATTTGATTTGAAATAAAAAATAAAAGATAAAATAAAGATAATAAAAAAATAATTATCATGTATTTGCCTTTTGAAGATAATTATTCATGAATTGAAAGAAAGAGAATTTACTCGAATCAGCGCCATATTCATAGATAAATCTCGATGCGAGAAAAGATCCAAAAGTTGCTTTAATATAAGGTTCAGGAACATATTCTAAAATGGTATCTAATCCTTGTTTCTCCAGAAGAACAGGAGGTAATGCTTTCTTTAAAACTACTTTGCGTAATGCAACGTTATTCCATAGATCTGATTGTTGAATTTCTTCATCAAGACTTGTAATGGCGCTACTAAGATCATCTGATAAAATTGAACGTAATTTACCACTTCTTTTATTCTCTCTCCATATAGCTTCAAATTCAAGCTGTGCATTATTCTGAATAATCTCTTGCACTTGTTTTACATAATCTTTATAAAATTGAGGGACCTTTCCATCACTAACACACATATTTTGAATAAAATCGTCATCTGAAAATGCCAAAGATGCAAATACTTCTAGAGAACTTGATGTTACTCCACCCTTGTTTGCAGAGGCATCTTTATATAAAATACACCCTGCTTCCTCCAATTTAACCTTGGCATCTTGTGTAATAAAAAGATTAGCACCTTCTACAATATAAGGTATAACACATTTTCCATTATGAATCATTTGAGAAACATTACTAAGATTAATTGCCTCTGGCCGACCACCACATGGAACTAAAAGATCGGCATGAAATCTAAGATGCGCTGTATCTCTAAAATGTGTACCATTTTTTACAATTTCACCCGAAGGTAATACTAGATCTTCATCATCTATTAAAACAATATAGCCAGAACAACTTAATTTTGACCGATCAAAAAAGGAAATCATTTTACGCTCTTTTGCAAGTCGAATTAGTTCAGGACGATAAATTCCTTCAGGATCATATATAACACCACTTCCATCAATAATACAAACATATTTTTCTTTAGAAAGAAGAATCTCATTAGATCCAAGATCACCATCAGGTCCTCCTGTTTGAATTTTGGTAACTGATTCTTCATTCAAGCCTAACTTTCCATATATTCCTAAAATATATTGTCGAATGGATAAAGACGTCATACCATAAACATCATGTGGAATTCCACCAAGACGTGCTGTTTTTCCTGTAAAAAAAGATTTCCACCATGGCGCACCTCTCATTCGAGCATGTTCTGTGGCCCAATCAACCAAATTTGCAGTATTTTCGTCTGGACCACAAAATAAAATTTCTTTATGAGAATAAAGATCAACAAGTTTATCCTTGATTCCTGGCGATTCCCCTTCCAAAAGTAAATCAATAATTGAGTCAATATATTTTTGAAAGCCGACAACAGCTTTATCTTGATGCTCCATATCAAGAAGAATTACACCTTTTGCTCCCCCTTCAGGAATATCTTTGTTTTTCCTTTGTTGCGTATTTGCAAGATTATAATTTTCATCAAAAAGACTCCGTGCATTAATAGAATATGTTTCTTTATTCCTACTTTTAACAATTCGAATACCACCTCTTGCTACATCTCTGAAACGCAAATGAAATCCTCTAAATTCAGATCCAATAACCAAAAACATTCCATACAATTTCTGTGGATATTCAATCTCTGGAAGGAAATCGGGATTTAATCGAAAACTAATAGCAACTTTTGTTACTTGATAAAAATTTGTTTTTAAAACATGTGAATTAAAAAGATAAAATGCCTCCATTACCATATATTCATGACTATTACTTGTTTTCCGTCTAACTTCATCAAGAATTTCTTTTTCACCTAGAATTCTAGTAACTTGAATTCGTTGATATGATAAACTAGGCCTTAGTTCTTCAACTGTTTTATTAGATGAAATATAATGCACAGAAGCAAAAGAAACATAGAAAAGTTTAATCAATTCTGGATATGCCTGAATAATTTCAAAGATATAATCCCTAGTGAATGTTTCTTGTCGAAGTCGACGTTTTAACTTTGCCAATACTTCTGAATGAATAGGATTGGACAAATCCAAAATAGAACTTAGTGATGAATATTCAGTACCAAGGCGATTAAGAAAATGTCCAATGAAAACAAAAACACAATGTGCATAAATTGCTTCTTGCAAAGATAACCTTCCTGAAGCGAAATAAGCTTGAAATCTATTCTCTGGAATACAATAAAGTAATGACGCTTCTTTCACAATCTGGTGAATACTATGTTCAATAGGAGGATATTGCGCCTGTTTTTCTAACACTGGGATTAAATAAATACAAATAACCGTAACTCCTGTATTAGAATATCATTAGAATATAAACGTATATACAAATATAATGTTTGCCAATCTTACCATTTGAGAATTGTTCAACATACTTTCGTGTTGATGTAAGTCCTATCAAATATATTAAAATTTTTGTTATTTAGAGAAAAAATATCTATAATAAACCATAATAATGATATAAATTCGAAAGAGCAGAAAAATAAGATCTTGCACTTCCTTGTTTATATCCAATGACAATACGACGCTCACGTGTCCCACTAATTTCATACATCTATTCAATAATGTTTAGAAAATATATCAAGTATCAAAATAAAATCTATTAAATACCTCAATTACCGGACCTGTTCTATTTAAAACCGATTTAACAACATTTTGATAGATATTAAATGTGCGTTGAGTCGCTTTTTCAAGAAATGTCTTATCTGAAACAATTCGCAAATCTGACATTTCTTCTTTACTTGGTGTTGGATTCACAAAATTACATTTTGTAACAAAATATGAGCACAATTGCTGTTTAGGAGACTCATTAATTAAAGTTGATGAACGAAACGTCTCCAAGCGATACGCTTTTGTTGAATTGCTGTTATTAAGATAAAGTTCTTCAATTCTAAAATAATAAAAGTTAGTATTTTAAAAAAATAAATTCTATAAATATATTTCAAATACTATTCAGAAATATTGAAACAATGTTCAACAATAGATATACATGTGTAAATACCTTTTTTCATATAATGGGCCCTTGGGATTCGTCTCACCCGGAATACTTGTATCAATATAAACTGCATGGTCTTCTGCTTCCCGCTCAAGACGAATATCAAATTCTCTAGAATGACGAGTATACGCCATAATCTTCGCACTATAAAGTGCTATAAAATTCAAATAAACTCAATTATTAAAATATTATTTCTAACCCACCCAAAATATGATTTGCAATAGTATTAACACTTTCTTTCTCAAAATACATATCATCAATTCCAAGATTCTGATAAAACCAAATTGTTTCATTCCAAACAAGATCTTTAGGAATAAATCCTTGTTTTTCAAGGTGTGCAAAGACTAAATTCATTTGCTCATTTTTTCCCTCAAAATGGGTTTCTGAATAGCCTGATGTACCGTCTGAAAGACGGTGGTCTTGCGGCGTAATTTCCATCTTTAAATGAAGTGGAATACGTTCTTTAGGAACCGTAAAGGATTGATAATTCATTTATAATGTTTAAAACTTTCAATACTGATAAAATGTACTATAAGTCCAATGCCTGAAAAAAACTATATATATACGTTAGCTGGTCAAAAATATATCCTATTGATAGAGATATACGTTAGATCTTGCTAGAGCTCCCTGTAGGGTTTAGGGTTCTAGAAAAACTTAGGATACATAATATTTATTTCCTCATCTGCCCCCGTAATATATATTTATTAATTTTTTGCCTGATATTAGCCCATCCACTGTATATTATTTCTAGACAACTATATATCGTATATATATATTAATAAAGTCTATATGAATTATATTGTAAATATTGAATATTTGATACTATATTGATGTGTGTAATAAGGCTCATTAGGCTGTATACGGTTTTGTCTAGTAGAGCATAGGTGTTAGAATGTATATGTAGATTTTATAATATGTAATATAATTTAATATATTTTTTTATGTTTTTTTGAGTATATTTGATTGTTTTATTGCTCATTTGTGCCATGTTTTGCTTAGAGATGGAGCTTTCTTGTATGGAAACAGTAGATGAGGTGGAGCAATGTCTTGAAGGTCTTTTGAAGGAATGCTCAGATATTGATGAGCGTATGTATGACTTGAGCATTTGTTCTAATGATTTGGATGTGTTATTTTCCCAGTTGAATGTTTTGAAGTATGTTTTTTCAAGTATTTTTGAAGACTGAGGCTTTATAGACATGATCTTGACATAGTTCATGTAGATATAGAAGGATTTCTGCAGATGTTAGGAGGAGTTGTGACAAGAATTCGCGAGGTTTCAAGAAATATGCAAGAAAAGAAGATACAACAGGTTTTTTCTTGAGTTTCTATAGTAGATTTGTTAAGCAGATAAGACTAGGCTTGAATCCACTATTAAATATGTTAAAGATGTTAAAATGCTTAAGGAATGGATACAGAATCTTTATTATGCAATAGATCAGCGTAATTGGGAGTTAGCAGCTGAATATGTGTCTGAAATTCATGGAATTGAAGCTCAAGTGATAGAAGGAGGGTTTACAGCAGTAGTAGTACCTACAGAAAATATACCAATGGAGCCTAAAGTAGCATTACAAGAGGCATGTGATGCAATGAATACAGTTTGTTTGAAAGGATTTCATCAAGCGGCAGAAATCAAGGATGAAAAAGAAGTAACACGCTTTTTTCGTCTTTTTCCAGTAATTGGAAGACCCAAAGAGGGTATCAAGGTGTATTCTGAGTTTATTTCGAATATGGTTATCCAGAATAAAGATAAATTGTTGTCAGCAATGGGTATTTTAGATGAAAAACCAATAGATACAAAAGTATCTATAAGCTATGCGTTAATAATACAAAATATGTTTGAATATGTTGCAAATATTATGAACAACCATCTACCAGTGATCAAACAATACTATAGTTGTGAGGATACACTATTTGCAATAGAAAAAATACATGAAAAATGTATTGAACAATGTAATATAATAATAGATAGGTTTTGGGAAGAAAGACAAGTGGAAAAAAAGGCAATTTTTGAATTTCTAAATTCTTTACTAACAAAAGCGTAGTTATCTTTCATTAAAATGTATTCATTTGAGTTTTTAATCAAATCTTTCTCGTCTACTTTATTTCAAGAACCTGATTCATCTTTGTTTTCACAGGAAAACAAAGCAATTGATATTAAAAATATTGATATCTTGTTAGAAGAGATTTCATGCATACTTGATCATTGGTCTTTATACAATAGATTTATTTTGGCTAAGTGTATGGTAAGATTTTTTATATTTTTATAAATATTGAGTATCATGGGTAGGAAAAAAATCAAAATGAACTAAGGGAAATTGGAACTAAGACGGATAGTATGATTTTTACTACACTTAAGATGCCATATTATACAAAACTTTGTTCTACTTATGAACGTATGGAATTGTTCTTCATGCGTCATTCTGTAGAAAAAGCGTTTCAATTGGATGAGCAAGATACTATGTCAAAACCTCCTATGTCATCTTTTGTTGATGATATTATGTGTATTTTGAGAAAAATAGTTCAAAGGGTTTTGGATACGGGAAATCTTTCTCTTTTGCAAGATGTATTAATTGGGGTTAAAAGGATTATGGAAATGGATTATATTGGAATTATTCAAAGGAGAATAAAGACATTTCAAGGGAAACTAAATAATCAGGCATTTTCAAAAAATCAAAATTATAAAAATCTAAAGATAGATAATGATTTTATTTCATTTATTATTTTACTTAATAACTTGGACATATCTCAAAATTATATTGAAAAAATTGTATCTGAAAGCATTAATAAAGATGCAGTAAAGAAGAAATTCCCATTTGAAAGTGATTTAACAATTATATTTCAACCAATTCAGGCATTACTTTTATTACAAGATCGACTTAATGAACTTTTAAAAGTAAGTCTTTTCTAATAAATAAAAGGTTTATAGAAATATATTTTAATGATAATGAATAGGATGGTTTAAATACTCTATTTTTGGTTTATATCAAAACTCAATTAAAAAAAATATTAACTGATTATTTTAACAAGTCTACTTATATAATCAATAATACTACTTTTAATGATTTAGAAAAGAAGCAACCAATTCAACAACATTTTGTTCAAGGTTGGAATCTTATTATAACTAATTTCAGAGTAATTAAATATATGTTTCTAATCTTATTTTAAGAATTAATAGTATCAACTAACCCGTGAAAATATGAATTATCTTGTAAAAATATCATCAACTCTCATAGCAAACTGGTTAGAAAAAGCGATTTTAAATATACAAATGAACGAAGTAAATCACGCTTATTAATGTTTTTTCCTAATTATTATTATAGTTGGGAGCAATTCGTCTAGATAAAGATATTTCTTTCATTTCCTCACATATTATATCTTATGGTTCTTATCAATCTCATGAATCGTTTGCAAAGGTATATGAAATGATTCGTGTATTAAATTGGGATTTTGTTCAGGGGCCAATATCTTCCGGTTTATTAGAAACATTACGATTTTTATCCATATATGATGCTGAAATCCTATTAAAACGCTGCAGATCTCCAATATCCAATTCAACTCTTGATCCTTCCGATTCACTGTGAACGAGGCGTTTTTTTTTGCGTAAACTATTAAATCCTTTAATATCGTTCTTATAAATAACAACCAAATATTGTTTTTGTTTATTACCCAAAGAATTGTCAGAATAATAGATGTTAAAGTAACTGCAAAAAAACCCATCATAACAAGAATCATAGGCTGGCCACTGATTTCTAGACATCTTTTCGAATATAAAACCCATTTTTTCCGTGACATTGACTTTTTAAATATAAAAACTTCTGATTCAAAACTATAAAAAATAATAATCTTTTATTATGATTTCTTAACAAATAAATATTATCTTCTCTTCAAAAAATTTAAAAACCCTTTTATACCAAAGATATCTAAAAACCTTATAAATCTTTGTTTTTATATAAACAAATAACAACTTCATATTACCATTAAATCTTTATAATTAAACATATATTAATCTACACACATATATACACTTATACTTATATATACACATACTTATATACACACATATGAATCTATATATGGTTCTATCTATATATAAACCCTTAAATAAATATATAATCCTTAATAACCTTATACTAAATCTCTCTTTATCCCCTCCTCATTTTAGTCTAGCTTTTTATCCACAATAATATCACATCCTTAATTTATGGTTGCTATGGCAACCACAATCAAGATAAAATATTAGAATTCAAAAGAGATTCCTCTAAATTGCTTTACTTAAACGTAAAAGTTATCTTATAATAACACGTATTTTCTTGTTATTATTTTTTTTATCATCTTCTTTACAGAATATTCAAGTCTCCAGTCTCGATTTAGCTATCGATTATAAATCGATCATATAAAATCATTCCAGTAAGTAATTTATTTTTGGATTTAACAGGTTAAAAGGGATATTTTGTAGAACAAAAAGCGCGAAAATACGCGATTTTAATGCAGAATAGACGTTGTTTTTCTTTTGGTCTTGTATTTCTTATACGATAGTATCCAGGGCAAAGTCGAATTTGCTTTTGTTAGATATTTGACGTGTTGGGAGCGCATTATCAGGGTAATCTATAGATATATCGCTTATATTTGAGATAAATATTGGATTTAATTGTATTTTACTTGCTATATGCGTTATGTATGCGTCAGAACAAACACGAAAACGGCCAAGTCTTGGACGATCATCGAATCGCATGGGGCCTACGTTTAGAGTACCATTTTTGCGTGCTCGAAAACATATGGAGACAGACGGAGAGGTGGAAAGACAGGCGGTTGTTAGTCATTCGGTTAAAACACCATTAGCAGGAGAATCGGGAGAATTAAATCTTCAATTCGGGCGATCGCCGTTAAAACGAAGTGAAAGGGTTTTGATTGACTCGACATTTGTATCACCGATTGCGAAACGGAATGCAAGATTTGTATCGTCAGTGACAACGCCGAAGCATCTTACTAATTCGATATTGAATCATTCAAAAGGATTTGAGTTAACTACGCCGAATCCGACAAATAAATTAAGAAAACATGTTTCAGTGGAGAATTTTATAGCGCCAATTCTTAAGGAATCACCATTTATTTCGAATAAACAATCGTCTACATTTTATTCGGCATTTTTTTCTAATGGGAAACAACCTCATCCACTTTCTCATACCGAAATGGCAGAAGAAACGACAGGAATAAAGGGAGGAATGTCGATATCTACTCGACAAACGTTTTGTACACCTCAAGACTATCGATTAGTTAAACCCCTTCAAACGGTGTTTATGTCGACAGGGCTTTTGTCGAAACGGAATCGACCTCATTCTGGTACATCGATTCTTCCGCCAGAAACACCTTGTAAACGATCTGTTACATTTGATGTTTTACAAACTCCGGTAACACCTGTAGCGGGACCTACAGACACGTCTTTTTCATCGCAAGAAGAAAGCTTTGAAGGCATTGATTTGAGTTTTTTATATAATAGTAGTAGTTCGGAATTTGATTGTCCATTAACCCCTACAAAGGGTGTATTTCTTGATAGTGAACGTTTTGGGAAACGCTGGAAGATTGATTCGAGTAAGTCTTTCTTTCCATTTTAATAATTACATGTTTGCTTAATCTTTGATTTAGATCCAACCGATCTTTCTTTTTTTCATCTTTCTAAGGTTCCTGAACATGGTATATTACCAGATACTCGGAGTTTAACGGTTCCATCCAATTGCATGAGTTTAAAAAAAATTGATCCACCATCTCCTGGTTTATTAACATCTCGTTTTCGTAATGTTGAACTTGTGGGTTCGGGTGAATTTTCTCAGGTTTATGAAGTGCAAGAACTAAATGGATCCTCTAAATTTGCTGTAAAGAAAACAAAGTTTGCGTATTCAGGTTTAAAAGAGCGGTTTGTCCCTCTTTGTTATTTTTAAAGTCTTGTTAAATATGATTTTTTTAGACATCGACGACTTGAAGAAGTAAATATTTTGAGAAAATTGGGGACTCATGAGCACATTGTAAAATTATTAGATTCTTGGGAACAATCCCGATATTTATATATTCAAATGGAATTATGTGATAATGGAAGCTTAGATATATTCTTACAAGAATATGGAAGATTAGCAAAACTTGATGAATTTCGTGTCTGGAAAGTAATGACTGAGCTATTATTGGTTTTTCTACATCGTTTTATGTATAATATATATATTAACATTTGAATTAGGGTCTTTTACATATCCATGATAGTGGATATATTCATTTGGATCTAAAGCCAGCTAATATATTTATATCATTTGAGGGAATTCTAAAAATTGGCGATTTTGGAATGGCATCTGAATGGCCAGTGGTAATTGATCCTTGCTTTTTTTTTTTTTTCGTTTAATTTAACATGCTTTTCCAGCCAGAAGGAACTGAACGCGAAGGTGATCGAGAATATATTGCACCTGAAGTTTTATCATCACAGCAATATGATAAACCGGCCGATATATTTTCATTGGGGCTGGTTATTCTTGAAGTAGCGGCTAATATTGTCTTGCCACAAAATGGTGCATCTTGGCAAAAACTTCGTTCTGGTGACCTTTCAGATGCACCTTGTTTATCTTCTAAAGCATATTCTATCGTACAAAAAGACATATCTGCATCACAAAACCAGCCTGAACATCGTTATATTGGTCAAGGAGGTCTTGATCGTATTGTTAAACAGATGTTAGCTCCTAAACCTTTGGATCGACCGACGGCAAAACAAATTTTGGAAACAGAAGAAGTCGTTTGGGTGAATAAAGTTAGAAAAGCGGGTGCAATCATATACGAAGGAGACTATGGCTCTATAATTTATTCGACAAACGATGATATGAATCAAAATTGGCATTCTATCACTTAGTTTCCTCGCTTTTTTTTTTTCATATTTATGTATTTTTCATCGATATATTCACTTTTCTACTGTTTTCAAGTATTTCTAGTATGTTATGTTTTAGAGGTATTTACAATATTATACAATAGTTTATCTCAGACTTTTTTTATTACGTCGGTAAAACACTAATTGCTTCGAATAAAAAATGCAGGGGTGTCTTTTGAATTCTAATAAATTATGGAAGAAGGAGTTAAGCGTATTTATATTTCCTTTATGTTTTAGAAGAAAATTCGTTTATTGTAATACTTTTTTCTCAGGTTTTTTGTTTTTTTTTTTTTTGAAATGCTTGAATTTATATTAATGTGTATAGATTTAAAAGAGCCAAATATTTTGGAAGAAAATACATCAAATGAAAAAGAAATATTAGATACACAATCGCATAATTCAAATAATCCAGACGGTATGTTTTTTCTAGGAAAATATCTGCTTTATATTTTACTTATACTAAATAGTTGAAGAGCCTACTAAAACAGAATTATTAAAAATTTCCAGGGCTTTTTATACTCCATTTAAAGAATCTCAATTATACTCTCCATATGATCTTTCATTTGAAAAGAATTTATCATATCGTTATTCTCTTAATAATGCTAAAGAAGATCCATGGAAACGGCTCTGTATCAGTCCTCTTAAACGATATAAAGTATTTACTGCGGATATTCATTCATTCATTATCTAATAGGTTTAGAGTTTTAATGTTTTATCAGAGTTTATTACAGAAATGGGGAGAATTCTACCAAGAGATGAAACAGGGTGTAGCGCAAAACATCAACGGCAACTTGCCAAAGCAATTCGTCGATGTCGTGGGATCGGTCTTTTACCGACTACTCAAAGGCATCCAACATATTTAGAGACCAAAAGGAAGTATTATATGAGCAAAAAGGGGGCTATAGAAGAAGCGTAATAGGAATTATGTGATTTCATGAGAAAATGTCAACGTAAATTTGTACAGTATACTATATAATATTTATGGGAATGGGATATTTAACAAAAAGAAAAAGAAATGAGTATAATTCACGCGATAAAAATTTATTATATTTGTATTTATTAATACTTATCGCAAATGTGCTTTTGCACCGCTAAAAAGACTTTTCCATAGAAATGCTTCAGATAGCAATATTTCAATGTCTTTATATGTCCAATGTTGTGTAGGTAGTGATTGTAAAAAAATTATGATTTCCTAGAAGAAATAAGCATCAATTAATAAATACATGAACATACTTGGAAATCCATTTTTAAAAGTTGGGGTGACCATTTTACTAAGAATGCTGCACACACATAAACATGAAAATCGGAAAATCCAGATTGTCCTTCTGCCTTTATTGAATGTTAATTAAATATATATATATATAAAAAGAGAAAATTGTACCATATATGTATCCCACATACGTATAGTATTTTTAACACTCATCTCTCTCATAAGCATGCAATTCATCCATCGGAAACTAAATTGTATATACTCTACACCTTCTTTTTCTAAATGATTCGACAATTGCTGATCAATTCTAGTTATTAATTCTTTAAGATTCATAATTTGTCTATGTATTCCAGGTTGAGCAAAAATATAATTATCCTAAATAATTAAGCAATGAGATTATTATTACAATATACATTACTTGAATAGTATCTAGCAATTTGGAAATACACCAAAAAGTATCTGCTTCTATAATATCTAGGGTATCCTTAGGCAAATTGGAAGGATCATATATTTCTGGATCGTCATCTAATTCATTAAAATGGTTTTTTTTTTTCAAGGAACAGATACCAATGTATTCAGACAAAAACACTTGAAAAAAAGGTGTAACTAGATCATTAATACCTTGTACATAACCACTTGCTGGATGACGAATAACCCAAACATATAATATTTTTTCAAGACACTGAAAAATATATTATAAATTAATTAAAAGAAAAAGAATTAATTACTTTTTGTGTAGTTTCATATTGATATAATTTAATAGTAGGATTCGTTCTTAAAATATCAATATGTATTTGATGCCATATTGCTTGATCTAATTCCTTTATTCCTTTTTCATATGTTTGTGAAACACTTTTTAAATATTCATTTCGTTTACGAGACAATGTTGCTTCTCGTCTGCTTGAATTGCAAGGAAGGTATCCCATCAATAATTTCCATACAATTGGTCTGAATTCATCCGGTATTCCATTCCATGCATATTTTCTTAACACATTTAGATCTATACTAGTTTCTTGAAGAATTTGAGTAAATTTTTCCACTTTTATTGTATAAAAATCTGTTTTTTTATTTCCTGATTCATTTTTATTCTCCATACTCAGAGATTCCTCTTGTAAGCTTATAAAATTATGAATATCTGACCTTAATATCATTTTTTTTTTAAATTTCTTCATTTTTTACCTGTTATTTCTTTATTCTTTGGTAATCTAGTTTCTAACTCCTTTTTTTCCTCATCTAAATTAAACGCCCTTCCATATGTATTAGATATTTTGTCATATAGAGATAATTGAGACATTCCATTCTTTGTTTTAAATAATTGTAAAAATTCTTGTTCATCTTCTATATTAACCCCCCAATCATCATCCGTTTGGGAAATATAATCAGAAAAACTAGATGAACTCCTTCTATATAAACTTGTTAATGGCATAATACTTCTTGTTTGCAAATTATATAACGGTTTATATGATAATAATGATCTATCCTTTTTTTTAAAAAAAAATCGCTAAAATGGTCTTTTACTTTTGCGTTTTTGAACTACCTACATTAGAATTTCGTTCTCCTTTAGATTCTTGGCTTTTTTCGTCCTTTTTTCCCCTTCTATATACGAAAAATTGTCATTTTCTCTTTTTCCTCTTATTTATAACATTTTACCCCAATTTTTCCCCTGATAACCTTTTTTCTTCCTTCAAAAAACTAAATCCCATATTCTCCCTATCCAGATCTTCAATTTAATCCCATTTTTAGCCCAAAACTCACTCTTTTTTCCCTAAAAAAACAAATTTTTATGTCAATAATTTTCTCATCTAAATCATTCATATACCTATCTCAATCATCTCCTATAAACTACTCATAACCGCTCTTCTGCCTTAATATACATATATATCTGGTCCTTTCTCTGCCCGCACAGCCCTGTGCTTATTAACCTTACTTTTTCTTAGGTTAGCGCTTAACGTCAAAATATTAAATATTTGTAGAAAAAAATAATCAGCTCTAAACAGGACAAAGAAGCGCTGTAAGAATGGAATCTTATGAAGAAGATGATCTTTTTAGAGATCTTTAGTAATGATTATTTTTTGAACGGATTAAAATGGCCTATTTAATGGTATTTTAGTGGAGATGATGAGACAGAAGTTGGACATTTAAAGGGCAAAAAAGAGGGAAAAACAGAGGAAAAAAGGGAATCTAAGGGTAGGAATGAAACGGGGAAAGAATTTAGAACAGAAATCCCGAAAGTTGGGTCGAAATCGGGTGATTTATCGTGTAATACAGAGGAAAAAGGTCCGGAGAAAATGACAGAGGAAGAAAAAAGCAATACCGAGTCATTTCCTATTGGAAATGAAGGTATTACAGAGGTAGATGAAGGGGATATTAGTTTGAGGGGAGAAGAGGAGGTTTTATGTATAGAAAATGAAGATATTTCAGGGTCTGTAGAGCAGACGGTATCAGAAGGAATGGGATCAACAATTAGAGAGGATGGGTATGTGAGAAGAAAGAAATTGAGTGTTATAATTGGGGGGGATTAATAAAAAAAAAGATATATATTTTATATTATTTTGAAATATATAGAAAAGTCAATATGTATTTAAAACAGGAATGTGTTGGTATAGATATAAGACAGAAACTCGAGAATTAGAAGAAATAAGCTAGGTTAATTAGCTAGAATATTTTTTATATTTTTTTTGAAGATAAAATTGAAAAAAGAATTAGGATTATATTTAGTTTAGAAAAATACTGATAGTTTGTTTGATAGGAAAATGTTTATTGGAGGGCTGAATTGGGAGACTACAGATGGTATGAATATGAATATTGTTATTTTATTTTTACTTATATTGAAAGAATCACTTCGAGCATATTTTGAACAGTTTGGTGAAGTTACAGAGTGTAATGTTATGAGAGATAGTTTTACATTTAGATCTAGAGGATTTGGTTTTTTGACATTTAAAGATCCTAAGTGTGTAAATACAGTTATGGTAAAAGAACATTATCTTGATGGGAAAATTGTAAATAAATATATTATAAATATGTAGGAATTTGCTGATAGTATATAAGATTGATCCTAAGCGTGCTATTCCTCGAGAAGAACAAGAAAAAACAGCTAAAATGTTTGTTGGTGGTGTTTCACAAGATTGTACAGAGGAAGAATTTAAAGAATTTTTTAGTACATTTGGGAGGGTAATTGATGCTACATTAATGATAGATAAAGATACAGGAAGACCTCGTGGATTTGGGTTTGTAACATTTGAATCAGAAGCGGCAGTTGAAAATGCTATGGCCCAACCTTATCTTGTGATTCATGACAAACAAGTTATTTAAACATTGTAATATGAATAAATAATTGTAATAAGTATTAGGTTGAGGTAAAGCGTGCTACTCCTAAGGGAAATCTTAAAGAACGGATGAATATGACAAAAGAAAAAGATGTAAATGGATATGATTATCAAAGAAACTATTTTGGTAAAGATAATTCTGGATTTAACTTTCCAATGGATTTTCAAAGTATGCAACAGTTTTATGGTGGGATGTCTCCTGCTATTGTTGCTCAATATTATCAGAGAATGCAAGCATATATGGCAACAATGCAAAATATGGGACGAGGTATGCAAATTCCTGGTGGTATGGGTAGAGGTATGATGCCTGGTATGCCAGGATTCCCAATGGGTATGAGTATGGGTCCGATGAATCCTATGATGATGAATCAAATGAATAATATGATGAGTGGTATGGTAAATTTTAATAATACGAATCTTTCTTCACAATCTACGCCTCAAGTGGCAGCGCAAACATCAAATCAAGAAACATATCAAGTACCAGACAATGGTAATATAAATACTAGAAAAGATATTCAAGAAAAAGAGGTTGTTCAAAAAACAGACATAAAAACATCTACTACGAATACGACAGCGACACCATCGACTCAACCTTCACGACCAACACCCCCACCTAATGCGCCTACTGGTCCATCTAAATCAGCTTCTTTTTCACGTAATCATAGAACGGGTTATTCTCGTAATGGAAAGGGACATAGCTTTCACCCTTATCAAAAAAGAAATCAATAAATACTAACAAAACACTTGGCATACTGATAATTAAGTCATACATGCTTATACATGAATGTTATTCCTTAGCATAATGCGTTATATTAGTTCTTCAAAAACAACTACCTTATTTTCAGCTGGATTATATTCTGCCCAAGATGCTTTATAGCTATTTACTAATTTTCCAGGATTTATACTAAGACACCCACAATAAGAAGTATTAAAAGCAAGACATGATGTATCCGCAATTACCATCTTTTATATATTAGATTATGTTAGATTATTTCCGGAAATATACCAGATGTGGTATTGGATAAAGACGTAATGTATGATCAAAATCCCATATTATTGGTCTAAGAGATAAAGAAAATGGAGATAGATGAGATTGATCTAATAGAGTTCGAACAAGCTAACAATATGTGTTAATTTAATGATAAAATAAAAAAAACAAAAATACATTTTGGGCCTGCTGAGGATTCGATAAATGATTAGATGTGCTTTTTTTTTGATTATCAATATCTTGAATTATGTTATTTGTAGATGCATCATTATTTAAATTTTCACTATGCTGATTTAATTCATTTTCATTAATAGATGACGTGTTTATATCATTAAAACAAAGTGAATGCCTTCTTAACCTTTCCATAGTATTATCTCTATATAATACAATGTCTTGTGTGAAATATAATAATCTAAGAAATCAGAGAATAACTTGATTTTTAAATAATATACCTTGATGGATTACTAGCAAAAAATACATGTTTACATGATTTTCTAATTCTATTAGTAAATATTTTTGGAATTCCTCTTTGTGGAAGTAAAGGTGCACCCCCCTGTGCCCAAGGATCATTAGGTCCAGGTAAAAAAATAAAAGTTGATCTTTGTGTAAGTTTTGGAAAGGATTCTAGTAAAAGTGCTAATGAGTTAAATAATGCTTTTATGCATCAATTTAAATCTATTTAACTAATATGTTGTTGTGTACCTTTATAATTAGCTGAAAATCCTGTATTATGAAATGGAACAGAAATAAAATTTCCCATTAAAATAATAGCTTCAGGAAAAATATCCTCTCGTGTTTCGTATATATAAAGCATTTTTTTAAGAGCCTTCATAGACTAAATTGAATAAGAAAAAAATATTATTTAGAAAATAATAAATACTAAAACATCATCAAGTATAACGTCAGCTGCAAATACAAACCGTACGTGACCAAATTTTGTTTCTGCGTCCTTCAATTGTTTTTTCATTAATCTATCTTGATTTGTTCCCAAAAAATCGATATGATCAAAAGATTTTTCCGATAAATATTTAGGTTCACATGGAGGATGTCCAAGAACAAATACTTGAAACGTTCCATTTTCCAAATATATACCATCTGCTAATACAATGCATCCAGGAACTATCCATCCTCCTCCATTAATCGTATCATCTGTTTCTAACATAATTCGATCGTCAATATCTTCTAACCAAAGCTTTCCTTCAGGACCATATGAAATTACTCCAAGTAACATAAATTCCTTTCCAATTCTGCCTAAAAGATTTTTAATTGATGTAATCTATTATAATTAGATTTTCAATATAATTAATTTAAAGATAATTAACCTTATGCCATTCTTTATGAGACATTGAACCATAAAAACTTGGCTCTTGAAAAGCCGGATTCGAAAGTAATCGCTGTTTTATAAGGTAAAATCTTTCTCGATAAATTGAAATTTTATGTGAAATATCCCCAAGTATTTTAGGTGGCTCATTCGAACTAATATAAGGCTAGGTTTCTATTATTATAAAAAAAATATTACCGTTCAAATGACTTGTGTGTCATATCAAAAACATATTTAGGCTGATCAAATGCATCTATATATAAAAAATACTGTTTTATATCAATTCCTTGCTCTAATTTTGCTTCCAATTGAGCATTGTTTAAAAGACTTTCATTTTCTAACAGAACCGGTATCTGTTCTTGAACCTTTAATTTCAATGAATTTAATTGATTCCATTTTTTAAGAATAGGAACAAGAAGATCTTTTGATACTAAAAAATTGCTTTCTTGGCCTTTTTAACCTAAACTATCTACAAATAACCGACAAACCTTGGGATTTTTTCCATAGTTGAGCAATCTCATCTAAAATCGATTCGCTTTCTGTGCTCCAATCTTGACCACATTTCCTGCCTATAAATATTGCAAGTTCCTTAAGAGCATCCGATTTTAGTGTTAAATTATATCTTTTTGTAAATATACGAAATGCAATAGGCCTTAATTGCGATATTTCAATATTAACTCCCAAAAAAAAAGGAACCTTTGAACTCCCTACTACATTATTTGATATTCCACGCAATTTATTGCTCATTTCTTATCAATTATAGCCTTTTATTCCCAATACTTTATATATATATATAAATACTCTAATATCGCCTATAATTCTTCTTTTTTCACCGTTTTTTTTCCCTCAAAAAGCACGTTTATTTTACATATAAAATTACAAATAAATTTAAAGGGTTTCCCCTAAAATTTTGGCCTTTTTTCGGCCATTTTTTCTTGGTTTTTTTTTACTATTTTTGCTGACGTTCTTACTCTTCTATACAGGTCTCCATAGTAATAATCTCTATAGCAATAGTAACCATAGCAATGGTATCCATAGTAACAATCACCATAGTAACAATCACCATAGAAATCATCTCGAACCTATCGCTCCTAACGAATGACTCGACTCAACAAATGGCAGAGAAAGAAACGCAAGAAATAGGCTTAAATGGCCTGAATAATCTCTGTTCAGAGCCTTCAGAGACGTTAATATCATTAGAAGAAGCTTATTCTGTTATTAATGAGGCAGATTGTCTTTATTATAAGAAGGATTATGAAGCAGCAGTTGAGAAATATAGTTTAGCTCTTGAGCGAATTGTTATGGAATATGGAGAAGGAGATGTTAGAAATGCAGATGTTTTTTATTCGTATGGAAGGGCGTTATTTTATTTAGCAGTGAAACGGAGTGGAGTTTTTGGTGGGGTAGTTCCTCCGCTAGAAAGTAGGTTTTTGATGGTAAAAAGAAGGATAAACTGAATTGAAGAGATTGTATTGAGATGGGGAATGTTTCGTCTAAAGCGATGCATAATTCGTCTCGATTATGTTTTTCTGGAGATGAAAGTAGTGAAGAAGAATCGGGAGATGTGATAAAAGAGGATGATTTTAGTATTGCATGGGAAGCATTAGATTTTTCGAGATTTCTTTATCAAAAGATGCTAGATATGAGTAAAGGAGTGTCAGAGAGGGATTTAGAGGAGAAAAAAGAGGAAATTGATGAAGAAAAGTGTATAGAAATTGAAAAAAAGTTGGCAGATACATATGATTTATTGGGGGAAATATCACTTGAGAATGGTATTTTTAGGATCTAATGAAATTGATATTTATTTATTTATAATAGAAAATTTTCAACAGGCATTGGCGGATTTTCAATCTTCTCTTGATCTTAGAACTAAAATATATCCACTTGAGTCATCATTGATTACTGAAGCACATTATAAACTAGCATTAGCTCTTGAATTTTCACAAGAAGGTGATTTTCGTGAAAAGGCTATTGAACATATACATTTAGCGATTAAAAGTTTAGAAAAGCGATTGGAAAACGAGCAAAAAAGTGAAAAAGGGAAAGAAAAACAAGAGAAAGAAGAATCTGAAATACGGGAAATGTTATTGGAACTGAAACAAAAGGTTAGAAATATATAATACATATTTTATTGTTGAAAACTACTAGGCTAAAGAACTTGAAAAGATTCCGGAGAAAACAAGTATAAAGACTCTTGATTTTCAAAATATAACGAAAAATTCTCAAGAAGATGTAAAGAAAGCGCTTTTAGAAATGATCTCCAATGCAAATGATGTAAATTCTTTGGTTAAAAAGAAAAAGAAACCCATTTCTTATGGACTTTCAAATATTGATGAAAATCAACAAGAAAATCAAGTGTATAAAAAGGCAAAAATAGAAAATTCATGTAATTAAATATCGATCAAATCACACTTAAAGTTTCGTAAAAACTTTCCAGATTTTCATGATATATTTTCAAAAATTTCATTATCCACAAAATCTATCTATTTACAATATATTTATGCGTTTATGCTTCAATTATAATATTTTAGACTTGAAAATCAAATCATTACGAAAATATTTCAGCTTTTCTGTTTCAATTACTAATTTTTAAATCTTTTCAAATCATCACTTTCACGTGCTTATTTTATTTCAAAAAACACTATTTACACACAATAATCACCGCTTATTCATATTTTTTAAAGCAGCATAACTTCATTTTTAAAATATTTATATTTTATTTCAATTCTTTTAAAAAATAACTTTTACATTTACATTTAAACAATTGGTTCCTCTAACTAATTTTTTATTTATCTTTTATCTTCCTTTTAATCTTTATATATTTATATTATCTATATAGTATCACGTGATTTTGATCTTCAAAATATATAAAAACCCTTCCCCCGAAATTTGGAAACTTCCGATTTATAAAAAATTTATTTTTTTAATATCGTAGCAAAGGACTTTAATTGAGAGGATTGAATATTCAGAATTACATAAATGGCTCATAACAATACTATTTATTACTTAAACAGTCAAGAAAGCGACTTAGACAACGAGATTCTCATGTCTCCATGCTCTAAGGCCTTTGATAATGATATGGAATATAGTTATTATGATAATATTCCTTTAACATGCACTGTGACTCCATTGAAGCAATTTGGTTCTTCATCGGAGCCTCAGAAATATGTTTATCGTAGAATAAACTGTCGAAATATTCAATGGTGTCCCTGAGGTATTTTAGAATTGAATAAAGTGGTTTATAGTAATGTTTTGTTAGGTCTTGTGTGAATATACCCCCCCAGCATTTGCAGGAGCATCTTTGGATGCATCTGCCTTGGCCTCAGGGAAATATGATCCGGCTGGTTCTTCGCAATCTTCATCTCTTGAAAGTGACTCAGGGTTTTCTGTGTTAAGAGAAAGATTGATATGTGGAGTTTGGTGGAAGGAATTTGGTGTTGAAGAAAATAATGTGCTTCAAAGTGTTAGTATTAATGAGAATAATAAAGTATTATGTCGTGGGATAACAACGTTTTCCAAAAATGAGCATAATATTTATATTATTGGAGATATTTGCAATAAGCCTTATTTAAAACAAAGGTATACTTTTCATATATTTGTTTTCTATTTTTATATTTATTGTAAATGATTAGATTGGCTGCAATTATTGATTTTGCTTCTAATTTTCTTTTTTGCAATAAATTGTTTATTCGTATTAGGAAAGTATCTTCTGGACTTGGTAAGTTTATATTTTTATTCATTTCTTGTTATTTATATGTTCTTTAGATGCCTTGATTAGAGGTCTTACTTGGATCGGGTTTAGAATTGTTCCTTCTGCTTCTTTTTCTTCTGAATATTATTTGCTATTCAGTATTTGTTTGTAACCTTTCATTGAAATATATGTTAAAGGTTTTCTAAATACTTTATTTTTGCTAATATGTTTTCTTTAAAATCTTAATTTTTTTTAACTGTTTATTTATATTTTTCCTTTTAAAAAGATTTTATTTTGTCACTGGAGTCAAGTTCATGACCCGTATGAGATCAAAGTTAAGCTTCGCATCGCAAGTTTTACGTTAAGAAAATGTTATGAAAGAAAAGTTTGCATTTAATATTAAAATATAACTATTCTAAATGTTTTATACATTCTTTTAAGAATTAAAAAACAAAATTTCACGAAGTCGGTGCAGGATTCATCTGGTTTAAACTTAGAATCCTTTCCAAATATATTTGTTATATATACCTTTCGTTTTCCTCCTGCAAATGATACATAATTAACAAATCGACGATTATATTGAAGTCGTTTATGTGCTCTTCCACACGGAGACTTAGGTTTCTCCTGTTTCTCCACCTTAGGTGTTTGTCTAAAACACTTAATTATTTCTATACTCTTTAATAAATCAAACTTACGATTTTACTTTTCCTGCACTAAAATAACACACAAATTAGCCAAAAAAAAGCACTTTCTACTATAAATCTTACCGTGCAAGCGATCCATGAACCTATATTGTTCAATATATTAATAAATAACCCTTAAAATAGACTTACTTTTCCCATCTTTTATGATCTAAAAAAGGCTAAAAGTTGAAAAAAAAACCGAAAAAAAACGGGAAAAAAGGCTATATATACTTAATAACTCGTTCTCTCTATATTTTCTCTCGAAAATACGTTTTTTCTACCGGAAAATACACCAAAACTATGCTCTTCCGTCTTTCTTCTTAACACTTGTTATCTCTCGCTGACCTCCTTCTGAAATATTTTTCTTTCGCACCCGGGTGTCCCTTTTGCCATGGAAACTAAATTATTATCGATGATTTTACTCTCCTCTAAAACCTTCAACAATGTTAAAAGGTTATTTTCACGGTAAAACAGGCAGAATTCAGCCGTATTTTAGCCGTATTTATGGCAGAACAATATCTTTTAATAGACCAGTAAGAGCAGCACCGCCGGTTGGTTTTCGTCCGCAATCAGAATCATTGGTAGAAACATCAGAAACATCAGGAACATCAAAAATATCTAAAACGCCTAAAAAGTCTATTTTAGATAAGGCAGGAGATTATTTCTTATTATCAGAGATGTTTCGTGGAATGTACGTGGTTCTGGAGCAGTTTTTTCGGACGCCGTATGTGTTTTAAGGGTTTAAATAAGTGTCTTTATGAATTGATAGATATACGTTATTTTATCCGTTTGAAAAAGGGCCAGTTTCACCTAGATTTCGTGGAGAACATGCTTTACGTCGATATCCAACAGGAGAAGAGCGGTGTATTGCATGTAAACTTTGTGAAGCAGTATGTCCTGCACAGGCAATTACTATTGAAGCAGAAGAACGTGCGGATGGATCACGTCGTACAACTCGCTATGATATAGGTTTATATTTTTTATTAATATTTTTTTATATTCATGTTTTAGATATGACAAAATGTATTTATTGTGGATATTGTCAAGAAAGCTGTCCTGTCGATGCTATAGTTGAGACATCGAATGTTGAATATGCAACAGAAACTCATGAAGAACTTTTATATAATAAAGAAAAACTTCTTTCTAATGGAGATAAATGGGAAGCAGAGATTTCTAGATCAATTCGAGGTATCTTTTTTTATTAAATATTTTTATTAATATTTATAGCCGATCATTCTTATCGTTAAATACACCCTTCAAGATTCTTTTTTAATTCACTTTTTAATTCAAATATAGACGTTTTTGACATTTATCTTTTATTTCTGGATTCTTAAGTCATTCTATTTTACATATTCTATTTTACACATTCTATTTTACGCTTATGTTTCAGTATACCCTTTATCTTACATGTTTTATACAATATACATGTTTATACATGGTTGTTGCTTCTTTATATTCATTTTTATCTCTTTTTACTTATGTTTTATATTTGTTTTTAAAAAACCTTAATATATCTTTCTTTATTCAACGACATTAAATTTAGAGTTTAAATAAAAGCTGTTGTTATAAATATTTATAAAGACTAAGATATGGATTCTAAAGATCTGAAGAATATGTATGTATTTCTATTTCTTTTTTCTTGTATTAAAAATCTCTAATAAACTTATTTAAAAATTTAGTGCTGGTATGGGCTATTTTTTATTATAAAAGATATATAATGGGTCTTAACTGTCTATATAGACTTTGGCCTTATTGGATTAGCTGTTATGGGTCAGAATCTTGTTTTAAATTCTGCTGATAAAGGGTTCGTTAAGAAATTGTCTTTCTTAAGACTTATGGTTCTTTAAATATGGGTTTTTATATATAATAACAGGTTCATTGTTGCAGTATTTAACCGTACAGTGTCAAAGGTTGATAGTTTTTTGGAGAAAGAAGCAAAGGGTTTTATTTTTGGTTTTTTATATATATAAATTTATAAATATTAAGGAAAATCTATTATTGGAGCACATTCTATTGAGGAATTTTGTTCTCTTTTGAAAAAACCTCGACGTATTATGCTTCTTGTTAAAGCAGGATCACCTGTAGATGAATTTATTGAGCATCTTTTACTTTATTTAGAAAAAGATGATATTATTGTTGGTAAAAGAGAGAATTCTGTTTTTTTTAAGTTTCCAATGATGCTAGATTGTGGAAATAGTCATTTTATTGATACAAATAATAGATATGAAAGTCTAAAAAATAAAGGTATTCTTTTTGTTGGAGCTGGTATATCAGGAGGAGAAGATGGAGCTAGATATGGGCCATCAATTATGCCAGGAGGGAATTCTGATGCATGGAAATATCTTAAGGATATTTTCCAATCTATTTCAGCGAAATCGGATGGAAAGCCATGTTGTGATTGGGTTGGTGAGTCGGGTTCAGGGCATTTTGTTAAGATGGTTCACAATGGTATTGAATATGGAGATATGCAGTTAATTTGTGAGGCATATGATCTTATGAAGCGGGGTCTTTGCATGAGTAATAAGGAAATTGGGGATGTTTTTAGTGAATGGAATAAAGGTTTTCTTAATTCATTTTTGATTGAGATTACTTGTAATATTTTTTATTATACTGATGAGAATGGGGAGTATATGATTGACAAAATTCTTGATTCTGCTGGGCAAAAAGGTGCAAGATTTGTTTGATAAAGGTGTGCATTTCAATTTAATATATATTAGGTACTGGAAAATGGAGTGTAATGAGTGCACTTGATCTAGGTGTACCAACAACGCTTATTAGTGAGGCTGTTTTTTCAAGATGTCTCTCAAATATTCGTGATGAGAGAATCAAAGCTAGCAAAAGATTTCAAAATATGGGTATTAAATATACGGGCGATAAAAAGGAATTTATTTCTCATTTGGAACAAGTAAATTTTCCTTTACATTGTATTTTTTATTAAAACTTAAAAGGCTCTTTATGCTAGTAAAATTATTTCTTATACTCAAGGTTTTATGTTGTTAAAACATGCTTCTATTAAATATGGATGGAAACTTAATAATTCAAGCATCTCCCACATGTGGCAAGGTATATATACTCTTCTTTTTTAACCTTTATCTTAATTCTGGACTAGGTGGCTGTATTATTCGTAGTATTTTTTTGAATGAAATTTCCAAAGTTTATTTAGCCTCTCCTGACTTAGAAAATCTTTTATTTGGTAATGATTTCTTTATAACACTTTTATTATCTCTTTTAATTATTATAGAACCTTTTTTTCATGACGCTATAATAACTGCTGAGCCTTCATGGAGAAAAATTGTTTCAACTGCGGTTGAAATAGGGATTCCAACCCCTGCTTTTTCTACCGCTCTTTCATTCTTTGATGGATATAGAAGCCAATGGCTTCCTTCTAATTTAATTCAAGCTCAAAGAGATTATTTTGGTATATTTTTTCTTTTTTTTTGCTATTTTATACTTATTTTACAGGTGCTCATACTTTTCAGCTTCTTCCTGATGCTATATCTGATAAATTTAAAGGCTTAGAAAACATTCATATTGATTGGACTGGTCATGGAGGTCATGTTGCCTCTTCAGTTTATACTGCTTGATATTTTTACATCATTTATTCTTCTAATTCTTATTTAATATTCATATCTTCATGTCTATTTCTTTCATTTATATGATTTCTGTATTTTATATTTCACCTTATTTTTTTTATCTCCTCTATTATCTTAGATTTTCTTAACCTCAAAAAAAAACTAAGTATATATTATGGCTTAAATATAGGTTAAATGCCTTCAAAATCCACCAGAAAATCCTTTGATACGCCTAGAAAACGGCCTTATACTGTATTTCCCCCGAAAACCCCGTTTAAAAATGACTTTTGGAGCATCAGTATTCAGGAATGCTGCGCATATCTTCATACGTGCCATAAAACAGGATTATCAAGCAAGGAAGATATTATATATCGTAGATCTATCTATGGGAGTAATTTCCTGGGGCCAGAGAACATAGGATTTTCTTTTTTCCTGTTTTTAAAGCAGTTATTGAGCAGTTTTCTGATGATATTGTTATTTGGCAGTGCAGTAATAAGTATATTTATAGGAAATATCAGTGATGCTCTGAGTATTATTGTGGTGAGTTGTTTATAAGTGTTATTTGCGGGATATTTATGGCAAATATCTATATAGGCTATTATAATGGTTGTTTCAGGTATATTAGAATCAGAGTATATGATTTTATATTGATGTATAATATAGTGGGATTTATACAGGAATATCGATCAGAAAAGTCATTAAAAGAGTTAAATAAGATGATACCGCATTATTGCCATGTAATTAGGAATGGGCAGGAGCAATATGTAGAAGCGATTGATCTTGTTCCGGGTGATTTGATTAGATTTTCTATGGGGGACCGTATTCCAGCAGATTTGAGAATATCAGAAGTATTGGATGGATTTTTTAGTTATTTTTTAATTAAAATATCTAGGCAATTGATCTTGGAATAGATGAATCGAACTTGACAGGAGAGACAAATATTGTTTATAAGAACGGGGATGCTATTTCTAAGAGTCTCTATGATATTCCTATAACAGAACGTAAATGTATTGCATTTATGGGAACATTTGTAAGACATGGTAATATTTTTGTATAAAATACTCTATAATGTTGAATTAGATGTCTAGGTAATGGTTTAGGTATCGTAATTAGAACGGGGAAAGATACAGAGTTTGGAGCGGTTATTTTAGATATGCAACATGTAGGAAGGTTACTTTTTTTGTTTGATATTTATTGGGTATTAGATAAAGTCACCGCAAACACCATTACAAAAATCAATGGATCATCTTGGAAAACAGCTCTCTATGTTTTCTTTAATTATTATACTGATAATATATTTGATTGGGTTAATACAAGGAAGATCATGGCTAGAAATGTCTACAATTTCTATATCTTTGGCAGTTGCTGCTATTCCTGAAGGACTTCCTATCATTTTAAGCATTACATTAGCTTTAGGAGTTCATCGTATGTCAAATAAAAAAGTAATTGTTAAGAATTTACCGAGTGTTGAAACATTAGCAAGTGTTAATGTTATATGTTGCGATAAAACAGGTATTATAATAAATACATGTTTTATATTTTGATTATGAATAGGAACATTAACTGAAAATCATATGACTGTACAAAAGATATTTACTTTAGGTAGAAATGGACTTATTGATCTTTCATCTAACTTTAAAAAATCATTGTTTATGGAGGATAAGACTCTAAACTGTCTTTTGAATATTGGTGTGTTTGTCTCGTTCTATTTATTTTGAAAATTAATTTTTAGCTAATCTATGTAATAACGCTCAAAAACTTAACAATGAAAAATTCGTTGGGCAATCTGTTGACGTTGCAATTATGGAATTGATTGAAAAATATGGCTATCCTGATAATCGCAAGGTAATTTTGATTTTTATGTAAATACGTTTTTTTTTAATATTAGAAAGATTTATACACGACTCCAGGAAATTCCATTCTCTTCAGATAGAAAATGGATGTCTGTAACAGCATATCCATCTTCTATGACTCCTTCTTCAAGTGTTGTGTATGCAAAGGGTTCGTTTGAAGAAATATGTATGAAATCAGTTTCAATCTTAGAAAAAGATGCAGTAGAGATACCACTAACGAAAGATATTATTGATAAAATTGACAAAGTTGCTTCCGAAATGGCTTATGAAGGATTGAAAGTTATAGCTTTAGCTAGTTTATTTGGTTCATCTATAGATGATAAGGGTTTTACTATAGCAGGTCTTATTGGATTAATCGATCCACTTAGAAAGAATGTTAGGAAATCTATTCAACATTTAATTCGGAATTCTATTAGAATTGTTATGATAACAGGGGATTCGGAAGCTGCTGCTCTATCTACTGCTTTTAAACTTGGCATTCCGGTTCAATATTTAAGATCGTATTATATTAATGAAAATTCTAAGGATTTTATGACTATAATATCTGGAAATAATCTTGAAAAAATGACAACTAAAGAACTTTCTGAAGTTTTAACTAATATTAATATATTTTCTCGAGTTACTCCCAGACAGAAAATGAAAATAATAGAGGCATTTCAGATAAGAGGAGATATAGTTGCTATGATAGGTGATGGTGTTAATGATGCTCCTGCTTTAAAACTTGCTGATATCGGTATTGCTATGGGAAAGCATGGTACAGATGTTGCAAGAGAAGCTGCAGACATGATATTGACTGATGACTCATTTTCAACTATTTTAGATGCAATTGATGAAGGTAAATCAATTTGTAATATTAATTGCTTATATTTATTATTTTTATAGGCAAGGGTATTTATTATAATATTAGCAACTTTATAGCTTTTCAATTATCAACATGTATCGCTTCGCTATCTTTAATTGCTATTTCAACAATTTTTGGTCTTGGAAATCCTTTAACTGCTACACAACTTTTGTGGATAAGTATTTCATTCATTTTTTTTTTAATAATTAAATTAATCATTATAGATATTCTTATGGATGGTCCACCAGCGCAAAGTCTTGGCTGTGAATCTATTAATTCTAGTATTATTCCAGATTGTCCTCGTGATAAAAATATTCCTCTCTTAACAAAATACCTTCTTAAAAAAATTATTATTTCTTCATTTCTTATTATTTTTGGGACTATTTTAATATATATTTCACAAGCAGGCAAAAATACTAAGCGCAGATCTATTACTATGGTATAATTTTATTCTTTTTTTTTTTCTAATTTTTATAGACTTTTACTTGTTTTGTATTTTTTGATCTCTTTAATGCATTAACATGTCGTTCTAATATAAAGTCTATTTTTAATATAGGCTTTTTTTCAAATAGCACTTTTAATTTAGCAATTTTAGGGTCTTTTTTGGGGCAAATATCTGTTATTTATCTACCATTTTTTCAAAAAGTATTTTATACTGAAGCTTTAAGTTTCTTTGATCTTTTATTTTTAATAGTTGTTGCGAGTACTGTATTTTGGATAGATGAGATAAGGAAATTTAGAACACGTAAAAATATACATAAAGAGCTAATTTTATTCATATAATATACTATTTCTATAATTAAAAAGTACAATTATATCATATGTTAATTTATGTTTCATAAATATTATATTATCAATGGTTTTTAAAACATATTCCTACAATAAATAATATATATTGTTTTTCTATGTAATGATAATTAATTATTCTAAAGAATATAAATATTGAAGCAATTAGTTTGAAATAATTATGGATGCAGAGCTTCTAATCCTATTCATTATTGCTAACCCTTCCTTTTCTTCTGAAACTCCCTCAACAAGAATTAAATCTATATTATGATAATCCATATTTCTTAATGCAGAAAATAAATTTCTAGTAATTTCAGTGCAAGTATGACCAAGTTCACAATCTAGAGTTTTCCATTTCAAAAATATATCATTTAATTTTTCTCGTTTCCAATGTATTGTTCTCATTATCCCAATATGCATTTCTTTTTCAATATCAGTACTGATATTTTGAATAGCCCATTTTATTACAGATTCTTCTGAAATATTCTCAAATAGTACAACTTTTGCTTTTGGTGAATAATGTTTATATTTCATACCTGGTGCACGAGGTATTGTTTCTAAAGTTTTGTCCATATTTTTATTTGTATAAACAATAATGTTTTCCCATTTACCTCCACATGCTTTAATTTGTTCTTTGCTAATAGATCCTGGTCGCAAAATGACAGGTGGATCTACAAGACCATCTATTACTGTACTTTCTAAACCAATATTACATGGTCCACCATCCAAAATAATTGGAATTTTTCCTTTAAGATCAGAATATACATGTGAAGCCAGTGTTGGTGATGGTCTTGTTGAAATATTAGCAGATGGTGCCGCAATAGGCATGTCAAAAAGTGAAATCAGAGCTAATGCTATAAGATTTGATGGCATTCTAACAGCTACTGTATCTTTTTTTGCTAATACAATTGGTGAAATTTTTAAATGCCTAGCAGGAAGAATAATAGTAAGAGGACCTGGCCAAAATTGATTAATTAGTGGAATATAAACAGGAGGTATAAAATTTTCTGCCTTTGAACTTTTAAGATCTGGTTGAAATAGACGTTGCAACTGATTAAGTGATGATATATGAACAATTAAAGGATTATCTGCTGGACGGTTTTTGACACGAAAAATAGACATTGCTGCTTCTGAATTTGTCGCATCTGCTCCTAAACCATATACCGTCTCTGTAGGAAATGCTACAGGATATAATCCTTCCTTAAGTGTCTGTACTGCTTCTTGAAGTGCGTTAAGTGTATTTGATGGTAAAATAGTTAAAAATTCTTTGTTAAAAAAGTCTTTTTTCAATTTATTTTCACAAAAATTGATTGATTCTGATGACACCTGTAAAATTCTTGTTGAAAGTTCTTTTTTATGATTTCTACAACTTGCTCGAATCATTTTTAGATCTTTTTCTAGATTAACAATTGAAATTTGCTTTTTTTAACAGATTTTGTATATATAAAAATATTCTTAATTCAATATTATGTCAGAAAGCCTTTTATATTCAAACATGTGATCTTTTTAAGAAAATTAACTGCAAGATTAAGCCGTTTAATAAACCAGAAATGACTTTATTGATATTTAAATCTTATTTCTTAGAGTTTCTTGATATTTCAAGATAAACTTGTCCTTTTTTTTTTGAAAAAAAAAATCCTTTCTTTTTATAATGTATTTTCACAAAGATTATACGTATTTGTTAAGATTTTTATGTAAAACTTCCTATTCTCTGGATTTTTTAATATTTTTATCAACTCGTCTCCAAAAAAAATATTATCAAAATCCCAACTTTTCCTCAATCCATATTAAATATATTGACATATTCTGTATTATATAGATAAAAATATTTCTTAATAGACATTTTTCATATATTTAGATAAATCTCCCCTTTACTATTTTATATATAAATATATAAATATATAAATACGTGGTTTAATTTAGTTGAAAATGAATATGTCATATAAAAAATACATTTATTTTTATATATTTTTACTTTATTTATATTTTAAGGTTTTTTTTTAATAAATATTTTAGACTTATTTTATTTATTCGTATTAAAAATATATAAATTTAATTCTCCCCTGACATTTACAATGATGATAAACTACTACAATATCTTTATTTTTACTTATGTTTTATTCAATTTCTTTTTTTCACTTTTTTTAAAAAATTAAAAAATTAAAAAAATATTAAATACACAAATAAAATGAAATATAAGGCTTAAATACTCCTCAAAATACCCTTTTTCCTCCTCTTAAAACTCCTTTTATCTCATCTTTTATCATCTTGGTTTCTGATCATATGGTTGGTTGTCTAGGAAACCAAGGAACGACATCAATTTTAGAGGGCAATCAAGCTGAGCAATAAGCTGAGTAAAATTCTAATAATAACCATGATTTATTGTGCTTTTATTAAGGATTATATCCAATATGAAGCAGAGACTTAAGTATTTAGAATTATTTTGTTATATTTCTGTTAATTTTATTAGTATTTTAGATTTAAAAAGTGTTGTAAGCGAACTACAAGAACTTTTAGAATTTCGGGTACAGAATATTTATGATGTTTCAGAGAGAACGTTTCAGTTTAAATTCTCATTATCAGGCCGTAAGGAATATCTTCTTGTAGAATGTGGGTCTCGGATTCATTTGACAAGATATGCCCGTGAAACAGCGACATTACCATCACAATTTTGTGCTAAACTGCGTAAACATTTAAAGAACAGACGATTGATGTCTTTGAAGCATATTTGTAATGATAGAATTGTATATTTAGGATTTGGAAGAAGTAATGAGGCGACAGAATTATTTAAAGCTCAATATTATCTTATTTTTGAATTTTATGCATCAGGAAATATTATTTTAGCAGATGAAAATATGAAAATACTTTTTCTTTATCGTATGGTAATATTTGGTGATAAGCGTAAACAATTTTCAGTAGGAGAAATATATCCTCTTTCATTTAATATTTCTCAAGATGAAACTGAAATGACGAAGGATAATTTATTATCACTAATTGAGACTTTGAAGAATAAATATATAACGCTTTCTGATGATGTTTCATCAAAAAATATTTCTTCTTTATCTGTTTGCAAAAAGGCGTTAAAGAAGGGAAAAACACTAAAGGATTTTCCCTTAAAGAAGCTTATTTCTTGGGAGTTAAGTAGTTATGGAAATTCTCTTATTGAACATATCATAAGAGATGCTAATATTGACCCCGATATGAAAATTGATGATTTTTATTCAAACTTAGGTTAGCATATTTATTATTGATAGTTTATTTATAATTTTTTTATTTACCATAATGTTAGAAAGTATTAATATGGATGATCTACTTTCATCTTTCAAAAGAGCGGATGATATTATTAGAAAATGTAAAGAGGGTCCTATAGTTGGATATATTGTTAAGAAAAAAGAACCAATAAAAGTCAGAAGTGAAAATTTTAGCAACATTCAAGCAGAGTCAACATCAAATTATATAGAGATTTATGTAGATTTTAATCCATTTATTCCGAAACATTTCTCTGATAATTCAGATTACTCTATTGTTGCATATGATAACTATAATAGTTGTATAGATATGTTTTTTTCTTCATTAGAATCTCAGAAATTTGACATGAAATTGAAGCATCAAGAAGATCTTGCTTATAAACGCTTACAGGCGACAAAAGATGAGCTTCAAAAAAAGATTGATGATTTAAAAAAAATTCAAAATATTTCTATACAGAAAGCAATTGCTATAGAAGAAAATTTGGAAATAGTATTCATATAAATATTGTTTTATTATAATAATAATTTATTTAGGTTGATGAAACAATTAAGGCTGTTAACGATTGCCTTTTGCAGAGCATGGATTGGTAAAGTATAGATATTTGTGATTTCATAATTTAACAAATAATTAGGAATGATATCGCTAAATTGATTGAGAATGAAAAAGAATATGGGAATCCTGCTGCTAAAATCATATCTCTTCCTCTTAAATTAAAATTAAATACTATTACAATAAAATTATCTTCTGTGTGTTCAGATAATATTTTTGAACAGAGACAGGACTCTAATTCATTTCATATTCAAAAAGATAGAATAAAAACATTAGATATTGATATCAAATTATCAATGAATGCATGGGGTATAGTTATTTATTTATATTATTTCTTTAATATTAATTAAATTAAGCAAATGCTAGAGATTATTATGATAAGAAAAAGATTGCATCAATAAAAGAAAAGAAAACCATAGCTGCTTCTTCTAAAGCATTGAAGAATGCTGAGAGAAAAATTAAATTTGATTTAAAAAAAAGTACTGGACAAGAAAAAAAGAAAATAGTTCCTATGAGGACTTTACGTTGGTTTGAGAAATTTTTATGGTTTATTAGTTCAGATGGATATTTAATATTAGGAGGTCGTGATTCATTGCAGGATAAAATCTTGATAAAAGATCATTTTCTCAAAAACGATATATTTGTACATGCTGATTTAGAGGACGCATCTGTTGTCATTATTAAAAATATGCATGATTCATTATTTGTTCCTCCAAACACCCTTAGTCAAGCTGGTGCATTTTCAATATCTAAATCAAATGCATGGTAATGAATTGCTTTTATTTATCAAATTTATTCTGATTATTTAAGGACCAGTAAAATTATTACAAGTGCATGGTGGTAATATATCTATCTATATGTCTATACATATATAAATGACTAATTTTAGGGTTCGTTATGATCAAGTTATCAAGCATGAAGACGTTGATGAGCGATCTCTTGTTGAACTATTTACAATTCAAGGGAAAAAGAATTTTTTGCCTCCCTCACAACTTATTCTTGGATATGGAATTTTATGGGTTGTTGATGAAGATAGTAAAATGCGTCGTCTTAAAAATAAACTATCTGAAGATAACCAAAATGATTTATTGACCGATACACTACTAGATCAAGAAGTTGCATTTGTTACTGAAAAAATAATTGATCTTTCATTGAATCACGAAGAGGAAAAAGTAGATATTACTGATACAATGGATATGAGTTTTATAGATAATTGCGAGGAATCTAACAATCAAAAAAATCCATTGATACATTTAAAAGATACATTGATTGAAAACCCTTTAGAAAAAATAGAGAATGAAAGCAAATATAACTTGGAAGAATATCATGAACCTCCATCATTAGAAAGTAATAAAATTATTTCTGATATATGTACTGTTTATCAAAAAATTGAAAAAAAAAGAATAAGTCTTAAGGAAAGACGAGAAATAAAGAATATGCAAATGAAAACTAGAGAAACAAAGGATAACCCAGAAAAAACAAAGGAGAACCTAGAAAAAGCAAAGGAAAACCTAGAAAAAACAAAGAATTCGAATTCTGAGTCATTGAATATAAAAGTTGACTCAGAAATTCCAAACTCAAAACCACTTAATACAAATAAAACAAAAGTAAATGGTAATTTATTGTCAACAAATGTAAGGGGAAAGAAAGGAAAAATAAAGAAAATGATGCTTAAATATGCTGATCAAGATGAAAATGATAGAATTTTAAGAATGAAATTGTTAGGATCTAATATAAATTCTGAAAAGAAAGATTTAAAAGAAAATAAAAAGTCTATGACAAATAAAAAGCATAAGGCAAATAAAGATATAAAAAATACTGGTAATAATAATCATAATAATAATAATAAAGAAATTTTTCAGAATAATTCTGAAAAAAAAAATAATCATTTATTAAAGAAAGAAGATAAAGTTTCTGATAATAAAGAAAAGGTAAGATTTCCTTTTATATTTTTTAATTATTTATTTTTTTTTAAGAATTACGAAATAAATTTGGACGCTTTTGTACCTTTTCCATTATCCGATGATGTTTTACTAGAAGCAATTCCTATTTGTGCTCCTTATTCTTCTATGGCTAAATATAAATATAAAATTAAATTACAGCCTGGTTCAACTAAAAAAGGAAAAGCAATTCGTAGTATTATTTCTTATTGGAATACTTTTCCCGTTGATTCACTTTGCGAAAATAACGAAAAGGCTTTCCCACGTGAAAAAGAGTTAATTCAATCTTTAAAGGATTCTGAATTATTATCTCCTGTCTATATTTCTACTCTCAAAACAATGATGGGCAAATCTAAAAATAACACTTTCTCAAAAACAAATCGTCGAAAACATTCTTAATTATTCTTTTTACTCTTCATCTTAAACATATTTCTTATCTCTTCAACATTTATATCTGGCTTTATCTTATCTTAGATTATCGGTTTCTATAACGACCTGTCATGACAACCTACTTTCTCACTCACCTCTACAGCCGTCTTTTCAACCTACAAAAAAATGAATCTTACACTTTATACAGTTCACGCTATTTTAATTGTATGATTTACAATATTTAAAGATAGAATTGATATGTTCTTAGTTAGATTCATCAGGAGAACGTATTTTTGCAAAGTACTGTCAACCGCCTCATATTGTTTTTCAGGCAGGAACAGCTCGCTCAAATTTATATACAACAGTTAAGAGTCAAAAAGCCTTTGAAAAAGGCCTCTGGGAGAAGACTAAAAAGACAAATAATGAGATTATTTTATATGAAAATTATATGGTGGTTTATAAAACATCGATCGATATTACTATGTATATTGTAGGTGGACAGGATGAAAATGAATTGATGCTATGTGAGGTCTTAACGACGCTTAAGGAGGCATTAGAGATTCTTTTAAAGTATAATGGAAAGATTTTTATGTATTTTTAATATGTTGAAGAATGTTGATTGATAAGCATGCATTGTTAGAAAATTATGATTTGCTTTCGCTTGTAGTTAATGAAATATGTGATGATGGGTTAGATATTTTATTATTAGATGATTATTATTGATTTTTTATAGGATTATTGTAGAGACAGAACCAACAGTAATTGCTTCGAGAATTGCACGTCCTTCATTTTCAGATGTAATTTCTCATGTTGATTTAAGTGAAAAAGGGTTAATGAACGCTTATCAAATAGCTAAAGAGAAGCTAACAGAACGTATTTTGAAAGGAAATATGTAAAGATGAATTTGTTCTTGGTAAAAAATATAATTTATATGAATTATATAAAATGATATATTATGAGATGTAAATGAAAACAAAACCCTAATAACTTTTATTTTTTGACTGTTTCATCTCTATGGTCTGTTAGATTGTATGTCCTATTATTAAGCTCATACTTTTGTTCAGAAACATTAAGCATTAAGTTTTCTGCATTTAAAAATATTCTATTATTACCCTCGGCAAGAATGCGTGAAATTTCTCTAGCAGCTTCAATTTTTCTTAATTCTAAAAAGCCTTTACTCTTTTTAATAGCTTCACCAATAAGCTCAGCTGATTTTGCTTCTCCTTGAGCTCTAACAATAGCACCTTGCTAGATAATATTAAAAAATAAAAAGTATTAATATTTATAAACCTTTTCTTGACGGGCACGATCTACCAAATATGCTGCTTTTTGTGTTTCTTGTTGTGCTACTTGTTTTGCCTCAACTGCTGCTGTAAACTCTGGTGAAAATTGTACTATTTAAATTAATATATTTATATAATATGAAAAGAATAATTCAATAAACCATGTGTTACTATAGAAATTAGTATTAAAAAATTAGATATCTTTAGAAAAAGTACATGAAACATCATCAAGTTTTATATTAAATTTATCAGCTCGGCGAACAAGACTTTCTCTAATTAGTCTTGATACCTATGATGTAATATTAATAAAAACTACTTATAAACCGTTAATTAACCTTTTCTCTTTGTGTAATAAGTTGACTTGCATTAAATTGTGCAACAACACTTTTCAAAACTTCATTAACTATTGATGGAAGAACTCGTTCATCATAATCAGATCCAAGAGTACGATATATTGTCGGAAGCGCATCGACATTAGGTCTAGAAAGAACTCGGCATGTAATATTTACCATTTGGAGATCTATATTATTATTATTATATCTTTTTAAATGTAATAAATAACCTTTTGTCCCTGTAAGTGACGCAATATTTCTTGGCTTAGCACGAACATCATAAATATATGGTTTTTCAATCCAAGGTATAAAAAAATGAGTCCCTTCATTGTATATTTTTGGACTGACACCTGAAATACGATTATATCTACATTTTTATTAACCAATTCCTTTATATTTCATATATATAGAAACTTAATAGCACGGTGACCCCCGTCCACTTGTTATATTAGTATTTTCGTGCTTATTTAACCTTTTATTTAATCCTTTACCATTATAAAGTGATAAGTTTATTAACATTCCAAGACCTGCAAGTCCAATAGCTAATCCTACCCCTATAATTGCACCACTACTGCCTCCTTTGCCTTGTCCATTATTACTAGTTCTTGAACGAAGCATTGCTGCCATCTGATTGAATGTTTGACGGCCTGCTTGGTTCATTTTTTTTTGTATACTTGTTAAAATTCTTAATATTCTTATTTAAACTTAGAAATTTCTCTAAAAAAACATCAGCACAGCTTAAACAATTAGATTAAACAGTATTACATTAGATCTTAAACAAATTATGTATTTTTTTAAATTTTTAAGAATAAGCCGTCTTTATAGAAGAGGTTTATATAGTTTTAGATAAATATATAGTTTTGTATTTTCTGATTATTATTATTTAATTTAAAGAGAAACAAGTACTTTTATAAGTAAATTGTTGTTTGAATTGATGTTTTTAAAAAAGGTCAAGATTTGGTTATTTTTTGTAATTTTTAGAGATCGTTTTTAAAGATTTTTAAAGATTTTTAAATTAAATGAGCTTTTGTAAAGTTTTGTATATTTTATTGATTTATTAGTTTTAATTGTTTGATAAAGTAATATATTAAAGGAATTATTTTAATATTAAGACAATTTTTTATTATAAAAAAAAATAAAGAGAATTCATGTGTTTTTGAATTAAATATCTTTATAGGATGGGTTTTATTAATTGATTGATCTTTAAAAAGATTAATCTATTTATAAAATTTAATATTGATTAGTTTGATTACGGTGCCTGACGATAAGATGTCTGAAAAATTTATCAAATAAATAGCATGTTTTATTGTGAATCTTAACTAGATCCACTTAAATAATATATGCCGATCTTAGTAAATTGAAGTAAGACTTATGTTTTACTTTTTAGAAGAATTGTTGTAATAATTGATTATATGTAAAAAAAAAGTAAATAATTTATATCGTAGGGCTTATTTGATCTATATTGCTATCTTACAAAGGTATATATTAAATAATTATAAGATTTCCTTCCATATAAACATTGGAGTTTATTATGGAATATTCATATCGCTTTATATAATATTTTATACTATTTTCGTTCGTGTAATAAAGTTTCGATTTTCCATAGACTTGCTTTTAATCCAACCCCCTTTTCACAATTTTCTATAAGCCATGTCTCCATTTCTTCACGTATTTGTTTAAGATTTTTTGTAATAGGAAGACCATTTTCTCCAGCATTAGCTACAGGGTTTAATAATAGATCGAATAATTTTTTCCAAATATCTTGTTGCCAATATCGTTTAAATCCATTAGATAAACGATATTTTCTACGTCCCACGCCTAATCCTGGCATTTTTTCTGCAATTGTCTCGATATGTTTGCCGAAAAGAAGTGTATGAATTATAGTTGCTAATCCATGATAATCAACTTGATAAGTCCATGGTCTTGCTTCCCTCATTTCTGCACAATCTTGCTCATCCGTTACCCAATCAGCTATAAACTGTACTTGAGGAGAAAACATTTTCAAATCTATTCCTTTTCCAAAATCGATGATTACAATTCCTTTAGAAGCCCATCCTCCTGATCCATCTCTTTGATATTTAGAAAGCCATTCATATTTAAGAGGATCTAGGCGAAGAAGACAATTATCTGGTTTTAAATCACCATGAAGGATACCTTTATTATGTAATTGTTCTAATGTTCTTAAAAGTTCTATCGTAAAAAATATTGCAAGGACTTCATCTATGCCATTTCCTGTTTCCGATTTAAATATGTTAACTAAATCAAGGATTGTTCCTTGATCTCTATATTTCATTATTAAAAACCCAACATCATGATAAATATGCATTTCATAGGCGTCAATAATAGATGCTAATACACGATGTGTACCTAGACGATATTTTGCTTGTTGTATTATATAGAATTCCCATGGTGTAGTAGAGCGTTCAATCTTAATAGCTCTTAATTTAAGAGCAGAATTTGATGAATTGTTAGTATTTTCTGCTAAATATACGGGTGCAAATGCACCTTCTCCAAGTTTCTTCTTTATACGGTAAATATTATTTTCAGCTAATTTTATCTTTGTTTCTTGATTATTAGTTGTTGAGGACTTTCTAGATGATTGTTTATTAAAGCGATCAATAAAATCTAATTTTCCATATACTTTATCTGAAAAATTATATAAACCATCATAAGAATGTATTGGCGGGTTTAAATTTGAAAGTATAGTATCCCTAATGCTACGTTCCAATGGATTGCAGACAAGTTCTTTTATAATATAAGATTTTGAAGAATCATCTTGTTTAAATGATGCAAATTGTGTTATAGACCGTTCGTTTTTTTGAAAATTCAGATTAAAAGATACCGATTCTTGGAAAGGAGAGCTCACTGGCTCCTCCATTTCGTTGTATCCTATCTTTTCTTTTGGGGGTAATTCAAACTGATTTGGCAATATAAGTTCAATATCTTCAGTAATAGATGCCATTGGATTGATAGAAGAATAGTGTGTATTAAATGAAGTAGAAGCATTATCATTACTTGGAGTAGAAGGAATATTGTAAGATGATAAATTTTCATTATTCAAGTTATTTTTTCCAAGAATATCTGTGTTTTTGTCTTCATTATGATTTTTATGCTTTACGTTTTTACACTCTCCATTAGAATTATCCACGTACATACAATCATATGAAGAAGAAACTCGATTCCATGTAGTATTGTTTACTTCTTGTGCTGAATCATCTTGATAAAGAGCTTCATTATCATCTTCATCAGAATTATTATCAGATTGTTCACATTTTAAAGGTTTACTAAAAATGTCAAAAATGTCAGCTAACGCTGCTTTCGTATTGATAGTAGGAGATGCTTGTTTTTTTTTAAAATCAGAAGTTTGATGAGAATCTATTATAGTAAGAATATTAAAATATGTAAAGTTTAAGATTAAACCTTTTAACAATGTTGTCTCTTCTTCCGTATATGTAGGAATTATAGTATCTATTTCATCGTCTTCCCATGTCTTTCCTAGTAAACCCTTTGCTTTGGCTTTTAATTCATCTAATGAAAATTCCTTTCCATCATGATAGATTTCCTGCAAATTTACCATAATTTTTTCTTCTTTTCTAGGAAGAGGTATCTCTTTTGATTGAACTAATGGTTCCTTAGATATTTTATTTTCCTATTATTTATTACTATGAAATATTGCAATTAATTTAAAATACTTCATCACAAAAAACAGTAAACTTCTCCGTAATTACAGATGGCTGGGCTTTCTTTTTCATAGGAAGTTTCTCTCCAACCCATGTTCTAGGTTTCTGGCAGTTTTCTTTCTTTCTTTCTTGTATTGTTCCAATATTGTCCCATGTATCAGTTTTAAAAATTTTATTTAATCTTTCATTCTCTGAATCAGTGTATACATTTATACGAGGCATATTATATGTTTTTTTTCCATTATTTGACTGTTTAATGTTGTCAGATTCATTAAGACTTGATAAAAATTTCATAGATAATACAGAACGAGTAGGCATCAATGTATGGTTCGGCTCAGCCGTAGAAGGATTAAGCGATCTTCTTAAAAATTCGTCATATCTTCGCTGTAAGCGGTCAAATGGATGTGCTTTTCTTTCAATTCCAAGTTTATATATATCATTTGCTTGAGATTTTCTATTGATTCTTAAAAGAAAATATTATATTAAAAAACTAAAATACCTTCCTGTCGCCTCAAGAAAATTTGCATACTCCTCATAATATGCACTTAACGATTTCCCAATGCCTTTGTGAGCTAAAAAACAAAATAGCTCTTGAGGATCATCTATATATTTTATATATTGAATCCATACTTTCAAATATCGAGGATCATCATGATAATGTTTTACACTTATAAAACGACGAATACATCTTTCTAATAAAGGAACAAGTCCACTCTCCGCACTTTGACCATGAGGATATGCCTCATTAGTCCATTTAATATATTTAACCCATACATCTAAGGGATCATCCAGGTCATCTGACCCATCAATTTCAGACTCAAAAATACATCTTTCTTGGTCATTCTTTGCCCTCAATGCGCATGGATTTCCTGAAAATGTTTTCGCCAAGTTCGTTATAGAACGTCCTTGTCGTAATGGTTCAATATTCTCCTTATGATTCTCAACTGAGTCCTCAAAAGAAATCATCTTTAATTATATAAAGGTATAAGCAACGGGTTCTTTTCTTATACGTTTTATCCCGGTTTTTCTTGCTTTTATACCTGTTTTTTGGTTGAGATTCAAATTTATAGGTTGATTAAAAAATAAATAAGGGTTGCTATGGAAACACTATAGTTAGGATGATAAATCAGGTGAGTTGATAAGATTATAGCAAGGTTAAAGAGACCGTTTTGTATAGGTTTTTTATATCTAAAGGTATTTTTATGTATTTTATTTTTTATTAGGTTTTTTGTGTATTAAATAAGTAAATAAACGAAGTTTTATATATTGATTATAAAATTACTAGAATTGATGAAATGATAAAAATAAATAAATGTTCATTGTAAACTTTTTATTGAGACTAATTTAAAAGATAATTATATTTCTATTTACATTGTTTTCTATTTATATCAAGTTCAAATCTGTTAATAGTATATAAATGTTATAAAATATATTTATAATTATATTAAGACTAGTCGAAAATACCGTCGTCGCCTGTACGATCTGATCAATTTAGATGAATAATGTTATATTTTTGAATTAATAGTTTTTGAATTTGCTTATAATAAAACTTGTTTATTTTCCTTCAAATAACTTTTCTTAAGAATTTGTTTATATATTAAATCATTGTCATTTTTAAATGACGATATTTAAGATAATTTTAATTTTATTTTAATATATACCTCTTTTGTTTTTTTAATTGCACTATTAAATTATACATATAATATAGTTTATTTCTCTCATACACCCTTAAAAGCCTTCCTTGAGAAAACTATTGCCTTGTTTTTTTATTCTCGATATTATCGATCAATAGAGCTCGTGTTTAGAAGACTGAGGCAAAAGAAATATGCGTTGGAAGCGGATCCAGTCAATTTCTTCATCAGTTTCTTCTACGTATGACTATGAAAATGAACAAGAACTGGAGAATATGTATGATTACTTGATTAAACTGGTAATTATTGGGCCAAGTGGGAGCGGCAAGTATAGAAAGATCAAAGTTTTGAAAATGGTTTATAAGAGGGTTTAGAACGTGTATGCTGCATCGTTTTGTAAAGAATGAGTTTAGGACGCTTTCATCTCATACGATTGGGGTAGAGTTTTCTAGTAAAGTAGTGAAACTTGGTGTTGGTGCGCGTAAAAAACGAATTAAGTTACAGGTATGCAAATAAACCGTTTATCAGAGTATAGAATTGATAAAATCCCGAAAAACATGTATACAAAGGAATATTTGGCTATATATGCGTGTTGTATGCGTTATATATGCGTATCTTTATATAGCTTTGATCTTATTGAGAGTAATCAGTATTATGCATATAAATACTGGATTATTTGTAGAATTTAATCTAGAATTATCTATTTTATATGCATATTTTTTTAATTTTTATTAACAAAGTAAGCTTTGGGATACAGCAGGTCAAGAACGGTTTCGTTCAGTTACACGGTCATATTATCGAGCTGCAGCAGGAGCATTGCTTGTTTATGATGTTACCAAGTATTTTTCTTGTATAATATTTTTTAATAGGGTTTATATTTGTTTAGTCATGACTCATTTACAAGTCTTCCTTTATGGTTAAGAGATGCACGTGCTTTAGCATCACCGGATGTAGTGGTTGTATTAATTGGTAATAAATCAGATCGTAGCCGAGAGAGGGAGGTAACAGTAAATGAAGCGATGGGATATGCAAATCGTGAAGGTAAGAGGTAAAAAATTGGGTTTAAGGAGTGATTAAAATTATAAAAATAGGTCTTTCTATGTTAGAAGTTTCAGCATTAACACCACATTTGATCGATGATGCATTTTTGCTTGTTGCTCGCCAAATATTGGGTAAAATTGAACTTGGACATATTGATCCAAATTTACCACAATTTGGAATTCAATATGGAGACGATGGGATGTACGATTGGCCAACACGTGGTAGCTTAAAAAACACATTTATGTGGAGAAAAGATTATATGCGATGGTCAGAATGTTTACGCAATGTAATTAAAAAGGATGATAATATTCCAGATTCTAATCAGCGATGGAATTGTTTATGCTGAGAAGCATCATCTGAAATTGGGTTTATAATATTAATCGGAAAATGTTTTTATATTATAAATGAATAAAAAAGAATCTGTAGGGTTAATTATAATATTTTTCTCTAGGGTAATAATGAGCTTAATGCTTTCTGATTGGTTTAGAATTTCCCGGTCTTTCCTGTTATATATAAACGCCTTAGGTCTTAATTATTTTTGCATGAATGTATTTTTAATCGACTTAATATAAAGTTAAAATCTGATAAAAAAAACTATTCATTCTTTTTTTTGGATTTCAGAATAGAATGTCTTTGAAAATGGCTTCAATGGCGGTTCTCCTATCCATTTCATAGTTTCTTCTAATAAAGTTGTTAATGAAGGCATTGTATAGGCTGGTTTATCAAAAATAAAGCTCAATGCTTCTCTGGATACAATTTTGGATTGCATATCATCTTCTGGTAATGGCTTAATTTTCTTGTTAAAGGCAGCCCCGTAGACATTTGAAAGAATAAATTCATTTTCTTGAATTGGTTTCGAACCATTTTTTTCAATAAAAGCCGTATCATCAGTTGCTAAAATAAAAAATTGCCCAGAAAGATCTAGAAATATAAAAGAAGAAAATGATGAATTTAATGAAATATGATTTAGTGCAATAATTCTGTGTGGATGTTGTTGTAGAAAAATTGGTATAGGCGATGTTATTTTAAAGATATAAAGCTTTGAATTATGTCTCTTAGGATCATTGAATGAAATAGCAAAAAGTTCATTTGAATGATCAGCAGCAAGACAAAAATCCTTTAATGATTGATAAATTTTTGGTATTTCTAAACACCATTTAGTAGTAGCCCTTAAAATATCCCACACTAAAATATTTTTTTTAGTAACAATAATGATAAAAGCTCCTAGCGCTTGAAGAAATACGATTTTTCCCCTATAAAGATTGTTCACTGTATGACATATTGTTCCAAGTTGTTCATTCACAATTAATAAAATATTACGACACCCAACAACAATCATACTTCCATCTAATGTCCATGTCATACAAAATATTTCATTATGTTTGGATGAATCATGTGAATTTCTAATATACCGAATAACTTTGCGACAAATCCAAATTTCTGTTTTAATTGTTGCATTTTTATTTTTTACCTTTAATTCCCATATTTTTAGTGATCCATCATTGCCAATAGTAGAGAATTTCTTTTTATTTGGAGATGTGTGCAATCCATTTACTTTTTTCCCAAGCCCATGAGGAGAATCTATTCGTGTGTTAAGATCCCATTTTTTGTTTGTTGAGTCCCATTTCCAAAATTTAAGATAAATTTCTCTGTTTTCTTCATATAAATCATAGTCTTCATTCAACGATTCCCATTCATCAATAGTTGCCATCCAAAGACCATCCATTAATAATGATACATGTGTTATTCTGGGTTTAGTTATTACTAAACCATTTTTTTCTAATGTCTCAAGGTGAAACATACGTATAATTTCTGTTTTATATACTTGGTGATCTCCTACAATGTCATAAGACTGCAAAAAAGTTGATGAAAATAAAGTTTGGCAAGCAAATATGATATTTTTGGTGATAGGATGCACAATAGAAGGAAGTCGTTGAGGAATTTCCTTTCCAATCTGAACACCTGATATTTCAGTATTTGCTTTTAAATCTATTGCATTGATAATTTTAATAGAATTGTTTTCTAACAATATTGCATAGAAAGAATTTGTTCGACTTACTCCTATTTTTTTAATGGGAGACCCTAACCTTGGAAGAAACTGTTTATTTCCTGTCTTTACTTGCCAAAAAACAAGAACTGATTCTTTTCCACCAGTTAAAATATATGATCCTATACTAAGTTAAAAAAATAAATATAAATACTTAAAAATTCACCTTCTAACACCCAATTAAGAGCAGAGAAAGGTTGTGGATGCCAATGAAATGTTCTAATAATTGGTTCTTCAAATTTCAAAATATTATAGTATATAAGCAATTTTCCCTCATGATCGCCAATAGCAACATGATTGTCATGAATTACTAGGTTGTTAATTACAGTATCAGTATTAAATTTGCGTATTTCCCATGATGATTGTTTATTTTCAGAATTTGTTTTTTTACAAACATAAATAGAATGAGTATTACCAATTGCCAATATTTTCCCATCATAGGAAATACTTATGCCAACATATCCTTTGAATTTTATGATTCTTTGAGAACGAATTATTTTAGTAGAATTCGAGTTAACAGAAGGAAAAGTATAACAATAAACTTCATAATTTTTTTTAGATAACGACTTTGTAGAATTAGAAAAGTTATATGAATTAGATGGTTCCAAAGGATTCTCAAGAACTGCATAAATAGATAACGGATCTAATGGTGATGTTATAATTGTGTGTATTTTTTTTCGAGTTTGTCTAGACTAAAAAATATAAGTTTAAAAAAAAAATGTATATATACTCTAAGCATGCTATTATCTGTCCAATCCCATAATTTTATACTCCCTTCTTCATATGAAACATAAATCCTATATTCATTTGAAGGATCTAATATCATAGATGTAATTTTAGGTAAATTAATATTATTTTTTTGATCTAATTCGCCAATTGTTTGTATACAAACTCCTGTTTTTATATCATAAACCTTAACAAATGATCCAAGTGCTACTAATATTCGTCTAAATTCATTAATAAAAATAATGAATTAAATAATATACTTTTCGTCTTTTGTAAAAATTGGTGTTATATCTGAAAAATGTCCTCCTGCAACATTTCGTATTTTCCACTCTAATGATGTTGATTTTTTTGCTTTTTTCTTCATAATATTATCTTTCTTTGCTGTAAATGGTGATACATCTATAGCACTATAATATTCATTATCTGTTTCTGATAATAATCCTGTTGATCCATCTTGTTTTTTTTGTTCATAACAAATAAATCTATCATTTTCTCCTATATCCTTTGTATTATCTTGATAATTATTTTCTTCAAAGTTTTTCCTATTAATCTTTTTAACTTATTTTGTTTTTAATTTTATTAATATTACTTTTTAATTATATCCTTTGTTATTTCCCCATTGTATACAACTTTCATAGACATATCTGAGCTCATTATATATTATTTTATCTTAATATTTTTCCAAATTTTTTCTGCCGTCTTAAAATTTTTACTTGTATGAATAGATCTTTAAACGCACAAAAAAATAATTTTAAAAACTCCTGGTATTAGGGTTATTTCTTGAATAAATATATATAAGATTTAAATTCTTACTATGATAATACCAGTTCGTTGTTTTTCCTGCGGAAAAGTATAACATATTTATGGTTTTTTTATTATTGAATATTTATTGTAACCACAGGTCATTGGAGACAAATGGGATATGTATTTAATTTATCTTCAGGAAGATATTTCTGAAGGAGAAGCACTTGATAAACTAGGTCTTAAACGTTATTGTTGTCGGCGTATGATTTTGACACACGTTGATTGTATGTTTTTTTTATATATTTATGTTATTGATTTATCTTTATTAGTAATTGAAAAGTTGCTTCATTATAATCGTAAAATTTGGTATTTGTTTTATATTTTTTAATATGTTTCAGCTCTTGAACGTTCAATGCGTGATATATAAGTTTATATAGTCAGTATATTTAATATGAAAAAGAAATGAATACCGGGATAATTTTGTATTTATTCTATGTGAAATTAAGAGAAATATTTCTGTATATATAGATATAATTTAAATTTGTTATTAAGAATTTCAACCTTAATATCTTAATAGATTATATTAGTCTATATTATCTAACTTAAAGGTTAAAATGTTGTCAGATGACTTTAATTTTTAATTATGTAAATTATGTGGTATATTTCTATTATTTCAATCTTCAATTTCTGTTTTTTTTATTGTTATTTCTTTATTTCATGAGTAATTTAATATTTTTACTTGTATTTCATTGATAAATAAGCTTTTTATTATTATATCTTGTTTTTCAATTTACTTTGAATTTCAATTAGCAGAGTAAAATGTAAACATAGATATAATAACTTAAGATATTATTTAAATAATTATTTTATCATAATTTGGTTCTTTATCTATATTAAAAACTATTTTTTATCTTATCGTCATTATCATTTATTAATTTTATATTTAAAATTATTATCCATTATTTTTTTTGTTTTTTTATTAGATATTAATAAGAATGATCTAATATTACTATTTTTAATTATCTTTTTTCTCTTTATCTTTTATAATTTATTATTCAATTAATTAATTTTTTAATTGTAGAAAAATGATTAAAATAACCTTAATAATAATGTAAAGAAGTCATCTAAATTTTAAAAAATATCTAGTATAACCATTTTTGTATAAATTATCTTTATATGAATATTTAATTTGGAACTTTTTTGAAAGATTAAATAATTTTTCAATATTTTTCCACTTTTACTTAAAATTTTTTAATATCATTATAGTCTTCGTTAGAAATTGAACTTAAAATACTTTTTGTATATTTAAAACTCATTAACTTTTAACATGATGCATTGTATTTTAAGATTTATATTTTTAAATTCAATTTTTTATTTAAAAGTTCTAAAGAAATGTTGGATCAAAAAATATAAATATATTAAGAATATCATGCATCTTGAAATTATATAAATTATCTAAATCAATAAGATGTTTATAAAGATCTTTATTAATTAAAAAATTAATATTGCTTATCTAAGATTAACGATTATCTAAAAAGATAATGATTAAGATAACATATTTAAAAAATACATTATTTTTATAACTTTTAATGATCTTTTGTACAATTATAAAAAACTAGTTATATTTAATATTTAAGCAATAAATGTCATTATGATTTATCAAATCAATATATTTAAGTTTCTATTTTTCTCTTTTTATTAATAACTTCACATTCAAAAGATATTTTGTTATTTTATTATATTTTTAAAGAAATAATCTAAAATAATATCAAAATCCCTAATTTTATTATGATATCATCTTAAAATAATAATCATTGATAAGAATGACATATTAATATCTGTATAATTTAGAAATATCAATCTTCATATAAATGTCTTTGTTTCATAAAAAGTTCATCTTCTATTTCTTTTCTCCTTTCTTCATCATTAAATCCATAATTATCATGAAAAACTACGTCCATTTCTTCAAGTGTACGTCTATTTGTTTCTGGGATAAGAAACCATGTAAAAATTCCAGAAAGAAGGCAAAAGGCTGAAAAAAATATATATGCACCATAATTAGTTTTTTCTACTAATGGAACCGTAATTAACCCTATTATGAAATTATTTAACCAATTACTGCATGTCGATATGGCTACTCCCTTTGCTCGAAGAGAAGAAGGAAATATTTCAGTTGGCAATGCCCACCTAGTAATATTAAATTTATTAATAATATAGAATTTTGGTTATTACGGAACAGGTCCCCATGTTGAGCCAAATGATAACATATAAAACACTTTAAAAATTAGCATAATTGGCAAAATTATATAGATAAATAATACGTAGAAAAGAAACACCAATGTAACATTGGATTCTGTAATTAGCCCAATCATGACTATATAGCCCAACAATAATAGCTATAGATAAATGAGAAATAAACATTAATGCACTTCCAATTAAAAGCAAAGGACGTCTTCCTAATCTATCCATAGTATATATACTAGTAAAAACTCCAACTAATTGAGTAACATTTAGAATACCAGACATTAATAATTGCATATCATAATCTAAACCAAGAGTTTTAAATAAAGTAGGGGAATAATATATTAAAGCATTAATACCAACAAACTAGAATATAGTGTTAATCACTGAATATATAATAAAAATATTAAAAGATTACCTGTTGGAAAAACATTACGCCTATACCAACTATAGTTCTTTTCCAGCACCCTTTTTTAAATAGATCAAACCATGTAGCTATTTCTAATTTTATTGCTGTAAATACACGACCATCTCTGAGTTTAGGATGTCGAATTTCATTTGTTTGTTGTTGAAATTTTGCTTCTGCGCGAATTTCAATCCATTCCTTCTGAATAGTAGGATCAGATTCTGGTAATTGCCGCAATTTACACAGAGAGCGTAAACATTCTTCATCACGACCTTTAAGTGCAAGCCAACGAGGTGAAAAAGGTAAAAAAAAGACACCAAACCCGAGTATTAATCCAGGTATAATTTGGATCAAAAAAGGAAACCGAAACGACCATGTAGAATCAATAAATCTATTTCGTTTTTTTAATTTAATATAAAACATAGAAAAAAAAAACCTTGTTCCATATGTAATCCAAAATGCAACTACAATTCCTGTCACAATACTTAATTCTTCAAGAACAAGTAAAACTCCACGAATCTTAGGCGGTGATATCTCTGCCATATATAGAGGTGCTGACATACTTAACATTCCAACACCAACACCACCTATAAATCTCCCAATAGAAAGTGCTGAATAATCCATAGCAACCGTCTGAATAATAGTACCAATAGAAAAAAAAAACACCGCACATGATATTGAATATTTCCTTGAAAATTTATCTGCGATCCATCCTTGATTTAATGCACCAATAAACGCTCCTAATTCTATTAAAGCTGTCATAAGACCTTTATAAAAATCTGAATGAGGGCCTGATTTCTCTGGATACGGAACCCCGTGATACATTGATGACTTTGCAATTGCTAGTTCAGGGAATTCTTTAAGAAAATGTGGCATAACAAGTACGATTGATATTACACCCTGATCTGTTCCAATTATTAACATTTCCTTATAAAAAAACTATCAACAAATACCATAACCAAATAATAAACCACCTGTACTCACGTATAAGGCGCAAAATATAACAAATTGTGACTTAAAAAGACTTCTAATACCTAATAAAACTAGTAAATATGATCTAAAATTTAAACAATGATCTCTTACTTGCTGATTCATGATTCAAAGAATCTCCTATATAGCTATCACTTGTTCCTTTATCATCATCTGAATTTCTAGATTTTATGTTGTTGTTGTACATTTTAATTTTAAACTAAAAAAAATCAAGTTTAAATATGGAAGATTCAATATATATATATATTAAAAGTTAAAAAATAAATAAATAAAAGATAATATATAATTACATATTTATAATATTTTCATTATAAATGAACAAGACGTGTTAATATAATATAATTTTTCTATGAAAAATAACAAGTTTATTAAAAACAGAGTTAATTTTAAAAAGAAAAGATTAATGAAAACAGACAGTATTAAAGGTAGAATAGTATTTATAAGGGTTTAAATTAAATTTTTAATAATATTTAATTTAAAAAAAAGATTTTTAAGAGTTAGAGAATTTTAAGCATCAAATTTAATATTTAGATTTTACTAATTAAGTAATAAATGCATTAACAGAATTTATTTGTATTTTAGCCCTAAAAGTGTATTTTTATCTTTAAAATATTATTTATAACTTAAATTTAGAGTAATATCCCAACATCAAAGGTATCACCTAACCTTGTCAAAAAAGAAGCCTAGATCTTATGAAAAAATAACAATTAAACTAAAATGGTATTAAATATTTATAAATAAAACTACGATCTAAAAAATATTAAATATAAAATTCTCTGGTAAAAAATTACAATTATAATTATTAAAACAGTATTTAATAGCTTCATGTTTGTCTTGATCTGAAATATAATAATATAACCAAATTTTAATTTCCAACCTTTAGCGGGGAATTAGAAATTACAAAAGAATCAAATGTATTTCTATGTTGTGTAAAATCTGTTAAGCTCAGAGTAGTACCATCATAAAGTGTTATAATAGGACGATCTGTGCCTCGACCAGTAGCTAACTCTCTTTCGCGTATCGCAGCAACATAATTAGCATATGTGGCATCTTTCAGATTTATTCGTAAGCTTCTAAACAGGATGTTTTCTTGCATTTTAAAATATGCAGATTCAAATTCATTATTTTCCTGGGGAGGCGACGCTTCTTGGGACGGTGACGCTTCCTGGGACGGCAACACTTCCTGGGACGGCAACACTTCCTGAGGCGGTAACACTTCCTGAGGCAGTGATGCTTCCTGCTGCTTATTTTTTACTGTTGAATTTGCTGTTTCCTGTATATTATTTGAAGTTACTAAATTATCTGACTGACTGTTATTTAGTGCGTTTTGATCTACTTTTTGTCGAGCATTAATAAGTCGATATAACCAATGAGGCCTGATCATATCCGAAGTAACAACGTATGGAGGCTCTGAAAGATATTTTCGAGATTCGAGATTCAAATTTTTGCAATTAGAAAGAAACGGTAGAATAAACGATTTAGTAGTGCGTTTCCGTGCCGGTGAGATATAAATAATTCCAAAATCCTTTTCTAAACAAAACGGACAAAAAACATGTTCATTATTTAAAATAAACGCATCTTCAGACTCATTTCCTTGACATGATGATGCACACGAGTCCGGTTGTCTAACTCGAACGAAACATTCCGAGCAAATAGGCTTATTACAACATCGAGTATAATTAACTTTCGGATAATAAAAAAAACATAAAAAACATTCCTGACTTTTACGGTATAAAGATACTTCCAATGGGCATTTAAAAAATCTACATGCTGATATAAAACGCCGAAACAACGAAACAATAGATCTAAGACGAAATGTATGTGGCTGGAATGACTTATATATATCCAACTCAACGCTTGAAATATATTTCATATAAAATCCACCCGGGAAATCCTTAGTAAATAGGGGTATTGTATCCTTAAACGGAATAACAAGATGTTGACGAACTACTTCCAAAAGCTTTTTATCTGACCATAACGGATTAAATTCTGATAACCCCCTATAAAATGGCGCCATTTTTCCCTCAAACTATACAAAAATTAGCCTCAAAACTCCCTTCTTAATTTCCTTACCATAAGTTGATGAATGATCACGTACTTATAATCCTGAGGAATTTGATAGAGGTCATATGTTGTTAAAAACCCTCCATCTAATGTCAAATTTAATGGAATAGACGTTCTAATATAAGCTCCATAGTTGTCTAATTCAATAAAATCTGACCATTTTAATGGCTTAGTCATTATTTTCTATCCAAATAATCTTAATAATATTGTAAAAAAAAAAAATTATGTACGAAAATATTCGACTCAGGAAAAATGACCTTTTATAAGAAATTTTAAACCTAATAAAAGCCCTAAAAAATAATTAAAAACTCGTTTTAAATTCAAAATACGAGTTAAATTAGTATAATTTGAGGTTAGGGTAAACATAAGTGATTTAAAGGGGGCGAGGAAGTGGAGCTAATAGGAATATAAAGGGTTAAACTAGGGTTAACTAGGGTTATAATAGGGTTAGTTAGGGTTAGTTAGGGTTAGTTAGGGTTAGTTAGGGTTAAATTAGGGTTAACCAGGATGACCCTTGTGACTTTAGGGTTATATTAGGGTTGTTTAGGGTTAAATTAGGGTTATTGGGGTTATTAGGGTTATTTTAGGGTTATTTTAGGGTTAACAGGGATGACCCTTGTAATGTTAGGGTTATTTTAGGGTTATGGGTTTATATGTATAAAAATCAAGTAAAAAACTAGATTAAAATGAAAATATGAATAGGTTTAGAAAGAATAGATATATTTGAATATAAATTAATATTTACTATAAATTAATATTTATTATAAATTAATATTTATTATAAATTAATATATTATAAATTAGTATTTTATTAAAAATAATTATCATTAAATATGAATTAATAATAAACCCCAAAAAAGAATAAATGTAAATTAAAATATATTAATTATTAGATAAGAAATATTAAGTATCGCTTGATTTCCGTATTATATAGTGGTATTGACAAGGGTTATTAAAATTATCTTTAATTATTATTCAGTTTTGGAGATAAAATATCATAACTATCGATAATACTGTTTGATATAAATTCAGAATCACTATGACTATCATTCTTATCGGATTGATGTCCAACGTAATGATTATTATGTTTAGAATCCAATTTTAAATCGTCATTATGTGTCAATTTACGAGTTAATGCATTAAGTTCTAGTTCTTTTTGATTTATAGCCGAATTATTAGAATTATGAGTTACATTGGTATTTCGTGATGTTTTGTCATCAAAATCTCCATTAAAATCAATTATATCAGAATAACTATCAATTCTCCTTGAAGCTGCAATTTCTACAAAAACAACACTAGAAGGTCTTTTAAGAACATGTTTAGGTTCTGAAAAAGTACAGCATGCTCCACATAAGCAAGTACATGTACAATAACACACCGACTGTTTAGATGACTCACAATGCTCATATACATCAGTATCCGATATAATATTTCTGTTAAGTTGTGCTTTTTTAAGTTTACCAGATCTACTTATAACGTATTTTGGTGTTAAAGATGAGCTATCTGAGGACAAAAAAGAAGCCTTTGGACTTGAATAGATATCTTTATGTTTATAAAAAATGCTCATATTTTTATTTAAATTGCAACTATTGCCTTGAAAAATATCCTGTGAATATAAAAGCCCTTTTGTTGATGCTCGATGTTCTTTACATAAAACATCATTAAATACTGATATATATGTTTGAGTCCCTTTGTTTTTAAAAGCTTTTGTTTTCTTAAGTAAATTTTTTGAGATAAACCTTCTAAAAAAATTGTTATCTTTAACAATATTATCTTGCTTAATATTAGACACGGAAGAAATATCCTGTCCCAGATTCTTCGTAGAAATAATGTTCAATTTTATATTAGAATCTGATTTTATGGTATGATTCGATTTTATATTATGATCTAATTCGAATTTTTTTTAAAAAAAATGAAATTAACATGTAATTACATACCAGGAAAGCTAGAAACGATTCTAATTTTAGATGAATTCATGTTATCATGTTTTGTAGGAATTATAATTTTCGTAAAATCATCATTATATTTTTGAGAGTGTTTGATTTTAGGAAATTTAAATTTAAAACGTCTCTTAGATGTTATAGTTTCAAAAGAATTATATTTTGGTGAAATTGTAGTTTTAAAAGGTTTAATGTCATTATATCGCAATGAAGTTGCTGTTTTAAAATATTCCGAAGTATTAGATATTATAGAAGTCATGATCTTAAAAGGTTAGAAATTAACTAGATAATAAAAAATACAACCTCGGGAAATCCATCATTATTAAATAAAGGTATTTTTAAAGGAGCATCCATAGTATTCATATCTGAAAACATATTATTCGACATATTATCATTAAAAGTTGAATTAAAATCAGAAGTAGAGATAATTGATTCATCACAAGATATATCAGAATATTCATCATCAGAACTATCCACAACCGAAAAATATGAAATACACGGCAATGTAGGAAGCATACCAAATTCTGAAATAAGACTATTTTGCCATGTAGACATTTGAGATATATGATCCGAAACACTATATGCACGAGATCTTTCTTTTTTCTTTCTAATATCATAATTTTCATATAAATTCATGTTTATATAATCCTTTTCACTTATAGGTAAATCCCAATCATCTGACCAGTTCATTCTCATTGATAAATTATCATATTCGGATAATTCTGTATTTTTATTATCTCTATTTCTTTTTGTTGCTTTATGTTGATTTTTTAACTTAGAAAAAGATGGACGAGATTCTGATATTTTATATGAAGAAATACATGTTTCATCCTTATAATCATCCGAAATATCCTGAAAATGATTGACTGAATCCAGAAAATATCTCATTTGTGAAGGATTTATCCGTGGTTTTGCACCTATTGTAGAATACGTTTTTTTCCCAGATATAGTTTTTAAATTAAAACCACATAAACATAAACGATCTGCTTCAAAACCTGCCATTTAACATTGAATCGTAATCATTTCATTAAATTAAATTCACTTAAAATGATTTATAAGTTATATTTATACAATTTTTTCTATTTATTTAACACTCTAGAAATAACATCCAATGTACAGATTAGGAGGAACGTCATGACCAATCTTCCATCTATTAAGATTCTCCATATTAAAGAACATTTCTTTTGGCAAAAAAGCGTTATACAAAAGTTTTCAGTTGTGCCCTAATCTATACGTATATAGTAAATAAACCCTAATTACAGACGGATTATAGCAGAATAATATTATAATATTAAGATCTTCAAACGCGTCTTTTAAAATCCTGTTCTATAATGTTTGTTATTTTAATTTGATTTCTTATTGTTATTTTTAATAATTTGCAATAGGAAATTTATAAATTTTAATTAAACAAGTATTAAGATTTAAAAGGATTTTAAAAGAGATGTTAAATAATTTTAAGATTTTGTAGTTTTTATTTTATAAATAAATATATAAATGTAAGATTTATTATAGAAATATTTGAAAATTTAAAAGAAGTAATTTAAAAAAAAAATAAAAATATTAAAACCAAATAAAAATAAGTTTTTAACGAATGAATAAATCCAATTATTTTTGTGGTAATATTATTTATGTAATAAATTTTTTATTAATTTATATTTTTTGAATGTTTTTTACAATATTTTTTAAAATTTAAAGTAATATTGTTTATAAAAATTGATATATTATAAAACTTTTTTAAAGGTTTATTTCAAATTAATGAAATTTTGATGTAAAGAAAATTCATTTATAATTTTAATAAAAATTAAGATTATAAAAAAATTATATCAGAATCTAATAATTAAAATTATTTCAAGATGTCATTTAAAATAGAAAGGAAATATTATTATTCATAAATAAAATAATAATTAAAAATAATTTAATTTTCATTTTAATATTATATTATTTTTTTATTATTTAATAATTTTAAATATTAAAAATAAATTAGACATGGTTTTATTTGATAATATGATTCTTTATATTTTTTCATTAATCTTTACTTTTTATTTTTATTCCATATATATTATTTTTTTTATAAATAACATAAATCTAAATTATCAACTCCATTAATTCTTCCAGATAATCATAATAATGTTCAAAAATTTTATAATTATAATAACTTATACCATATACTATTCAAATATTTAAACCAATAATTTTCATTAATATTTTTAAAAGAATCCGATTCATTAATAAAAATATAATAAATTATTATTATTATTAAATCTTAATATATTACACTAAAGATAGAATATTATCTAATATATTTTATGTAATAATTAGATACGATTAACTAGATTTTCCTACGAAGGAGCCTTCGTTTCCTTTTTTGAGCTTCTTTCCATTTACGTTTCCAATCTCGAGTAAATTCCTTTCTAGTATCTAACCATTTTTTTTCAATTTCTTCACTAAAAAATATTATTATAAATATTATAATATATATAAATATACTTGTTAATTTCCTGAGAAAATATGTTAGGAACTTTGCTGAAAACAGATAAAGTATATAATTCTTGATTGTTAAAATGAGGAAAAAATAAAGGAAATTCACGTGAATAGTTATTAAAAAAACACCTCTTGTTAAGTATAGGAATATTATTTGCATTTACATTCGTTTCCTTGTGATTTTCATTAATAATTTCATCATCTGAATCTGAATTATCATCAAAAAAACAAAAATTATTTTCTTGAATATTTTGCAAGTCCACTTCTTTTTTTGAAGAAAATATAGACTTCAATTCTTCCAAATTAACAGTAGATTTTTCTGTTTTTAAAGAAAATGTTTTTTCTGAATTTGGTTCTAAAATTCTAAGAAAATAAAATAAAAACAAAATTTATTACTGTTCAATAAATCATCTTTAGTTATCAATTCACTAGTAAGCACTGTCTCTGCATTTACATAATCATCTTTATTAAATGACTCCGAAGAATTCTGTGATTGATAAGAAATGTGTTCTTTAAAATTAAACAAGTTAGATTCATTTTCTTTATTCAATTTCTCTTCTATTAAAGGATCATGAAACATTTCATTTAAAATAAATAAATTCCTCTGTTTTTCTTGCTTGAATTGATAATCAAGCGATTTTTCTAACTCTTCATTTATTTTTATATCAATTTTTCCAGAGTCTATCCGATCAAACTTTCCATTAAACCATTGGCCAGATGATTCGTCAAATAAATATGTAAGTTCTAAAACATTTTTATCAACTATTTCACCATCTAATTTTTTTAAATTTATTTTTTCTATAGGATCAAAAAGTATCTTTTTTTTACCAGTAATCGCATCTTTAAAACGCATAATAGAAATTGAACGCCCATATGTGCCCTTAAACCATCCCTTTGTTTCATCATTTACCATTTCATCTTTAATCAAATTTATATTTTCTGCTAAACTTCCATATAACACATTCCTTGTCCACTTCTTCCTCAACTTTACTTTAGAAATACAATCTAACTGATTCCTTTCGTTTTCAATAATTTTTCTAATATCATATCAGACAAATTTCTTGTATAATTATCTCATTTTTACAAATCTTGATATAATGGTTTTGCTTCTTCTACTCGCAATTGACATGAAACAAAAACATTCTTCTTCGATTCTGACTGAAAACGATTCCATGATTCTTCCGTCATTTCTAATGATGCATATGCAAAACAATTCTCACGTCCTGTTTTTTTTTTTACTATTCCTCTACCTTTTATACTTGATAATTTACCTTGTAATTTTCGGATAATTTCTAAAGGGCCTATAATTTTCCCAAATGACAAAAGCCATCTTTCTAGATCTTGCTTGCAAATATTTATTGGAAGATTTCCAATAAAAATGCGTTTTTCTTGTATTTTTCCCATATTTTTAAAATGTATATATATATTCGGCTAATTAACTCTCAATATCTCTTACAACTCTCTATAGCCAAGTCCAAATATCACATTTGAAATAAAGCAAAATTAACCCCATAAAACAGTCTAATGCACTCAAACTATATACTAAGCTTTATTTGCTAATTCTATGCGTCATATATGCGTCATATATGCGTTGTATATGCGTTGTATATGCGTCGGATACCCTCTTTAAATATCCACAATTATGCTTATAACTCTATTTAAAAAGACTTCCCCTCAATATTCCATATACTTTTCCCTATTAATTACATAAAACATTACAAATAAAGCCTTCAGTTTTCATAAATATTCTAATCACTCATATCGTCTTCTCTATAAAATCCTATTGGAATATCTGCTTAATATATTTTATATCAGACTATAAATACTCACATGATATAAATCGTTAACGATTCTTTATATCCGTATAGAATAAGATTAAGGAAACTATAAGTCTTTAAAATAATAAAGAATAGAGGGAATATTGGTTGATGGGATTTCAATGGTATTTGTTTATTAAATAAAGAATGAAGTTGATATTTTTTTTAGTTAAGATTATATTTATTTGAATAATAGAAGTGTAAGAAGTAAATTATAAGGACTAGGAGTTATTATAAGGGAGAAATATTTTTGAAAAACTATTAATAGATGGAGAATATATCAAAAGATGTACCTATTTCTAAGGAAAAACCATTTTCAGTACCATTTTCAGTTAAAAATTATTCTACAAATTCAGGCACGATTCCAATATCAGCAGTAGCAGAATTACATAATGCACTTGAATCGGAACAAGAAGCGATCACGAATAGCCTGCTTAAGCGTTTAGACCAACTTAAATGTGACAAAATTCGTATTGAATCAGAACTCGAAATTGGTTAGTAATGATATATTTTTAAAAGAAATTAATGATTTTAGAAAGTGAAAATATTATGAACAAATTGTAAATAATAATTATTTTAAAGATTTTAAAGAATCTGAATATTTTTTAGAACACGGGAATTAAATCAATTGCGTACTTCACAAAACCACTCTTCAGGACCTTTAAGTTCTCCAAAACAGTCATCTATTAGCTTTTCAACAAATACTCTTAATTCTCCAACACGTCATGTACTTCCAAAAAGAGATGTTATACCTACTTCACTAGTTCAACCATCTTTACCTTCTCGGTATATATTATTTTCTATAATTCTAAATTACTTAATAACATTTTAAGCTTAACAAATGAAATCATACATAATTCAAGCACTATTGAAACACTTAAAACGGAAAATAATACATTAAAAACCCAGCTTAAAGCATTAAATGTGGAATGTATGTTTAACTTAGTATTATCATATTTTATTTGTGATAATTGTTATTTTAAAATATTAATATGAATTCTAGATACTGATCTTAAATCAGAAAGAGATTTTCTTAAAAAGAAATTAGATGAAATATGCCAGACATATAATATTTCTATAGATGATGTCATATCGACTTAATTTTAATATCAAATATATTTTATATAATGAATTTTGCTTTTTCATATATGAAATTATTTTGTTCTTAGATATATTAAAATTGTGATTTTAAAAATATTTAGGTATTCTTATATTTATATTTAATTTTTTATTTGATTTCTAAATTTTCAGTTTCTAAAAAATATTTTTAGAAATTAAAAATTATATTTAATATCTTTTAAGTTAAAAAACATATTTATCAAGAATTGTCTGAAATGTTCTTTATTTTTAAAAATAACATATTTCGCAAAAATTTAGACTTTTTCATAATTATTTCTTAATGATCAATTACAATAATTTACATAAATAATCGTAGATTAGATAGACATTTCATATACATATTTCTCTTTTGATAAAATAAAAAATATTACAAATTAAAGCTCTAATGCTAAATATATACATTCCCTTAAACTTTATACTAAATCGATAAATATATATAAAACAAAATCCGTATATTTCCCCTATTTTGTATACTAAAATGCATATTTAATAATAATTTTTAATTTAGTCCCCTTTTGATCCAGAAATATCCCCTTTTAACCGTTCTTTAGCCCAAAAAATTTTACTTTGAAGATATAAACTTCCTCCATTTTTCGGGTCATTTATTTTATGTAAATATTCATATCTCTAAAAAGATAAGACCGAAATACCCTTTAAAACACTAATAAACTACCTCTATTACATCTGAAAGCTCTATTGGCAATTTTTTTATATTTAATATTTGACATGCTTCGTTAGCCGTAATACCCATTTTTCCTGATAAATTTCTCATTGAAAAACTAGGATCTTCTTCTGATGACATATAATCCTTTTTTTCATGTCTTAATGTTGCATTTAATGCCGCTTGTTTATAAGCTTGAACAAATGCTCGTCCAAGAACTTGCGTTCCAACAATAATAATTTGTCTACAAATGTTCTTATTTTTTATTAAAAATATAAAAAACAACATACGCTATTAAGTGATGTGCCTATTTTCTTATTAAAATTACTTAAAAAAATTAATTTTTATTACCATTTCTTATTAATTTTTTAACAACTTTAACATTACGGGTTAACATAAAAACACATTTCGTGGTAAAATCTTAAAAATTATTTAAACTTTTTATTAAAGGTCTTATTTAATTGTATCTTTTTATTTCTTTAAAAAAATTAACAGAAATTAGTTATTTTTGAAATGTCATGTTTTACCTTAAAAAAATCATTATTACTGGGAGTTTTTGTTATATTTTTATGTTTTTTTGACAAGTTTTGTCTACCAAAGTTATTTATATTTTCACCAGAAAGACTTCAAGAACTTTCAGTAGAAGCAATTAAAAAACATAAAAATGATACGTTAGGTTTAATGAATGAATTGGCAAAGAATATTAAAAAAGAATATGGAAATGCAGTTCTTCCTTTAGATCATAGTAAATGGTTTTTTAACAATGCGGGAAATGCTATGGTTATTTTATAATTAAAATGAAAATATTATTAAAAATGATAGGGTGCTATGATTATTCTTCATATGTCTTTTTCGGAATATTTAATTTTTTTTGGTACAGCTATAGGAACAGATGGACATTCAGGTGTTCATTTTTCGAATGATTATTTCACTATACTAAGAGGAGAACAAAAGGTTTTTGCACCAGGCGAGCTAAAACCAACAGTATGTTTAGATTTTAGGTAAATCTTTTTATTAATTATTAGATCTATAAACCAGGAATGCAAACATATTTACCACGTGGGAAAAAAATTCATTATTCTATGATAGGCGAGTCCTGGGCTTTAGAATTAGCACAAGGTGATTTTTTAACGTAATTTGAGTTTTTATTTAAATGTAGGATGGATACCGTCTATGCTTCCATTTGGGCTTATAGAAACATTTTTTACCACACTAGATTTTAGTACCTTTTGGTCTAGTATTCGTTATGCTTCAGAAGCTATGTTCAAAAGTTTTATAAATGGCAAGTTTTAATTAAACACGATTTGCTATTTTTATATTTATGCAATAAACCTTAAAAAGTATCTTAACATATCATATTTCAAACATGTTATTTATTATTTAATATCCAAATCAGTATTTTTCAATTGAGTTTCGGAAATATTATCATTATTATCAGAAGGTCTTTTTGTTATATCATTCTTTTCTACTTCAATATCATTTTTCATTTCGTGAATTACTTCAAGTAATTCTGCATTACGAATCCATTTGCGTCGTCTGGTATATTTTTTAAAATCATCCTTTGGACTTTCTTTTTTCCATAAATTATCAGTGTAAACCCAACCATCAGAATCCTTATCTCCCGAATCACTATGTTCAATGATCCAGGATTTGTCTATCCATTCCCAATATGTTCTATACTTTTTTTTTAAACCTGTTTCTGAATCAATTCGAACTATTATTTTATCTTTAGGTAGAGGAAAAGCATCTGGATTAGTACTTGGATATCCATCCTCATCAGTCCTAATAAAATTAAGAAAATAATATAAAAAAATATACAAATTACCAAGGTGTTCGTTCATGAGGAAACATACTACATGTCCATCCAAATCCTATCCATTTTCTTTGATTTTCCCATAAAATGAATGCATATTTAACAGTTTCATCAGAAACTTCTGTCTCATTTTGCATTTTTCTTTCAGAAAACCCTTCTATAATTTTGCTTTCCCGAGGTATGAAATTTATACCTACAATTTCTCCAACTATGATTCTTACTAAACGACTTCTCCAAAGAATATGTCGTGTGCCTTTTATCCATGGTGCATGCCATATAAATATAATTGTAATAATAAAAAAGATCACTTGTCTTGGTGAAACAAGAAAAAGCAACATTGCTATCCAAAATGGTGAAATAAAAAGAAGACGAATAACAATTGTCACTGATAATTGAGGACTAGACCAATTTAAAAAATTCCTTATTTCATTTATAGAAGTAGTTAAAATTGATACTCTCTCCTTAAAAAAATCTGTCTGCTGTATAAAAATATCTAAATCATTTTGTGTATATATTTTATTCTGCTCATGTTCTGTTTATTCTAAGTAATTTTCCATCATTATAGTAAAATATATACTTAAATCTTTTCTTTTCTTTATAAATAAAAATACCATAATAAAAATCACTATCCAAGGACCAAATATAATTAATGTTTCTATATTAAAGACAAGAATCCACCAACATATAACCAAAAGAAAACTATTCCACGGATCATTACTTGTCCATGTTAACAATGAAAGAAACCAATTCGTCCATTCAAGCAGAGGACGAACAAATATTATTGAACGTATAACTGATGGAGGTGTTGATGCAAAGAGGTTAACTTTATTTGATGAGCTTGTAGTAGATGATGATTCTAACGGCGTATCTTTTGAAAAAGTGGCATAAATTAGCTTCTTTTTTGCTGGTAACACAACATCATTAACCCAATCTATATAAAATATCAGTATTATACTTTAAAATATTAAAAATACTAGAATCAATGGGTGTCATCAAGTCTAAGATTTTTATATGTAGTTTATAATAAATTAATAGATTAAATATAATAAAAACAAATAATAAGTAATATAATAGAGATCAAGTAAATATTAATTTTTAATAAAATCAAAAAGAAATTTTGATCATTTAACCAAGATATAAAGCTATTGTTTTAAAAAGGGCTATTATAATTGTATAAAGATCAAATATAAGTTATTTAATTTTTAAATAAGAATGTATATAAATTATGTGATTATATTGTAAAGTCTATGTTTGAGCAATTTAAATTATGAATAATCAAGATTAAGTAAATATTATTAAAAATTTAAAAGAAATCAAAAATATATTAGATATATTAAAAAAAAAATTAAATTAAATAACTCATAGATTTGTGGAGAATTAGTTTTTCATAGACTTTTAATATTATTACATGATATCTAGATGTAGAGATATTCAAAAGTTAATAAGAATACAATCTCCGAATTTTGTATTTGAATATATATCAAAAAGTCTATTAACCCTTAAACTGTTATAGTATAAGTTATTATTTATTATCAAAAATAAGAATTGAGTGATTTATTATCAGTTTACATGTTTGTATTAATTCATTTACTTTAAAATTTATCAATTTTTATGTAATTGAATAAAAATAAGATTAAATCAAAAATTCACATGCCAATTGTAAACATAATCACTTGTAAATATCTATGTTTAATAGGAAAATGTTGATTTAACATTATTTTTAAAAACAATTTCAAAATATAGTATAATCTAAGAATTTAATAATAAAATTTCTATAAAAAAACCCAAAAATAAACACAAAAACTAAAACAAAATTATAAAAACGCATAATAGAAATCAATTTACTCTATTTACTACGTCTTTTTAAAATTAATACTTCTATCAAACTTTAAAAATAATTCATATTATATAAAAATCTATAAATAAAATACATTCAAAGAGTAAATACACTACTTTATCTTCATAGAACAGGCAATATCATACATATAAATATAAATATATATTTATATTGAAAATATAAAAACTAATGTTCGAAAGATAGAAAAATGATTATTAAGACTTTATTAATAGAAGATAAGCAATTTAACCCAATTCTTAATAGAAACAGTTAAGATTTTTATATTTTTATTAAGAATTATAAGAATTTTTAAAGTTAGATTAAAGGTTTCTTAAATGACTTATAAAATATGGAAGATCAAATAAAAAACGAAGAAAAGGTTAATTTTTGTTGTTTATATCAAGAATAACCATTAAACAGATTTTTTATAGGAGAAAAATATAAAAGAAACATCTGTATCCTCAGATATACCATCATTGGAGAATATAACACTTAAACATGAAATTGCAGTAAAAGCTAAACAAAAAGCAGAACAAGATCGAATAGTTTTTCGTTTAAATGACATTGTATACCTTTTTTTAAGGAAATAATTGTCTTATATATTAATAGATTAGAAGAAATTCAACATTACCAGTAAATATTTCATCAATTAGAGTGATTGGAGCACCAAATGTTCGACAATCCTTCCTTAAAAAGGTATTATTTCCATCAGATGACAAAGATAATGAGGGAACACTTGTATCGTCTTTAAATTCTATTCAGAGACGCGCGTCTCAGCTCGAAAAATTTGGAATTTTTGAAAAAATCTCTATAACAGTAGATCAAGCATCTTCACCACTTTCAGGAAAAGATGATATTGATGTTATTTTTCATGTAAAAGAAAAATCTAGATTATGGGCAAGAACAGGAACAGATGTAGGTAATGGAGAGGGCTCTGCATATGGTAGTTTAAATATTCGAAATACATTTGGTGGAGCAGAAAATATTCAAGCAAATGTAACATTTGGAACACATACTCGGTCAGCATTCGAAACTAAATTAATTACACCTATTAATGCTAACCCGGATTCTCATTTCGAATTATCGGCTTTTAGTATATCTAGAGACAATCGTTTTTATGCATCTCATGAAGAACTTTTAAAAGGATGTATCGGAAGATTTACTTGGTTATCTCGTCTAGGTCTTCATGACGTTTCATATAACGGAATATGGAGGCAAATAGGCAATCTCTCTCATACGGCATCACCAACTGTAAGATTATCTTCTGGTAATTCATTTAAATCTTCAATTGCACACACTTTCACAATTGATACACGAGACAATACCTTGCTTCCAAGCTCTGGTTTTTTATTTCGTACATTTCAAGAAATATCTGATCCTCGTATTTTAGGAGGAGATGTATCTTTTATAAAAGCAGAAACAGAATTTTCTAAGGCAATACTACTTTCAAGATTACAAGAAATTATTCTTAATAAAACTATTAAGACAGGAATTTTATGGGGGTTAAGTAAAAAAGAAACAAAAATAAATGATAGATTTTATTTGGGCGGTGCAACTAATGTAAGAGGTTTCTACTATAATGGATTGGGTCCTCGTGATGGAAATGATACAATTGGTGGAGATGTTTATTTAGCTTCTAGTATTTCACTCATAACACCCATACCAAATTTTAAACATTGGCCATTAAAATTTCAAACTTTTATAAATACTAGTTCATTATTATTATTAAATAAAGGTTTTTGGTATACTATGATTTAATTGATCAGTTTTAATGTTTTTTAAGAAAATTTAAAAGAATCTATATATGAACTTGTTTGTAAACCTTCAATAGCAGCAGGAGTAGGGCTTGTATATTGTCATGCAATTGCTCGTATCGAATTAAATTTTTGCCTTCCTATAGTAACTAGAATTTCTGACAGAGCTAGAAAAGGAATTCAATTAGGTCTTGGTGTTCAATTCATGTAATTCTATAGAAAATTCAAAACTCTACATAAATATATCCAAAATTTCAATAAAAATCTAATCTCATTATATTTATAGGAAACTTATATATTAACTTATTTTTTTATTTTACTCGGATAAATATAAGAAGATAGCGATGCGAGTGTACGACGTTTATATTCTGCTGGTGATTCATATGTTTTAGCACTTTGTTTCCAAATTCCTATTTTTTTTTTTTTTGCTTTTTCTTCTTCATAAAGAAACCGAAGTTCTGCTGATTTACCACCATATTCTGATCCCTGTGATTTATATACTTCAGCTACTAAATTTAATTAAAATTCCAGACTTAAACTCTATTATACCCAATCCCAATTTTATCATTTCAAGTGATACATTCCTTTTAATCCATATATAAGGCCATTTACGTATCTCAACTGCTCCAACAATTCGTTCATACCTGTCTCTACTAAATATTCGTACTCGTACTCGTTTTCCATGAATATATGATGTAAGCCAATCCATTGCTTCTTTTGCATATGGTTGTGCTTCTTTACCAAAATGACTAAGTTCTGGCGCGTCAATACCTGATAATCTAATATGAATCGTTTGATCTTTAAGATCTTTTCTTGATAATGGTATTGATCTAAGCCAATGCCAACCTGCTAAAAATCCACCTGGTGTATGAAAAAGTCTAAAATTGTCTGCATCTCCAACTATTATTTATAACCATAAATAAAACTTTTTTATAGACTTTTCTCTAATACCAGATGTAACAACTCCTAATAATACATGTCTATTGTTCATTAAAGATATCGGAATGCTTGATGCTGTTGGGTATCGTACTAAAGATTGATAATAAAACTTATGAACAATAAGTATAGCTGCTGTTAAGAAAATTGTTGGGATAAAAATAGAGGGGGAAAAAAACGGTATTTCATTAGAATTCTTTGTCTCGTTTTCCGAGATACTTGGAAAATTCTTAACCCAAAAATACATATTTAAAATTAATTGTTAAAATCAGCGTAGTTTTAATAATAATCGTTCAATACAAATTGTTAAAAGTTAAGAGTTTAAAAGCCGATTTTTAAGAGAATCGATTAAGAAAGTTAAACCATTACAAATCCAATTTTAAGAATTAATAAGAAAAATGAATAAAACACAAGTAAATAATAATATTGAAAGATTAATAGAAAATAAAATTAGAGAATCATTTTTATCATATTGTGAAATAGAAGAATTTAAGTTAAGCAAGTATGTTAATAAAGAAGTTAAATTGAAGTTGATATTTGAATAGAGAAGAAGAAGGAAGATATAAGATAATAATTAAAGTTGATTCAAATGAAATAGAGAAAAGAATGATAGATTTGAATGATAAAGAGACTAAGGAATTTAAAAATATTGAAAAAAAAGAATTTAGTAATAAACAAAAAAATGAAGAATTTTTTATTTTTTATGCTATTACTATTATTTTAAGTTATTTTAAAGCATTAATCAAGCAGAGAATTGGAGTTTTTATTAAATATTTATCATATATATATTCTTTTGTTAGTAATATATATGGAAGAGGAGCGAAAATAGATGAAAAATACAAAATATCAGAATATTTGTTTTTAATAATTCAAGTTATTTTAAAAAAGAGTAATTTTTTAGATAAAAATGAATTTTATTGACATTATTATTTTATAGTCAAAACAATTGATGATAAATATATGATTGATCAAAAAATCAGAAATTTTAATTCAAAATACAATATTTTGAACACTCTTCAGGAAAAGGAACGCATTATTATCCATAATTTTCAATACACAATGAATACAGAAACAGGAAATAAAATACAAGTATTCTATACTAAATTGCGTAAAAAATGTAGGAACATACATGAAGAAGCATGTAAACTTGCGGTATATCTTTAATTATGTTCATTTTTAATATTAATTTTTTTAGAATCTTAAAGAAAAGGTTAAAATTCAATAAAACTATTATTATTCAAAAACACTATCAAATTGGATTTTACTCAATATTCTAGCTATATATTTTCAAACAGACGCTTCATATTGAATTTCTTAATCTACGTTTTTTATTAACTTTTCATTAATTATTAATTTTCTTTATTTATTATATTTTTAAACAAATAGTGTACGCATTATAATTTTGAGTTCATGACATTCTAGATATTATAATTTTATTATAAATGAGTCATTATAAAAAAGTTTTAAATAATTAAATTATGCTTTATGATATTTTAATACAAAATGTATATTTTTCTATATTTATAATTTAAATTATGATTAATATTAATTTTAAAATATCAAAAATAAGAAATATCTTCTAAAAAATTTAAGTCTTTAAGAAAATATTATATGAAGAGTATAAAGCAGAAACATTTCATTTTTTTTATATTATTATGTAATATATTGATAAAAATTTGAGCATAACAAAATTATTTCTTAAGATCAATATTAAAAGAAAGTATTAAAAATTTAAAGAATTATATTCATTCAACAGGCATTCCTATGAAAATAAAAATATTTTAAATGCTACATATATTTAATTTAATATATCATTCTTATATTTATTTAATATATCATCTTTATATTTATTTAATATATTATTCTAATATTTATTATAATACATCTTTTGATCTATATAAATCATTTCAAAATAGTACCAATGATTTAAGTAATATATTTAATAAATTGATTAATAAGAACGTTTTATCATAAAAGTCTAGAGAGTTTATATTTCATGTAGATAAAAATATATTAAATCAAAAATATAATGATATAATAATATATTTTTTAAAAAAAAAAACAATAAAAAATCATTTTTATGATTTTAATTTTAGAAAATATATTCCAACAATATATACATCTAATAACAAAAATTTAATATCTAACTTTTTGTAAAAATAAGATTTATTATAATACAACTAATACATATACCAATAAACTTTTATAAAAAGCAAGATCATATTATATATCGCTATTATTTAATCATATAATTATTGGATATTTTTAATAGATTATTTTAAATTCATAAAATCTCTGAAATCACCTATAAATTCTTTAACAAAATTATAAATCATACAAAATATTTTAAAAACATTCTATGTTATTATATTTTAATAAAAAAATTAAAAATTTAGCAAGTCTATCTAGATACTTTCTAAAAATCCTATATTTAAGCTATTTTTACAATATTATACATTGATAAAATAGATACAACATATATTATTAAATTTTTCTAAACAATTGATCATATTCATAGATATTTAGGAGATTTCATATCTATTTAAATACTAATAATATTCATATAGAAAATATACCGAAAAAACTTTTATATCTAAAGATTAATTTTTAATTTAAAAAATATACAAATATTAATATTCTAATTCACTCTATATACATTATTCAATTACATATTAATACTCATAATATTAACTCTATACTATAACAATTAATTTTTTCATATACAATATTTTTTAATTATATTTTTTTAAACATAAATTCCTATTTATCTTAAGTCTATAAGTATTATTTTCCATATTTTCTTAATATCTTTATCTTTAATCTCTTTTTCAATATTTTATATCAAATTTACGAAACATCACTAACTTAATTAAAAATGGCATCTTTTCTTGCCAGTATTTATGGAACAGAACAAGATAAAGTAAACTGTTCTTTTTACTTGTAAAATCTTTTCCTATTATTCTTTTATACTAAGTTTTTCTACTAGTAAAATTGGAGCATGTAGACATGGAGATCGTTGTTCAAGAAAACATGTAAAACCATCATATTCACAGACTATTCTTTGTCCAAATCTCTATCAGGTTTTCTTAAAGTCAGTTTTATATTGTTTTTATTGATTTTTTTTGCTTTAAAATAGAACCCAGCACATGATCAACATAATCAATTAAATGAACAGCAAATTGCACAACATTTTGACTCTTTTTATGAAGATATGTATGCAGAATTTTGTAAATATGGAGAACTAGAAAAGGTTGTTGTCTGTGATAATGTTGGAGACCGTAAGCTTATATTTTTTAACATTTTTTTGTCCTAATAGACAGATTTAATTGGAAATGTTTATGCAAGATTTAAATATGAAGAAGATGCACAAAAAGCGGTCGATTCTCTTAATTCGAGATGGTACGCAGCTCGTCCTGTCTATGCTGAACTGTCACCTGTTACAGATTTTCGAGAAGCTTGTTGTCGTCAACATGAAACATCTGAATGTATGAGAGGTGGATTTTGTAATTTTATGCATTCAAAAAAACCAAGTCCTGCACTTCTTCGTGATCTTGAGCTTAGTCAGAGAAAATACCTTCGTTTACAAGGCAAGGATCGTAGTCCTACACGAAGTTTATCACCAATTAGAAGAGACAGAAGACGCTAAAGAAAAAAATATGGAATATAAGGAAAAATATAACAAGTTACTAATATTTATTATCTATATATGAAGATCTACTGTTTCCCTGCGGGGAATAATATATAATATATATATTTATAAAATTTAACTTAAACTTTTCCTCTATTTTACGACCTCATTATTAAGCTTAATTAATTTTAAACAGCTTGATCAGCTGTATTCATATAAAAATAAATAAATATGGCCTTTATATTAACTGTTCTATCTGATACAATTCGTCTTGCTCCTTGTACTTTTAGAAAACAGACAATGACAGCACTTAAAGATGAAATTAATCTAAAATTTGCAAATAAAGTATTATATTAAATATAAATCTAAGTATTTTTAACAATTTTTATAAGGTAGTAATACATACGGGTCTGTGTATCTGTTTATTTGATATTCTTTATTGTGGTAAAGCATTAATAAAATATGGAGATGGATGTGCGTATATTCCAGGTTATAAAGGAATTAAAGAAACTATTGAACAAAATAACTAAAAGACAACATAGTTAAGTTCAGATTAATTGTATTTCGCCCTTTTATTGGTGAAGTTTTGACTGGAAAAATACAAAGTTCTTATCATTCAGGCATAAAAGGTATTTTTTCTAAAATAAAAAATTTTATTCTGATAAAATCAAGTTTCATTGGGTTTTTTTGATGATATCTTTATTCCAAAGGGTCTTTTATGGAAAGAAAGTGAATTGTATTTATTTCTTTTTTTTTTTAAAAAAAATCTTAGATATATTATAGTGATATTGATGAACAACGTTGGATTTGGCATAGTGATCATGGAGATCTCTTTTTAAATACAGGAGAAACAATTAGATTTGTTATAGAAAGCGAAACATTTTCTAATATTAATCCACATGTGGCTCCAAACCATACATGTGAACAAGAACATGTTCCATATACTTTGACGGTAGGATTTATTAATAAATAAAAGTATTATCTAAACTAGAAGGCATCATGTAACAAAGATGGGATGGGATCTATTTCCTGGTGGAAATAAATATTGCTAATAATGAAACTATATATCAATAATAGTCTATAATATAATCTATGGCGAATCGTTTTTGATAGAAGTACCATTAAACGATATACTAGCTAAAAAATACTAGCTAAACGATCATATTTTTTTAAACTACATATATCAACATTATTATGGGGTTATTTATTTGTTAGTAGATAATTCAGCTGTCTTAACGGATATTTTAGAAGGAATCGTTTGTTGTAAATCATTTCCAAGACATTCTTGTTTACGTTTTCTCGATTGCTTCATCGGTTTTAATGTATGTGTCAGCCCTGCTGCCTTAAGCGCTTGTAACCGTGCTTTTAATCTAGGTAAATCGTCCTGTTTGGGATTTAATGGAATAATATCTTCCTCTGCAAATTCTATACCACACTTTTTCTTCATTAAACCTTTATTTTCCATAATAATATTAAGATACCTCTAAACATTCATTACTTTTGATATTTATTAACACTTGATCATTAAAAACATGTCCGCAACGTACAAGATATACAAATTTTGCATGACCATTAATTTCTCGATTAGTTACTGAACAAACCCAACGACCCACTTGATTTTCCCCATGAAATACCTTCTTATTAGATGTTGAATTTATCCTATATGCCGGGTTTGCCTTAAGTTTTAATTCTTTTACATCTTTTAATGTCGTAATATGTGATACTCCATATTCTATTGAATCAGAGTCAACAGATAAACCTTTATCCTGCTGTACTCTCTTATAAGATCCCTTTTCCTTAAAAGATAGTAGATATTCTAGTAATATATCTTTATTATAAAGTCTACCAAGACCACAGCTAACAATAGGCTCGGATAAAGGTAATTTTGAAAAACTACAGCAAAACCAAGGAAGAAGCTGAGTTGCTAGAGTTGCTTCAGAATTTTCTAACTTCTTTGCATCTTTGATCAAATCATCACGCTTAGGAATACTTCCACCATCATTACCCATAATATATAGGCGGGTAACCCACCGTATCGATCAACTAAATCTATTAATACATAAGATTAATTGTTTACCAATCATTTATTGTATACTAGTGTTGCAGTAATTTTTCTTTTATATATATATATGTTATTTCCATAATGTTTTTTAAAATTTAATGTTTCTTGATTTTAAAAAAACTATTATAATATTAAAATTATTTCCTCTGTTTAAGTTTTAAAAACCTTAATTTTTCTGATTATTTATTATCTTTTCCATTAATTTAAGTAATATAATTGAAACATTATAAGAACATAATAAATAAGAATGTCTGTAACTCTTTTAAAACTTTTTAAAACTTTATTCTTACTTATTTATCCTTCATAACCCAGAGAAACTAATAGAAAATACTTTATTAGCTGTATAAAAAGTTTAAATGTTTTTTTAATTAAAAATTGAAGAATTATTGTTATAGTTTCAATTTTGATAACAGCTTAAGTCAATGTTTTTTCATTATTCCTTTATTTAACAATCAAAATTCCATTTTTAGTGCCATTCATGTATTAATTATAGAAATATTATAAAATCTCATTTAATTTTTAAACATTTTTATCATGAGATATAGATTTTTTTACAGGTATTGGTGGTAAAAGTCCCTAAAAGAAAAAAATATTAAAAAAACTCATTTAAACCATTCCGTATTTACTTCTCGAATCTGATCTTCAATAGTCTTGATTTTTTTCTTTCTTTTATAAAGTAAATAACCAACATTTACTGTTCCATAGACTTATATCATCAATATCCCATCATTTTTTTAAAAAAAAACATAAAAATACCAGTCAATCCAGATAAAAAAATTATAAAAGATCTATGGATGATGTCAAAAAATCCAAGACCAAACACTTTCATATTAATCTTTAACAATTTAAAATATAATTAGAAAATTTAATAGTCCAATTAATAAGATCAAAAAAATCTTTAAAAATTATTAAAAAACTAAACAAATTATTATAAAAAATAACAGTTTTTATGTATTTTATTAAAAAAACCCTTAAATTTCTTTAATAATTAAAACTTAAGATTTTCTTAAGTTGCTTACTGTTCGATAACCTCTAAAATTTTAAACTTAAAAATTAAGTAAAATATTAAGAAATATTTCTATGAAATATAAAGAAAAAACACTTATTATATACATTATTTTAATAATATCATTATTTCCAGTTAATATTTTATAAAATAATGAAAAAAAACTAAGTTAAAACAGGGAATTAGAGCAATTTATTCTTACTGCAAATGTACATGTTTTGGAAATTCAACAATCTTGCGTTTAAATGAGTCAACAATAAAGAATAAACCATGTCAAGACTGTACAAAGGAATTTTGTCTTGAACAAAGTCTTCCAATTTGTCAAAATATACAATTTAAGAATCCAGAAGATTTGATAGAAAATACAGATATATCCACTATATGTTTTCGTACGAATAAGGGAAAAATAATGAATAATATTAATGGTTTTATAGAAAGGGAATCTATAAAAGATATGACATTTATATATATATTTATTATTATTACTGGAATACTTCTAATTTTAGCACCCTTACGACCCTATACAACTCGATTCTTAAAAAAAATTCGTCGATAAAACTACATACATTTTAACTAACTCTATAGAATAAAGTCAAATAGTCAGTATTAATATGCCGAATATTTTTTATATATTATATAATTCAAATAGATATCATTTGTAAATATACCAGCAACATTTTTGGTTTAATAAGTAAGATTTATTATTTTTTATTTAGAAATAAGATCTTTGAGAAGTTGAATAACTTTTTTCTTATTTTCTATACTTATTTTATTTTTTGTATTGACAAAAAAAGGTATACCGAGTTTCTGAAGTTCTTTTTCTTGTGCTTTAGACATTTCCCGTAAAGCTCTGTGTATCTTTAAATCATATAAAAGAAGTTCATCTTCTATTGTTTTTTCAAATTCCTTATTAATTAAAATATAATATAATTATTTAATATTAACACACCTTTTCTTCTTCACCTGTTAAGCTTGAACTAAATTGTTAATTTTTTTTTTAAGAAATATACATAAACTTACACAATTTCATTTGCCTTTTGCTTATTTCTTAAATTTTCAATCAATATTTCTCTATCTTTTAACCATTTTTCCTCATAACTTGCTTGTTCTTCTACCATTTCTTTAATTTTTTTTAATATAGATGGATCCCACATAGTTAATTGTATAATATAACGCAATGCGCTTGGATATGTTTCAATAGATGCTGGATCAACATCTGGTTTTACTATAAAGTTTGGAGAATAAGATGTAGATTGCTTTAAATCATCATTTTTATAATTAATAGAACTTTCTGTTGAAAATGTATGATCTTGTTTAGAAACAGCTGATATCTGTTTTTTCTGTTGCTTTGAAATGAGTTCATTTAAAATATTGAAAACATCTGTATCTTTTTTATTTTCTATTTCATCACTCATTGAAATATGAATTGAATGATAAAAAAGTAGATATATATAAGTGAAATCTTAAGAAAAAATATGTATTTCTTAGAGGTTTATTTGAGTATATATATCAAGAAAATGTAATTCAAATAAATGCTTATTAACAATTGACTAAGATTTAACATAAACATTTTTTTCAGCAAATACAGTCATAACAGCAAAAACAGAATAAAATAATGCAACAGGATAAGCAACTAAAAATCGCATCTCGTTTAATTGAAAGGCCTAAATAGAAATTTAAAATAAATTTTTAATAAAATGAAACTTACTACAACAAACATAGCGCTAGCGCTATAAGTACACCAAAGAATAGCAAATGAAGAAACAATATATCCAACAAGTCCACTATAAATGTATTAGTAATAGCTTTAATGAAAGGAATATCTAAACTCCATGGAAATGAGAACTCCACATGCAGACGTAAGAACAAGAGGTAAAAGACAATATCCAAGTACTGATACAGTACGTGAAAAATGCAAGCCACGGTGTGACATTAAAGAAAAAATCGTATGAAGAGAAATACAGCCAAGAAGAGCAACGCCATAAATGTAGCCAAAATGCCTTTTACCACTCTATTTAATAAGAAAAAAAAATTAACACACAATTTTCAAATCATTACCAATAAAAGAAAAGTAGCAAAAAGAAGACAAAAAAGAATTGGTCCTGCCAAATCACTGTCATCCATAATATGATCATCGACACTTTTCAATGGATTTAATACAGCCAATGTCTGTTAAAAGTAAAAAAAAATACTTTTATACACAAGTACAACCTTTCCCTTGATATGCAGAAAATTAACTCCCAATTCTATTAATGTATTAGCCAGAAAATATCAAAAAAAAAATAAATAAAAATCATTTATAATAAAATTCTTTTGCAATAATCATTTAAAATATATAAATCTAGATCTTTTAAAATATATAATGATAAATTCCTCATTCAATATTCTATATTTTTTTCTTCATATCATCATATATATCGATCTACTATTTTTCCCTATATTTTTACCTTCTAATAATGGTGGTTCATTTGGATATCCTCCTGTACCAAATGCTGCAATCCATCCCATCTTATTCTCCCAAACTCCAAATGATGTATCTTGCATACATGATTGCATATTTACATCTCGTTTATCTGTCAAAAACATTTCCTTTCCATGACTTCCATAATTTGACGGATAAAACTTATTATTTTCATAAATAATTATTTATAAATATTATTAATTTACTTTCAAGTCTTCTCCTGTCTGATTACTACCAAAAAAATTTTTTGACATAATAAATATTAACTTTTCTTAAACTTTATCTTTAATATTATTAAATTATTAAGATTTTCTTAAGATTTTTCTTAATTTTTAAATATTTTTCTTAAGACGTTAATAAAAACGTTATTTTTTTAACCGTCTAACGTCTTACGAACGTCTAAAATATTACAGAAATTTAAAAAAGTATAAAAAAATAGTAAATTTAGTGGTTATCTGAAGAGAATCCACGTATTTTATAACTGCACAGGCAGGAATTGTTGCAGTGTTCTTTTTTTTGGCAAAAAATGGCGCCTCCGTTGACAAGAAATCGTGAAGCGAAACAAGGAATATCTAAAGTAGATCGAATTTTGAAAAAAACAACGAAATCCTATGGGGATTTAAAGAAAATATCTCATACGCATTCATTGACATTGGATTCAATTCAACGTTCGGATGAATTGGGGAATTTGAAGGTTAAACGATCGTTTATATCATTACGATCACATAGATCAAAGGAAAAAGTAACACGAAAACCATCGATACCATTTATAAATGAAATGCCTGTATTAAAAGACGAGAAATTATGTGTTTTTGTTTTTGGAACAGGTTCTATGAGTGAATTGGGGTTAGGACCGGAGCCTACAGGTCGAGTAGTGAAACGACCGCGACTTAATCCACTTTTACCTCATGATACAGTAGGAATTGTGGATATAGCAGTTGGAGGGATGCATTCAGCGGCGATAGATTATAAAGGAAATGTATATACATGGGGAGTAAATGATCAAGGAGCCCTTGGAAGAGATACGACATGGAAAACGAATCAAATAGATCCAGAAAGTGATGATGAACAAATGCTAAATCCCAAAGACAGTATTCCAGATAAGGTTGAAGGTATTCCAGATGGGGTAAAAATAGTGAGAGTGGCATGTGGAGATAGTATTAGTGTAGCGATTACAGATCAAGGTCAAGTATACGCATGGGGATCATTTAGAGTATGAATACGAAGGAAAAAAGTATTTAATGTTGATATTTTTGTAGTGCTCGGATGGAATTCTTGGATTTTCGCCTCAAATTAAAGTTGCGCGTCGTCCGGTTCATATAAAAGAACTCAAAAATGTAGTTTCTGTAGTATGTGGAACAGATCATGTACTTGCACTTACAGCATATGGATCTGTATTTTCGTGGGGGAATGGCCAACAATTTCAACTAGGTCATCGTGTTGTAGAGCGAACTCGTATTAATGCGCTTGTACCTCGAGAATTTGGACTTAAAAAGATAAAGGCTATAGGAGCAGGGTCCTATCATTCATTTGCTATTAGTCATGATGGAAAAGTATTTTCATGGGGCCTAAATCAGTTTGGACAATGTGGTATTGAAAGTTCTGGAGGAGAAGATGGGGCTGTTGTATCTAATCCAACACATGTTGAAAGTTTAGATCATTATAATGTTGTCTATATAACAGGAGGTGAGCATCATTCTGCAGCATTGACCCTAGATGGTGAATTGCTCGTTTGGGGAAGACTTGATGCAAATCAGCTTGGTATCCCTCGATCATCTTTACCCAATTATACTGTTCACGACGCTTCAGATCGGCCAAGATTTGTACCAATTCCAACCAAAGTACCTGGAATATCTCATGTTAAGCGAATCTATTGTGGTACACATCATAACCTTGCAATCCTTAAAGATGACGGAAGTGTATGGAGTTGGGGTTTTGGAGAAAGTTATCAAGTTGGCCAAGGTCCTTCTGGTAACGATATTGAGGTTCCTACAAAAATCGATAACACAGCTATACGAGATAAAGTAATCGTTGCGGGCGGAGCAGGTGGTCAATTTAGGTTTTTTCTTTTTTTCATATATATTCTTTATATTTACTTTTTTAGTGTTCTTTTAGGATTGCCTTCTAAATCATGATTTTTTTCTATTATTACTATATTTTGTATACAATAACAACCATTTCTTCAGAATAAGCATTATTTGGTCACTTATATAAAGTTTATACAAAAAATAAGAATCAACTTTCAGAAAGTTAATGATTTATATATAAATTGCAGTTTTCTTTTTAATCTCTACGTTATATGATCTACGATATAGGCACTTAAAATAGGTGATTGCAAATGTCATATAATTGTTTATTAATTGATCTACCTAAGCTATATAAGAATAAAAGCATATTATATATATTTATATTTATATATATATATGTTTAAGACTTTAATTTTCTCTTAAAAAGTTAAATTTTAAATTATTTTATATATGAAAAGAATATGTTTTAGTTTATTAGTTTTCACAAATATTAACAATCTTTTAAAAACAAAAACAGAACTCAAAACTTTACAAAGATAAAATCTATAAAGAATACTAAATATTTTCAAAAGGTTGAGAGAGACGGGATTCGAACCCGCGCGTCCGAAGACATTGGCGCCTAAAGCCAACGCAGTAACCACTTTGCTACCCTCTCAGACCATGAAATTTCGAGATTTATTTACATAAATAAATAATTAATAAATTAAAATAACGAAAATAATTAAACACAAATACATAAATTCAACCCCATTTTTAAAAATATTTACTTATAAAACTTAAAAAATATATAAAAATAACTATATATAATAGTGACTATCTTTAATTGCTATAACTTCATACTCAGAAACTCTTTATATTTTACATCCAGATATTTTTTCAACTTTCTTTTTCTATAAAATATCTATTTTTATTTGTTAGACTATATGGCATCAAGTATTAATCCTGAGTGTAATGAACTTAAGCAACGATATGATACATGTTTTAATAATTGGTACACTAATCGGTTTCTTCAAGGTTCTCGCAGTCTTGATGAATGTAACGAATTATTTCAGGCATATAAAGCATGTTTTATGGTAGGATAACAAGATAAATAAAAGACAACTAATAACATTATACTAGAAGGTTCTTCATGGAAAACCAATTATGGAGCTTTTAAATCATGCAAGGACTCAAGCACCTTTTGAAGAAGGTGGTAAGCGTCGCACTGAAGATTCTTAGTAAATTTTAATACACCAATGATCATTTCAAAAGAATGTATATGAGTGTATAGATAGGAAAATACAGGATGAGCATTATAAAATGTTTAAAATTTGGTCTAAATATTCTTTTTACAATAACATTTTATTTAACAAAATTTTTTCAAAATCTTTAACACTATTTTTTCGGCATAGATATTCTAATATGTTTGATGGATATGGCTTGAAATATCTATTATCTGAATTGATAATAATTATACTTTTTTATTATGGTATTTTTACAAATTCACCGTTTATATAGTACAAATGGCAAATTTTTAAAAAATATATAAGAAAGGAATACAAATACGATATGTGCTAATCATAAGTGCTTTAAATCTGGTTAATGAAGAGATAATAAGGTATTATTCAGTATAGGTTGTGACATATTTTTTACTGTTTCCATGACAACAACTCGGTTGGTTGGTTAACAACCAATATAACTAACGCTTTAGTCTTGATAATTTATTTAGAAAAAGTCTATAAAACACTGAAGGAAAACAATTGGATCATACTTTGCATCTTTATATTTTTTTCTTTATTTTTTTCTTTTTTTTTTTTCTGACAAAAATCGACTATTATAATGGATAGTTTTGCACAAGAAGAAGATTATATTAAATTTGATTTTAGTGATGAAGAATTATGGAAAAAGATTGAGAAAGAATCTTTCACTCCTTCAAATACTAAGAAAAGTTTTTTTCAAAAAACAGCAGCAAAAATGGAAAGTTTTTTTAAAAGAAAACACATGGAAAATGATACACTTGCTAATAAACGATTTCGGCGTGAAATAGAAGCTCCATGGGTAAAAGATTATTCAGGAGAGACAAGTGTTTCTCGTATGTATGTTTTTTTGTTCTATCAAAAATTTCAGATTGAAATAATTAGTCTTCATCGTGAGATATTGGATTTCTCAGATTTTATTTCACCTACTAAGGAAGAACATTTTGTTCGAGAACTTGTTATTCAGAGAATAGATTCACTTATTCAAAAACATTGGAAAAATGTGCAGCTTTGTGCATTTGGTTCATTCGATACGATGTTATATCTACCTACTAGGTAAAATAAGAATCTTTAAATTCAATTTAATAACTATTTAGTGACATTGACCTTGTTATTCTTTCTTTAGGTTCTAGGATTTATGAGACTAAAAAAGATTTGCATAAACTTTCTCGTTATTTACGTAGTTCAAATGTTGCAAAAGACATTCAAGTTATTACTGGTGCTACTGTGCCTATTATTAAATATATTGATACCTTAACGCAGATTCATGTTGATATTTCATTTAATAAACCAGGAGGCCTAGTATCAGCAAATATTATAAAACAATTTATGAAAGATCATTATGCATTAAAACCTCTTGTTATGTTTATAAAGCATTTTCTCAATATGAGGGGCCTTAATGAAGTGTTTTTAGGAGGGTTAGGAAGTTATTCTATTATTTGTCTTGTTATAAGCTTTTTACAAAGACATCCAAAACTTCTCTCAAAGGAAATTAAAGAGCAGGACAACCTTGGTGTTCTTCTTATGGAATTTTTTGAGCTTTATGGGAAATTGTTTAATTATAACGAAGTTGGTATTTGTATTAATAATGGAGGAAAATATTTTTCAAAGGTTTATTTCTTTCATTTAAACTTAAATATTATCTAAATATACTTTTAGAGATCAAGAGGATGGTCTAAATCTAATCAGCCATTTCTTCTTTCTATCCAGGACCCCGCTGATCCAGAAAATGATATTGCTAAATCATCTCGTTGTATTCTTAAAATTAAAGCTACCTTAGGTGGTGCTTTCGACCTTTTAGCTTCTAGGCTTTATCACGTTAATAGAACTATAAGACCAAAATTACATTATAAACGCAAAAAACGAGATATATATATAGATAGTATTTTGAGCGCTGTTGTTTCTATAGATACAGATATTATTGAGCATCGTCAAATGTTAAAACAGATATATACTGAAAATGAGAAACGGGATTAAAATAGTTGAGATTCAAATTTATATAAAAACATGCATAATATTTCTTTATAACTTCATATAAATATGTCAAATGTTTTAATAGTATTTAAATTATAAATTAATACAAGTACTTAGAGCTTTCATTAACTAAAAATCTATTTATAGTCATTAACTGAATGTTTTTCTAAAAACAATTATATAATAGCGAGATTTATAATAATAATGTCTATTTAAATGGTTATGTAAATATTAAATGTATATAAAGACAATTCAATTATTATTTAGCAAATAATATATTATTTCAATAGATGCATAGAAAAACTTTCTATACAGCTTTTTGCATTATTTTTTAAACTTTTAAAATATCTAATATATAAAACATATAATTCATCCCATTTTTACTCTTTTAAAAATTATATACTCAATTATATCATGTATTCAACAATTGTAAACATATATTAACATTAGATTAGGTAGATTATAATATAAATACTGAATTTCAAAAATATACATTAAAAAAAATTAAATAATGTTCTACTCAATATATAACAAAGCTAAAATAACTATAAAAAATATCAATTATACACAAATTCCAATTTCTACTATAAAAAAATACAAAATATAAAATACACAGAATTCGTAATATATATTAAGAAAAAAAACAGATAAAATCATACATCTCCAATAATGTAAAAAACTTAATATAAAAGATATAATATTTCAATATTCACTATAAAAGAACTTTAAATCCCAGAATTTTACAAACGGAAAATTCATTTCAATCATCGTTCATAAATTATACAAAAAATCTCCATTAAACTTGTAATTTTAAGATAAAAAGGCTACAAACGTTCTTTAAAAGGAGAAAAAGGCCAATTCATAGCTATTAAGATTTGGTATAACAGGAAAACTTTAATAACAATATAATTATAAATAACAATATATATATATAACGCATATACAACGCATATATTACACATATGCAACTCATACATTACGCATATATTCCATTAAATATATGAATTGCAGTTTAATTCATCACTGCCATTCTATAATTTAATGAAAATCTTCAAATTACTTCAATGCAATTATTTAGTGCTTTACTTGAAAACACAGGAATTCTGCATATTTTTTCTAAAATAACAGAAAATATTGAAAAAAGTCATTTTTTTCTTATAACTTTAATTATACAAGTTTAATTTTAGACGAATCGATATCTTTGGGGTTAACGTTTAAAAAAAAGGCAGTGTAAAGTTGTTCGTTTTTTTTCAAGGTAATCTATACCTAAAGGATATGAGTCAACGTCGAAAAAGAGGTGGCCGTATGTCTTGGCGAGGCCAGGGACGTTTGGCGGGGAAAAATGTGGTAGATCCAGTTGAAAGGGATGGAGATATAGTTATGACAGACGATACAGGTGGTTTAAAAGAAAGATTGTACGCATTTTTTTATATTTTTTATTTAAAAATATATTAAGGAGACTAATGATTGAATAGTAATCCTTATAAGACATCAGGCCATACGAAAAAAGCATTTAAAGGCCATTTTCATGATACACCAACGGAAATTATGGTAAAATAAACGATATATATATAGTTAAAAATTTTATAAAATAATATCAGATTACAGGTTATGATGGGGGTACAGAAAATGATTTGATTGGCTTTATTTCTCGTAAATGCCATGTATTAATTACAAATGTATGAATAATGATGAATGGGTTTTATTTTTTTAATATTTTATGGAATAAAGTTACATTATGATGGATCTATACTTTATGCATCAGTATCATCGAGTGCAAATGCTCGGGCTCTTCTTAAACTTTCTGGATCTAGATTTGCAGGCAAAAATGTAAGTTTTATATAAAATATGATTTGTTAAATATTTATTTCAAGCTTCATATATCAATACCTAATACTCAAAAAGATCAAACGATGTCTATGGCTTCGGAATCTTTACCCTCAGCTCCAGTAACTAAACAGTCTACGATTAATATTTTATTGGAATTTCTTTCTAGCAGATATATTCATGAAACAAAAACACTAGATTTGTCATCTATGCATTCAAACCCCATACTTGTTAATGGTGGAATGTTTTCTTCTGTTTTGGCTTCTATTAAAACATTTCCTGCTCTAATGAAGATAGCCAAACGTGAATTTCCAAATGTAATGTATTCATATATATATATAGAAATAATTATTTAATCTAGATTTAGGTTATAAGCGTCAATTTGTCGTCTAATAAAATATCTTCTCTTATTAATATATCTACATTAGCTCAAACATATCCCAATCTTAAAAATCTCAATTTGGCTGATAACCTCCTTAAACATTATAAGGATTTAGATATTTGGTCTCATAAAGATAAACTTCCAAATTTACAGGAACTTATATTAATTGGAAATGAAATTCGAGAAAATGAAATCAAAAAAGGAAATGAAATTAATTATCGTTCTGAGATTGTCAAACGATTTTCAAATCTCAAATTACTTGATATGATTCCAGTGACGCAAACTATTCAATTCGATATTAAGGATTCTTCAGTTAATGATTCTGAAAAGACTACATTGCCTAAAGAAATTTGTGGTAGTTTTTTTGAATCTGATCTTACTAAAAATACAGTTATGGCGTTCTTAGAAAAGTGTTTTTATCTGTCCTTTAAATTACATTTAACTCATCATATAGATATTTTTCTTTATATGATAATGATAGGTTAAATGCTGTTTCATTATATAATCAAGATGCCTTATTTTCTATATCAGTAAATACAGTTGCACCAAGGAAAAGGGAACCAGGTGTGTTTTCGTATAGTTCTTCTCAATTTTCAGAATATATTTCTATGAGCAGGAATCTTACGCGATTGTCATCATTAGGTTGGTTCTCTCTTTTTTTCTGAAAAATTTTAAAACAGTTTAGATGCAAGAATTTCAAAACTTAATATTGGTCATGCTGATATTTCTCGAGCTTTTTCTACATTGCCAAAAACTCGCCATAATTTTACCGATTCAAATCTATATTGCGTTGATGCATGGTCACTTAAAGGTATTTTATCAACAGATTCAGATCCGAATGGTTTGGTTGGCATACAAATTATATTACACGGTATTTTTTTTGAGTTAGGAGGCAGGCGAGAAGTCAAAAAGTCATATGATAGAACTTTTATTATTGGGCCTGATAATGGAAATATTACTATTAGAAGTGATATGCTTATTATTCGACCTTATGGGGGTAATAATAGCTTTTGTACAAATAAACAAAATGAAACTTTATCTTCAAATAATACACATGAAGAACAAAAGCAATTTATGTTGAACGAGATTTCTAAAAAAACAGGACTTAATCAGAAATTTTCTTTAATGTGTTTAGAACAAAATCAATGGAATATGGAACAAGCTATGAATAATTTTAATATTTTGAAAGTATTTTATCTCTTTGTTTATATTTATTATTTAATTTATTATAGGAAAAAGGTGTTATTCCTTTAGAAGCATTTAAATAAAAATATTGGTTTTAATAAATATTTTTTATGGTAATTAACGTAAAATATTCAAGGTATTTGTTTCTTTATCTTTATTATTATTATTTATTACTAGATCATTTCAATAATACTTTAATTTTGTTAATATCTGGAATTTTCAAAATTAATTCTTTAAATTTTATAAAAAATCTTTTATTGTCAAATTATAATGTTCTATAATATTATACACATAATTTTAAAAATATTAAAATAATTTAAATACAAATACTTGTATTTTAATTAAAAAATCAGCTAATTATATTTTAATAATATTTTAACTCGGCCACACTTCTACGAAATATTTAAGATAAATTATTTTCAAAAACTTTATAAAATATAAGCTTTTTATTCAGATATTAAGTATATGATTAATAAATATAGCTATTTTTTCAGAATTAAGATTCTGAAAAATGCAAGCGTTGGTTCATTTGATTCAAAAATATGGTAAAAATATTTGGAAATCTTCAGAAAAATATAAGTTTTATACTAAATATATTTCAAAAATTCAAAAAAAAGACACAATATTATTTTTTTTTCCTTTAATATCTGAAAGTTTTCTTATTTTCTATGTTATATTTTCTAAACTCAAAATATCAGCTCTTCCAATATTTCGTCAGTTGGTCACATTCTTAAGATCATATTAATATTATGTTAGTGCTTATTTCTATATTTTATATGACTATAATTTTTTTTTTTTCAAAATTTGCACCATTAATTCATGATTTATGGTAACAATCAGATCTACATACTTAAATATTTAATGTCATTTATAGTCAGAAATTTATTTATATTGTGGCATTTCCATCTCTTGTGTTTTTAACTAAAACAAACTCTATACAAATATATAAACAAAATTTGATAATTTCAATATCTACTTTTATTCTGGTATTTCTTAACTCTAATTTTAATGGTCTATTTTCTTCTTTTGACACTATTTATTACATTTTTTCTATATTTCTATCAGATTTATATTTTTTGGCATTATTACACTTTTCAATATTGTCATTAATGAATAGTATTGCATTTCCATCATTGACTGAAGAAGAAATTTCACTTGTTTCTCATGCTCTTAGTGGTTTATTGCAGAACTTTATTTATTTTCAAACTGATTTGTCTCATGAATTATTTATGGTTTTAGCATTTTTTGGACCTATTCTAATCATTTGGCCTGCAATTCCTTTTTTAAAGGAATATATTAGAATTACTCAAATATCTTATTGTCGTCGCACACATGCCATGGAGGCTAGACGTATTAGATATGCTATTTTTTCCTATTTTACTATTGGAATATCTATATTTATAATGTTACAATTTGGAATTAAATTATATTCAACAGAACATAAAAATCTGATTTTTTGGTTTATAAATTATCTCATATATGAAAAAGGTTCAGAAATAAGACAGAAAATACTACTTTGGTGGATGAATTGTTTGATTTTTACTATGTTATTTATAAGAATATTTTTTTATGCACAGAAATCAAAAAAGCAAATAAATCATAAAAATGAAAGAATATCTGGTAGTAAATTGAATAAAAGAAGAAAGCTTTTTCATGGATTAGTTATAATAATGTTCCTTCCAACATTATATTTGGACGTAAGTAAATTCTCTTACTGCACACTGTTAATATTTATAGCCTTTATTTTCAAATATATCTTTTTCTATTGCGTTTTCATTGTTTTGTATCTGTGAAGTCATTAGAATACTTGCATTGCCACCACTTGGAACTTTTTTGCATTCTTTTTTATCTCAGTTTACTGATGAGCGGGACAATAAAGGCAACATTATAGTTAGTTATCTTTATCTTCTTATAGGATGTGCTTCTCCATTGTGGTTAGATTTTGTTGGCATTACATTAGATGAACAAAATCAATATCAGCTTAAATTGAAGACTATTAGTGGTATATTGTGTTTAGGTTTTGGTGATTCAGTAGTAAGTTGTTTATTTTCAATTGGCTTGGCTTAATACATTAAAGGCGAGTATCATTGGAAAAAAATTTGGTAGATTACATTGGCCTAATTCTAAAAAAACTGTTGAGGGCACCATTGCATTTGTTTTAGCTGTACTTTTTGGCGGTGTATTAGTAAAATACATGGGTTGGGTTAATGATGTTATTATAGTAAGTTTATTAATATATTAACATGAAGTTTTATATATTATAGTGGATTGACTTTTTTTTAGCAACTATCATGACTGGTAAATAATTATATATTATTTTAGATAAATTAACAAGACTAGCATTGTTTGAAGCATTTTCATCACAAAATGACAATGTTTTAATGCCTATATACATGTGGTCATTATTAAGTTTAAAAGGATAAATTCCCGGCAAAAACAACATCTTTTCCAAAAATTTTCCACGATATATTTCTGAAATTGCAAAGAGTATCAATTCCTTCAATACCTATGCTATTATCATCTCCTATAAATATTGGTGATATTGTAATTATAATCGAATCAATCAATTTCCATTCTTTTAACAGCGAAGATATTACACTAGCGCCTCCTTCTACCATAACACTTTGGATTTTTAATTTTGAAAGCGTACAAAGAATATCATGCCATTCAAACATACTATTCGCATTTGTTTTTACTCTAACGATTTTTCCTCCAACTGATTCTAAAGTATTCAATGATTTGCAACATGAATTACAATTAACATTTTCTGATATAAGAATAATTGGAGGACGCCCCCATTTATTTTTAGCTATCTGAATGATCTTTGATTCATGTGTCAATTTAAGTCGGAAACTGGGATCTAATATGATAGGAATGGGCTGTAATTCAAGAGAATAATGAAGTTCTGAAGATCCAGAAATTCGTGCTATTTCTGAATTAATAGAATGTTCTTGTTAACAGCAAATATTATTTCTACTAACCATTTAAATTTGGATTATCGCTTTCTACTGTTCCTACACCAACTAGTATTGCATCATGTTCTATTCTAAGTTTATGTGTTAATGTTTTCGATTCTAAACATGAAAGAACAAGTGGAGAAGCTGTTTTTGTACCAATTTTGCAATTAAGTGATTGAGCATATGTTAGTGTTAAAAAAGGTTTCTTAATATTCATATCGTTTGACTTCAAACATGGTAAATATGGTGATAAAAATTCTTCAATTTCATTATTTAACTGTTCCATTTTATTCAATTGATCCATTATATTTAGTATCCAAATAAACTCAAATTTGTGATACTATAATAATTCTCATAAATTCACTGATTTAACAAAAAATCTTCTCCAAATTCTTTGAATAAGTTTGTATTTTTAGAAAAAAATAGTTATATCTTGATTATATGATAGAATAATCAGATTTTATAGATAATATAATTTAAAATAAAATTATATTCTAATATATATATATAACCAAATAAATTCGTACAATATTTATTAAAAGCTTTATGTTTTGCCCTTTGTTTTAAACCTCCAGCTAAGAAAATATTATATTTTTGATGAGACTGAATAATTAAAAACCAGAAAGTAAAATAACACTTTCTTGATAATTTATTATTTTATATAATAAATATATTACATTAACTTTAAATTCTATGAAATCTTAATAGTAACTTTGAAGATTATGTTAATTATTGTAATCTTTTAAAATATTCTATAACTTAATATTATTAACCTAATCTATTTTAGGTTTAAATAATTTTAAAAGTTACTAAGGAAACAGTTGCTATGACGTTTTATATAAATTCACATTAGAACTAAAACTATCTTGTAATTCACTATATTTTCGTGTTGCTCAAAGATTACATTAATGTAATTTTTGAGCGTCATATATAGTGTAGATTAAGATTGATATATGAGTGTTTTAGAATGTAAAACATATGTTTGAATCTTTTTTTATTTATAAAAGGATGATAAACATTAGTCATACAAACAGATATTAATGTATTTTAATAAAACTTAATGATTAAGAAATTCCTATGTATATTAAATATTTGATATTATTTTTTTCATTTTGTATAAAAGATTTTTTGTTAAAACATGTTCTATAATTTAAATTTACAAAGGTGAATATATTATTTTCATTGCTATTAGAACCGGTATAACAGTCTCCTTACCTATCCATATTCCATTTGTCGAAATACAATGAGCTTCTATTGTATATCCAAGAATAATATGAATAATATTTAAAATTATTTTAGATACTGTTTCTGATGACTCTGTTTCTTCAAAAATTTTACTATTATAATAAATAGTAGATGATAATATTTTGTTATTAGAATTTTTTTCTTTAAAAGGTTTTAATAAAACTTCAAACATAGTTTCTAATGATTTGAAATTCTCATGATTTTTTAAAGTTAAATGCAAAATTGACCAAGAATTATTTTTAGCTATTTCTAAAATGTTTCAGAAATAAATATTAACAATGAATATAATTATTATTATAAACATACTTTGTTTTTTCTTTCCTATTAAATGCCATTCTATTAATGCTCCATAAGATAAACCATTAACAAGAATGATTAAACAATCCTCATTATATAAAGAACAATATTTCCATGCTTTATTAGTAAGTGAAACATGAGACTCGTTTGAAATAAATGCAATGCATGATATGTTAAAAATCTCAAGACTTTCAAATATTTTTTCTAAATTTTGTAAACTAATAGCAACTTCTGATGAAAATGATTTAGGATATGGTAAAGATAAAGTAGATGGTATAGCTCCAATTTGTCCTGCTATAAAAACTATATCTTCATGCTAGATATTCATTAAAATATTATATATGTATGTATATATAAATACTATTAACGCGTGAGAACAAAAGCCTTTATTTGCAGGAAGCCAATAATTTTGACTTTGAATATGAACAACTGATCTTTTACTACGAGAAGGATCAACCAAAACAGATATCTGTAAACGACAAGATTTCAAATTGCTCGAATTAATACATATTCTTGGAGGTGGTTTTGAAAAACTAAAGTATTGACTATACAAAGCATCAACATGAAGAATATAGTCCATTTTTTCAAGAACAAGTTCAAAAAAAACAATGTCACAAAGATCAAGAATATAAGATTTTAAATAATCTATTAAAATTAATATTATCATTAAAAAATTATAATATACCTTTTAATTTGCTCATACAGAAATGGAATTCTTCTTCCAACGTATAAGCTAGTAGGTTTTCAGATTCTAGTTGTAGATTTATACCTCCAATAGCTATCAAATTTTTTAATTTTGAAGAATTCATAAATATTTCATCATTTTTGTTTTTTATAGAAATAGTAGGTATTATAGATGTTTTATTATAGTCTTCATCTTGAAATTCATCAAGATATTTCTTAAATTGTTTGCATTTTTTGTCCAACTGATCAGGTAAGATAAATCTTTTTTTCCAATTCGTATCAACAAAAGATTTTTCTTCTATTTCTGCCTTAAATTTAAGATATGAAACTCCTGGTGAATGATCGACTATCTCTGATTTAACACTACATCGTTATTAAAAAATCATTACTAACTTAAACAATTACATCTTTATTTTCTTTTGAAAAATAGGGCAATCTAAAACTAAAGTTTCATATTCCCCTCCTTCTCCACATAAATGTACATCATATAATTCATTCTATACTTAATTAAAAAATTTAACACATTAGAATAAAACATACTATTTTTAATAAATGTTCTTTAATTTCTATAAGAGATTTCCCCAAATGTGATCTATCTAAACCTAATATTTATTAATTTATTAATCAATTTTTACACAAATCCATTACCAAGTGTAGACACTTTTATTATAATTGCATGTAAATTTTGTGATATCATTTCTTCAAGTAGATCTTTTTGATCCCTCTTCCAAAGATATGCCAAAGATATCAGGTTCAATCTTTTACATACATTTTCAACTCTTGTTCGTTGATAATTTGATAAAATTGCTCCAACTGAAATAGCTTCTATATCAGGATGTATTTTCTTTTTCCTATTAGAAACCTTGTTCATCCTTATATGTAATTTTTATACTTGAATTCTTTTAAGTAATCGATAAAGATCTTCTGCTTCATCATCCAAAGTTTCATGATATGTAAAACTTTGATCTACTGATGTTCCAATAATAATTTCACGATATAATGGAACATTCATAGCTTTTTCAAAAAGCTCAACTACATCTTGACCAACTGTTTGATACATATAGCTATCAATTTCACCTTTACACTCATAAGAACTTTTTTCTTCTTCAATACAGCAATTTACGCTCTTCTGATGTATATAAATTTCCAAGTGCTATAATTTCATGTCCATTTGCTATACAATACATAATATTCAAACAGCTATCTTTTCCTCCACTTATTAAGGCCGCAACTTTCATTTTCAAATTTTAATATATAAATATATAGATATAATTCATCCCGTGTATTACAAACATTAATTTATGTCATTTCAATGATATTTATGTCTCTGTTTTTCTATAACGAAAAGACATATTGCTCTTTCCGACTCAAACAAACATATTTAATATTGCAAATTTATTATGTAAAACCCTAATAGAACATACTTTTCATATGAATATTAAGTTGTTCTATTGTATTTGCAGATAAATAAATATTTGCAGATAAATATTTGCAAATAAAAATAATTTAATTTTTATAATAAAAAAATAATATAATAAATAAGGAGTATAAGGAGTATAAGGAGTATAAGGAGTATAAGAAATATAAGAAATATAAAAAATATAAGAAATATAAAAAATAAATATAATTAATAAATATAATAAATATAATAGGAAATAAATTTATTTACAACTATTATCTAGTTATAAACCTTTTTCTTATAATATTAAATGATTTTCTTTGATAAAGCCTATTAATAAACGGCTATTTATACGTTCTACTTTATTAAATGATTGATAATAAGCCAAGACGTAAAAAATGTCTTTAGCATCTTATCTTGCAGAAAAGTATTTAAATAAAGAAGTAATAAAGAAAGATAAGAAGAAAGATATAAAAGAAGAAACAGTTCATATTATTGATGGAGATTTAACTGGATGGAAAGAGATTAAACCGGATATTAAGAAAAAAGCATCAATTTTAAGTAAATGAAGATTAATATTAATATAAAATATATTAAATTATTTATAGAAAAAGGTTTAAAAAAAAAATTAGAAAAAGAGGAAGAAGGAATAAAAAAAGGGTTTAAAAAAGCAAGTTCTTCATGGGAAAAAGTAGAAGAGTCAGAATCCAATATAGAAGCACAAGTTACGCAGGACGTAATTGTGTCTGAAGAAGATAAAAAAGAAAATGATGTAAAAATGGAATCTAAAAATGAATATGTTATGTCAAGTGGAGCACGTGCAGGATTACAAACAGCAAAACAAGTAGCAGATGATATTGAGTTACAAAAAAATCAAGAACGTGCAATTTTTAAAGCACTAGATCCAAAATTAACAGGAAAAAATGCAAAAACAATTTACAGAGATGCAAGTGGACGTAGAGTTGATATAGAACTTGCTATGATTGAACGGCAACGTCAAAAAGCTAAAGAAGATGCTCGAAAAAAATTGGAATATGAAATGTCTCAGGGTGAAGTACAAAAACGACAAAAAGAAGAAGCAAAAAAAGCTATGGAAGCTATAAAACATGAACCTTTTTCAAGGTATTAAATCTCTTTTATTTTTATAAACAAAACTAATTTATATATATATAGATCGATTGACGATCCAGAATTCAATCGTATGCTTAAAGAAAAAGAATGTTGGGACGACCCCGCTAAAGCTTTTTTATCTAAAAAACAACAGTCTACACGCCCAACATATAAAGGATTTTATAGTGCTAATAGATTTGGTATTGCACCTGGTTATCGTTGGGATGGTGTAGATAGAAGTAATGGCTTCGAAAAAGCTTGGTTTGCTTATCGAAATGAAAAAAAAGCACAAGCTGCAGAAGCATACGCTTGGAGTATCGAAGATATGTAAAAAATATATTGATTTATTCATTTATTTATTCATTAACTAATCTTAACCCTATTACAAACCATCTTATATCGATTTATTAATACTAGTTTTACTTTTTAATTTCCCTACGCTTAACTTATTTTGAAAAAATTCTTAATATTTTTAAATTATTATATATAATTTTTTTTTCATACATATAAAAAAAATTATTAAAAAGTTATTTATTAGTATATTTATTAAAAATATAAATGTTAAATAATATTTTCAAAAAACTAGAAGTGTCTTAACATTTTAAAACGTTTTTTTCAAAAGTATATTTAGTTCTTTTATCATTTTAGTAATACTTTTCTTTTTAAAACTTGTGAAATCAAAAGTTTCAAAGTTTTAAAACTTTGAATTTGTCTTAACTCATTTTAAATAAATTGCAGATAATATTAGTCATTTGAAATGTATGTAATTAAAAAAAGAAACGGGTTTTTTAGGATCTTATGGTTAGAAATAAATAGTCTAAGTCCTATTTGTTTTAGTGCGTATTTTTTAAAGGGTTAAAAAACGCACAAGCAGAAAGTGCTTTATTAAAATGTATGAATGACAAGGTTTTATCGTGTATCTAGAAAAATAATGGCAATGGCGAATTGACGCTATTTTGAAGAAATATGTACATCCATTTACAGAATAATTATGGAAGATCCTTGTTAGAAAGAGCATTAAATACAAGATATAAGTTTGGGTTTGATGGGTAATCTAAGTTCAAGTTCTTTAGAAGTTGAATTTCAGGTTTAGAGAATACGGCATTTTAAGGAAAAAAGGCTTGAAATGTTTTGGTTTGAATTACTTGAAAAAATAAGTAAAACGCAATTACTATAGGTTTTGAGGGTTTAATAGCAGTTCAATTGGGTTATTTAGCGGTTTTTGGTGCTCGCTGACGCCCAACTTGCACATATTCCTTATAAGTATCAACGTATAGGCGGAATCCACCTTTCTTTGAAGGTGTTTCTTGCACTTCCTGCTGGTAGGATTTTATACCGCAGGGCTTTAATAAAGTATTTAATTAGAACTGGGTAAAACCGATCAATTTTTATTATTTGGATAGGCAAAGCGTCATATGAATTTCTATGGATCTTTCATCATTGGAATTAGAATTGATGCATCATTCAGACCCTTTAGGTACAGCTTTTTATAATTCGAAGGGATCACAGTTGCATATGAATCAATATTCATTACCAAGTTTTAGTACTTTATCTGATAGTGAAAGATTTTGTATGAATTCTGCATCAGTCCCTATGATGCACAGAGATGCTCTTATGTTATTTCCGCCGAGATCGGTTTATTCTGCTACGTTGAATGAGGAAAATTCGATGTCCCATTTATTTAATACAATTCATTCATTTGTTAGTAATGAAAAACAAAATTTGGATGAACAAGATAAGGATAAAATACGGAATGAGCGTGCAATTACAGTAAAAATGTTACAACAGAATGCAATATTTGAAGATAAACATTTAGCAGTTGAATCGATTCGTGATATTTATCAGCCATCATTTGATATTTCAGACTATATTCTTTCTAGTTATGAAACAGTTATGAAAAGCCCTCAAGTATTTCGTCCAGTTGTATCTCCAGGATCAACTACAGTGAGTGAATTTGCGCCAATTACGCCACCATCCGCAACAGATGATCTTAATTATTTTGATTACATGTTGCCACATACGCAGCCAGCAGCATTAGATCAGCAATGGTTGGTAGATATGAAGCAAAGTAATAACAATGAAACGCATGTGGATCCGTCAAGATTATGTGTTAGTCCGAATCCACAAGCTAATTTTTCTGTAAATGAGTCTATAGTTGAAAAAAATTTGAAATATAATGAAGATAAGGACAATGAGACAGTATATGATAAACAGGAAGAAATAGATGAAAAAGTGTTAGTTAATGTATCGAAAAATGAAAATGATAAAAAAATTGAAAAAATAAACATGGAATATGTAGAAAAACAAGCGACTATCTTAAAAACAAAAAAAACCTCAAAGACAAAAAAGAGTACATCTAAACGACGTAATGAATCTCGATATACAGAAGATATTGAATATGGTTCAAAACCAAAAAGAGGTCGTGTACCAAAAGAACAACGACAGAAACTTTTAGAAATGTCTACATCAGCTATTTCTAATGCCAATTCTCTTGTAGGTCTTGGTATTTCACTACATGATTCTTGGTATAATCAAGAAATGTGTACATTTTTTCAGGATAAAGTTGAGTCTGATAGTAAAGAAAGTGATAATCCAGATTTTCCTTCTCACAGCGTCTTTCTTGCAAAAACAAAAGTATCTTGTAGAAAATATACTCAAGCACATTTACAAAAAAGAGGCGGTTCAATAGAAAAGTCTTTCATTTGTGAAATCATTGGTTGTGAAAAGAGGTTCCGTCGAAGCGAACATCTTAAACGACATATACGATCTTTACATACCGGAGAGAAACCGTTTTTATGTATAGTATGTCATAAAAGATTTAGTCGTTCTGATAATTTAAATCAACATTTAAGAGTTCATAAAATCTCTAACGCTGATAATCAAAATACATTAGTAAATAAAAGACGAACTAGAATGGCGGCAAAAAAACTTAGATACCATGATTCGTCATAGTAATTCATTTCAAAAATAGTACATTTCAATTAATTATTTACAAAAAATTTAATTATCTTGGCTTTGATATATGAATTGATATGTTAATTTTTTAACATCAATCTATGCTTCTATATTAATTTTAGCATTTTCATAGATGATATATTCCATCGTATGAGTAGCAAAAAAATAGTTAATCATTCATTATTTTAAAACTTTAATTTTTATATATATTTTTAACTTCACCGTTTACCCTGCCTCTTTTAAAATTTCTTAACAATTGGTAAACTTAATTATTAAATAATTAAAGCCTATTTTTAACTAATATTTTAAGGAAATATTCTATTTTTATTTAAATTTGTATGAATCATGTCTTTTAAGCAGTGTTTTAGTGCTTTTCAAGCATCTACACGAGTATCTATTTTTACAGTTAAAAACAGTGCACGTAGATTATATTCTACAAGTACAAAGTCATCATCAAGAGGGTTTCTATATGGCGGAGTTCTCATAAGTGCATCATTATTAGGATGCGGATATTATTACTATAATTATAGAATGGATTCTTATGGTTTTTTAAAATATAAAGATAAGGTCCAAAAAGATTATCATAAAGTGTTAGTATTGAGGGGTTATGATGCTCTATTTTGAAGATATATGTTAGATATCGCGAGATTGCGGAATTGATGAATTCTGAAGAAGTAGAAGATTATGATGATGGTTCACTTGGACCGATTTTAGTTCGTCTTGGATGGCATTCGTCAGGAACTTATAATAAAGAAACTAATGCAGGCGGATCTAATGGAGCAACAATGAGATTTGAACCGGAATCTAAGCATTCAGCAAATGCAGGACTTGATGTTGCACGAGAAGCATTAGAAAAAATAAAAAAAAAGAATCCATGGATTAGTTATAGTGATTTATGGACATTAGCAGCAGTTTGTGCGATTCAAGAAATGGTATTATTGTTTTTATATATTTATTAAAAAGAAATAATTACATATTAGTCTGGTCCGTCTATTCCATGGCGTCCTGGTCGTGTAGATGCGGATTCTACGCGTTGTCCTCCTGATGGTTTATTGCCAGGTGTATTAAAAAAGTTATTAAATATATATTTTTTAATATATTTAGATGCATCAAAAGAACAAAATCATTTAAGGGATATTTTTTATCGTATGGGATTTAATGATCAGGAGATTGTTGCTTTAAGTGGAGCACATGCTTTAGGACAATGCCATACTGATCGATCTGGTTATACTGGTCATTGGACGTAATGAAAATTATGTTTTTTTTTTATTATTCTTATTTTTATGTTAGTTTTTCTCCTACTGTCTTTACAAATGAATATTATAAGATGCTACTTAATGAGAAATGGAATTGCAAAAAGTGGGATGGGCCAAAAGTATTTTTTAATTATTTATTTTTTATTTTTATTAATATATTCAGCAATTTGAAGATAAATCTAAATCTTTGATGATGCTTCCTACTGATATTTCTCTTATAAAGGCAATTATTTACATTTATATTTGCTTTATATTACTAATTTTAATAGGATAAAGAATTTAAAAAGTATGTTGAACTTTATGCAAAAGATGAGAAGAAATTTTTTGAGGATTTCTCAAAAGCCTTTAGTAAACTTTTAGAATTAGGCGTTCCACATTTTGATCAAGAACCTATTATATTTAAGCATATCGTTGATTGATTATTTTCATATATTTTTAAGTTTTTGATATTTATATATTTTTTTAAATCTTATAATTTCTACTAACAAATAACAATTTAACAATTGATTTAGATATTTTTTAGTTTTCTTTTAGATTTTTATCTATATATTTTGATAATTATTTTTTAAACCGTTAATCACTATTTATCAAAATTTATTTCCAACTATTTTATTAACAATTTAACCTTATAACTTAAATAAATAAATTAATAAATTTCTTATATATTTATATTGTAATTTTATTCTAAGGAGATTTGTATTTACTGTTTTTAAGAAAATAAGGTATTTGTTAACTTTTTTTTATTTATATTTAACAAGATTTTAAGAAAAAAGGTTATTATTAAGGGAATATATAGTATTTCTAGGATGAAATGTCAAAATTATATGTTGTTTGTTTATTTTTACCAAATACATTAAGCTTTGACTTGGATGAAACAGATTCTATTAAACTTAATCCACAAAGATCAAAATATAAAAAAGAACCTATTCCTCATCTTATAAATAAGCTTGCATCATGTTCAGAGAGCTTCCAAGATGCAAACAGTAATATATCATTAACTAATGATCAAGAAAGTCAATTTTTTTATTTATTAAAAAATGAAAATATTATAGAAAATGAGAAAAAATTTAATGATGAAGATGAAATATTTGAAGGTAGAAAGAAAGAACTAAATCAACCGAAATTTAAATCTCGTGTTTCATCTTTATCAACAGTTATATCACAAATACCAACGAAAGGAAAAATATCATATACGATGCAAAATTGTCCTTATGTACCTATTTTAACATCAAGAAGACGCCGTTCATCTTTTGATGTTAATTTATTTTCAAAAGTGCCATGGACAATTGAATCGAATGACCAAAGTAATGTTGGTCTTGGAAATGCAATTCGTGCAGCTGATAAATCTGGGAATTTACAAGAACATATGTTTATTGGATTACTGGGAATACCTACAGATTCTCTATCTATTTTAAGAAAACATGAAATTGAACAAGAATTTATAACTAGATGTCGAAGTATTCCTATTTTTGTTTCAGATAATGAATTTGATAATCATTATAATTATTATTGTAAACAGGTATTTATAAATTTTATTTAAGAGGCATTTTAATCTATAAAGATTCTTTGGCCTATATTTCATTATCAAATACCAGATATTCCTAAATTTAAAATGTATCAAGATTATTCTTGGAGTCATTATGTTACTTTGAATCAAGCTTTTGCAAATAAAATTATAGAAAATTATAATGATGGTGATATTAGTATGTTTTCTTATTTTAAATAAATAAGATTTAATTATTTTTAGTTTGGATTAATGATTATCATCTTCTTTTAGTTCCTCAAATGATACGTCAAAAGTTACAGTATGCAATGATAGGATTTTTCCTACATATATCATTTCCTTCATATGAAGTATTTCGTTGTCTTTCTGGTTAGTTTTATTTTTTTTTTATATAAATAAATTATTCATATAAAATTAAGTTAGAAAACAACTTTTGGAAGGGATCTTGGGTGCTAATGTTATTGGGTTTCAAACTGATGAATATGCGTATCATTTCCTTCAGACTTGTACCAAATTACTTAACGTAAAAATGTCATCTCGAAATATACAATTTGAATCTTCATTTATCAACATATGTGATCTTCCTATTGGCATTGATCCTGATAATTTAGAGAAAAAGAAAACATTGAGCTCTGTTAAGTTATGGATATCATTATTAAAAGAGAGATATTCTGGGAAATCTCTAATTGTTGGACGAGATAAATTAGATGAAATTAAAGTTTCTTTCTTATAATATTTTCTATTAAAAATTAATTGCCATAGGGAGTACGTCAAAAGCTACTTTCTTTTGAACATTTTCTAAATAAGCATTCTGAATGGAGAGAAAAGGTATTTAATATATATATATATATACATATATATGTTAACTAAAAGAATAGGTGGTTTTAATTCAAGTTGCACTTCCTACTAGTGAAGAAAATGAAATACAGTCCCAAGTATCAAATATTGTATTAAGAATTAATTCTACATATGGAAATTTATCTCATCAATATCAACCTGTAGTATTTCTTAGACAAGATATCACTTTTTCTCAGTATCTTGCACTTTTAACAGTTGCAGATGCTTTTTTAGTTACTAGTCTAAGGGAAGGCATGAATCTTACAAGCCATGAGTTTGTGTTTTGTCAGCGTGGAAACTATAGTCCTTTAATTATAAGTGAGGTATAAATATTTAATTATTTTTGAAATATATTAATCTATTAGTTTGTTGGAAGTGCTGTTCGTTTTAAAGATGCTGCAATTACAATAAATCCATGGAATATAAATCAAGTTTCTAACGCTATTTATCAAGCTCTTACTATGTCAACTAAAGAACGTTTAACACGCTGGAAGAAACTTTCAGACATTATTATGAATCATGATGCAGCACATTGGGCTATAAATTTTATTAATGAAATTAAATGCAATTCTTTTTCTCAGGAAAAAAAAGATAGCATGCTCTTAAATTGAGTTGGGTCTTTTTGTACAAAAATATGGCGATTTAAAAATTTGTATTTTTTTAGGTTATGAAGGAGTTTTTTTTTCAAATTTGACAAGTCATTTGGACGATTTTTTTGTAAATAAGGAAAAGACGATCTGTTTTATCGTTATTAGCATTAAATCCTGAAAATAATGTTTTTATATAATCAGTCATTCTAATATTTAAATATTTTGAAACAACGACAAATTAAAGTTAATAATTTTAAGGATACTGGAAAGGCTTATTGGGAAAATACCTAATTTTGGCTTTATGAAGCAAGACATATATTTGTTATAATAATAATCAGATTAATTTTGTCTTTGGAAATGATATTGCTTGGAAATTTCTCTTAAAGGATTTTTTCATATTATTTTGAATCTATTCTTACATAATATGAATAGGTTATAATTGATTTTTAACGGTTTTTCTTATCTATACTAGGTTGGAAAATGACTTTTTTCATTATTTTTCATTACAATTCTGGCTATATACAATTCTTATACGTCTTAGTGTCTTTAATCACACATATACTCTATTTCTTAATAATTAATTAGAAAAATTGATAAGTTTACGAAGTATGTTAATTATTCATTTTCTGACACATCTTGTCATACTATTTTTATAAAAATACAGTTATTTCTGGTATATTGGAATATACTAAAGAGTTATTTGGTAATTCAAAAAAAGATAATTTTAATTGCTGGAGACAATAAAAATGATGAAAATATTTTTGACTGGTTTATTGAATTCAATAATAATAATGAAACAGATCATATTTCTTGCTGTAAATATAAATACTAAGGATATAAAAGCGTTAATTTTAGTGAATTTTTAATTAGTTTTTAATTTTAACTTCTAGTTTATATACAAGTTGATAGCTTTTCTCAATATTTTGAAAATTTCAAAAAATTGGCAATTATTTATATATGGGAATAGTAAAGTTATAGAAATTAAATTAAATGGTTAATAAGATATACAAAGGTCTCCATTATTTCTTTATCGTTAAAATATGATCCATCAAAACTGTTTTATTCGATATTATTAAATATAAATAACTATATCTTATGTTGTCTCTTATTAAATATGTTTTTTTCATAAAAAATCTAAGAGTTTCTCTTTTATTTTTATTTATTGATATATTGATATTTCATTATTAAGATTGATATTATTATTTAGAATGAAAGGAATATATTAAATATATATTATAAGAATACGGGAATATGCAAATTTTAATTATTTTCTTAGTTCTTATTTCAATTTCATTATATCTAAAATTTATGGTTTATTTTTGTTAACTTATTTTTAAAATAATGTTTTTAAAATTCTTTTATAAATGATAGCAAATATTCTATAGCTTTAAATTTCTATATATTAGAATATATCTTACATTTTGAGCAATGATTAATCTTTATTGAAATGATAATGATAATAAATATAATAAAAGGCAATATATATGATATAGTGGAACAATAGTTCAATTTATTAAAATTATAAAGATTTATAAATAGATTATATTATTGCTATAACTAATATTATATAAATGTATTTACATTATTATAAATACTTCTTTCATATTAATTGAAAAATATAAAATATAAATGCCTAATATTGGATTCTATTTATTACTATTAGCATATTTCATATTGAATAATAGTTATTAAAATTATCTTTTATAAAAATAGTTTAAGAAGTTGTAAAATATATAAATTTACATTTATTATTTAAATAAATTACACTAAATATAATTATTTTAATGTTTTATTTTGAATAATAATTTTGTATCAATTTTTTCTAGAAATTTATTAAAAGTAATTTGTTAAACTCAAATATCTAATAAAATAATATCTATATTTCATTATGGTTTTTATACTATTAAAAAAAAAAAACAAAAAATAACATTTATTATTAATTTTAGTTATATGAATTTTAAATAGTGATCCTTATATATATAAATAAAAGACTAATTGATCATTATATCTAAATATATTCGTCCATTAAGAAAAAATTCCTAATTCTTTTTTTTTTTTTCAATTGATACACTTTATAAAAATTAATTTTAATATCTACATTGTAAATTTCATTGATAAAATTATATTATATAAAAATCATTCTTCTCAATTAATTTAAATAAACTTTCTAATATACAAAAATATATAATTTAAAGAATTCATAATTCGTTTTTAATTACAAGAGACTTTAAATCAAAATTTTTATAAATATTTTTAATCCAAATTTTTGAATAATATAAATACAATTTTTTTGAATATAAATACAACTTTTTTCATTGTTCAATTTCCCATTTAATTTTTAAAATATAATAAATATATCATTTTCATTTAATTCAATTAATTTTACAATATTTTATTTTTCAAAAGATAAATAAATATATTTAAAACTTTATAAAAAAATTAATTAAAATTATTATATTCAACATTAAAAATAATCTTTACATTTAATTCTACATTAAAAATCTCTAAAAAATAAAATATTATTAAAATATTTAATCTCATAAACTATAAATTCGTTATTTTTTCTTATTTAATATTCAATTGTAAAAAATATTACATATAAAAAAAAACATTTATAAAACTCATTTAAAATGATTTCTTAAAATATATTTAACCCTAAACCCTTTTATTACACCTATTTTCCATGATTTTATAATTTTTACTCTTCATACATTTAACTTCTTTTAATACAAATATATATAAAATAACAAAAATATTAATAAATTATAATATCAATTCACTATTAAGTAACTTAATTGTAAATTATAACTCTAATTTTTTTATTTAACTAATTTTTCTATTTATCTTTTATATTACTTCCTTTACATACTCTTTTTTTTTTTTTTTAATAATAAATACCTCAAATTCTATCACTTTAACACTTATATTTCTACACTTTTCTAATATCATCTCTCTATATTCTTTGTTTTTATATTCATATATTTATTATTATTATCATTTATTTACATATTTTATCATTAATATCCTTATTTATATAACTCTTAAATAATTATAAAAATACTTATTTATCTTATTGATCTTTCTATTATTAAATACATCCTTTTATTATCAAACTTATCCATCTATTTTATAAAACACCACACTTTACGTTAAACCCCTTTTACTTAATAATTAATGCATTTTTATATACAACCCTAACCTTTTCTTTCCCGCTATTAAAAATAAAGAATTAGCTCATTAATTACTTTTTATAGTGATTTTTAACAAACATTAACATTCCTTTTATACTATTTATAGAAAGTTTATATACATAATTGGTTTAAACCCTAATTTTTGTGATCATCGGAACACATCTTACTTAGCATAAAAAGTAATACACTAACCCTAAAAGAATACATATGAAGCATACAATCTTGTGAAGATATTTTTAGAAAATTACATTCAAACTTGTTCTATGACAGATAATTTTGCATATAAATAGTTATATAACCTTTAACCATTGATCAAAGGATTAATATATATATATTATTAGTTATTTAACAGTTTTTCAGGTAATTTAATAAATAACAATATTTTGGTTAATTTTAAAAAAGAAGATAATAATAAAAGTGAAAGATATTGAGGCGCATATATCTTGATATTTTATCATTAAACACGCATATATAAAGGAAAAATATTTTTATTTAAAAGAAATACGGATATATTAGATAAAAATTATAAAAACATGTTATCAAAGCCTTTTTCAGATCCAGTACTTTCATTAGTATCTAATAGTATTGAAAAATTGAGTATATTGGATCTAGAGAACTTGTCGTGTATTTGGACAGGTAAATTTAAATAAAAAGAAGTTTTTAAGAGTAATTTTCTTATAATTTTAGTTTTTACAAAATGCGCGGAAAATCTTGAAAATGGGCATCGACTAGAAAATTTATCATGGCGTCTTTGGTATAGAACGGCGCTTTTTTGTAAAGAAAATACATTATCGAATATCGATGAAACAGATAGTGAGGAATCAATTACGTCAATAGAATATTCAAAAAATAAAAATCTTAATATGCCGGAATTATCGACTAGTATAGAATCAGCGTCAACATTAGATGAACATGAGATGAAGCAAGTTTCTAATTATGAAACATCTAAAATACCTACATTTGTACCAAGTCGTTTAAAAAGACCAAATACAATGCAATATGTTTCACCAGGTCGATTTCAAAAAATTATTTCAGATTTGTCACTTTTTAAAGTTGAAACAGAAAAATGGAAGAATGATAAAATGATATTAAAGCATAATTCGCATGAAAATTGTATTTCTGAACCTTTAAAAGAAAGTAAAATGGATTATGTTTCACCAAAGGATTCTGAATCATTTACTCAAGGCATTACGTTTTTATCCGATATGCATCAGCCTCTTGCATCAAATATAAAGCCGATATTTCCTAATGAAGAATGTTTGAATTTAATTGAACACGTTGAAAATATTTCTGATTTTTTTGCAAATAAAATTACACATGAAACACACGTACAAAATCATTCTATACAAACGTCAAAACACATGGAAAAGACAGATAAAATCTTTTTTATTCAAGAAACATTACCAGCAGACTCGTATATAGAATCTTTTTCGAAAAACTGCTTTAAATCAAATCCATTAAAATTATCATCTAAATCTTCTATTAGGCCTAAGTCTACAAAACATATTACATTTGAAAAACCGTCTAGTGCATCATCATTTGAAACATTTAATAATGAACAATCTAAATATAATATTGACTCTATAGATAATGATGATGATAATGATTGGGATTCTATATATGACTCTAGCGATTCTTCAGTCACAAACGATAAACCTATATTTCAGAAAATAGACACGCGCTTGTTACAATTACAACTTAATCCTCAAAGGTCTTTACTATCTTTTATGCTGCAAAATAAAGTTAATGGGAATTTAATCAATTCATGTTCTAAATCATCTCCGGCTATTGCGTTATCACAAACTTCTATTTCGTATTCTATTTCTAAGCAAATGCCTCAAAATATCCAATATCATACAACTCGTATGGAGAATCAATATCCATTAGTGATATCTCCTCGAACAATACGTAGGAATATGTTTGCTACAGAGTTATCGGAAAGTCTTCGCAAGAATTTATTATGGGAGCGTCAACAAAGAGCATTAACACCATATGCTACATTAAAACGTCGTCATACTGAATTCGATGTTACAAAATTAAACGAATTTTCAGACAAATCAGATGGAGAAAATTATGATTTCTTTCATGATATCAATTATAGTTATCATGTTGCTGGATGGTGAAATACAGTTCTTTTATACTATTTATACCAATTAAATATCTTATTTAAATGAAGATACATGAAATGCTTGAAACATTATATAAAAGAAATAGTCACTACTCATTTCTGAAAATTATAACCAAGGAATGACTATTTAAAAGTATAAGTCTAGATAGTCAAATTTATTATTTAAGTTTGACTTGAGAATCGGCTTTGTATATAGGTATCGATTTAACAGGTTTTTATATGGGTTTCATTGCAATTTATATTTTCTTGCGTTAAGAAATATTTAATAGAATTTTTGAATTCTTATTAAAATTTTGAAGAACTGCATTTTATGCCTTGATGTATTATTTACATCATTATAAAAAGGTATATTGTTATAATAAATATTATTCAGAATCACTTTTATAAGAAACCAGCCCTTGAGATGTTTGAGAATTATCATTAATTATAAGTGTTTGTTCAGATGTATTAAATTTTAATGGTCGATGTTGAGTAAAAATAGAATGTTGGGTAATAAAATGGTCATTTTTCATTCGTGTATTTAATTTTAATTGTCTAATAATATTTCCTTTATTTGATTTATGATGAATCGAAACAGGTGATGTTTTTTGAACAAAAAGTGGCAATGAATATATTTCTTTTTTCGTTATTTCAATCAAATCATCTATTTGAGGTTGAAAATCAACAAGTTTAGCCTGTAAATTATCTTTTGGATCTTTTTTAGCTAATATAATTCCAAGAGAATTCCGATTTCTAATCTCTTCATCGCTTTCTTTTTCTTTTTTTAACATTTTCTTTTCTTCCTAAAATAATTAATTATAAATTTAATTACAATTTCATTCAACTCTAAATATTTTACGTAATTTCGATGACACTGAATACGGATCTGCCCATTGTTTTTCATTCAATTCATATAATTGTGTCAATAATGGAATAGATTCTTTAGCTTTATTCATATCAGTTACACTTTTTTCAATTTTATAAAAAGGATCATCTTTATAATCCTCTTCTACATCATCTAATATAATTATTAAATTAATTCTTACATTTTTTTTCTTTTTTTTTTTGCTCAAAATATACCTTTAGATATTACCACTCCTTCTCCATCTGTTGATTCCCATTTCTCATTTTTTTGTTTTGCTCCACTAATTACAACATATTCCGTATTCTATATCTAATATTAATATATAAAAATTCTTTTTTTATACACACTTTAGGATCCGTTTGAATCTCAAAAACTCCTGAACAAAGATGACATTTCATTCTAAAACTCCATATTGGTGTACTATAATAATTTCCTACTCTTTTTTTTTCTGCATTAAATCTAACTCCTTGTCCAACTCAAAAATATTAATATATATATATATATATAAAATATTGTCTTTTCATACTATGATTATTGCATGTTTCACACCAAATACTATATGGTAATTCAAAACGTACAATTAAAATCCTTCCTTAAATAAGAAATATATTATTATTATTATTATCATTATTATTAACCCTTTATCAAGTTTTCTAGCTCTATTACCAAGAGCATGTGTTCCATGAAGCTTATTAAGCCCTTTTCCTTCTTTCCAATCATAATCTGGTGGATAATACTATTAAACTTAAATAAATATAAACATAATATTTCTTTAAATTAACCTTATTAAATCCTAAACAAAATGTTAATATATTAAGAAGTTAAATTTTAATGATTTACCTTGCATTATTAAAAAAAATAAGGATTTTCTTAAGTATTTTTAAATATTTTTTAATATTTTTTAATTATTTTTAAGTATTTTTAAGTATTTTTAAGTATTTTTTATTAAAATATTAAGAAATCTCGAAGTTTATCAATCAACTAACCTTTAAAAATAAAGTTAAAAACAAAAAATGTCTAAAAAAGGAGAGAATTGTTAACATTTTTTATAAAAAATATAATAAAATTTAATTATTTTATAAAGGTTTTATATAAAACAAAAAAATCCTTTTTTTCCAGTTTTATATGAGTCAAAATACAATTAATAATTATTATCCTTCAGAATATTCATTTTCAGAAAGAAAACCTCTTAGATGTACATCACTTCATCATTCAATACAATTAAATTCAAATGAAGAATCAGAAAGAGTTTTTAATAATAATTTGTCTAATGAAACGAATTTTTTACAAGGATATGAGACAAATATATATGAAAATGAAAATAATGAATATATAATACATGGAATGAATGATAAAGAAGCACAGAATAGTTCATCAGATGAAGAAAGAGGGATTAATCAAGTAGAAGAAAAAAATGTATATTTTACAGATTATGAGGCAAATATATCTAGAATAAATAAGAAAGAAGGAATTAGAATAGAAAAAAAGCCATTTTTATTGGGAGAAAATAATGAATTGAATAAGAAAAGAATGGTTTCAGGTATTTTTATTAATAATTAAAAGATAAAATAATTATGAAAGAATTTTATCAAAAAGAATTAGATGATATTGATTTATTTACAATGCCATATGTTCAATCGGATGCAATTAAACGAGTAGTGATTAGAAATAATTCATTAATTGTAATTCATTAACTTTTTTTTTTTGGAGATAATTAATCATTATATAGCCTAAACCTAAAATGATTCAAAGAATTGCAGAAAGTTTACTTGAAGAATCATCACCAGCTGATTCTGAAATAAAAAATGAAGCACTTCTTTCAGAAATATTACGAAAATCAAGATATATTGGTGGTTGTATAAATTCATATAATAATATTCAAAAAAAAGAATTAAACGATATAAATAATAATTCATTTATAACATCAATTCATAAAAATGATTTACATTCTAGAGAGATTACAGATTTATTTCCTGTTAAAAAGCCATCCTCTATATTTCAACAAAAACCAAATACTGATTGGACTGTAATATTAAAAACATTTATATATTCCAATTAATATTTTTTTTAGGTAAAAAGCAATCCAATGCTTTCTCCTTCACCTATAAAGAACTTTATGCAAAATGTAAGAACTTCTAAAAGAAAAGGTATTTCTTTTTTTTTATATATATATATTAATTATTTTCTATAGTTAATTCTGATGAACGATTCGAACCATATCTTTCTTTTAAACGAAGAGCTGTTTCTCCCAGTCTTGGAAGTAGTAGTCCTACTTTAACAACAAATAGTTCACCTCTTTCTTCTAAATTTAATATTTTTCCTATGCAAGGTTTTTTTTTTAAACATAATTATTATTCAATTCTAATTTATTTTTATAAAGATACCAACGATAGTTTAATGAAAATGAGTTTACAATAAATATTTACACAATATTATTATTACTTTTTCAAAAACTTTGATATACAAATTTTTCCCACTTTATTTTTTTATAAGTAGTTTATAACTTTTTTTTTACAAAAAAAAATATATCATTCTAATCATTTTATTTTATTTTTTAGATCATTTTTCAGATCATTTTTCAGATCATTTTTCTACATAATTTTAAATTATATTTTATCCTTTTTATATTTCCCTCTCAATAAGATTAAGCACAACCCTAAGCACAACCCTAACCCTGACGTACACGACCGAGCCCCGCCCCCGCATAACCCTAACCCTAACCTACACTAAACCCTACGAACTACAACCTAACCCTACGACCTAACCCTAACTACTACCAACTAAGACCTAACCCTAACCCGACTCCCCCCTCCAACTCCTCCCTTTTTTTACTCAAAATAGCTTTAAACCGAACTATTTTTTAACTAAAAATTAAACGATTTATTTCTTTTTTAACATCACTTTAAACACCTCTTTTCTATTTATATATAAATTTTTATTTATTTCTATTTTTATTATTAATGGATTCCTTTTCATATTAATTCATTCTCTTCTATTTAAAAAAATTCTTATTATTCTATCTTTCTCTATTAATTACTATCTTGTTCTATAATATATCCCTTATTTATATTAAAAATCTTGTATTTTTTTAAATCTTTTTTAATATTTTCTAATGATTTTTAATTATTTTTTTTTCTTTTAAGATCCGATAAAAAAAACCTTTCCGTTGGCGCCATTTTTTCTCTTAAAAGAGATCGATTGTTTTTAATATAAAAATAAGCGTTGACGCCGTTTGTGAAACATCAACTTAGTCGTGGCCCGATTTTCATTGAGTCAGTGTTTTAGTGGATTTTCCCTAAAAAAATCTTAAGTCGTATATAGTTCTACACTTTTTTTTTCAAGATCGAGATTAACTATAGTATTATAGAGCAAGACATTAATATTTGATTTCAAGCCTGCCTATCACTACCGAACAGCCTCACGGCCTGCCGTGTCCGGTTCAGACAGTGGATGTCGCCACTTTAGCTGAGCCTAAAATGGATGCATCGGCGCCGTCAGAAGAGTATTATAATGATACGATATCAGGTCATGTACTTCATGGACGTACGGGGTCGATTGGAGGAACGACGGGGGAGCAACGATGGCCGACGTATAATCGGGGGAATTTAGAGCATAAGCATGGACCAATGTTTGAGCATGAAGCGGAATGTACGACGTTTTCAGGGTTACCACCGCTTTCACAAGCATTTAATGCATATCCACATTATCCTCGAATGGGGGGTAATTATGTAGATACGCCGTATTCACCTCATACACAAAATGCGATTCATTTAGGGCAATCGCATGCGGTAGCGGTGGCGTCTAGAGGAGCGCAAGGGCCGTATGGATATAATACATCGTCTAATGGTAATATTTTTTTTTTAAGGGAATTTTTTTAATAATAATTTTTAATGAAGATTTACATGGTTATTTCGGTCATAATCCTTCGAATGAGGAGCTTTTTCCATCAAATCCTCATTATGTGAATCATCCGCCGTCAACATCATCGGGAAATCTTGGGTCTACAGCAATTGGAACAACGCCACCATTAGGATCCTCACTTAATTCGAATTCAAATACATCATTGAACTCAGTTCCATCGAATACAGCGACATATCCACAATCTAGTCTTGATTCACGATTACCAATGAATGGTCAGCCCCATCGGCTTTCATCTGCATATTCATCTAATTTAGTTCATCCATCTATTGCGCCATTAGCAACAGAATCATCGGCACAACATTTTTGGCCGAATTATGCTATGCATGGTCATACAGTAGCAGATCGTACTACATCGAATAATGGATTTAGGTCATCTTCACCGATTAATGCCCTTAGACAGCCTATGACGATGCCGACTGGAATGAATTTGCCATATAAAGCATCGAATAAAGTGAAACAAATATATTCGTTTGTTCCGTTGCCTGGTGCACAAACACAAAAACGTCCACGACGACGTTATGATGAGATTGAACGAATTTATCAATGTGGATGGAATGGTTGTGAAAAAGCATATGGCACATTGAATCATTTGAACGCGCATGTTTTTATGCAAGGGCATGGCGAAAAGCGTACACCTGATGGTAAGATTTGGTCATTTGTTAATGTTTTACTCTCTTCGTGTTTTATTATTTCTACTTTGTTTTTACCTTTTGTTTTGTATTAATTTTGAGTTTTAATTAATTTTTTATAGAATTTAAGGAGATCAGGGCTGTTTGGAGAGCAAAAAAGAAGGAAGAAATCAAGAAAAAGCAAGCAGAAGATCAATTGCGCCAGGAAGAGCAAAAACGGCATGCATTGCCCTCTCCACAGCTTTCTCGACAACTTTCTTCGATTCCAGAATCACAGTCGCATCCGCCTAATTTATCGCATGTTGTATATGCTCATTTACCTCAGCCATTACCAAACGTATATCCTTATCATCCTCAGCAAACGCCACTTTCAGAATCTTCTCATCAACACCCTTATCCGGCATCAACGTATCATACATCCTTATTACCTCATTTAAATCAATATACAGCTCAACCACAATCTTATCCAAGCAACAATAGAGACTTTAAATCACATGCTGATGAGGAGGATCGGGATGCAGAAGGAGAGCCTGATCCTGAAACTTCTGGATAAATCTTTTGATATATTTTTCAATATTTTTATTTCTACAGGCACTTGGTGATATATGTTTTATATTAACGAATAAAGTATACATATGGTTTTTGTTTTCATTTGTTATTGAGTTATTTTGACTATGAAATCAGTCGTACTTAAGGATTTAAAACGGGATAAATTTTTGACAATCTAACAAATTTATTCTTATTAGAATATTTCGTTACAGTACATAATTCATAATTTCTAAAAACAGTGAAAGGCTATTATATTATCGTCTGATTTTGCTATTTCTAATGATATTTTTTTAAATAACAGATATATCTAGACATTTATAAGATTATTGTATATATTATATTACATTTTGATTATATTAAACATTTTTAAAAAGATTTTAAAAAATATGCTTTTTAAACAAAATTAATAATATTTAAATATTTAATTAAGTACCAAGTGTATGGTTTAATATTCAAGTGGCTACCATCTTCTAATAGGATTTAAAGGTGCACTATTTGACCCAGTCCAAACGTTACGTCCTCGATTGTTACCAATATATTTATTATTACCATAATTAATTTTGGACATTTCTATTAAGGCAGGAGGAATTTCCTGTTTAGAATCTCGTAAAACCATTAAAAGATCACGAGCCTGTCTTGCATTATCTGTAGTGAAAAGAGTTACTGCAGTTCCTTTAGCACCTGCTCTACCCGTGCGACCAATTCTATGAATATAATCCTCAGAACTATTCGGATAATCATAATTAATAACCTAATATTATATTAATAAAGAAAAAATTGAATATTATGTTTAAACATATTTAACATCTTTAATATCTAAAACCATATTAGTTATTGTATAAATTTCAAACTGCCTCAATTCGCATTCATAACTCTCTTTTACCAATCTCATGAAAATAAATGTAATTTATATGCAGATAACCGAATATTAATATGATTCAAGGTGCATTTTTTGAAAAACCCCTCATATTATATCCATTGAAAACAAACTTACAGTTCTACGTTCTCAGGTTGTTTGCATGAAATAAATCAATACTTATAAAAATATTACATAATATAAACATGAGAAAATTATAGTAAAGAGAGCAAAAATCTTGAAAAAGGCAAAGGAATAATTTTTTCATACCAATACCACGTGATGCTACATCAGTTGCAACCATAATAGGAGATTTTCCTGTTTTAAATTCATTTAAAACCCAGTCCCGTTCACTTTGCTGTTTATCGCCATGAATTGCTAGTGCAGGCCAACCATCTTGCCGCAAATATTTTGTGATATCATCAGCAATTCGTTTAGTCGAAACAAAAATCAATATTCTATTCTCATTATCTTCCATAGCACTTTCTAGATGTTTAATCAATCTAATTATTAAAAAGATGAAAAACAAATATAAATAAACTGACTTTCCACGTTTATCATATTCAGAACATATTTCAACAATTTGTTTGATATCCAAATTTACATTAAGATCTAAAGAACCAACATTAACCTGAATAAAATCTTTTAAATAATCATGAGCTAGTTTTTGTACATCTTTTGGCCATGTTGCAGACCACATTAATGTTTGACGATCTGGTCGTATCTGATCTACAATTTTTCGAATTTGAGGCTCAAATCCCATATCAAGCATTCTATCTGCTTCGTCTAAAACGAGATATGTAACTCGTCGAAGATTTGTTTTTCCTGATTCTAACATATCAAGAAGACGACCCGGCGTAGCAATACATATTTCAATTCCTATAAAAACATCAATCATTATATAGAAAAATATATTCACAAAAAAACCTGAGGCAAGTTCTCGTATTTGAGGTCCACGAGGAACACCTCCATAAATACAAGCTGACCTAATTCGTGATGATTTTCCGTACTTTGCACATTCTGTTTGGATTTGAACTGCTAATTCACGAGTTGGCGCAAGAACTAAAACAATAGGTCCATCGCCACGTGATAATAAAGGCTGTGCATTAATGTGTACAATTGCTGGAAGACAAAATGCCAACGTTTTTCCTGATCCTGTAGCTGAAATCCCTACAACATCTCGGCCTGAAAGTGCCTACTTAATCAGAAACATAATTATTTTCCATTCATATTCTACCATAGGCCATCCTTGTGATTGAATCGGTGTTGGTGATGAAAATCCCATACGTTTCACTTCATTAATAACATAGCTTGGAAATCCCGCTTCCTAAAAAATATACATTAAAAAATTCATTAGGCATAAAATTCTAACATCAAATGATGGAACCGGTCTAGGAACATTTATTCCTTGAACTGTAACTCCCCTTTTTTTCCTAAACGCTTCAACCTCTTGATCTGTCATTTTTTCAATATTTGGATGGGGTTTATAAAAATTCTTCTCAAATTTCGGCAAAGAACTCGAATCTTAAACAAATTAAACTATACTATTATAATCTGTCCAAATACCCCATTGTCTTTTCATAGACTTTGTATCTGATTTTGATGATCTATTAGAACTCATATAACCCTCTTGTTTTCCATATATATTATTATAAGCTGCTCCTTTAGACTTATTCATAGAAGATAGACTCTCATTATATATATTTCTATCTATTTTAGCCCTTTTTTCCGCTTTTTTTTCATTTTATTACTTTGATCCAATTTCATGATTAACATTGTTAAAACCATTTAAACGGGCATCCTTATAAAACGCTCCACAACTATTATGTTCCATAATAAAATACGTAAAATACCCAAATAAAGCCCTTAATTTGCAATAAAAAGGTGTTATTTTAAGCCCATAAAAAAGATAAAAAAATTTTGTAGGTTAAATGAGTGGACGATAAACCGTTAGAGAGCTTTATAGAGAGAAGCGCGTAGATAAAAAGGTATTAATTAAAACAGATAAGAGTTTAGATAGAAGTTTTAAATAGGTAAAACAAATAAATTGAATTATTTATGTATAGTTTTTATTTTTTTAAAGTCAATTATATATAAGATTAGTAATATATTACTAATAAGTATTAGTAATATAAAAAATGTTTATTGAGAAATATACAAGTAATTGTATAAGTTTAGTATATTTGAGAATAATTTGTAGATCAATAAGTTTAGATTAGGTTTTAATAGAAAAGAATTATAGAAAAAAAGATAAAGAGATATGAATAGAAATAAAAAAAGAGAAATATGTTATTAATTATATAAATTTTTTATTTTTTAGTGATATCTTTTTAATATTTGAATGAAATAAGTATAAAAAAATGTTTTTTTAAATAAAAATGGAAAAATTTGGTTTTATCTATGTTATAGATAAGAAATATAAATTATAGAGAAATCAAAGAATTAATATTAAAATGAAAAAAAAATAAGAAGCAATTGAAAAAATAGAATGAAATGAGGAGTATAAAAGAAAGATATTATTATTATTTATCTAAAAATTTATTATTAAATAAAAAAACAAAGATTTATTAAAAATCTAAAACAAAAATATATAAAAAATATGTATTTAAAGAATGTTTTTAATAGAAATAAATAGAAATAAAGAATAGTAGTTGAATCCTATTTTTATAGAGATTATTAGATAAAGACGCAGATCAACTACCAAAAAATAAAAAAACAGAATATTTTTAATAGAGAAGAGAAACAGATATGTTTCAAGAGAAATAAATGAATGCAGTTATTTCAGGTATTCGTCTTAAGGAATTCTCAAAATTTCTTGTTTGTTTGTCAAAAATTGGAGATGAATTATCTATAGAAGCAAGAAAAAACAATGTGAAAAAAGTTCAAGAAAAAAGACATAAATAACATATAAAATAGCTTTTATTATCGTCTATTAACTCTACGAAATCAGTATTTGGACTTGTTACGTTTGATTGTGAGGAATTTTTTGAAAAATATCAATATTTTCCATATGAACAATCATATGAAATAACATCAAAAAATAGCCAAAGTTTAAAATGCAGAGTTCAAATACGGGTATATAATGAGATTTACAAGAGAAAATAGTTGATATATAGTTTCTTCTTGCTATATTTAAGACACGAAACTTAGAAAATAGAGAAAACAAAAATGTATCAGTTCAAAAATGTGAACTTAGAATTATACGTCCAAATAATACGGAAAGAGAATACAGGTTAATTGTAAGATTTTTATGCAAGCACGGTAGCTATTTTTAGCTAAAAAGCGATTTTTAAATTTATAGGTGTATTAAAAACATACAAAATTACATATGAACAATGTCAAACGATGCACGCACTTTGTAACAAATCATTATGTAAAAATAGATGGAAAATACATTCTAGAATACTGAAGGAATATTTGGATCATTTTTCAGCACGAGCAGAAGAACTTACATTAATGTCGCAAAATGATAAATTACTTTTAACAAGTTTTACTGAAGGGCTTGTGTATGATAAAGGTATAAATATTTACTAAATGATGAAAATTTAATTATCTGTAGAAATTCTGAAACAACCAATACAAACAGCAATTTTATTAGATAAGAGAGACTTTGAAGAGATCTATTACGAAAAAGAAACGATTATTACATTTCCTCTTAAGGAATTTAAGGTATAAAAATTTATTTAAGAATTTGAATCTTATGTAGAAGGCGATTGTTACTCTTGGCGACTCAATGAATGTATTGTTAAATGCTTATTTTAATTTAGGAGGAGAACCTATTTTATTTGAATTTGAAAGAGAAGCATTATCTATTCGATTTATCTTTGCAACAACTTCAGATAATCCACAAGAAAATCTTGCACCATATAATTTAAATAAATCATCTAACTCAAATAACTTGCACATGCAATCACAAATTAATCATCATACAAATGATCATTTTTCTCACAATGGAACTACTTTAAATAACGAAATAAATGATAGTGTTATGGAAGATCATGAGGAAAGCATGCGCGATAATGAAAAATCAGCAAATTCAATATCAAAAGTAAAAAGAATTTAATTAAATAATTTGTTTAATCTATTTAGAATATTCTAAGCATAAATGATGCATTTAAAAAAGATGAAAATACAAGACATGTCTCTGAAAATGCTTATTATGCAGAAAAAAAGAAAAATGATATAGACGATACAGAAGATTCAGATGATGAAGTTGGCCCTACACAAAAAGAAACATGCATTAAAAGTATTTTCGACTAAAATTCTATCAATTCATAAATTCGGAAATATTTAATAAGATTAAAAACACTCATGTTTCTTTTTAATAAAATCATGAAGATTGCATTTTTAAAACTCTATCTTTTAATATTTGAATATCTTTATATTCATTTTCACTAAGGTATTTAGAATATTTGGTGAGATTAGAACATATACGAATTCCTGCTGAGATTGCATCATTTCTTTCATGCCTATTTTTCATATGACTTATTGCAAAAATTAACGATTTTAAATCGAATTGTTGTAAAAGACTTAACAAATCCAAAATACCATTTTTAGAAACAGTGTTATTAGCTATTTGTAAAAATAAATCAATAATGTGTAGATCTATTTTCATTTGATGCTGTATTACTATTTTTAATATAGTTTTTGCTATAATATAATCGCTATGTGTCCTATTTTTATTACATGCTTTCATATAGAGCAGTATTATATTGCTTTCTAAACTGGCCTGTTTTTGTATTGTATTTTCTATAACCTTATCAATAATACTTTTCGGTTTAGTGCGTACAAGTAACAGAAAATAATTATAATAATTTTTATAATCAGGAATAAGACCATAATTCTTGATTATGAAATCCCAATATTCAATTCCATATTCCTCTTTTTTTAATAAAAGGCATGCCAATAATATAATATTTAAACCTTTATTGCTAATCTTAATATATTTATTCTCTGATAAAGATGAATCCAAATTAAAATTATTAATAGATACATCAGTTTCTTTTTGAAGAGGTGGTATCATTCTTTTTATGCCAAAAAAGCGCTCAGCCAATGTAAAAACAAAATCAGAGTCTTTATGTTTTTTCCCTTGAAGAAAACATAAAAATATCGAACAAATTAGAGATTCATCAACAACAAAACCTTTCATATTCCATGCTTCAATAACTTCCTTCAACAATTCCTGTCTCTTATCATATACATTCATGTTTTTCATATTTTCATGACTTAAAATATTAAATAAAATAGTATATGTTATAGAATCAGCAGCAAAATTGCTTTTAGAAATATCCTTGAAGATCTCAAATGCCGCTTGAGATTGCTTAGTAACTGCACAAACATGAAGCATAGCATTGGTATGAATAATACTCAAACGATCAGCATATTTAGATGACCATAACGATTTATAAATATGAAAAGCATATGAAAAACTCTTAGGATGTGTCGAATTCTTAGAAAATCCACGTAACAATATAGTAAATGTCTGAGAATTTGGAAAATGTGATCTTTTTTTCATCTAATAGTAATCTATCAGTATTCAAAGTTTATTTTTCACCAAATATAACATACTTCATTAAAACATTTAAAAGCAAGATTGACTCTGCCATTATTCATACAATAATCAATAATATGATTCCATGAAACAGTACATGATACAATTTGATTATGATTACGCACTTTTATAATTGCATCTGTAATATTTCCTCGATTTAATAACATTTTAATTTCTTTAGACAAAATATATGAATCATGATGAAGCATTCTAAACTGTTTCACATATGTTATTCCCTGATGAATAAATAATCTCATTTTGTTGTATTTATCCATTTTTAACTTTTTTAAAGATTAGAATTTTTCTGTTTAAAAATTTTTAAATAGAAAAATTCTAATATATTATTTACTACATCCATTTCCTTTGAAGAAAAAAGCAGTATTCTATTAAAAGTTGAGATTTTGAAAAGGCCATTTTATCTAATCATTAGTCGTCTTTTAAAATTATCACGTGATATTAAGTTGTAAGTGAATCCAAAATTTTCTTCAAAATACATACAAAATCAAATACTTCTCCAAAAGTATTATAAAGAGGCACAGGAGCTACTCGAATTACGTCTGGTTTACGCAAATCAACAACAACACCATTAGCTAGTAATTGATCGAAAATGACTTGCGTAAAATCTTTATGAAAACATAAACTCAACTGAGCACCACGTTCCTCAGGATTACTGGGTGTAATGATTGTAAAATAAGCATTGGAACATAGAGTTAATAAAAGATATTCGAGATAACCAGTGAGTAAAATCGATTTTCGACGAATACTTGACATAGATACCTTGGAAAAAACCTCCAGACTACCTAACAATGAAATCATATTAAAAACTGATGGATTTGAGATCTGAAAACCCGAAGCGCCATATAATGAATCGAATTGCTCTATAATTTACAATTAATTATAATTGTTTTAAATTGAAAAATAATTAAGAAAATACATACGATTACTCATATTAAATCGAGTTTTTAAATCGTTTCCCCACCATCCTAATAATCTTTAAAGGTTAAAATATGAAATAATATTAAATTTAATATCAATCATACCTTGAACGATTATTTGCATGATATTCATGAACAAAAATACCACCAATACCACCAGGGCCAGAATTAAGATATTTATATGTACACCATACAGCAAAATCAACTTCCCAATCATGAAGCTTAAGTTCAATATTTCCAATTGCATGTGCCAGATCCCAGCCTACAATAATACCCTTTGATTTTGCATATTTTGTAATAGTAGAAATGTCAAATGCTTGCCCAGTATAATAATGAACACCAGAAAAAAAGATCATAGCAATTTCATTTGCGTATTTATCAATTGTCTGTAAAATATGTTCTGTTGTCAATGTATAGCACCCTTTTAACGGGGATACAGTCAAAATTTCTGTCTCAGAATTTAAACCATGCCAGCTAAGATGCGAAGCAATCGCATACTAGAATTCGTTAGATAAGATTAAAAGATAATCTAGAAAAAAATCTAAAAAATAATATATACATAATCTGATGAAAATGCACGATCCTCTATCAAAATCTTTCGTCTAAATCCCTCTGGCTTATAAAAGGACGCCATTAAAAAATGAATATTCACAGTTAGAGAATTCATTGCAACAACTTCATTTTTTTCTCCTCCAACTATCTTTGCTAACTCTTCTCTCACTGTTTCCTCTATTCTAACCCATTCTCTTCCATAAAAATGATCAAAATGTCCATTTACTCCCTGTTTTGCCCATACGTTCAATTCTTCATTTATTAACACCCGTATACGCTTAGACAACAATCCAAGTGAGTTTCCAGACATATAAATACACAGTTTATCTTTAAAACTAAGCCATTATTAAAATATTATATCTTTTTTTACCTAAAAATATTAAAAAATATTCTTATTTTTTTAATCATTTTTATTAACCTTCATTATTCTTTTGTACAGGCAATTCAAACTCATTTCTCAGCTCTTTTAACGAATCTTGTTCATCTAGATAATCCGAAAATTCTCTTGATATTGCAGTTAAAAAACCATTTTGCATCGCTACTTTTTCATAATCCATAATATACATCATTACTACGTACATAAAAATCCGTAATACCGATAAAAATGTCTATGCACTTTTACTTTTAAATGTCTCAACGCGTAATACACCATTTCTCTCCTTTAATACATATAACATTTCTTACACAGGTTTATACATTATCTTTTATGGCATTTATTATTCATTCTCTTCATAAACAACATAGTCGTTTTACATTCTTTTATAAATCAGCTTCATTTTCTTATGTACCATCGATTTCTCAAGATCGTTTTAAAATTGAGCTTACAGAACGTGCAGTTAACGTATATAGTCTTATTCATTAATACAATATGATATTTTAACTAATCTAATTTTTATATGAACTATAGCAAATTTTAAATATCGTTAAGAAAGAAAAAAATCCACAACTTTTACTCCGAGTTATCACGGAAAGCGGTGGATGTCATGGCTATCAAAATCAATTTAGTTTAACTGAGGAAATACAACATGATGATAGGTAAAAGATAGTTTTTTTTTTTTTTAAATTATATATAAAGGTTTTTTAATATATAAAGAGTGTTTGAGAAAGGCGGTGCACGAGTTATAATTGATCCAATTAGTTTAAGTCTAATTAATGGGTCTAAAATTGATTATGTTTCAGAACTTATAGGGGAATCTTTTAAAGTAATTGATAATCCACTAGCAAAATCGATTTGCGGGTAATATTAATTAAAAATAAGTCTATTATATTTAGATTTTGATTAGGTGTGAAACGTCTTTTGATATTGAGATACCAAAGAAAAAATAGAAAATATAAAACTATTTTTATTCATTAATAAAATATTTACTCAATACATGAGCCATTTAAACTATAAATATTGAATGTATTAACACATTTTGCGAATAAGACTGTTAATATTTTCTTCGCGATTTCCAGTATCACCTCCTTCAACATAATGTTTAAATTTTCTTGTTCTCCATCCACCATTAGGATTACTAAGTTTAAATGGCCACAAAAAATTTGAAACCTAAATGAAAAGTTAATATTATATATGATTTATAATAGTTATAAAATACTTGTTTGAAATTTGGTCCACATGTAACAATTTCATGAATTAAATCTTCCATCGAAATAATACCAAATTTACCAAGACTATCTTCAATCAAAGAATTGTCAGTTAGTGGAATACGTTGTTTATTAATCTTTCCATAGCCACGTTTATAAATAAGTTCACGAACCGATTTAAGATTTGGAGGCCCATATGTAACATATCTAAGAACCAATAAATATCAAGGTTTAATTTAATAGGAAACAAACGGTTCAACGAGTCGAAGCATATTAGCAGTGGCTTTCGTCACTCTAACAAACACTCCATTATTAATTTGAAGAAGACGCAAAAGCTGCAAAATCTTCTTAGGTTTAGGAGGAATTTTATTAATGCTAAAAATATTTAGAAAATATCATTAATAAAAAAATTAATACCCTTTAATTCTAATGACAAAAAAAAGCCTCGGCTCTGATTCAACATAAAAATTGCCCTCCCTTCTAGCTAATCTTCTTAAACGGATTTCTTCTCTCTCATTTTCCAGATATTCTTGAACATATTTTTCTGCACGTTTAAAAATAATGCCTCTTTTAACTTTTAAATTCTTTTACATATCAGCTTCTTCAAACAACATCCAATAACAAAATGACTAATTTCCTTAAATATTGCTTACAGCTCAGTCCCGAAAGATGGTATATTCGGGTAGCAACATCGTAATATATATACTAGCTCTACCTTATATGGACATCATCACTGTTGCAAGCAATAAAGAGAAAATAGTCTCTGATTCATATTAAATACCTTTCTCCTTTCAGCTAGGCGGATTTTCTTTTCAATATTCTCCTTATCAATTGCTTTTCTCTTTTTTAGCAGAGTTTCAGGAATAAAGACCTGATTTTCATTTTCACTATAAAAAAGTTAGAATCAATATTCAAAAACATATTATGTTTCTTCTAAAAAATCTCCTTATAATGCAATATTATATAAAGGTTTTGGTTCATTTTTTAAAATCTCAATTATTTACACGCATATATTCCACTTATTGAACCATATTCTCCAATTTCTTCAATATAACGCATATAATTCTGCTTTTCTAAGCGCATTTTTAAACAATTATAGACATATAAATCTTTTTTTGCTATTTTTTTAAGCAATTCTTTCAATATGTTTTTCTTTAAATATTCAAATAATATTCAATGAATTCTTCCTAATATTCAAGAAATAAAAAACTAAAGACAATAGAAGGCCTGTTTACGTATTTATTTATCTAATACTCACCTAAAAACCATGTTCCTTAACTTTTACAGGGAAATACGGATCGTAAAAGGCTTTTCAAGTACAAATCTCGTGACTAGTACCCTAACCCTTAAATAATTACTTAAGCCTTGTATTTTATAGATAAGATAAAATTATTAATATAGACTGGAATTATATTAGAATGCCAATTGACACATGTCAATTTTAAAATTTATAAAGATTTTATTAGTTATTTCTAAAATTAAGAGAAAAAGATATATTATATGTAGAATATAATGGTAAAATATTGAAAAGCATTAAAAGAAATTATAATCAATAATACAAAATATAATTAATAATACAAAATAGAATTAATAATACAAAATAGAATTAATAATACAAAATAGAATTAATAATATAAATTATAATTAATAATATAAATTATAATTAATAATATAAATTGTAATACAAGTTTAAAAGTAAATTTCGGTTTGTTAAAAAAATACAAGAAGAAATGTCTGTATCATTCCAACTATAAAATAAAAGAATAAAAGACCTGATATTTTAAGAGAGTTTCCTAGATTATAACTTTTCGTTTATATTTTCGTAATCCGTTTTTTCTGAACTAAGACTTAATGAAGGAAAATATTTTTTCGTACAATCTTTCATAGCATATGAAAATTCCTCAATCTATTATTATAAACTTTTTTAGAAATTTCTAAAGCAATATGTTTCCTTTACATTGTTAACTTCTAATATCTTAGAAACAGCAGCTATTCCTATGCCAAAAGCTCCAAAACAAATAAGACTAGCAATTCCAAGGGCTTTTAATGCAAAAAGAATAGAATTTGCTGGAAAACTCAGATGTTTTACTATATATACTTTAATTTAAAGCAAAAAAAAAAACAACAACCTTTCATATGCTTATAAGTAAGGCCAAGACCCTGCATAAGAGAAACAGTTGAAGCACATAAAAGGTATTTCCACTGGTTCTGAGTCTTGTCTTTAGGCATCTCCCTTATTAATTGTCTTTTACTGGGCTTTACTAGAGCGACAGGTTAATTTTATTAGTGGTTACCAATGGCAACGAAATCGTAAGGTCTAACCCTATGGACGAGGTATGGGAGGATGAGGAGACGTCAGAAAACAGGAAGAATGAGGAATCAGGCGATAAACTATCGCTAAAGAACGAAATGAATAAGTTCTTTAACGTTTGTTCTATTTATATGGTTTTTTTCAGGGAGAAAAATGACGTATTTTAGCAAGGTTATTTAGAAGGAATGATAGAGGCAAAAAAAATATATAGCCCTCTAGGATTGAGTGAAAACTACGAGAAAAGTGCATTTATAGGAGTAGAAGCAGGCCGTCTACTTGGTTCTTTAGAAGGATTGGAGTTTTATCTCGAAAAAACGGGAGAAAAAGAGGAAAATATTGAGAAATTTAAAAAATGGATCAAAAAGATGAAAAAAGCAATAGAAATCAACAAGATATTTACAGAAGAGTATCTTGAATCAGACGGATTATTAAAATATGATAAGCATCCAATTTTGGAGGAAATTGGAAAGGGAATTTTGGATTATTTAGAAAATATTAAATGTTGTGAATGTATTAATATAAATAAATAAAAAGAGGAGAAATACAACAGATATTTCTTATTCTTTAATATTATATGAAAGGGATTTCTTTAGTTTAAATTATCTATATTAAGATATAGATAATTACAAAGTTATTTCCAATTATATTTCTCTGATATGGCGGTTATCAATTATTTAGAGGTTTAGGGGGGAGAGTTTGCTATTAAAAACCCTTGTTGAATATAAATATTCAATATTTGTAATTAAAATAGCATAATTATGTATGTTATTTTAAATTCATATCAAGTTGAAAAAAGTAATTAGTCAAGGACAATAAAGAGGTCGAAAAAATAATATTTAATAACTTGAAAGCAAAACAAAAACATGTAGAATAGATGTTTTTAATAGTAATAAAGTCAAATACATATAATAGAATATTAGCAATTTTCGATTAATTAAAAAGGTTATCTATAAGAAAATGATAAAACAAATAGATATGAGAACATATGGTTAATATAGAAAAAGTACCCTATTTAATCATTTTCAGTGCAATTCATTATTTTCTATTCTCGAAATATACAGCAATTATTTAAAAAATTATTTAGAAAAACTAACCCTTAAGTTTTATTATCTTTTAATGAAAGATTTTTAAGCTTCTCAAGTCTATCAGTACGCCAATTTTCATATAAAACTTCTTTAGAAAAATCCCGTATTTCATTTCTCCATTCCCCCAAAACCATTTCTTTTAATTTTGAAAAATCACAATGTTTTTCATCCAATGGATTTGCTTTCCCCCAAGAATATTCTCTACATATATCAAATTTCATTACTTTTTCAACGGAAAAAGGAATAATTTGCATTCGATCGGGTGTCATACAACTAAATGGTAACATATCATAAATATCATCATAATTTTCATCCTTTTCACGACTATGTGTTGACCCACATGCAGAAACGTCATCATGGATTTCATTATTACTAAGAAATTCAAAAATTTTTATCTCGCTTTTCTCGAATTCTTTTCTCCATGCAAGTTTCATATCCTCAATCCGACGCTTTGTACATGTATCCACCTTGGATATTACAGGAATAACTGTAGTATATTTACTTAATTTTTGTATGATAGAAATATCTAGAGAATCTAGTGATATATCATTATAAAGATAAGAAGATGTCGAATCAATCAAATAAAGCACACAATGAATATGCGTATCAATATGTTTATGAGACCTTACAACCTTAGTTTCCTAGGCTTATTAGTTCCATTCTATTTCACATTTTTTTTAATAATGCAACGCTTATAATATAATATCGATAGATAACTCTACACAAAAACCACTTCAACAATAATAAAATATATAAAGAAAGCCATTGCGTAGAAAAAGACAACTAAACATACCTCTGAAAACGTATTCTCAAATTTGCTTTCCATAAACAATATTATCTCGTCCATTTGAAGGTTTACAATTTCATAATCTCGAGATGTACCAAAACCACGACTATCCCACAGAGTTACAGCAACACGTTCACCATTTATTTCTGTTTCAGTATAACAATAGGTAAACCCCATATCTAAGTAATCCGACTTTTCCTCTTCTTTCAAAGCCGAATGCTGCTGATCCTTTGCAATATTCAACTGTTCAGAGAGAAACTCAACAAAACTTGTCTTTCCAGACCCACAAAATCCAATAACCAATATATTAAACGACGTTGGCTCTCTTCGACGTCGATGACGACGCGGTGAATCTGTAGGTGTATTTTCTTGAGGATGATGTGAATTTAAAGGGGATTCTATTGTATTATCTCCTCCAATACGATTCAGTTTAGGTGTTATTGGGGAAATTTCTGAATGTTCCTCGTGGTTTTCCAATGATACCTGTTCAAATACCATTTCAAATATATACTTGTTTTCAAACGAAAAAACTCAAAAAAAAAAAGATATATAGATTCCTTATATATGAATGAGTGCAAATTGATATAGAACTAATAAAGATATTGCTTTCAAGGCCTATAAGTTGGCTTCCCAATCTACGTTGTTTTTGAGTGACGTTAAACTTTATCGATCGATAAGATTAAAAAAAAATAAAGAGCTTATCACAGCTAAAAAATAAAAATAAGTGAAGAATAAACAGTAGAAAAAGATACCAGACACTTATTCATGTGTAATTAAAGCAGAGAAATTAGTATTCCTTTTTTTTCGAGAAAATCATATGAAAGTGTTGTTTCTATCAAAAAATATATTATAAATGAATCCAAGTATCATGTAATTGTATAACAAGAGGAACAATTTTTGATTCTACCTCAATGCCGTTTTCTTTTTCCTCTTGAGTCAATCGTATCCATGATTCTTGAGTTTTTGTGACAAAAACAACCTCATACTTGCGTTTTGTTAATATATTACCAATAACAAGTCGATGCCCATAACGCTGAAGAGACATTCTTGCATTGGAAATAAGAATGTCTTCATCTGTTTCCAACTAAAAGAATTTAGGTGTTTATAAGTTAATGAAGAAAGAAATATACTTTAAAACTTATAATACTTGCTCGAGGCGCCCATTTTTCAATGAGTTTTGCTAAAAACTTAGGAACCGGATCAAATTCGATTACAAGTCGTTTACCATTAGAATCACTAGAAATTTTATGTTCAGGAATCCTTTCAGGAGGAATAAAAAAATCAGATACAGCTGCTGCAAGATAAAAAAGTGCATTTTCTGAAAGTGGACGAAAAATAATAGCAATCTCACGTAAATAATACAAATATTCCGTAATTGTTATATAAGGAATTATAAGAAGTTTGTTATTTAATTTAGCCTGCAAAAAAATTAAAAATACAAAAAGTATATTCAACTTACATCCTGATAACATCTTAAATGATAAGCCATTTTTTCCCTATATTCAGCCTTAACTAAAACTCTTCAGCTATACTACATAAAAAATATAAATAAAAACGTGCCGACTACATTGCAATCATCTGTTTCCTCAAAATAATCCAAAAAATCATATTTATCATGAAAATAACATCTCGAATATGGAAGAAGTGTATATTGCCTATATAAAAAAACAACTGAATAACCATATTTAATAAAATATTCCGCACTAGCGGATCCTCTAGTTCCTGCTGAGAAATTATCCAAAAATCGAACTGTTTGAGCCTCTAATGGTACTGCTGTGCCACCAGACTTTTTCCATTAAAATAAACATAATGAAGAAAAAAAAACTTTATACAGTGACCAGGACCACACGATTATTATTTTTTAATTGTATTTTAACAAAATCCTCTACTTTTTGTGCACAATCTTTTAATAAAACTGGTTCCTTATTTGTTTCAAAATATGTTTCATGATCCATTCCAATACAAGAAAAAGTTTTAATAAATATCTCAGAATAAAATAATATGAATATTGAAAATAAATATTAGAAATAATGATTTTATATTAAAAAATAAGATTCTATAAAAATTTAAAACAGATCAAAAGCTTATCGAAAAAATTTATAGACCGATAAAGATATGTAATAATAGAAAATATTAAATACATGTATTTGATATCTTATGATGAAAGATAGTAAAGCTATTAAAAAAATACACTATCAATAACACTAATTTTCCATGCCCTTAATGGAAGCCTCTGTAATTTTTCGACAGAAGGTTTTATGAATAAGAAAAAAAGTAAAAACCCAATAAAAATTGAAAGAAGATTAGTAATGTAATATCCATCAACTTTCTTAATACAATGGCCATTAAGCTCTTTACAGAATGATACTTGTTCATCAGTTATACATTTGTTTGCAATATTTTTTGAACAATAAGATTTTGTAAAAAAATCTATACTTTCGAAAACAAAATAACGAGGCCAAGTTCCTCCTAGATTAGAGACAGTATTAAGCAACTAGGGAAAACAATATTAGCTAAAGTAACATTATATATATAAATATATATATACCGTCATATATGTTCCACCTATAATCGGATCAGCAATTCGTGTATGAAATGCATTAATAGAGATAAATTGAATTGTGCTAAAACAAAAGTAAGAAAAAACTAAATAGAATATGGATATACTTCATAAAACTTGAAATCATGTTTTGAAAAATAATAATATAAAAATACTCAGTATTGATTTTACCATCATGAGGAAACTTATAAACAATAAGTATACCAATAAAAGCAGCAATTAAACGACCAATATAAGCATAAATCCACGGTAACAATTTCCGAGATGTAGAGCTCCATTTTGCAGCATAATATCCAAAAATAAGTTCAAATGGAAAATTTATTAATATAGCAATTGAAAGATTTTCTTTTTTCAATCCTTTTTCCAGAAGCTTCAAATTTAAAGTTGCTTCAGATGCAGAAGATCCAATTTTTGCAATAAGATGAACAAACATAAACGTTCTAACATCTATAAAAGTTAAGAAAGAATTAACTTTTAAAAATAATATGATTACTCCGAAGCTTTATAATATTGAAAATGATTAAATAAGCATTTTTAATACTAACAGATGAATATTTTTTTCTCTAATCTAGTTAGTTTTAAATAGAATTTAATAAAAGAAAAAAAAACCGGCTCATCTTGAAAAAATGATACAAACATAGTCGAAATTATAAAAACCCATCCCCAAAATCGCATATATCCACTCAATGATATTAATCCAAAATCTTTTTTAACAGAACGGAAATATTTATTAGAAAATTCACTAGAATTAAACGCCAAAAAAACAGTAAAAGACAAAAAATATCCCGTATTTAATCCAATACTTTGAGCAGTAGACGCATAGATAAGATTTTCCTCTGAAAGTAGAGACAATGCCCATCCTGTACAAGAAAATATATTAATATATAAAAAAAAACACCTCTTATTCTTCATCAACATACCATCAACGGCAATATCCTGCGTTGCACATAAAAAAACCAGAATAAAAAATACTACTGTTATTTGCTTTAGTGATTCTGCTACCTATCATAGCTTATTATTAATTCTTCATTATCATATACTTATTATAATTTACTTCTTGGAACCATTGCTGAATATTATAACTAATCCAAAGTAAACACAATCCAATACTTCCTTGAACCGGAATAACCCAGCTTTTACGCCGCCCCCATTTCTCATTATAAACGGTATCTACAATTGGTGACCAAAAAAGTTTCAATGAATACGGATATGATGCAAGTGAAAAAAAACCAAGTGATGTAAATGAAAGATATGGTTGCAACAAATATGGTAGAGATCCCATTACCAATCCTAATGGAACTCCTTGTAATAAATCTATCTCCATAAATACCCTTCATTTCTTTCAAAATCCTTTCATACATAAAAAAATAAGAAAAATAATAGATGACATGCAATTCGTCTGTTCCTTTTCTTGATGATTATGATTTTCTTCAAAATCCATCAATCTTTTCTTCGAATTAATCTTTTTATTCGGTTTCTTATGTCGTGCCACTCTTTTACCCCGCTTATCATCCAAATATCCTATTTTCTTACAAATAGATAATGCATTTTGCTTCCTTCCATACATCCATAACTGAACCCTTCTAAAAAGCGATTTTTGCTGGTTCATAACGTGCGAGTCCAAATCTTACGGACTACGTCCAACACAGCGTAACAGAGAAATGATACGCTTCAGCAAAACTTCAAGAAAATATATCAAAAGATTACAATAAAATACACGTTCCGCTTAAAATTAAAATCCTTAAAAGATTTGATAAATTTCCGCATAAAAAAAAAAGTGATAAAACAAAAAAAATATCATAAAATAAATGAAAATTCAAGGAATCCTTCAAACTTCCCCAAATTCTCGAGTTCCAATATACACTAACCCTTACCCTTGGATATATTAAGGGTTAGGGATAAACATAGTCACGTTGTTTACAATATCAAGTTCGCTCGACAAACCTCATCAAAAAATTAAACATGGCGAGAGGACCGTAAGTACCTTTATAAGCATGAAAATAAGCTAACGATAAGCAAGGAAGAAGCATATGAAGCGTATCAATGCGCCATCTCACTGGCTGCTTGATAAACTTGGTGGAACGTATGCACCGAGACCATCACCGGGTCCACATAAATTACGTGATTGCTTGCCATTGATTATATTTCTCCGCAATCGCCTTAAATATGCATTGAATAACAGGGAAACAGTAGCTATTTTGATGCAGCGATTGATTAAAGTGGACGGAAAGGTTAGAACAGACCATACATATCCAGCAGGATTTATGGGTATGTATTAAGATTTGGGAGGTTATTAGGGGAGAATTAAGAGGGAAAATAGATGTTATTAGTATTGAGAAGACGGGGGAAAATTTCCGTTTAGTATATGATACAAAAGGACGATTTACAATTCATCGTATTACGTCAACGGAAGCGAAATATAAGCTTTGTAAGATCAAGAGGGTTCAGCTTGGATCTAAAGCCATTCCATATGCAGTTACTCATGATGGCCGAACAATTGTATTTTTTATTTTTGAGTGATATATATATATTAATGTTATATTTAGCGTTACCCAGATCCAGCTATTCGTGTTAACGACACTGTCAAATTCAATTTGGAACTTTTTAAAATTGAAGGGTTTATAAGTTTTGATGTAGGAAAGCTTGCTATGGTGACAGGAGGACGTTCTAAGGGTAGAATTGGAGTAATTGTCAATCGTGAACGTCATGATGGTGGTTTTGATATTGTTCATCTTAAAGATTCCTTGGATCGTGCATTTGCTACTCGTCTAAGTAATGTTTTTGTTATTGGCGATACGACAGGGCCTTGGATTTCTTTGCCTAAAGGAAAAGGGATCAAACTAACAATTTCAGAAGAAAGAGACAAACGTCGAAGTCAGCAAAATGCATGATCAATGTTTTTGAGACAAAACAGTTTCCTAAAATATTAGAATACTAGGAAAATCTATAAGTTATCATTTTCATTTTTAGATTGAATTTGTCAAACAAAATATGTAATTAATATAAAGATTTCATTATAAATGTTATATAAGATATATAGAATATTTCCAGTATTTAGAAAATCATTACATTTTACTTTTCAGTTTAAACTAAGAAATTTATTTCATATAGTTATTCTACGACATAAAAAATATAGAAATAAAACTAAATAAAATTATTAACTATTTATATTGATGCACAAAAATTAAATGTAGCAGCATAAAAATTCTAATGAGTAACAAAAGTAATTAAATTCAGACATAATCAACTCTTTTATCCATTCAAATATGGTTATTCATATAAATAAATTTCAAACCTATAAGCGAATTTAAATTTTCATGTTTTGAAACAAAAAATATTATTTGATACGTTTATATATAATTTTTCATTTTTTTACAGTTTTTCAATATCTAAATTATGACTTGGGGACATTTTTCAAGTACCAGCACTTCCAACAACGCCCATCTCTTTATATGGATTTTTAACAGGGTCATAATTCAAATTATTAACTAGGGTTGCATCTAAATTATTATGTTTAAACTTTCCTGGTTTAGGTATTTGTTCCTTACTAGGTGGAACCCATTTTGGATTTATTCCTCTTTGGCTTATACTAGTAAATTCTGAGCTAGTCGATGCAGGCGACTTAAACCGGGGAGAAAGAGATTCTTGTGTTTGAGTGCAATTGCTACTATGATAAGGATGATGCATACGACTATATTGATCTGTTGTATGTGATGAACAGTCCGTGTTATTAGGAAAACGATGTTCAGCGTTTTCTGAATAAGGATGAGAATTATAAGCATAATTTCGAGAAACAGGACCATGTTCGGCAAAACTGTTCTCATATGGTTTATCAGAAACATATTGTTTACAACTTGAAAAATTATGTACTCCATCATTAGAATCTTGTGGAAAAGCACGACCATTTTGTGGTAATGGATAATCTTTCCATATCTGTTTAGGAGGTGCATGATCTCCATACGAATTATTATAATTATTGTTAGGTTTTTCTTTTTCAACTAAATCATTTGGTCGTTTTGGATTTCTTCTATAATCAATCCCAAGACCAACAGGAGGTTTATATGCAGGATATTGCATATTTCTATTATCTGAGCCTTGTCTAAAATATGGTTGCATTGCAATTTGTCCTCTTGAATGATTTCTTAATTGTTCTTTTGGAAAATCTCTTGGAAAATCTCTTGAAAAATCTCTTGGATTTCTCGTATATTCTTTTGGAGGAGCTCTTAAATATTCTCCTGGAGCATCCGCTGATTGTTCTCTTGAATGATGTCTAGAAACATATGATGAATGATATCTTGCATGGCTTCTCTGGTAATCTTTTGAAACATCCTTTAAAGGCTCTCTTGGATGATTTTTTTGAGGATCCCTTGGAATATCTGCTGACTGGTATCTCGAATGATTCCTCGGATGTTCTCTTAGATGATGTCTTATATAATCCTTCGAGTAGTTCTCAGGATAGCCCATTCTTTCGTGAACAGATTCTTTTCGTTTTAAATAAGATTCATGCACTCCATTATCATCTTTATATGCTTCATTATAAGTTATATTAACATTCTGATTTGGAATAGTTGAATCATAAGCGTTTGAATTACAATACGTAGAATCTAAAAAGCTCTTAGAAAGCATGTTATGGTCGTCAAGATGAGTATTAATAGGAGGGAGCTCTAATTTTTTCAATTTAGACGCATGTTTTATATCACTATTATCATTTTTAGAATATTTCATAGAATCTAGCCCAGATTTCTCTTTTTCAGTTCTATTTATCCCATCCTTTTTAGTTTGATATGCTGTATGCTTAGGATAGGGAAGGTTGTTAGTATATGAATAACTAAGGTTAGGATGCCTTCTTTGAGAATGATATGAAAGAGCTGTCTTCACTTTTTCTGATCTGCAAGCAATAAGATATTTACGGGAAAGATGAATAAGACCTAAAGCAGTGTATTAAAAATCTCAAAATTAAACAAAAAATAAACTTACCAAAAACAATAATATTTAAAATTGATGCACCAAGTATACACCAAGTACCCCATTCAATGTGAGGAATAAAAAACAAAACATCAACAATAAAAGAAACTATAGATAAAAAAACTGTAAAAAAAGTAATTATAAGAATAATAACCAAAAAAAAGCCACTTTTGCTAGGTCCATCTAGATGAGCAATTAATGTAAAAACAAATGCACAAAATGTCAATAAAGCTGCAACGATATGTACAATAAAAATATACGTAAGTCCCTGAACCTTATAAAATGAAAAATAAAAATCAGATGTATGTTTAGATTTTGACAATATCGCAGTGTCTAAGAATATATTAATATCATTTTAAAAAAAGCAATTGCTTTATTTTTGATGCCAATGTTATCAAAAATATCTCATAAGATATAAAACATTTTCAAACATAGAAAGAGCGTTAAAAAAACCATTATCTCACAACCTACCTATACGATACCCCAATCGGGCTACATTACATTTGCCTTTAACAAAACAGTAACCAAAAACACCAAAATGAAGACCATTCAAAGATCCAAGAGATATAAATCTTGTAATTGGAACTGATAAGCAAGTAAGCAGCAGTAATATCCATGATGGAATTAATGAGAGTGTAGCAAGCGTAATTGCTCGAGACATCTTATAATTGTCCTAGGGAAATATCAAAAAAACTAGCAAGATTCTTATTTCTCTCTAAAACAGACTTTAATTGCATATTTTATACTGTTTTAGACCCAAAAATACATATTTTTGTATTGAAAAAGCTCATCGATAACGTCTAAAGTTTAATGATTAGGGTTTTAAACAATAACAAATATTTAGAGGGTTAGGTCTTCCACATTTAGAGTTAGATCTAGGACAAACATATTAGGTCTTCTATATAGGGGGTTAGGGTTAGGGTTAGATATAGGACTGCATCATACCTTTTATCAATGTACCAAGTAATGCACATGCTATGAATAGCCTGCAACATATTTTACTGTTAAACTACTAAATATTTCCGTTATTTCTAATATATCCATAGCTTTTAAAGAGTCCTTTGAATATTGCTTGATCGGCGAGATGATTAGCCTTCAGAGTCTATAAAAGTAAAAAAAATAAAGCAAAAGGAATATTTCTGGATTTATTATAGATATTAGCTTATAAATGAGTCTAGATATATTGGAAATTAGTATAAATCAGCCTTTATGTAGCTAAAAAGATAAAGATTAGATCTTTAGATAAAACGAAGTTAGGGTTCAAGAATATTTAAAAAAATTAGAAATGGGGACTTGAAAGAATGTTCAACAATGGAATATAAAAAGCGATGGAAAACCTCAATTGATAGCGCATATATGCCTTGAAATATATAAAATGATGAATATAAGATTCATAATCAATAATAGACATATATAATATCTATTATATACAGATAATGGATATATATATAATAGATATATATATAATAGATATATATATAATAGATATATATATATAATAGATATTATTAACCTTGTATTGTCAAGTATAGCAATAATATTCAGAATTACTGAATATATGCGCTTTTTTTTGGAATACTACTGAATAAATATTACTATGAGGCTAAAATATTTATAAGGAGTCTCTGAATTTCAACAGTCTTAAAAACAGTAAAGATGGAATCCATTTTGAAAACGTCATTATTTTGATTTAAAGGCATTAAAAATGGGATTAATTTGACAAATTTTCTATAATTATCAGTTATCTTATATATAAAACAAGATATTATATAGGGCAGTTATAAGATAAAATTTTTAAACAGAAATAAATACAAGGAATAAGGTTTTTAAACATAGGGGATCATATGGATTGAATGATATTGTTGAATATTGTATTTTATTAGGATGATGGGATGTTGACCTAGATGAATACTATTTAAGAAGTAAAATTTAAGAATAAGATAGATAACGGTCTTAAAAAGAGAAAATGAGCTAAATTGTTACATCAAAATGCCAAAAGTATAACATTTTTGGAAAATTGTAAACAAGAATTTATATATGATAATTCAATTGAGACAATATCATCAGACGCTTCCAATGATAATATATTATTATCCTTTTTATGTAATCTTCCTGGGAATATAATATATGGAAATGCAGGGATTTCAAAGAAACTGATTTTTTATCCAAAATTGAGTATTTTTACATATATATATATATGAACTCTATCAAAATCGTATTTTATATAATTGGTTTGCAAAATTTTCGTTAAATCCCGGCAAAATACAGCAACATGTGCAAGAAGTTTCAATTAATGAAATACATGATCATTATAAGATAAAGGGAATATTTCGTGAAATTCTAGAGACAGAAAAATAATATGTACGAGTTAGTAATTATGCTAAACAAAAAAAAAGGAAAATCGCAATTAATATTTTGGACTTTTAATTATTTAGATTAAATTTATATTAGAAAGTTTCTGCTTACTATGACGTATTAAAACTCTCAAATAGTTTTTGCGAATGTTTTTTCCATTTTTATATTTCACAAATAATTTATACTCCCAGGAATGATGGTAATAATTAATGAAATTTATCCAGAGAGGCATCCAGCAAGAGAATTTATTAAAAATATATCTATGTTATATTTCTTGATTCAAAGATAAATTATGTATTATTAATCAATGGGAAATTTCAGAAAAGGGTAGAAAATATTTAAAGCAGAATCAATCTATTTATATTATTAAGCTTGGTTTTTACATATTTAGTCTTATCGTTTATTTCAATAACACAAATTACTTAATCTGATAGGCTACATGCTTCTCCTATTTAGAAAATACCTCACCATAACCCTTTTCTTTTTCAGCTTTTAAAATGTTATGATTTTTCAATTGATCAACTTTTAAGCAAATTTCTTTTGTTACATATAATATGAATGAAAGGAAACTTCAAGAAGGTTCTTATTAGCTTTTTCGACTTCAACAAAGTATGTGATATCCTAAGGTTGATATTTTAATACTTTAAAGAAAATTAATTAAGGAATTAAGAATGCACTATCTTTTAACTGCATATTCTTTTTTATGTTTATTTGCTTGCTGTTTAGATAAAGAGATTTCTATTGTTTTCTGCAACGATATTCTAATTATTTTTAATTCTACATATACATCTATTGTGAAGACTGTAAATGTAAAAGGATTACAGATTATACATGTTTTGGAAGGACATGATATACAATTACATTTTATATGCTGTGACTTAAAAGAGATTCAACGTTTTCATATTATAGATAATGATATAGATAAGTGGATTGTGATAGTAAATAAAATCCACATTAATTCACAAATTGTTACTATATATTAAAATATTTGATATATATTGAAAAAAAATTACAATTCCTAATATTTAAGTTTTAAATGAGACATAATGTTTATACAAATAAAATAATCCAATACCATTGAGTTATGAATAGTACAATATTTTATATGCAGTAGAAATACTAAAATCTTTAATATTCCAAAGTAATCATTTTAAAACAAAAATATTTGTAATGTTTTAAATAAGCAATAACATAATATTATAAACCCTCCATTTCATATCTTCGTTTAGCACGATCTTTAACCTTAAAATAATCAAAACTTAACAAAAATATACGTAACCTACAGATCGAACATAAGCAGCATAATCACTTGGACGTGGATTATCTCCTAATTTTGCTCCTAGAGAGCCAAGACCAACACCTTCTTGGTACACCTCTGGATTAAGCGGTTTGGAAATACCTTTACCTTCTAATCCTAAACCCATTCCTTCTGTCCATCCCATTTTTCCAAGAATGGCCGCACCTTTTCCTTTTGTTATATTTGCAGGTTCTTCTGGTATCTTTGGAGATGAGTTTATTACATTCTTTTTTGAATTATGAGATGGAACATCTGGTTTCGAAGGTTGGTTAAATGCAATACGACGTTCTTGAGCCCTATCTCTATAATTACTATCATTTAAACTTTCTACATCAGTATCTTTTTTTATAGAAACTTTCTTTAAACGTTGTCTGGCCTGTTCTTTAAGATCATCATCTGCCAAATTTTTCTATAATATTAATTGTAAATATCTAAAACACTAATTACCTTATGCAATTCGGATAATTTTTCATGTTGACGTATTTCTTTTTCTGATTTAAACTTTCTCTGGCAAAGTAAGCATGCCATAAGATTTAAATCGGAAAAAATTTCATCTATTTTTTCATTTTCAACAAGTCCAGTTCGTAATTCTTGCTGTTTTACAGCCCATTTTTGTAAATGTGGAGCCATCTAAAGATCCTAAGTAAAAACATATCTTGATAAATCACATCCTATACCTTTATTGATGAATTATCATATCTTTTTTTTTCTATAACAAGTGAGAAAATGAATTAAATAAAGATCGAATACGCTTTTTCTGCTCGCACGGAGTACTAATAACAATTATCAATCTCTTCATCTCATAAAATATTAATACTTACTTTGCATCTCTTTTCAAGCTAGTTGATGTATCTTTTGTTAAAATACTGGGTTCTATATCCCTTTAAGAAAAAAAAGAACCCAATATGATTCAAACACACCCTTCATAGAGACATTATTATCCGATGATGCTGCGTTCTGGCTTACTGAAACATTTATTTCGCCAGCTGGCAGATTTGATTCATCTTTTGGTCTTTGAGATTCTGGACAATATTCTGATGTAAATCCTTTTTCGTCCCAATACGCAAGCAATTGTCCATTCTTACTCGATTTAAAGCCAAATTCATTCTTCTGATCATATACTGGCACAAAAACCCCACCATGGATAAATGATAACTCAATCGTTTTTGATGAAATAGTAAACCCTTTGTTTGATGTAAGACTCATGGCATTCGCCAACGCTTTTTTAGACTCCTAAGAAATATCAATCCCTCTGATTTCTTCCTTTTCATATCCTACATTAACATCTGCATATTCAACAAATGCAAATCCCCAACTTTGACGTGTCGCTCGATCACGAATCAAAAGTACCCTCACAATTGGCACCTGTAATTTCGCCATTCCCTTAACAATAAGCTCCTCTGTAGTCAAAACATCCAGCTTCCTTAATAATAAAAATTGCGACGGCGTTGTCGCTATATCTTGACTCCCATCATTCTGCACTAACGGTGCTGAATGTGTCAAGTTTCCAGCTACCGTCACATCTAACTCCTTTCAATACAATTTCCCCACTATATACTCTACTAAAACCCTGCTTTACTACTCCACACTTAAAACACACCTCCCGGCGTGGATAATTGTTAATCCCACACTACATACATCATCAATCCCCCCACCCTAATTCCCTCAATATCTTGCCATACACTAAAACAAATCCACCCTTCCTCCTCCCACTTATTCTCCTTACTATATGATATCCTAACCCGGTGTCCTCCTATATATATATATGGATAATTTCCTTCTATAAACCTTCTTGAATGCTCAACTGAAATAAACTTTGCAAATGCAAAACACCGAGACTCCCCTAACTCCTGTCTTATAAATCATTTACACCACTATAACCCTACTTGTCTCTCTATTACGTATCAAAATCACACTCTCAATCTCCCCGCCTTGTCCCTCAATTGCCCGTTGAATCTGCCTCTCTATCAACACAACCCTAAACCCAAAAAATCCTCTTCACATCTATCTCATTCATATGAGGTTCAAGACCCTGCAGAATAACCTGCATATTAGGCTCTCCTGGTCCCTCATCATATCCTCTTTTTCGGTAAGGTCCTCCATGATATCCTCTTTCTCCTCGTTCGCTGCGTGGACCTTCTCCAAGTGGACGATTACCGTCTTCCCGTCTGTTTCTGTATGAAGATCCTGGAGGATCTCCTAAATTTTGTCTATTCATAGCTTTTTCAGTGCAGACTTGTTGCCTTTTATATGGGTTGTTAGTCCAAGACCCAGCTTGTGATGATAACGGACACGTATTTGCCCGGTAGAAGCCGATAATAGAGGAATTATAAAGACAGATTAGGATGAAGTGAGGAGTAGATAAGGGTTGGAGTTTGTATATATTAGAACTAAGTCCAGACAAGGGTTATGGTTATGGTTATGAGAGAACACCCTGGTTAGGGAAAGGGTGAAGCTAGGGTGAAGCTAGGGTTAAGCCAGGGTTACGTTAGGGTTATATGAGGGTTAGGGGTGAAGAGTTAGGGTTACATTAGGGTTACATTAGGGTTACATTAGGGTTAACAGGGATGACCCTTGTAACTTTAGGGTTATATTAGGGTTGTTTAGGGTTATATTAGGGTTGTTTAGGGTTATATTAGGGTTAACCAGGATGATCCTTGTATCTCAAGGGTTAGGGTTATGGTTAACAAGGATGACCCTTGTAATTCCAGGGTTAGGGTTAAGGTTAGCAGGGGTCACCCTTGTAACTTCAGGGTTAGGGTTATAGAAAAACTGAATAGGTTGGAAAAGTTTCAACTATTAAATACTATAAAGGAATGATTAATGTTGTTTGTATTAAAACTATTGAATTCTTTAAAGAAATTTAAAAGATTTAAACTAATTATAGATATTTTTGAAGAAAAAGTATAATTTTGAAAGGAAGACAACAAAATTTAAGAATGTTTTATTTATTATTTAAGAGATTTCTAAAGATATATTAAAACTAGTGAATACGGGTTTTCAATATGTGAAAATGCCCAATTCTCTATTTATCGAAGCTATACTATTGAAAAAATCGATGGAATATATATATCTTTCTAGTCCTACTATATTATTATAGCCAAGTAGAAGTATTTATAGAGGAGCAATTGAATGGAGAACCATTGTTCTAACAAAGAATATTTGGAGATTATATTTTAAAGAATAACTTTCAAAATATTAAATTAACACTGAAAGAAATGGTTCAACATAATAATGGATTAAAGAAGAAAAAAGAGTTTTTAGATAAACATGTGTAGCTCTCTTTTTTGAGAAATGGGTTTATGAGTAGTCTTATTAAATTTAATATACTTGTTTCAGCATAAAATGGGTTCAAATAAATGGTTTCAAATAAATGGTTTCAAATTTAATAGACTTTTAGAAGTAAATAAAAGAAACCAAAATAATTATAGTCATATAAACAACTTTTCGGAGGACAGAATATCTTTAAAAGAGATTTCCAATTTAAATAATTATCTTGAGTCTTTGATAAGAGACGATAGGAATTCTAAATTAATAATTATAAAAAAAAAAAGTTTAAATTCAGTATTTATTTCAAATATTCATAAAGATATAGATACAGAATCTATTTCTAAAGAAAAGAATATAAAAAACATTTGATTTGAAGGAAAGAGAATAGCAAAAAATGAAAACATAAGGTCTAATGATGATTCATTATTCAATTCAAAAAATTTCGATAAAATAAGCAAGAATTATAATTATAATAATGCTAGAATTTCAAATTTTAATAAAGTAGATAAGAAAATAGATTTAGAGGATTTTTCTCATGTAAATTCATGTAATACATATTCTACTTATATAAAACAATCTAATGAAGATAGAGAATCCTAATTGAATTCAAATAAATTATTTTAGTTACTTTAAGTAAAAATAAATATCGTAAATATTTCTAACTATAGTAATATTAAATAACATTTTTAGAAAATATAAACTTGGAAAAAATACATGATATTAAGAATTGTCGTTTAAGAAATATACTATATAAATTTCAACTTGAGGTATATATGTGATTAGTTTTTTGACTTGATATTATTATAATGATCAAGTTTAATTTAATAATTTTGATTGAGAATTTCTTTTTTCTATGAATTATTGTTTCTTTTAATATTTCCACTAGTTTTAAAAGCAAATCTTATATAGAAGAATCATAGACTATGCATAAATTTGCCCCACTTTTAGTCTAAAGGTTCTGACCTTTAAATAAACCATCTAAATCAAAAAAACTCTTTTCTACTTTTTTTAATACAGATAAACATTATATACTACAAGTCTTGAAAAAAAAATCTAATTCATAATAAAATACAAAAAAAACCCAAACATCAATATATTTTTTTTTTTTAATAAAAACAAACACGCATTAAAATATTATACTAAACAAAAAATCTTATTGAAAAATACAGAAAATATTGTTTAATAAAACCCACATATAAAAATATAATAACCCCTCTAAAGCCTCGATTTATTCATATCATTTCACAGCCTTAGATCTCCCCAACACTCCTTTCAAAATATTTTTATCGCTTAACCTCGAAACTTGATAAATCTAACTAAATATTAAGAAATGTCTAAAAAATCCTTAATTTTTATTAAGAAATAGAGGATTCTTAATAAAAGATCGATTAATTCTTGTAAAAGAGTTTGTTTATTGTAGAAATATTTTTTAAATAGCTTTAAAAATCATTAATAAGTAAAGATATTAAATAAAGCGATTAATAGTTAGGATATATCTAGTAAAAGAAGATATAAGATCTTTTAGAAATAGAGAAGAGAGCTTCTTAGGATGACTGGAAAAGATCCTCAAGAATTACTAGAAACTCTTTCAAAACATGAGTTAGAAGATCAGTTAAAGAAACAGCTAGAACACCAGTTAAAGGTATTTCATGAGGAACTTGTTAGTAATGATTCTTCCTATGATGAAAATGTACTAAAGGGATTTCCTGATCTGGAAATGCAGAATCCAGATAATATACTTTTTAATGAGTATCTTCCTGCTTTACCACCATTTACAGATACTACGGAGATAGAAAGTAAAAATGTTGATAATGAAGTTGAAAATGTATTAAATAATGTTAATACGTTGGAAGATCAGGGTGGTATTGCAGTTAATGACAAAATAAATGAAATAGAAGACATCGATATATTACGAGAAATGTTACCAGATTTACAATATCATTCAGAACGAATTATTCAACTTCTTATTCCTAAGACATCTTTTGTTCTGCATGTGAAAGAAGCGACTACTAGGGGCACTAAAATCTATAAAAAAAAGGAATTTCTTTTGCAAACTTTAAAATGTATTTTTTTATATAATTTTTTTACTTGATTAACTTATTTTATAGTAACAACTCTAAAATATACAAAATTATCTTATATTGATATATCATCCTTTTCACACTATTTATCAAATAATCAAATTTATATATTATTTCTTGCAAATGCGGCACTACTTCTATCTGAATTATATGGTTCATTCTCCATGCCTCCTACTCTTGATGACTTAAAAAAGAGGCATAATTCGCTTTGTGAAATAGAGCAATGGTTTCCTTTTATGTTCAATATTACCTATTCGCAGTCATACATGCAAATTATTGAACTACGAACACAATTATTTCTATATGCAATATGGCTTAATCGAATTTCAAATGATCATATAGATGATCAATTTAAAGAGGATGATCTGTTAAAAAAATGTTTTATGGATGGAAATGGTCGATTTAAAAAATGGGAGGAAGGAGGAAAAGAATACTATGATGCCTGTCTACAAAGAATTAAAAAAGTAAGGATATAATAACTATTTTTTGATAACTTATTTATAATTATTTAAAGATACAAAAAATTAGACAATTACCTATTTCTTTAGAAACATTAATTCAAACATTTCCTTGGTATCACTTTGTTAAACTAATGGCAGAATTTATCCAAAATAATATATTAAATATTTCGAATATATCACAAGTAGTAAGTTATTAAGATGAAAGGTATATTTCTAAAAGCATCAGACAGGCGAATCAAATACACAGGCGTACAGTAATAAAGAAACATCTGATATTACTCCCATTAGTCGTAAGAAATATCATCACTACAAGATAAAATACTAATAAGATAAGAGCGTTTTTCAATGGATTTTCAAAAAAACGATTTTACCTTTCCATTAGAACAGAGTAAAGAATATTCTTTCAATTCTGAAAATGAAGGAGAAATTTCGTATTTTCCATTATTTTCATTTCTTATTATAACTTTTTTATAGAGCAAGTGATATAAAACATCTTAGTCAAATAGTTCTAGGTATTATATAATATTTTATTATTATATATCCTTATTTAACCTATTATGAATAGATATTGATAATGATGATAATACCAAAAAAACACCAAAGAGTGATAATAAGAAAAAAAAGAGTTTCTTTGATAAACAAAGTGATTATCAAAAAATCAAATGGGATTCACAAAACGAAAACTCTGAATCAATAGAAAGTCCTTTAATTCATAATATACTTGATAAACCGGCTACATTCACTAAAAAAGGCATCTCCTACAACGAGAAAAAAAGAAAATATGAAGAACAAAATGAATCTAATTCCGTCGAACATGAAAGTTTATTAAATACAACAGATTCTAAGAATATTTTAGGAACAGATACAGCTATTTCTAATACATTATTTAACTCATCTTCTCATTCGGGGCTATCTAGTTTACCTTCTGGTTCATCTCCTGTCACACCTTCTGCTTCTGCACAAGCTGCCATGCAGCTTTATAAAAAATCACTTACTATTCAACGTTTAAACTCAAGTTTATCTGCAGATAAAAATAACCGGAGATCTTTTGATGATACAAAACATATTGAAGATAAATCAGATGATGATCAATATAAAGAATATATAGCTGTTAAACAGAATCTTCGGGATAATAAATTTCGTAAAAAAGAATATAAATCTCAACATAGAGTTCCCTGGTCAGAAACTGAAACCAATTGTTTAATTAAAGCTATTCAGGAATATGGGACTCAATGGTCTTTCATATTATCGGTTCGTTTTCATTTACTTAATAATAAAATTAACAACATTAGCTTTATGGGCCTAATGGAACATTAAGCCAGGATTTAGCCGAAAGAGGTCAAGTTCAACTTAAAGATAAAGCAAGAAATATTAAAGAAGAATATATTAGGTTTGATATAATCATGATTATTACATTTTCTAAAAATCAAAGGGCTCGATGGAAACTTCCACCTGGTTTTGAAACTATTTCATGCAAATATGATTAAATATAAATCCAGCATTCTACAAAATACATATTTCTCAAGAATATGTATATTTTAGAGACACATAATATTCTTTTTAGCTTTAATATTATTATTTTACATCTATAAATACGGAAAATTATAAGTCTAAGGCTTGACATATACTTTTTGCTATCACTAATCTCTACATTTCTAATCTTATTAAAAGAATCCTGAATAAACAATGGTAATTTACTTTTCATTCATTTAATATCTTTCTAAAAAATAACTAGATAATATTTTTAAAACTTAGTGATACTGAAAAATCACTCTTTACAAAAATGATAAATAAAGCTAACTATATCATTCTTCCTTTTAACATATTAATGCTAATATGTTAATAAATACTTCATTATTTTTGAAAATTTACTCTTAAAACGGCAGAAAACATTCACTAAATTAATGTATACAGTAACACACACACACACACACATATATATATACACATACACACAATGCATATATTTAAACTAGATACATCATAAAACTTTAAATAACAACATTCGTTTATTTATTCATGAAATAAATTAAAAACACCTTTTTATCCTTTATACACTGATTCATAGTCCTTATACTACTAACAATTCAGGACGGAAGAAGAGCATTGTTAATAGGAATATGTATAAGCTTGACAAAGAACCCAATAAATCCCATAATCAAAAAACCGATCCCAATTGCCCACGAAATTCTAAAAAACTCTATTAATATTAGAAATCTCTGATATCTCATAAATCCATATTTCTAATCATAAACAGGTGCTCAATAATAAACCTCTGAGACACCAATTCAGGTCTTAAGCTTTTTCTTACCTTCTTTATCAGGCTTTGTACAGCGATTAATAAACTGAGTCCCTTCCTTTAAAAAGTCGTTTAAAAGATCCAACCACTCTTTAATCTGTGTTGACATTCTTAACCTTAATTCTAAGCTTTTTTAACTTAATTTCTATTTTTTTAATGTTTTTACTTATAAAATTAAGGATTTTTCCTCGATGTTAAGTTTTTTAACGTCGATTAAGGCCGACTACAAAATTAGGTAGATATGTTTATGTGTAATTTTCACTAATATTGACAGGGTTTTGGACATTCTTAAGGAATCCATTGAATTAAGGGTTGTTTGTTTAGTATATAAGGTTTTTTTCGGGGTTTTTTATCAGCATTTTAGGGATTTTTGTTAGTTATTTAAATTCAGAGGGGGTGGGTTATTTTAAGATTAGGCTGAGGGGTCTAAACTAAGATCCAAGGCTTTCTTTAAATTGATAAGAAGGAGGATCAAAGGTTTGGTGCGTTTTTAGGCTTTTTTTTCCTATGGAAGAGGATAATTTTGATATCGATATATATGAAGATGAGCCATTGACATATGAGGAGACAAAGGAGCAGGAGGGCTTTGAACAGGAGGGTTTCAAGACAGCAGAGATTGATGCGGAAGGAGATAAAGTTGATTATTGTCAAATAAACAATAAATCAGAAAGCAATGAGGAAAAAACGACAGAAGATGTAAATGCATTAGAGACGTCAGAAGAGACGGAGAAAATAGATACTAGACCTATTGATACATCTGCTACTACGGCGCTTTATTTGGGTGAAATGAATTGGTGGAATTCGGATGAAGATATACGAAATGTAGTTCTGGAAGCGGGAATTGATTGTGAATTAAAAGAGATTACATTTAACGAGCATAAAGTAAACGGAAAGTCTAAAGGGTGCATTTATGGATGATTTTTTTGAATTATTTTTAATTTTTAATGATAGAATTGCATTTGTTGAATTTACAACACCGCAAGCAGCAACAGCAGTTAAATTGTTCCTTGAAAATACAACAAACCCGGCATATATGAATGGAAACAAAAAATTTAGTGTTAGCTTTTCATCATTGTCAAATCCATTTCGTACGCTTCCTAAAGAACCACCTTCTAAAACTATTCGCGGACGCAATGATATGGCACCTACAAATACACGAGGACTAGCAAGAGGCAATGTGAACAACAGAAATATGACAGGATATGGAAATCGTATGAATAATGCAGGCATTCAGGGAAATATGATGATGACAGGTCTTCCAGGGAGAATACCATTTCCTAATATGATGCCATTTGGTAAAATATTATTAAGAGAAAAAGAAAAATATTAAACAATATAGGAACATATTCTCAATCACAAAATGCAGCAGGATCAGGCTTTAATGCTAATATGATGGGTTATGGAGGATTTGGTAAGTTAAAAAGATGGATATAAACACTAAGAATTATCTTTATACATATATACCTATAAATATCTATCTTAAATTTTATTATTAACTGGATATTTATTAATTTATGTTAGGTGGGTCACAAGGGTTTCCTGCACCTCATTTTAACCCTGCATTCTTTGGAAATGCACAAGATCCTAATACATTCTCTGATGCAAATCCTCATGGTCAAAAAAGGCAAAGAGGGACAGAATAAATTCTAAAATACCAAAAACATAGTATTCTTTAAGGACAAATTAACACATTTCTCTTTATTCATAATTGAACTATCAAACAATATCTTTTGAGTCCCATAAAACATACTATTATTCATTTTAGGACTAATACATATATAAAATATAATAATATAGTCGACTTATATACGCATTTTGCTAAATCTATTTGGACAAACAAAACACAAAAATCTAACTCGAAATTTTATGTTTCTATTTAAAAAAAGGCATTGACCATTAAAATAATAAACATATTGTAATACGTACTTACATTTACACGATCATTCCAAAATAGTGTCTATTTATTTATCAGATCCCTTACGGATCTTTAAAATATATTAAACAATACCTTATCTCCATCACCTATACATAAAATATTTAGAAAATTCACCATAGTCTATAAAAACATTCTACTTACCCCAGAAAAACCTTTTGGTTCGGATATTTTGGTCTAAATATAAATTAACCATTAAAATGCCATAAAAACTATATTTAAAAGAATCAAACATGGATATTCCGGTGTAGAATCATTTTCCTTCTCTTCTAATTCATGAAGGAGATCTGAATGATGTCTAGTATCTGTTTTTTCTTAGAAAAAAGCAAAGTCCTGTATAAATAATATTACGTAATTGATAAGCGTTTAAAGAGCTTATTAATAACGCAGGAATACAAACACTAAAGATTACTAAATGAAAAAAAACACTATAAACCTACAAAATCGTTATTTTCTTCCATAAATCTATGGATTTTAGTAGTTTTAACTTAGAAAAAAAAATACCTGCTGTTTTTCCTGCATGTTTTTTTATAGCCTCCTGTTCCAAGGCAAAATCATGGCCCGCCTGAGTTCCTGTAGTATAATTACAGTGTCTTACAGACGAAAGGCCTCTAATAAGGCCGTTTTTCCGCAAGAAATATCTCCATATCATGCTTAACACTTGTATATTTTTTTTTGAGGTTGATCGAGTACTTTGAAGATCTCAACGTCAAAAAAAAGTGTTAAAAGAAAAGGGGAGATTTAGGGGGTTAAAAGGTAAGAAAACAAGTAGAAATGAAGAGTTTCATGATATTTTAGAGTAGAATTGAGTGTTGGTCGTTTTTTTCCGGAAAAAAAACGACCATTTTTGAGATAAATGGAAATCAATATATGAAGAGATACTGTTGGCAAATAGTCTGGAAAGATGCGCCTAGTTTCATGGAATTGCAATGGAATAAGAAATTTATTTGATTTTGATCCAGAATATCAAGAAAAATCTATTAAAGTAGGCGATTTGAAGCGATCGAATGGGCTATTTATGATATATATAGTTTATATTGGAAAAACTTGGAGCAGATATTATGTGTTTTCAGGAAACAAAGATACAGAGGAAAGATTTGACGCATGAAATGATCAATGTTTCTGGATACTTGTCGTTTTATACATTTTCAAGAAAAAGAAAAGGATATAGTGGGGTAGCAATTTATGTTAAAGAATCGGTTTGTATTCCGCTTAAAGCAGAGGAGGGGATTACTGGATATCTTATTCATTCAAAAAAAGGTATTCCATATATTGAATGTCCTAAATCGATTTCAATTGGTGGCTATACGGAAATGTCTAATCAGCATGCACTAGAGCTTGATCAAGAAGGTAGATGCATTATTTTAGATATGGATTTTTTTGTATTGTTTGGGATATATTGTCCATTCAATTCAAATTCAGAAAGAAGCAAGTTTAGGCAATCATGGATTGAAACATTAGATCGTCGTATTCGAAACTTAAGAAAAATGAAGCGAAATATTATTATCGTGGGTGATATCAATGTGGTGAGGGACAAAATTGATAGTTCGTATGATATAGATGAATTGAAAGAAGAAGGAATGGAAGATTTTGATGATTCATGTCAAAGAACATGGCTTAATAAGCTTTTATTGCCACATCCCGAAGGATTCATGATTGATCTTTGCAGACATTTTCATCCAGATAGGAAAGAAATGTTTACATGTATATAATATCTAATATTTATATCTGCTTTCTAACTTTTAAGGCTGGAATTCGAAAATCAATGCTAGGACCTGCAATTTTGGTATATAAAAACAATAATGTTTAAATATATATTTATAATGCAAAGGAACACGTATTGACTATATTCTCATTACTGAAGAATTATTACCATGGTTTGAATATGCTGACATACAAGCAAATGTTATGGGTTCGGATCATTGTCCAATTTTTGCAGAAATTAGATCACAAATATATAATTGGAGAGGAAGTGGGAAAACAGATAATATATTAGATCTTCTGAACAAAGGAATTTTTGTAGATGGAATATTAGTATCTGAATTACCTAAACCTCCTCACCTAGAAACACGTAATTTCCTTGAGTTTTCATTTCAAGATATTAAATTAATGTTTAAAAAACAAGAATCAGGTTTCTTAGAAAAAAAAAATAATAACCCATATAGTTCAAAGAATTTTCTTGGAAGATCAGCAACTGAACCATTGTTACACCTTTCAAAAAAAAAACGACTAGAAGGTCTTTCAAATCAAAGTGATCTTTCTTCATATTTTCAAAATACCTCTGGTCAATTAAAAAATCTTGACAGAAAACTAGAAAAAAGTACTATATTAGAAAAAGAGTTTAATTCACTAGATTCAGAAAATACAAATACAAAAACTATATCACAAATATCTAATACGTTGAAAAATGATACCAAAGGGAATTCAGAGGCTCTAGAATTGCAAAAAAAAACATGGAATAATATATTTGCAAAACCATCACCCCCTCTATGTAATGTTCATCAAAAGCCATGTATCGAATTACGATGCAAAAAGCCAGGTGTCAATTTTGGTCGATATTTTTGGGTCTGTTCTAAGTATATATTTATTTATCTTAATATATATATATCTTATTTTTCTATTTAGTCCTATTAGTAAAGACTATAAACATCAAAATACGTCTGATTCTGATATAGAAAATAAATTTAAGTGTGGATATTTTAGATGGAGCAGTAATCATAATCAAAAATCTTAAATACAACTAATAAAAAATAATCTAGAAATTAATTGATATTTAGAATGTTTTAAAAATTATAGTATAAAATATTACAAAAAGATACATTAATAAATTTTAAATACATTGTTATTATATATAGTATTTATGATTTTATCTCATATATCAAATGTTTATTTGAAATAAAATCATTAATAAAAATTCACAGATTAATGCGGTTAATTAATATTTATCAAAAATCATTCGTCTTAATTATGCCAATTATTTATATATATTATACATCAATCCTATATACCTTCTGTTATAAATAATTCGCACTTCAAAATTTTACTATGAATTAAATTATTTTATTTATTTCATTAATTAATCTTGTAATAGACTCTTTTAATTTCATATTATTAGAAACTAAAGCGGAGTACTTTTCTAAAGCACCAAGAATAGTATCACTTTTGATTAATGAATGCTCGTTACGTCCATAACTAGCTTTAGTATTAGCTTTAATCCATAAAGTTATCAAATATAAAGCTTCTCGAATTAAAAAAATCAAAGCAGATTTAGTATTCCATGGATTCTCGCGACGATCTATTATTTCATCCAAAATAGAGAAAATTAAACCATGAGAAACACCAGCAGAAAGAAACGATTCTATAACCCAGCCCTGAGGAGCACCGTCATCTCTCCTTTCAAAATTGTAGATTTCCAACATTGGAATAAGATCTTCAAGAGGAAAAACGTTTTCAGAAGATCCAAATCTTTTGCCTAATCTTCGAATAAGATCTGAAACAGTTTCATAAACCTTAACATTTTTATTAATAGCAGAATTGCTTTCTAATATTTATTAAAAAAACAAAAACATAATTTCTTAAACCTACCTTTAGCTATAAGCTTTTCCCAACATTGAATAATATCTGTTTTTCCTCTATAATCTGATACATGAAATATTGATAAACATATTTCATCATAACCCAATAGATCGGCATATTTATTAAAAAGCTTTCTTAAATTATATTTGAAAAATTAAGAAGAAAATAACTTACATCAGTAAGAGGAATAACTTTTCCATCAAGATTTTTTATCATTTCACGTTTTTTTTCAACAGTTAATCTTTCATCAACACTATAAAGAGATTAATAATACATTCATGAATTTCAACAAGCTATACCGAATGGATTGAATAATATCATCTTGAATAGTAACAACATCAAGCTCTTCCTGTAAATCTTGTGCCAATTTATTCATCATTGGTCTAATTTCTAGAGAAACATGACAATTACATAAACCTTTACCACGACTAAGATATTCCATTCTTTGTGCTAAAGTAATAGGAAAATTGCTTTGAGATAATTCATATAAAATACGTGCAGCTTCATAAAATGAGCCATATTTAGAATAATATTGCCATAAAAGATCTGCTAAATCAAGATTACTAACACTTTTTCTTTCCAAATATACTCGAACATAAGGAGTTTCAATCTAGAAAATTAAATATTTTTTCAACAGTTTTTAAAAATACTAACATTTAAAATTCTCTCCAACATTCCATGTTCAACATACCAATCATACAAAGAATAATGAAACAATTCATCTCTTGATGAATATGCAGTTTTATATGTATCATTTCTCAAGATATTAACATTTGCACTATGATTATCTGAAACTTCTTCAATCATTTTATCAATATCCAAAAGAGTCTCAAAAATTAATAAATAACACTTCATACGTTTAGTATAGTAATACTCTCGAAAATCCTTAATAATGTCAGAGCCAATATTAAAATAAATAGATCAAACATTTAATGGCTGTCCGTCTATAATATATGATAAAGATAAATCTTCAGGATCAAAAGCTTTAGCAACAGCCAGACATAATTCTACAGCACCTTAACTCTTTTTAGATAATATATTAAAGTAATAAAGGAAGAAAAACCTGTATGAAAACACAGATCTCTAAATTCAAGAACAGTTTCGCTCAAATTTTCCAATGTCAAATTAGAAGCAATTTTGATAAAAAGACGAAGACATTCCTGCAGAGATAATTTTTTTTCTTCACTAAATTCAAACTTTTCTTTTGTTCGTCTCAATTGTTCAATAGCCTAAAATAAATGAGAATGTCTTTTTTTTTAAGAAAAAAAAACCTTATACATAATAGCATCATCAGCACTACAAAATTCACCGCATTTTTTCCTTAAAGACTCACTAACAGCATCAACACTACCACCAGCAGCTAATTGTTGATTAACAATAGCAGTAACTAAATCTTTTGCCAATTCTTTTCCTGATTCCTTTGAAAAAAGGTCCTCAAATGTAAGTTTTAAACAGTCCTCTTGGCTCTGTTCAGAAAGTGATGAAATTATATCATGAAGCTTCGATGGTGTATCATCTATAAGAACAGATACAAAAGATAACCCTTCAATAATTCTGCGTATTAAGATAATTAGAGAATGAAGAGCTCTATGTTCTGCCTGAAAAGATATTTCCTCTGAACGACTCAAGAACCCGGATAACTGATCTGGTGCAACGAGTCCCTTTATATATGACTTGTTGTTATCAAGAAATTCATGTAATGTAACAAATTCAGACCGAATACGAAGCAATGTAGATGACGAAATATTACTTGAATAAATCTTTTTGGATAATTTTTTATTAATAGTAAGCTTTATGAATGGCTTTTTCCATAACTCGACAATGTTTCTAGCTATATATATGACTAAACCATCATGGCGACCTGAAAGTTGAACATTATCCAAATCTGATGTTTCTTGTCCTATTTTTTTTTAAAATAATTATATTTAAAAAACAATATTACCAAATTTATATTGCATTTGTTTAGTATATGGTTTACCACCAAATTCAATGTAATATTTTCGAGCAATTTCAACAATATCAGAATCAGTCAATATATTATTTCTATTTTGATAACATTTATTATTATAATATTCATCAAACTCAGATGCAGCATTCATTTTTCCACAAATCAAACCTAAACATGTTGCACAACCTTCTGCTTGCCCAACCATTTCAAAAAAAGATTCAACTTCATCTTCAATGCCAATAGGAGTAGAAGAACCATATTTTATAATAGAATAAAGAATTTGAAAATTGTTTTGTCTCTGTATAATATGTACGCCAGTATTCGTTAATACTGCTATTTGAGGAGATGCTATGTTATACTGATTCTTTAATTCATTGGGACAAAATGTTGGTGGAGTAAGTAATGAAACAGCCTGAACATAGCCTTCTAACGGTATCCAACTAGCAGTTTCAACTAATGATAATCTTTGATTATTAAGTGTTCCATAAAGAATTCTACCAGTATCTGGTGCAGATGTAAAAAGTTGATCGCCTTCAGATGGAGATGCAGATGATTTAAATGCCAGAAAATAACCAGGAGAAAAAACATGACCAATTCGAATAGAAGTTAGAATAAATGATGAGGCAGAATTCAAAAGAGTGTTGTTATTTAAAACTTTATATGACATATTGCCTGTTTGAACTTTATAATTTTCATTTTTATTTCCAGAATCAACAGGTGGAAATCTAACATGCGTACATGTCATTGTAGATGGAGGTCCATTTGAAGCCCAATTAGTTCTTGAAGCTCTCAAATATAATCTACAACCAGTAGATGTAATAGCAATAAGATAAATTTGTTTAGATTCATTTAGAGATACAGGTGCCAATGAAATAATACTTGTTGTTCGTGGATCTAAAAGAGAAGAACCAGCATTTACCATTTGAGCATGTGCTACAAGTGAACGATATGAATAGCTTATAACATGATTAAGACTTTGTTGATTCGCTAAATGATATGCACGAATAGATGATTTTGACGTCAATGCATATAATAAATTTCTTGAATTGTCCATCACAAGCTGTTGAATAGTTTCTAAAAAAAGTTATTATAAAAAATGATAAAATTAGAAAGAAAAACCATTCTTCACATTAAACCAAGAAATATATGGCATAAAACGGTCAATCAATGTCCCTGTATGATTTACTTTGCTACATCTTTTTGAAAACCATCCATCATCTATCTGATACAAAATTTCATAAATATTATCATCTTGTTTGCCAGAAAAAAAAATACGACCATCCGATGTGCTTTCTATACACGATACATCAATACCTGTAACAGAAACTGAAATTTTTGTAGAATAAAAAACAAGTTCTCCCGCACTTTCTGATGTCTTGGAGGACAATTGCTCCACCCCCAACAAAAAAATATCATTTAGCGTAGAAATAACAAGCAAAAATCTTATTGAATCAATAAAAACACCTAACTCGTAAAAATCTTATCATTCAATTAAATACTAATATTTACCCGGTCTGGGCTTCACCAATTTAATACATATAATAGTCTGATCTAAATCCTCATACGATTGAAACTCTTCTCTTTTAAAATTAGCCCCTCCTTTTGCCCAAAAAACGCTTGGACAGCATTTTTGAAGCATCTCACCCACTTAAATAATTCCATAAATACAGCCTATTATCCACCGTAATCCACGCCCTCTGGATCTCCGGGAAAAGTCCCATCTGTGTATAACATTCCGTCCCTGTTCTCCCATTAAAACTCCTCATTTCATCCTAATTCTTTTTACTATTATACTGCTCAAAAATGACATCTGGTATATTCATAACTGAAATCCGGGAAAATGGCTTCCAAAAAAACCATAAAGGCATATTATATTCCGATGAATAACCCTCTAAAATAGTTAGAAATAGTGCTCTTTTTTATATTTTTCTATATTTCAAACGTGTTAAAATATCCCCCATTTCCGGGTAATTTTCATCCCTGCTTATGCACTGATTAATAGCTTTATTTGCACGCTGAAGGGCATTGTTCTGAGGGTTAATCTGCGTAAAATCGGCCATTTTGATGCCTTTTTAGCACTCCTTCTATATCTTGACGAAAATTGGACGTTGCGGTCAGCACGCTTAAGCCAGCTTGAACCTCAATAAAATTTCAGTGCGTAATTCAGCAAAGAATAGGTAGTTAAACATGGTTTTTTCGCCAGTTTTTGAGCTTTTTGAAGGTTATATTATGTTTTCCTAGTGGAATATTGCTTATTATTTGCAGAATACCAAAAAACAGGGGTTTTTTTCCGTTTAATTAGCGTCATAGGAGTGTTTTCACTTTTTAGAGTTATTTTGTCACTGAAAAGGGCATTTTATGAGGTTTTCTTTAAGAAAGGAGTCGATGTATGATGTCTGTGTGTTTTTTTTTTTCTAAAAGAACAAGATAAAAACGTTTCAAACAAGGGCAGGGGCCTGGGCAGTTATTACGGGGGCGTCAGAGGGAATTGGCCGTGAATTTTCACTTCAACTTTCTAGATATTGCTTTAATGTAGTGCTTATTGCGAGATCAAGAGATAAACTTGAGGCATTGTCGAAAGAAATAGGTAAAGATTAATTTTGGGAGGATATTTTGTAATTATATAAAAAGAGGGGCTTTATTCAGTAAAAACTATTGTCCATATTATGGATTTTTCAACTGCAAATGATAAGGAGTATGAGACTTTAAAGGAAATTATTCAAGATTTAGATATTAAGATTTTGGGTAAATTTTAAAAAATAATTATTTAAGTTTTAAAAAATTAGTAAATAATGTTGGATTATCACATAAAATGCCAACGCCGTTTTCATTAACTACACCGAAAGAGATTCAGGATATTACGACGATTAATTGTATCGCGACACTTAAAACAACGAATCTTATTATTCCTGGGATGATTAGGAGGTTAAATTATCAAATATCCATTATTTTAATTTATCATATAATTAGAAAAAGCGGTCTTATATTAACAATGGGCTCCTTTAGTGGAATAATGCCTATTCCTCTTTTAGCAACATATTCAGGAAGCAAAGCGTTTTTAACGACATGGAGTCAAGCATTGGCAGAAGAATTGAAACATGATGGTATTACTGTTCAGATAATTAATTCATATTTTGTTGTAAGTTTATCTTATATAGAAAAATGCTTTTTTTGATATATAATTTAGGTTTCATCTATGTCAAAAATAAAGAAACCATCTTTTTTTGTTCCTACTCCTAAGCAATTTGTAAAATCAGTGCTTAGTTCTATTGGTTTACAAAGAGGAGCAGCAACTCCTTATACTATGACACCATATCCTTCTCATTCTATTTTAAATTGGCTTTTAGAGAATGTAGCTTTCAAATTAAGTCGTTCACTTATTCTTAAACAAAATTTTAAAGAACTTGAAAAAATTCGAAGGAAAGCATTGCAAAAACTAAATACTGATAGTAAATGAGAAGCTGTAAAAACACCATTGTGTTATTCAGACATATATATTTATATTTTATTAATTATTTTCAATTATTTTTGTGTTTTTATATTAACGACTAAAACTACAATTCAAAATTTTTCACTATTTATTATATTTCAAATTAAGGAATCAGGAGATCAGAAGTCTTTTATTACAAACTATTCTTCAGAAAGGAAAAAGAAGGCTTAAACAATTATATATTAGATTTATTATATGATTTTTATCTATAAATTTATTAAAATTTCGAATCTCGTATAATTTTCTTTAAAAATTAACTTATAAATCCTTAGAATATGGAGAAAAGTGAGTTAAGTCAACATGATATTAGGTATTATGATTCATATTCTCATCATGGGATTCATGAGGAAATGTTAAAAGATGAAGTTCGTACACTTTCTTATAGAGATGCTATTTATCAGAATAAACACTTATTTCAAGATAAAATTGTTTTAGATGTGGGATGTGGGACAGGAATTTTAAGTTTATTTGCAGCAAATGCAGGAGCAAAGCTTGTTATTGGTGTAAACATATTTTTTTCAGAAAAAAAAAATAGTTAATCTTTTTTATTTAGATTGACATGTCTGATATTATTGATAAAGCAGAAGAAATCGTTAAAATAAATGGGTTTTCTGATAGGATTCATTTGATTAAGGGAAGAATGGAAAATATTACTCTTCCTGTAGATAAAGTGGATATTATTGTCTCTGAATGGATGGGATATTTTCTTTTTTATGAAAGTATGTTAGAAACTGTTCTTCTTGCTCGGGATCTATATTTGGTTTATACATTTTTATTTTTTTTTTTTACATGGCTCATAAAGCTTTAGAAAGAAGGCGGATTAATGTTTCCTAGCAAAGCCAGTATGTTCATTGCTGGTATTGAAGACGCTGAATATAAAGAAGAAAAAATTGGATGTGAGTTTCCTATATTATATTTATTTATTTTTTTTTGGTTCATAATTACTTATAGTTTGGAACAATGTATATGGATTCAATTTTACACCTATTCAAAAACTTGCCATGAAAGAACCTTTAGTTGATACTGTAGAACTTCGAGCAGTTGTTACTGATCCCTATCATCTTTTAACATTGGATTTATATACTACTAAAAAAGAAGATCTTTCATTTACAAAAAAATGGGAATTAAAAGCACGAAAAAAAGATTATATTCATGCAATTATTGCATGGTTTGATATAGAATTTCATTCCTCTGGAAAACCTGTTCGCTTCAGTACTGGACCACATGCTAGGTACTTTTAAATTCATTTTTAATTTTTAAATTAAACGTATCTTAGATATACACATTGGTAAATATTTATTTTACATTTCTTTTTTATCTTATTTTATAAAAAGGAAGCAAACAATTTTTTATTTAAACCATACCATTGATATTGATGTAATTTTATCTATTTTTTATATTTCATTCATTTTCTTTAGGAAGGTCAAACTATACAAGGTGCAATAACTAGTCTTCAAAATGAAAAAAATTACAGAGATTTAGATATCGTCATTGAATATACATTTCAAAACTCTGAAACTCTAATTCATGATACCTGTTCATACTTCATGTTTGTCATTTCTTACATTATTTTTTTTTTAATATCTTTTAGGTCTTAACTAACTTTTCAATATATTTTAAAAAAAATACATAAATTCTACTTGTACTATATTGTTTCATATATATTTATTTATTTAAGAGCCTTTTCATATTCTTTTAATATCTTTTTATTTTTATTATATTTTTTATCTAACTGACTATTAACGTCAAAAAAATTTTAAGTTACCAAGATTTTTAAATTCTGAGCTTTTTTACCAATTAATAGATAAATAAGTTATTATAATCCCTTGTTTTATTGTCTTAGAATTAATTAAATAGTTATGGGCTTTAGAAAGAAAAAGGTAGCAACACGTTCAGCCATTTCAGATGTGGTTACAAGAGATTATACAATTCATTTGCATAAAAGAGTTTTTTTGCCGCTAAATATTGCTAAAACTAACATAATATTAGCTTCATGGGTGCTCCTTTAGAAAACGTGCTCCAAGAGCTATCAAATGTATTAGAAAATTTGCAGAATTGCATATGGTTTTTTTGTTAAGAAATATCATTGGAAATTAATAATTTTCAGGGAACAAAAGATGTTCGCCTTGATCCGCAGTTAAATAAAGAGGTGTTTAAGTCTGGAATTAAGTCTGTTCCTCATCGTATGAGGCTTCGTTTATCAAGAAAACGAAATGATCAAGAAAGTATATTTTTTCATATTTTTTGGCTTAAATCAACCTTTTAGATGCAAAGGAAAAACTCTACACATATGTTCAGGTTGTAAGTGTTCCAAATGGTGCAAAAGGGCTTCAAACTACAGGTTTTTTTTTAATTTTTTTTTTTTATTTAACTTTTTCAAGTTGTTGAAAATATTTAAGATTTTAATCAATTTTTTTATAATTAAATAACTTAATACATAGATTATAAATTATTTTTGTCATCTTTTTTCTAGTTTCTGTATTTTTTTTTTGCCTTTGTTCTTTCCATAGGTTACTTGACGATTAAGTAAAATCCTTATATTTGACTAATAAAATAATGCATATTAATGTTCCCTAAATATACTCGTAGTGCGTTTTATCTTGGTTTAACAGGCTTGGTGGGCTTGGGTCTCTATCATTTGTTTCAAAATAAATGCCCTTTTTCCAGGATTTTTCAATGCAAAAAAGTTACTCTAGAACCTACATTTTCTGATAATAAGACTTGGGTTGATCTGAAAGTATGGCTGTCATTGTTTTTAAGGAGTTTTTCCAGGCTTTTTTCTTATATCTTTTTAGTTGTCAAAAATTACAGATGTAAACCATAATTGCAAGATTTTTCGCTTTGATCTTCCATCAAAGAATCATATTTCAGGTATTCATGTGGCATCAGCTCTTTTAGTACAGTTTCAATTGCCTTCTCAGCCGCCTGTTATTAGAGCTTATACTCCAATATCATCAGAAGAAACATTGGGTATTATTTATAAATGTTTTAGTTATTATAATACATGAATTGATTGGTTATAATAAAGGGTATATGGATCTTCTTATTAAAAAGTATGAGAATGGGCCTATGAGTTCATATATTCATAATATGAAAATTAATGATAAATTGTCATTTAAAGGACCAATTCCTAAGTATTATTGGACACCAAATAAACATGATCGAATTTATATGATTGCGGGTGGGACTGGTATAACGCCAATGTGTAAGAAAGCACTTTTATTTAAATTTTAATATTTTGTTTTATTTTTTGCTTATTATGAAATAATTAGATCAACTTATTCGAAAGATTTTTAAGGAAAAGGAAGACAAGACAGATGTTACTCTTATTTTTGCAAATGAAAGTATATTGTTAGACTTTTTTTTTAATTTGATATTTTTTAGATTGCAAAACGAGATATTTTATTACATGAAGAGCTTGAACAACTAAAAAAGACATATCCTTCTAGGTTTCATGTAACTTATCTTTTAGGTAACATTATTTGAAATAATTATACATTTATATAACATTTAACAAAGATGAACCACCTGAAAATTGGGATGGTGTTTCAGGAAGAGTAAATAAAAGTCTTCTTGAATCTATTCTTCCTGGTCCTTCATCACAGAATATCAAAATTTTTGTTTGTGGACCACTTGGATTTTATCAGGTATGTTTTCTTTGATTTATTAAATAATATTTTAATTCTTTTTAAAAAAGGCCATCAGTGGTGTAAAACGCTCTGCAACAGATCAAGGAGATTTAGAAGGTATACTTAAAGAGGTATGTTTTCTTATAAAATATAGTTTAAAATCAATTGACTCATTTATATAGCTTGGATACGATAAAGAACAGGTTAAACTTATTAAATACATAAGATATATGTAACATTCATAGGTCTTTAAATTTTAGAAATATTTTATTCTTTATAATTATAAAAAAAATTGTATATATACTACAGGTTCATTTATGCCTTCCATATACGCTTAATTCCCTCTAAAAATAAGTCATAATTCTAATACAAAAATGATGTTTACCAGTAATTCCAACATCATTTGTTTCAAATTCATAAAGTCCTGCAAAAACAAGACCTGTTGCTCCTCGCAACACCCATCTCATAAATGTAGAAAAGGACCCATATTCACCTATATTTTTTTAGTTTTCTTTCCTTTAAAAACTATCAATCCTATACGTTTAGGAAAATAATCAGTAATACATGCATCAAATCTAACATTTATAAAAAAAAAAAAAAAATACATCAAACATAAACACACCCAATATAAGAATGAACAACCAGTCCTAATGAAAGAATTGCATCAAAAATAGGCGTCGTACTTGATCCCACAAAAGGTGCCAACACTAATGGTACTAATGTCAAAGAAATAAACCGCTCAAATGTCCAATGGTAACTCCCATGTATAGGAGATGGTAAAGGTGTAGGTGATGGGTCTTCTATCATTATTTTTTCTTCAAAAAATAGGTAAAACCAATATACCATTTACTGAACCTATAACAACCTCTTTTTCACCAATTTTAAGCCAAATAAACCCGAAAAAAAGGAATAGACTTACGAGGAGGTGCTTTACCAAGACCTTGCTTCATAAAAAATGCCTTAAACTCGTTTGGATTCCCTTAAAAAACATTCATTTTAGTAATTTACTTATTCTTCAAAAAAATAGGCTTACATGTATGAAATTTCACCGCTCGAAAACACAGCGTATTTAAAAAAGGCCTCCCATTTATATTACTTCTTTTTATAAGCGTTTTAGACATAGATTCTGCTTGTTTTAAAATTTCAATATTTTTTTAAATATTTCTTAGTTACGTCGAGCCCATCTCAACCTCAAAAAATTTTAAAAACCTATAAAAGCTCTGTAAACCCCTATAATAAACTAGAAAACGAATATATATATATACAACCATGTATAAACAGGTTAATATGTTATTTTTACTTTTTTGACCGGTTTAAATAGAGTAATTAACGCTCAGAAAATGAAATCTCAACTTAAACTTACAAAGTCAATGTTAAGGAGATTAATACATGGAAAAAACAATATAAATCGTCTTATTTATAATGGTTCATCTAAAAACTATGCATCAATCTCTGGATTTATCCCGAAAACTGAAACAACGACGCTTTCTAATGGGTTTACTGGTTTTTTGATATTTAGCTGGTATATTAGGAGATAATTGATAATATATAGTCGCAACAGAGTCATTTCCTTATGCAAAGACAGCTACAGTAGGTGTCTGGATTGATTCGGGGTCTAGGTCGGAGTCTATAGAAAATAATGGGGTTGCCCATTTCCTTGAACATTTAGCCTTTAAAGGTACTAAAAATCGTACACAACAAGACATTGAACTCGAGATTGAGAATATGGGGGCTCATTTGAATGCCTATACAAGTCGTGAACAAACAGTGTATTATGCTAAATCGTTTCAAGATGATGTTCCTAAAGTAGTGGATATTCTTGCAGATATTTTGCAAAATTCCAAGTTTGAACCGTCATCTATTGAAAGGGAACGAGATGTGATACTTAGGGAGCAAGAGGAAGTTGATAAGCAAACAGAAGAGGTTGTTTTTGATCATTTACATGCAACAGCATATCAAGGTATTAATTGTCTTTTTTTACTGAATAATATGATTTATTAAATCCAGGACATCCATTGGGATGTACTATTCTTGGTCCAAAAGAGAATATTCTTTCAATAAAACATGAGCATCTTGTTTCTTATATTAATGAAAATTATACAGCAGATCGTATGGTTTTGGTTGGAGCAGGAGGTGTTTCGCACGAACAACTTGTGGAATTGGCGGAGAAATACTTTTCTAATCTCCCAGTTTCACCGAATCCGCTTGATATTGGATCATCACGAGGTGTAGCGCCTAAATTTACAGGATCAGAAGTAAGAATTAGAGATGATACCTCACCAACTGCAAATATTGCTATTGCAGTTGAGGGTGTTTCTTGGAAGCATCCTGATTATTGGGTAATGTTAGTAATGCAGGCAATAGTAGGTAGGGTTACTTTTGAATCTTAACAATATACTAATTTTAGGTAATTGGGACCGTACATTAGGTTCAGCTTCACATCTTAGTAGTAAACTAAGTGGAATTGTTTCAAAATATAATCTTGCAAATAAGTAAGTTTTAAAATAAAAAAATTATTTCAAAAAAATAATAAAAAAAGTTTTATGTCGTTTTCAACCAGCTATTCTGATACAGGTCTTTGGGTAAGTAATATATACTCTATACTTCCACAATTTTAATATACAGGGTATTTATCTTGTCTCTGAAAATTTAACAGGTTTGGATGATTTAGGTAAGTATTTTAAAACTAGTATTTACTTTAATTAATGTTCTTCTATAGTCCATTTTGCATTAAAGGAAAGCTTTATTTTCTATAATAAATATATTGTTTTTAATATAAATAGGAATGGTGTCGTTTAAGTCGTTCTGTTACAAAGCCAGAAGTCGAAAGAGCGAAAGCTCAGTTAAAAGCATGTCTTCTTTTAGGTTTAGACGGAACTACTGCTGTTGCAGAAGATATTGGACGGCAAATTGTTACATGTGGTAGACGTATGACACCGTATGAAATAGATAAACAAATTTCGAAGATTACAGAAAAAGATATTCAAAGAGTAGCACAAGATAAACTATGGGATGCGGATATTGCTATTACTGCAATTGGATCCATTGAAGGATTACTCGATTATAATCGTAAGTTTTCTTAACTTTTTATATCAATATTTATTATTTATAGGCATCTCTGCAAACATGTTTGTGAGCTTCTATACAAAAATTTCTTATTAATTTTTATATAGGTCACTTAATAGATGGTAAATGTAACAAATTAACATATTAAGAAACGAATTATTAATATTTACTTTTATTACTAATGTTTTATTTAATCTGTACTAAAATACATTCAATAAACAAACTATATGTCACCCTCAATTATGTTTTCATCTGTTTTTATATTATCTAAATCATCATAAATTGTACTCATAGGTAATCGTGTATATTTTTCGATAGGTGTAAATATTGATCCTACTTTTTCAACCCATTTTTTTCTTCGTTCTAATAAAGCTTGTATATGGTTGCTTAATCCTATTCTTCCAGCACCAATGTCAGAAGAACCTATACTTCCTATTACCCTTTTCTTTTTTGCTTCAATACTTCTAGATCTTTTTAAAAAGGCTTGTTCAACTTGTTTGTTAAGATCATTTAAAACGATAGAATATTCCTGGTATGCGAGATGTTCTTTTACCAATTCTCTTAATTTACTCTTTCTTGCTGAATTGATTGCACATTGATGTCTCAATTGAGATTGTAAAGATCGTAAATTTGACGATATTTCATCATCTTCCCGATTATTCCAATTGATCTATAAGACTTAGACAAAATACTTAAAACTAAAACTAAAACACACATCATCATCACCCAATATACCTATATATTTAAGCTCTTTTTTTAATCTTTCTTCGAAATTATGATAATCTACTTTAATACTAGGAATTTTCCAACAAGAATTATACAAGTCTGTATCTTTTTCATCCTCTTCCATTTTTTGCTCATCATCTAAAGCATCCTCTTTTAACATTCCACTCAAAAGTCTTTCTAATAGCGGACCACATGATATTTCCTCAGTAAATAAATGTTCATCCGTTAGTTGATCTGGTGATCCATATGGAATAGAAGAAAGAGAGAAATTAGAAGAAATCATACCAGCTAAATCTTCTGAAGCCCAACTATTTTCGGAAAATATGCCTAATGGAGGAATCATATATGTTGCTAGCTCTTCTTCCTAACAAATTTTAAATATATTTCGTCCATAGAATAATAAACATACCTCGTCTTTTAAAAATAAAAGGTCCTCTTCAGAAAAAGGACGATAAAAAGAATCAAGATATGCATAATAAGTAGATATAGATATTTGTATAGGCGCTTTAACTTTAGAGAAATCCTCATTAACAGGTTCACCAGGAAGCTTATCAGAAAGATCAACTGTAGGAAAATATGAAACTCCTAAAAATTGTTTAAGCTTTTGAGGGTCCGAAATTTTTAAGATTTCATCATAAAAATATTCTTTATTAGAAAAAACCGTGCTAAGTGATTCTTGAGGCATCTGAATATTTTTAAAAAATTCAGGAGGACTTTGCTCCAATACTATGCTTATTAGCAAAATAATAATAATACATAATATGGAAATTAACATTTTTTTTGTTCAAGTTCTGTTTCTTCTCTAATATATTCATTTGACAATTGAGATGTTTGGAATACATTATCTTGTTCATTTGAGGAACTTTTTTTAGATTCAATAATAGAAATCTCGCCTTGGTTAGTCTTTTTATTAATTTCTGATTCATATAAAAGCCATTTTTTATATTTTGTTTGCAAATCTTGGAAATTTCGTTGCAAAGTATTCTGTTTTTTTTGAATTTTTACCAAAAGTTCTTTAATACTTTCTCCTAATCCACATAACTGCTTAATATTAGGAATATCACTGCTCTGACTATTGTTGCTAGAACAGTTGCTATTAAGATATATACTAAATAGTGATCGATCTTCTGATAATTTACCATGGGCTAATTCATCATCTAATAAACCCATAATAACAACTTTCAAGTTGTATATCAGCGCAAAGCGCTATAAAACGTGTATAGTTCTCTATATTCTTTTTTTATGTAAAATATCTCCCAAATATTATTTTTTTAACTAAAATCCTAATTTTCAAAGACTGTAAAGGGATTAAACCCAGTTATAAAGAATAATATCAAATATATGTCTTTAAAAACATGTGTTTCTTATAAATAAGGTGATAAATCCTGAATTACTCAAAAAAAAATAAATCATAATCTTTTTACATAAAAAAAAAACTATTTTTCTTAAAATTTAGCTTTAAAATTCCTGGAAAAAAGGTTACCTAATAAATATTGCCTAAAGAAAATTAATATAATCTCAATTATTGAGATTTCTTCTATTTATAATGTCTTTTTAGATTTAAAATATTTTTTTGACGTTGAGCTGTCAGAAGACCGATACTAAAAAACGTAATAATAAACTCTCTTAATAATATTTCTACTGCCAATTACTTTAAGCATAAAATAACACTTCAATAAGATTTTGAATATTATATATGCGTCAATTAACCATATATATGCGTATTATATATCCCTATTACTTGTATTTTTCATTAATTCCTTATATATATATAAATCCATATTAAATTTATCCAATATATTAACCAAATCTTATACAGAAACGTATTTAAAAAAACTTGTTTTAAAAGGTTATAGTCATGAACTTGATAAAGGTATTTTTATTACATCGTACCAATTGCTATTAATAAAGAAAATATATTTTAAATACTTATTAATTTATAAATCAATTTTAGTAATAACAATAAAGATAAGATATATAAAACATAGTAGATAAATTTATTCAATAGAAAAGCAACCTTGTTATATGTTGATCTATAAAAATACAAAAATAACTAAGATAAATATAAAAAATCACCGTTATATGCTTATTTTGTCGTGTTTAAAAAAAAGGCATATTAATATATCATATTAATATAGCCTATTAATATAGCCTATTAAAATAGCGATTTAAAAAGCGATTTAAGATTTATCTTGTATCAAATAGCTACATTTTTCTATATATGTTGCTATAGTGACTGTTTCTATGCCAACCGTTACTGCGACAACCGTTACCATGGAAACTCGTAATTACTATCAACAACCTCCTCTTATTCTTGACTAATTTCTTGTGTTTCCATTGAACGTAATGCCTCTAACCGCTGACGATTTCTACGAACTAATACTCTTTCAATATTTCTTTTTTCTATATCTGTTAATGTCTCCCAATTCTCAATTCTTGCTAATGTCCCATCTCGATTTACAACTAATGGACCCAAATTATCGAATCTTAAGGTCGATTGATGGTTTCCTGAAGACGGACCTGACATTAACATAAGTGGTTCTTTCTTGTCTTCTTCAATAATGCCATTTACAGTCTTATCTTTCATATTTTTTGAGCTTTTTTAATCTTAAATTATTTTTTTGACGTTGAGATTAGCACGGGTTGCCTAGACAACTATATAATATAGAGTGGTAGAAAATATTAAATACTTAAATTTTTGCTTTTAAAATTTATATATTTTATTGTTATTTTTATTAGAAATAATGAGTGAAAAGAAGGAATTAATGACATATTCATCAAATTCATTTGATGATCCTCCTCCTTATGAATCTATTAGTGTATTTTCAGCACCTTTACATCAACAATTAAATGGAAAACGAATAATTTTAGCTTCTACATCACCTAGAAGAAAACGATTATTGCAACAAATGGTATGAATTTTTTATTTCAGAAAAAAATTTTTTTTTTTTTCAATTTTTATACATTTAAGAGGACATATTCTTAAATATAAACGTATGAATGATGATATTTATACTATATTTTTTCAATATTTTAATTTTGGACATTTTTCTGAACAATTTTGTCTTTAGGGTTTTACAACATTTGAAATACAGGCACCAGATATATCAGAAACAGTAGATCCATCATTAGATTTAATGCCATGGGAATATTGTGTTGAAATGGCAAGTTCAAAGGCATTATGTGTTTATAAGTTGCTGGTATATTTTTTAAATATTTAAAATTATATATATAAAATATCAATAAATTTATAGGTGGATACGTCACCACCTCCAGCACTTATATTAGCAGCTGATACAGTGGTATTATCAGGTAATACAATGCTAAAAAAGCCTCGATCTCAAACAGAACAATTGGCAATTTTGAAAAAACTTCGTGATAGTAAATATCCACATAAAGTATTTACAGGAGTTGCTGTTATTGTTCCATTGAAGGTTCCTATTCAACCTGGATACAATTTAAGAACACATGTTGAAGAATCGGAAGTAACATTTGATACAACAATAACCGATGATTTTTTAGAAGCCTATGTATCATGTGGAGAAGGTGCTGATAAAGCAGGTAGGCTTATGAGTTTAATATTTTATTTGATATTCAGTTTAATTAATTATTTTTATAAAAAGGTGGTTATGGTATCCAAGGATATGGTGCTTTGTTAGTTGAATCTATCAAAGGTGATTATACAAATATTATTGTAAATTTTTGAAAATCTCTACTTTTCTTATTTTTAAACAGTATTAGGGTCTTCCACTTCGTTCTACATATAAATTAATGGAAAAAACATTGAATGAAGATGCGTATGATGATCTCTTGATTCATGATCTTTAGTCCAAAGATTAGAAGGATTATTAACAAAAATATAACTATCTTTTCATGTTGCATTAGCTGTATGGTCATACCGTAAAGCCATGAAATTACAAAAAAATACAATTGATTTTCATGGGTTATTTAATTTGCTATATTATTCATCTTTCAACACAATTATTTATTATCTGCATAGTCTTATATCTTAGTATTTCTATATACATGTTTCTTAGCATATAAATATAAACAAAAAGATTTTTATTAAGCCTTTACAATAGATTATATATTTCTATAGATATACATATATAATTAAATGAAAAACGAGCATTCCAGTGATTTATATGATTTTATAAATAAGACATTTATCACCTAGATATAAAATATTTGTTCATAAAAATGAAATTTCGTGCTTCAACTTATTCATATGATGATTCTAGTTTTAAAAACATATTATATACTTCTTTAGGCTGCATAATTTCTTGTTTTTCATTATCTCTACTTCTAATAGAAACTGTTTTCGTTTCCAATTCCCTATTACCTACAATAATGATAAAATTATATGCTTTTCCTAGTGCATTTCGAACCATTTTAGCTAGTGTCTTTTGACTTAAGTCTAAGTCTACATAAAACCTTCTTTTATACATTGATTGAATAGTATTTTTATCACTTTCTAACCCAGATATTTGATAATAAACGTCATTTGCATATTCTATATTATTTTTACCAACAGGAATAATTATTGCTTGACAAGGACTTAGCCAAAATGGCAATCGTCCGCTTGTATACTCTAATAATAATGCCATCATTCTTTCTATGGAACCAAAAATAGCTCTGTGTATAATTACTGGAGTTTTCATAACAGAAATATCTTTAGAAATATTATCTGTATTATCTTTAAAAGGCGATCTGTATTTAAGCTGGAATCTTAAAGGAAGCTGAAAATCTAATTGAATTGTAGCCATTTGATGTTTTTTACCAATTTTATCTGCCACCAAAAGATCTATTTTGGGCCCATAAAAAGCACCATCTCCATCATTATAAGACCATGGTTGCTTCGTTGCATCCAGTGCCTGCTTTAATGCCTTTTCTGCCTCTTCCCAATCTTCTAAAGTACCAATAAATTTTGGAGGTCTAGTTGATAGAAAATATTCATATGAAAAAAGCTTAAATATTGAATATATCGTCTTAATCATATTCAAAATTGATGATATTTCATCAAAAACCTGTGATCTTCTACAAAAAATATGTGCATCATCTTGATGAAATTGACGAAGTCTTGTTAATCCACTTAAAGATCCAGAAGATTCATTTCCATAGATCGGTTAGCCAAATGAAAATATGGATAATACATATATATACCGGTGTAAAGTCCCAAAATCTGCATATCTAATAGGTAAATCTCGGTATGATCTTTCCATTGATGAATACATAAGACAGTGTCCAGGACAATTCATTGGTTTTAACCCATATTCTTCATCCTGGAAACAATATGAACCTTTTTTATCATTTTCTGTAGTTCCTCTACCCTTCACTTGAAACATTTCATTTTTATAGTTTTCCAAGTGGCCACTTTTTTCCCAAAGAGTTTTTTTATAAATCATAGGACTTCTTACTTCTTCATATCCATAAATTCTAGAATAAATCCTCATAAATTCTAGTAATCTATTATATATTCGAGTACCATGTGGTAACATGAAAATAGACCCTGGTGATATATCTGATGTCATGAATAATCCATCAAAACGTCCAATAACTTGATTATCATCTGAATTACTAATATTTAATCTCTTAACTTGTGTTTTAAGTCCTCTTGTAGTTTTATTAATCCATAAGAATTTTGTCTTAATATATAAAATGACTTTTATATCCTTATAACTAGAACTATTCCAAATATAAGATAACATCCTTATACTAGAGCACTATATTTTGCTCATCACCCTAATTATAACAGTAAATCTTATCAAAACAATACTAAAAAGCCATATTTAAACCCTTAGAACTCGAATAAATTCGTTTTTTTTAAAAAAAATGAGTTCTTATCCTATTAAATCCTCTAAACTAAGCTTTAAAGGCGAGAAGAAGTCCCTTCTAATCCTTATTTCAAGTAAATGATTAATGTTTTTTTAGAAAAAGAAAAAAACGGCCATTATTAACATCTGAAAGTGTTACTGAGATCAATACAGATAAAATAGATGCCGATGACACAGAAGAAACTGGCTGGATTCGTTTAACATCTCTTGAAGATATTAATGGACCAATATTTCTGACGTAGATTTCAATATATATAAAAATATACTAATTAATATGTAGATTTCTATCATCAACCCGTAAGTTTTAAAATAAAAGAAGTATTAATACCTTTCTATTAGCAATTGCTCTTTCCTGTGATGCATATGGAAAAGTCTTTGGCATGCCTTTAGATTCTTGTGATGATTTAAATGATATTGAGCCTGATGATGTTCGTCAAGTATGGGTAAGCACCGTTCTTTCAGATACAGGAAAATACAGCTTTAAATCATCTACTGGTAAATATTTGTCATGTGATAAATATGGTTTTCTTTCAGCAAAACAAGATGCAGTTGGTTATAGTGAACAATTTGAATGTTTCCTTAAAGAAAATGGTCTTGCAATCCAAAGTGTTTATGAGAAATTTATCAGTGTTCATGAACTGGATAGTGGCATAGAAATTCGAGGAGATGCAGAAACGGTTGGATTTTGTGAGAGTTTTAGAGCAAAAATACAAGGATGTCATAAAAAGCGAAAGATTGTAGAAAAAGAAGCCACTGTAAACACAATTCGAAGAAAAGAATTAGAATCCATGTGAGTTAGAATGTTATCTGAACAATAATGAAGCTAAAATTAAGTAGGACCGGACGAAAGTTGACTAAAGAAGAAATTATACAATTGAAAGCAGCCTTTAAAGAAGTATGTAGCCTTTTTTAAGTAATATTTAACATGATTAGGGAACTTTGAATGAAGCCTTACTTGATGTATATATGAAAAAAATAGATAGTATTGAAATTGACAAGATTCTAGATTCGAGTTAAACATGGTCGTGATAAATTTGCATTTTATTAACTATTAACGATATATATAATTTATTTTTCCTAAGACTTCTAGATCAGCTTCGACTTCTTTTACTGATTTTTTAGTTTCAGTGCAAATTTCATCCATATTATGTTTACCATCTAAATATCTAATAGAATTAAGCTATATTTTTATTGTTTTTAGATTAGTTGTATACTTTAACAATGGATTATCCATATTATGGGAGTCATATGGCTCTGCTAAGAAAGGATATCTATGAATTCTATATAAGAATCCTTTTATGATCCCAAAAGATATAAAACGACGTATGTCAATTCCATTTAATGATAATCTATTTTCAATAATCCAATCTTTTAATGTAATTCCTTGTCGTAAAGAACAATATAAATGAAAAACAAATGCAAAAGATAAAGAAATATCATGTCCTAGAAACATTAAGAAAGAAATTGGAAGAAATGCAAAAGAGTTACGTGTAGAAATATATGCAAGACATTCTTCTCGAAGTGCTGAATCTTCAATTAACATATTAATGTCAGGTGTTGGTGCATAAATATTGTTAAATTTAAAAATATCGACCATAATTAAACACCCATAATATCTCATAAAATTAGTTAAAGTAGATGAGAAAATGATTATTTACAAAAGATGTTCCATGCATCGACAAACAAACATATAATCCGTATTTGTCAGTTCAGTAATTCTTCTGACAGAATTTATACCATCAATAAATGGGACAATCTGCAAGAAATAAATATCGATATCTATAAATTCAGCAATTATATTACCTTTCGAACAGTAAGATCCCAATTTACATTCATCAATAAATTCAATTGAACTGTAAGTATAGGAACTTGATGAGGTAATACTCTTGGTGGATTCGAAAACGTTGGAAATAACTTGATATTGATTGTATTTTTTTCATCTTTCCTTCAATTATAATTTTTTTTTAAAATATCCTACTTACCAATCGGTATCATACATTCACAATAGTTATTCAAATCCTCCATTATTTGCTCAATAATATTATAAATGATCATTCTTTTATTCTGATTAGATATAAAATTTCCTTGTTCCTGTATTTTTTATCAATCTTATGTTTCTATCCCATTCATTCTATTACTTCTAATGATTTAAACACTTTTGCCAATCGCTTAACTACAGGAACATAACATGAACTATCATCCTTCTCTCTAAATACAAGAGCACAATTGAATATTAATGCATTCCTTTCATATGTCCTATCAACAATACATATAGGATGTCCTAAAATTCTATATCCATTTGTACAAATCGCTACAACTCGGTCACAAAGTTTTCGTTTAGGTATAATATATTCAGATATAGGCTCAAATTCAAATAATGGCTGCTTATCTACGACATCTTCCTCTAATGTAATTGCATTAGGTGGTACTTGATATACAATCTGAGGTCCTTGAACTGGGTGAAATTGCGTGAAAAAAATTGCCACTATTTTTGTAGGAAACGCTTCATACTCCTTAATTTAATATATAATTAATATTTAAATGGATATAAGCAATATTTAAAACCCTATCTTGCTCATAACCTTCTACAAGTTCTTTTCTATCCATTGCTTGATCAAATTAACCTTTTAAAACCGGAAAAAAACCCTTATATATCTAAAAACATAAATTAATAACGTTTTTAACTTATTTTCCTCTTAAATAGGCTTGTTACCTACCAAAAATCCCTTAATTTCTTGCATCGTTTTTTTCTGTCGTTGCTCACTGCACTCAATAAATTATTATCTAATCTTATCTTGATAAAAATATATGTTAATATAGATATTTTATATATAATTAAGTTTACTTAGAAAAAAAAATAAGAATTGTCTTTGTATATTGAAGATTAGTGATTTTTATTCGTATTCTATGTATTATAGTACCAAATTTTCGTTTTTAATGTATGAATTTGTATGAATTTCATAGTATTTTTATTACCAATGATATATATATATATTGTATTTTCTTTAGTTATTTTTTTTTATTGAAATATATATATATATTATACATGGAATCACAGAAAAATATCTTGAATTATTTGGAAAAAGATCATGAAATATCTCATTCATTGCATGATTTACTTGATCCATTAATAAAAACTATGTTTTTAAATCTAAAAAATGTATATAATACAAAAAAGAAATTAAAAGAGCAATTAGATTGTCTTATAGAAAGTGATTTCATGTTTTTTTATTTATTTTTATTAAAATTTGATAGAACTTAAGATATATCTAGATCTTGTTAATTCTCATGTTCTTGAAGGTATATATTCAGATTGTATACAGCTTAAAGCAAGAATAGAACTGATTCATAAGACATTTGAAGAAATTAAATCAAGAATAGAAAAATGTTCTATTTTAAATCAATATTAATCATAATATATATATATATATCTTTTGAAAAAAATTATATATATATTTCATTGGATTTAACTATATAATTCTAGTTTTTTTCAAAGTTTTTAAAGAAAAACGTTTGAATTTGTTAATTATATCTCTTTGGGAACATAATAATTATTTTTCAGAGGTTATCAGATACATAAAATGAGTATTATAGATATAAAAATAACTAAAACATTATAATTGTTGTTTTAAAACAACATTTCTAAATACATAACCTCTTAATTGAATAGTTATAGATATCTATAATCTAATAACGTAAGTTAAACCTTGTTTTTTATAACTTATTATTTTATTAAGATATAATTTCTAAAAAAAATACAGTAATATCAAATATTATAAAGATTATAACAATATTGGATACTATAACGACTAAATTGACTCTTTATCTTTACATTTTATCAACTGTCGCATAATAAAAATTTAACTTTTTTATCATCTAATTATTCTAACTATTTATACATTCAAAAGCAAATTTAACACATAACTATTTACTTTCGTTTACTATATATTCACAACTCTGACTTTTATTTCTTATAAATATTTATATTATCACAAAATTTCAACTAATCATTTTCTCTTACAGAAATAAAATATATGATTAACTTATTAAATTTAATTATCATATAAATTAAAGGTTTTCTAATCTATATCAGGCTATAATACTTAAAATCAGACCCTTTTTATCTCAATTAAATCATCAAATCTTCAATTATAAATTACAAAAAATATCTTTCTATTCAACTTTATATCAATCAAATAATAACAATATTATGACTTTTATAAAGCTTTTTATAAAGCTTTTTATAAAGCTTTTTTTATAAATTTTATTTTCAAAATTATTCATATAAACATTTAATAAATCTATAGGAATTCTTAAATTAATACTAAAATACTTATTGATCTAGGAAATTTCTTATAAAGATATAGTAATATTTAAATTTTTCATGTAACCGCTATTTAAGCGTCATAGAAGCTGAAATCTTGAAAAAAAAGGCTTTATAAGGGTCAATAAACTATCTTGGATATATACAAATATTTCTTTAATAAGGACATGTTGTTTTTTATGAATATATATATATATAATTTATAGATTAGTGAGATGGTAGTTTTGGAATCACTTTCAAGTACAGGAATTTTTAAGTTTCTATAATCTTTTATAGGAATTTTTGTTTAATATGTATATTTAGTGAAGAATGGAGTAATTGGAAAGATATTTTTGAAAATCGTTTAAAAGAGGTCAGTTTTTAAAGGAATTTATAAGATATTGAATTTTCAGAATTTATGGTTATTTGAGTTACCAAGAACCTCATCAGATATTGAGAATGGGATAGAAACGGAAGATGGATTACCTTTGAGTATGAGTCAATCGGAAAAAATGTTATTTGATCGGATCAAGAATGTTTTATTTTCTAATTTTTTAACATATCCACCTCATACAGTACAGCGTTTAGCAGAGCTTCTTTTATCGCCTAAATTACATTATAAATCATTGTCTAAATATTTAAGAGCCGTAGAGAAAACACTTATGGTAAATAATTGAAGATTCCTAAATTTTCTATAATTTTTTCAGGTAACATCAACAACTGCTGATTTTAAAATACATAATACAGATTCACAAAACCAAAGAATGAATAATAATGATTCTAGTATACCAAACTTAACGCCTGTTCCATGGATTCATTCAGATGAGAATACAAATTAAAATATATAAAATGTATTTAAAAGTATATTTCATTCTAAAAGGGTATAACAAAATATGTTTATAATACCTTTATAAACATATTAAAAAAATTTTTCAAATTTAAGTTTGAACATGGCTGTTTTATATACATACATTCATTATTAAATACGTTAATGTAAATTACAATCAATATTATGTAATCAAACCGCACTGTTAATTTATTTAGCACCTTAATAAATTTGAGTTGTTTATTAAATATGAGCTTTTTAAATCTGAAAAAAAATCCAACAAAATGAAATCAAAATGGTTCAAATCGATATATAAAATTGTATATATTAGATCAGTAAATCAAGTATTTTTTTTTTTCTTTCAAATTATTCTTCTTTCTTTTTATGTTTTTTACGTTCTTTTTTTCCTTCTTTTGTCGAAGAAGTATCCTCTTGTGAATGTTGTCCATCACTTTTTTTTTTATGCTTTCTTTTCTTTTCTTTTGAACTTTCATGTATCTCGGCAGATTCCACCACTTTTTCTTTTTTTGGAGTAGAAATGACAACTGAACTTTCTTTATTTTCTTCTTTATCTTTTTGTATAGATGGTACTTTCGTATGTGTAGCAATTGCACTTTCTTTTATTAAAGGTGGATTTTCCTGACTTTTAGGTGGGTTTTCCTGACTTTTAGATGGATTTTCATGACTTTTAGGTAGATTTTCCTGATTTTTAGATTCCGAAGAACATTTATAAGCAGTCATTTCTTTGTCATATTGTTCTCGTGCTTTTCTTGCTTCTTCCTCAAATGGCTAAAATAAATATAAGATATAAATCAACATTTAAAAAATTCTTTACCTTTCTTTCATCATCATTTAATTTAGACCATCTTTCTGCTATTTCACTAAGAATTTCTTTCTGTGTTGCTGTTTCTCCTAGGCTATCTTTAACTGCTTGGCGTGTTTTTAATTGAAATGATAAATAAGCACTCAATGGCCGTTTAGGCTGGTTTGGATCACGAACTTTTCGCTTCTTTATCTCCGTAGAATCTATTTGTAAATCTTGAACATTTTCTTGTGCCATTTGAATCTCTGGAGATGAAACTACCGAGTTTTCTACTGCGACTGGCGTTGTCGCTGCATTTTTCGCCGGTTCGCTAGGAAAAGACAAAAAAGACGGCAAATTAAAATCCTGCAGCTCTCTTGCTGCCGCGCTACATGCTTCTGAGAGCAATCGGAACGCTGATGCAAGCTTAAATACCATAATTAGTCATACATCCAAAACCCCCAAAAAAACATTACTGCCGCTTGCTTTTTTTGCCATGCTTCAATATATGATGGATCAAACTGGTTATTCTTAGATGATATCATTTAAAAATCCCCCAAATCTCTGCTATTTATACTAATAAAAGACCATCTGCTCTTTTCACAAAAATTCCTGTTTCTTGGCCTATTTTTCACTTATTTTTTCCGGAAAAAAAACCATCTCCTCCTTACCTATTAATCTATACAATTAATCCCTTTTTATCGCCTTAAACTCCACAATTTATAGAGATAATTCTGCAAAAAACTTTTTCTAATATTTTTAACGTTAGCTTATTCGACCACATACCAAAATACTGGTTGCCTAGCAACTTATACCAATCAACAACCTATAAAAAAGTGCAAATATATTTAATAAAAAATACAAAAATGTTCATTAGTTTTTTCCTGTATTGTTTTTTTTGTGTAGATATATCCATAAAATATAAAAATATGTTTAAAATTTGCCTTGAAATAAATTCTATGACCCAAAAATCATTTAGTATGTCTTGGAGAAGTAGGAGAATAAGCCGGTGAAGCCGGAGAGAACTTTGGAGATGTAGGAGAATAGGCCGGAGATGTCGGAGAATAAGCTGGTGAAGTTGGAGAGTAACTCGGAGAAGTCGGTGAATAACTTGGAGAAGTCGGTGAATACGCTGGTGATGTTGGAGAATAACTTGGAGATGTTGGAGAATAGCTCGGTGATGTAGGAGAATAACTCGGTGACGTAGGAGAATAAGCTGGAGATGTAGGTGAATAAGCCGGTGACGTAGGTGAGTACGCCGGTGAAGTCGGTGAATAGGCCGGAGAAGTAGGAGAATAAGCAGGAGATGTAGGTGAGTAAGCAGGAGATGTTGGTGAGTAAGCTGGTGATGTTGGAGAATAAGCTGGAGATGTTGGAGAATAAGCAGGTGAAGTCGGTGAATAAGCCGGTGAAGTCGGTGAATAAGCAGGACTAATAGGTGAACACATTGGAGAAGTTGGTGAAAAATTTGGAGACATTCTAAGAATCTGTGGACTAGTTGGTGAAAATACAGAAGTTGGTAAATAATTTGGAGAAACAGGTGATGTTCCTGAGAATGGAGAGAAAGGTTGATAACCAGGTGATTGTAAAGTAGCGCCGTATGGAGATACACCAAATCCTCCGCCATATTCAGTGAATCCACCAGGAGTTTCAGAACCAGATTGAACAAGTGGTGAAAATGCAGCGCCATCTGATGAACCAATATAGCCACTATCTGAAACAGGTGATCGAGAATCATATGGAGTAGCTTGATCTTCCTGCAAAAGTGTTTTTCCTAAAGCAGCAGAAGATATACCTCTAAACATTTGACGATCTACAACGACTTCATTAAGCATGTCTTCATCCAACATCACATCAAATTCTCCTGTCCCTAGAGGAGCTAGTTGTCCTAACATAATATTTTCCGAAATACCACGACAATCATCCATTTCACCAACAGCAGCAGCTTCCATTAGAATTTCAACTGTTTCTTCAAAAGAACATCTCATCAAAACACCGGTCTCAGCACGATTAATACCATGACGTGTTATAGCCATTAAATGACCACGTGATGTCATTGTATCTGCAAGTAAGGAAAGATGACGATAATTAACATATGAACCATCAAATTCGATAACATTTCGCAATTCTTTTAATAATGCTGCTCTTGTAGCTTCAATTCCTAAAACTTGAAGAATTTCCACAAATGAGTTTGAATAAGTACGTCGAGGATCAACATTTTCGACTGCCATAACTTTTGCTAAATTTATTCCATCTGTTTCTAAAACCCATTCCTCTCCTCTTGCAAATTCACCATTTTCTTTTTGATAAACTGTTTTATGTTCCATCATAAATACTCTAGAAATGTTTGGAACCCCTCGCAAACTAATAGATTCTAACATATGACTTTCAATTCTTTTTAGTAACATATCTTCTTCAACTAAATTATCATCATCATCAAATGATTTTTCATCATCTTTTATCACACGACATCTTATAACCAATTTATCTGCATTATCTTCACTCCATATAACAAATAAATCTTTATGAAAACTTTCTGTAATTTTTGCAGCAACATCACTCATACTTAATTTCTTATCAAGCATTTTAGCACGGTCTAATTCTAAACGAAGAAGCCATGCTGATTGGCGATGAAGATTAGCTTCAACATCTTCATCAGGAATAGCAAAAAAAGCTTCTACAAAGGCACGATCTTCTTCTATAACTGTTTGTTGAGGATCTGGATCATAAAATATTTCTGTAACAGAGGTTACTGTTCTTAAAGTTGTATGTTCAATAGCAGTTTGTACTTGTTTCGCTGACTCCATATCCCTAGATACTTCTGGTATCAAATATACTGTTAATGAAGGGGTTTTTATAGTTTTTGCAACATTTAAAATTTCTTTTAAGCGAGGAACCCCAAGAGTAATACTCTTTGATGAAACCCCTGCATAATGAAAAGTATTCAGTGTCATTTGTGTAGCGGGCTCTCCAATAGATTGTGCTGCTAATGTTCCAACCATTTCTCCTGGATTGGCAATAGAATGCGCAAAACGAGTTTCAATTTCACCTAATACCCATTCAAAAGCAATTTTATTAAGACGATATTCTTCAATAACTCGTCGAGATGCAAGTCGTGATCTAAGAAGAATTTGAAATAAAAGTGTAGCGTTTTCTTGTGCCTCTTTTGTAAATTTATCATTTCCGCGAACAATTGTAAGTTTTTTAATTGTTTCATTTACTCCAAGAATAATATCTCTTGGATTTAAATCACTAGCTTTTCTTTTATCAATATGAAAAATTTGTTGAGCATTTCGTATAATTCTTTGAATATTAACAGGTAGGGGTCTTCTTCCATCGCCATCTTTAAATATAAAATTACGCAATAATTCCCGATCTTCACATAATTGATTATACTCTTGATCTAAAAGATTCTGAATAGCCATATCTCCTTCAATTTCATTTCCTGTTTCCAAATATTGAGGAGAAATAGTTTTTTTAGGGTCCATAACATCTACACGATAACGTCTATCGAATTCTTCATTAGAGAGTCTTAAAGAATCCAGATTTTGATATTCAACAGATATGCCATCTAAACCATCTTCCCCATATACCAACTGAATAATATCACCTAGAGAATTTCTAACAGTACCGTCATATTTTACCATGACATCTTCAAGAGCCTTAACGAGACGTCTTTGGATATATCCTGTTTCTGCAGTTTTAACAGCAGTATCAATTAATCCTTCACGACCTGCCATAGCATGAAAGAAAAATTCTTGAGGTGTTAACCCTCTAAGATACGAATTTTCAATAAATCCACCTGATTCTGGACTGTAATCATCCTTAGTGAAATGCGGCAAAGTCCTGTGTTTAAATCCATAGGGGATACGTTTCCCTTCTACTATTTGTTGTCCTACACATGCGGACATTTGAGATATATTAATGAATGATCCTTTGGATCCTGCTGTTACCATTTGTTTTACATTATTCGATTCTTTAAGACTCATTTCTGCAGAACGCCCTGCAGTATCACGAGCTTGGTTAAGTGCTCTAGAAACTTTGCTTTCAAATGATTCACGTAAAGTCATACCTGGCTCTACTTGAAGTCTATTTTGTTGTGCATCAAGAATAATTTCTTGAACTTTAGCTTTTGCTTCTGCAATTGTATTTGTTATATCTCTCATAGTATCTGCGTCTGCAATAGTATCACCAATACCAATACTGAAACCATTATGTAATAACCAATAATTTACAACCATTTGAATACCATTAAAAAACATACGACATACTTCCGGGCCTTTTTCTCTCATAATAGTATGTACAAGACCTCCTTGTGATGCCCCTACCGTTTTTTTATCTACAATTCCATATATAATTTCTCCGTCTTCCAACATCATACCCTTGTCATCAGGAGTCATAGGTGTTTGCTTCTCATCATCTCTAATGAGATTTATCCCTTTAGGAATAACCATACTAAGAATCTGTTTTCCAGTCCATAAAGGTTTGGGTTTAATGATTGCAGGAGTAGGCATATTTCCATCCCATTCAGGAACCCATAGAAGAATGTTCATAACTTGATCTCTAGACAAAAAATTATCCCGTCTAGTAAGTTTTCTAACACCCGCTAATGTATCTTGTACAATACCCATTACAGGCTTGTTTGATTGAGGAGAAACAATTTGTTTAGGAACCATACATATTTCAATAATTTCTGCTCGAGTTTCTTCTGATTGAGGAACGTGAAGATTCATTTCATCTCCATCAAAATCCGCATTATATGGTGGTGTAACAGATAAATTAATACGAAACGTTGAATAAGGCATAACTCTAACACGATGACCCATCATAGACATTTTATGCAGTGAAGGCTGCCTATTAAAAATAACCACATCTCCATCTGTAATATGCCTTTCCACTCTCCATCCATATTGTAATGGAATATCACCTGCCCTTTTATGATATCGTAAATCAATTCTTTCTCCTGTATCGCGAATAATATACTTTGCACCAGGATGTTCATTAGGTCCATTTCGTACAAGTTCTTGAAGTTTATGAATATTATATGGAGTTACTGTCTCAGGGTATGTAAGAATACGAGCAATGCTTCTTGGAACGCCAAGCTCATCAAGAGATAAGTTTGGATCGCCTGTAATTACCGTTCGTGCAGAAAAATCAACACGTTTTCCCATTAAATTCCCTCTTAATCTCCCTTCTTTTCCTTTAAGACGAGCACGTATAGATTTTAATGGGCGTCCTGTTTTTTGAAGAGCTTGTGGTTGACCTGCTATATCATTATCCATGTATGTTGCAACATGAAACTATTTAAGGTGAATCAATGGCAAACAAACAAATAAATAAATATACTTGAAGTAATTGCTCATATTCGCTCACAATATGAGCTGGTGCTCCTTCTTGTTCATATCGTCGTACATTTGCATTTGCTTTAATAATATCCGAAAGCTTATGAGTCAAATCATCTTCACCACGATTACTTCCATCAACAGAAATACTAGGACGGACTGATGGTGGTGGAACTGGAAGAACTGTAATAATCATCCAATCAGGGCGTGCATATTCCTCATTCAAACCCATCTTCTCCAAATCAACACTAGAGATGTGTTTAAATACAGTATATACTTCTAGAGGTGTTAATAGTCTACGATCAGGCAAATCACTCTTTATAGTATTTAAATCTAAGTTTTATTATGAAAATATGGTTACCTCTGAATCCTTCGATTTTTTATATGTAGCCCACAATTTAAGCCCATCTTTTCGTATAATAGGTTGCGGATTACCGCATCCTCCATGTCCAATAATAGTTTTAGCCCCATAATCATCATTAATCGGCGGATCAATTTCACATATCATTTTTGTTTTACAAACATTCCAAACTGCAATTAAACGTGACTTGGGATCTCGATATCTTTGAGATTCTATAAATTTAGGATTACTCTGCATAAAATATAAGATGGTTTCTTTTTTAATATTTTCTTAAAGCATGCCTCATCTGCTTTTAATTTTCCGCAATTTAAACACACGCATTCCAATATCTTCTTTATCTTTACAAGAAATCCAATATGAAATACTGGTTTAGCAAGTTCTATATGTCCAAAATGGCCCGGACATTCTGCCATACTTTCTCCACACTAAAAAAACATTTTAAAACATAAAAAAATGCATATTTGCTCTCGTTTACTGTCTGGCATCTAAAATTACGGTCAATCGTCCCTAATCTTGGGTCCAAAAGCCCTCCAATACGCGGACGATGGCCTGATTCATCCATAGTTTCTGGATACCTTTTCTCCGTCAATATTTATCATAAAAACCTCGTTTTTTTTTTAAAAAAAACGTACTCTATCTTAGCTACACTCATTGCTCTCTATAAAAACTTGTTAGCTACTAATTTAGGCTTTTTTTGGGGCTTTTTTTACGATTTCTTCTGGACTCAAAATTCCAAATTGTACCTCCTCAACCTGCCGTAAAACCGCAGATGAAGGTGTAAGAGCAATATCGCCGCTCATTTTTTGACCTTCGTCAAGAAGATCTCCCTTATTTATCTGCTTCTTCTCCTACCACCTCCTTTACTAATCTAACGCACTTTATGACCCCTCATGGAGGTTATTTAACGATGTTTTTTATTATATAAAAAAAATCAGAACGTCCAAAAAGTTTAATTTGCCTAAAAGAGGTATTAATAAGTGAAAATAAGTAGATTTTCTGAATATTTGATAGGGAAATAGGGTAATTGAGTTTTTTCCGGGATTTTTTTTGATGAAATTTGATGGAATACGGGTATTTTTTGAAAGTAGTTAATATAAGGGGATTTTAAAGCGCCTGATGATGATTTTTAGCTATAATCTATTGATATATATGAGTCGAGAGGAGATCTATTGCTTTAATATATTTTTTTTCATTAATTTTCGTTTATTTTTTGAGAAAATATAGTGATTTTTTTTTTTTGAAATTTTATACATAATATAAGAGATGAATTTGGTAAAATAGGCCTTTAGGACTTTTTTTCTTCTTAGGAATTATGTAGGAACTTTTAAGTCCTTTTTCTCAGGAATATCCGGAAAATTTGACATCTTCATTATGTAAATTTCTTTTTAAACAGGAAGAAACGCTAATTTTATAAGCATATGGGCATGCTATGTTGATTCGTTTTGATAAGAAAGGAGATCATTTGGCAGCAGGACTTTTTGATGGAGTTATTATTATATGGGACCTTTTAACAAATGGGGTTTCAAGGATATTAAAAGGACATACTAGACCTATTCAATCCGTCTGGTAATTATTTATTTATATATTTTTTTTAATAGATTAATTTGTTTGAGATAGTTGGTCTATAGAAAATCGTTATTTGTTATCGGCAGCTCGTGATTGGAGATGTGTTTTATGGGATCTTAAAGATGGATCTCGTGTGAAAATGATTCGTTTTAATGCGCCTATTTGGGGGGCGGAACTACATCCTTTTGATAGGTTTTTATTTATTTTATTATTTCTTTTATTTTGATCTTAAAAGAGAAATCTTTGTTGCATCTCTCCTTGAAGACGTCCCTATTCTTACTAATATATCGGGGGGTGGAATTCAAAAATATGTTCTTCCAACTGCCCCTAAAAGGCCTTTGAAAGAAGGTACAGAAGAAGGTGAAATTGACGAGAAAGTTATATCACAAGATACAAAACAATTTACACTTGTTTGTACATTTGATAGTACAGGAAAATATATTTATAGTGGTACTACGAAGGGATGGCTTAATATTATATCAAGTACATCTTTAGAAGTAAGTGTTAAGATATGTTATTTTTGAAATTTTATAAATTTATATTAAGATCCTATATTCTTTTCGATTAACTAATTCCAATATTAAACAAATACGTTTGAGTCCTACTGGAAAAACACTTGCCATAAATTCAACTGATAGAATTATTCGAACACTTCCTATTTTTGATAATCCTGAAAATTTAAATGATGATTCAATTGAAGTAGAACATAAATTTCAAGATGTTATTAATAGATTTCAGTGGAATGCATGTGCATTTAGTTCTTCTGGAGAATATGTTATGGGTAATTAATTTATTTAGATCTTTCTTTTTAAAAATATATTTTTTAGCATCTACATATCGTTCTGCTCATGTTATTTATATATGGGATAGGAATACAGGATCTCTTGTAAAGATTTTAGAAGGTCCTAAAGAAGAATTCATTGATATTGATGTATTGTTTCATATTTTTTTGAAAAAAAAGCTTATTTCTAAATAGTGGCATCCTGTTTTCCCATTTATTGCAGCAGCTGGTTTAGAAACTGGAACAATTTATATTTGGTCTATTCCACGAACAGAAGGCTGGTCAGCTTTTGCTCCTGATTTTACTGAATTAGAAGAAAACATTTTATATGAAGAACGAGAAGATGAATTTGATATAGTTCCAGAAGAAACTAAAAAAAGTAAAATTGAAGAAGATGTTGATGTAGATATAATAACTATCGACAACATCCAATATACAGAAGGATCTTTTCACACAGAAGGGTTTCTTCTGCCTGTATTATTTAACAGTGATTATACAAGTTCATCTGAAACAGATCAGGAAAAAAAATATATAAAAAAACCTGAAAATTCAAAAAATGATATAAAAAGAAAAAGAGACGAATAAGAAATTGAAAAAAAACACTGCGTATTATATATTAAACAGTAAAGGTTAAACATTTTTTATAATTATTAATTAATTATAGATATTATTTATTTTTAACTTTATCTCTTAACGAATTATAATGTGCGCCTAATCATAGCTTAATTTCATTCAGATCATAGACAATTCTAATACCTAGTGCGTACATATGTTGGTAATAACTTAACTTGATTGTATTTTTATTTTGCGAAAATGATGTTTCTCCATCCGGATCGAAATTAATTTTCAATGGCAATCCTTTCATCTGTATTAATTCTACATTTACTTTATATGCCCGTGCCAGTGCGATAATTTCTACTTCTCCTCCCCACATCGCTGTATGTTCGATATCATTACAATATGATTCTACATCCCTTATTTCCCCCGTTTCATCGTTAAAAAGAAACGGGATAAAACTCTGTTCATGTTCCCGAATATAAGATGCTGCTACTGTACGAAGTTGAAGATAATCTATCTAATAAAAATATTAAAAAATATTAAAATAAAAACATGATATCACATGAATATCATGTCGAACAGCAAGTTGGTCAGAGAATGCCCTATATAGACAATGTCCGTCAGGAATAATCTGATCATTTTAAGCCCTTAAAACTATTAAAATTATAAAGTTTATTACATCTTTTTCTTCAAATGACATTTTTTCAATAATTGAAGAAATAATATCTTTTTCAAATTTTCTCATATCAATAGATGATTCTTCATCAAGAGATGCTTCATTCTTTATTCTTTCTAATTCTTTTTTTTTCTTTTCCTATCAATATTATTGATATTATAAAAAAAAATATATAAAAAAGTCGGACTTGTCTAATTTTCTGTCTGTTTTTTCGAGTCATATGAGATTCTGTTGTATTTATATAAAGATTTGCTAGTTTATTTGAAGTTAAACATTCTATTTGATTCATAATTTTTGAAAAATCATTTATTGTTAATAAAACGATCAATTTCCTGTTAAGAGCCTTTAATAATATATAATTCTTAGTAAAGAATTAATATGTTGTGTATTAAAGTCTTAAAAGAAAAAACATTATGAAATTCTTAAAGATTCTCTAATTCAGTCGTCTTAATTTAGGGTTAACCATAAATTCTTTATAATCATGTAATGAAAGATATAGAAAACCCATATTATCTGTATTATTTAAAATTGAAAAATCCTTTTGAAATATTTGATATTTTGTAAATTAAAATTGTAATTCTTGTAAATGTTTTTGAAATTATAATTGCTTTATTTAATCAATAATATTTTTATTTTAGTTTTCTAAATATTATTGAAAAATCTTTTTGATAACACATTTTTACTGAATTAAATATGAGAATACTTATTTCCTTGTTATAATCTTTAAAATTATTTCAAAAAAAATATTTTTCTATAAAAAATGTTATTATCAATATTCATTTCTTCTATTTCCATGGAATTATAATATATTTTAATCATTCCTTTCTCTTTATATGTATCCTTTTCCTGTTCTTGAATATTTCCCATTTTTTGATGTATATATTTTTAATACTCTTCTAATGACTCTTTTAAAATATTTCATTTTTTACAATTTTAACATGATTTTTTGACTTATTAATGACCATTTAATAGTTTTCTGATGATATTGATGAATTTATCATTATCTGAAAAAGAAATATCTCTTTCATATATATATTCAATACAAAAACACTTGTTTTTAAGGTCAAATTTCCAAAAAAAAACAAGTTATAAATAAATATAATCAATAAGAAATTCTTCAAGTTTCTCTATAATTTAAAAGATCTTCATATATAAATATATCAGAATACATCAATTTCAATCAATTTTAATAAAAAAAAAATTAAGGTATCAAATATGTTTTAGAATTCTTTAAAAATCATATCAATAATTATTTCTTCAATTTATATACATAATTTTCTAAATAATATAATAATAATCGTTTTATTTCTTAAATCATTAATTTTTTCTGGTTTTTTCAAAAATTCTTTTTCGTCTTGATAAAATATACGAAAAATATAATAAAATATCTAAAAAATATCTAAATAACCCTTTTTTCAATCATTTTCAGTCATTTTTTTTCAACTTTCAAATACTCAAAATTTTAAACAATTCTTAAAAAAAATATATAAAGTTTCAAGGACATTCTAAATACTTTTATTACATCTTTTCTCATCAACAAATAGGCTTTCTTAAGAAAATATCCCAGAAATAAAGATATCTTCATTCATTGACGTTGCAACACTCTGTTGCTATGGTAATTGTTTCCGTGGAAACCTCTATAAACCTTACTGCAGTCAAAGGTTATGAAATAAAATCTTTAAAAATTAAGAGAATTTTATATGAAAAAACGCATGTTTAGTTAACATTTATTCTATAAAATTGATTTATAGATTATTTATTTGTTTTTTTTAAAAGGTTAGTTGACAGAAAAAAATCAACTATTGGATCCAGTAAAACTTGATGAAAAAAAAAGTATTGTCAGTTGAATAAATGAGATAAAACTAGAAGTTTAAATCAATGAAATTAAGATAATCTTCTCTCTGATGTTTTTGGGACATTTTTTTGAAATTTAAAAAGAGCGTTAATGAATGGTAAATGGTTAATTTATAAGCAGGTCTATGTTGAATTTTTTATACAAAAAAAATTTAAGAGAAGCTTTTTTTACGGATAAATATAGTTTTAAAAGATGGTTATTATTATATAATTATGTATTTTTTGCACGAACTCTTTCTATTACTAGAAAACAAGGAAATAAAGGAATAGAGGATCGTCTAAACAATTTTTATGACAAGGAAATAGAGCCTTATCCACGTATACAATATGACGAAAAGTATATTGAAATTTGTAGCGCAATTGATACATGGAAAGACAAATTAAAAAATGGAGAACGTGTTTTAAATGGAAAAGAAGTAACTATAAGGGGTTTTGTTATTTATTTATATAACAATATCTCTTATATAGTATTTAGGACGAATTTTTTCTATTAGAGAAGCATCTTCAAAGCTTTTTTTTTATGATATATATGCTTTTGGAGCAAAAATTCAGTCAGTTTGTTCACTTCGAACTTATAAGGATGATGCAAGTGTTTTTTTAAAGATAAATAAGAATTTGCGTAGAGGAGATATAGTTGGTTTGTAGACATTTGATTTATTTAGTTTTTAGAATTAAAAAAATGATAGAAATGACAGGTATTTTGGGGAAAACAAATCTTGGTGAATTTTCGATATTTACATCAAAAATACAATTACTTGCTCCTTGTCTTCATTCATTACCAACAAAAACTAAAAATGTTGAAAAACATTTTAAAAATAGGCCTGTGGATTTTTTAATACATTCTGAAATATCTAATTCTATAATCTTGCGTTCTAAAATATTAACATATATTCGTAAGTTTCTATTGAATAGAAATTTTTTGGAAGTTGAAACACCTATTTTAAGTGGATCAACTGGAGGTGCTAATGCTCGGCCATTTTATACACATGCAAATTCTCTAGATGGAAAAAGAATCCTTCTTAGAATTGCACCAGAATTATGGCTTAAGAAATTAGTCATAGGTGGCTTTGATAAAGTCTTTGAAATTGGAAAATGTTTTAGAAATGAAGGTTGATAAAATTTTTAATACAAAAAATAAAATTAAAAAATAGATTAGGTCTGGATTCAAGTCATAATCCTGAATTTACAATTTGTGAATTTTATCAAACATATATATCTTTAAATGATCTAATAGAAATAACTAAATCCTTATTATCTGGTTTAATCAATGAATTGATCAATAACAATCTTCTTAAAGGCAACATTCTTTCTCTTGCAAATAATAACTTTTTTAATACTTACAAAATATTGGACTTCATTCCTTCTCTTGAAAATCGTCTAGGTATCAATCTTCCTAATTTAGATCTTCCATCTGCTGTTGATCAACTTCTCAATATTGCTAATCAAAAAAATATTTCTCTTTCAAAACCATACACTGTTAATCGCATTTTGGATCAATTTTCTACACAACTTTTAGTATCACAATGCAATCATCCAACATTTATCATTCATCATCCTCAAATTATGTCTCCATTATCAAAATCTTCTACAAGAAATAATCAAAAGATTGCTTACAGAGGAGAATTATATATTCTTAAAAAAGAAATTTGTAATTTTTATGAAGAAGAAAACGCTCCATTACAACAATATTCAAAATTCCTTCGTCAACAACAGGATCGTGATCATCTTGGCGATTCTGAAATTCAATTATTAGATTCTACTTATATTAACGCTTTAGAATGGGCTTTACCTCCTACCGGAGGTTGTGGTATTGGTATTGATCGACTTTGTATGCTTTTTTCTAATCAAAAACAAATTAATCCTATCTTAACTTTTGGAAATCTTAAATCAACTTGTTCTACTTCTACTTCTACTTCTACTCTTTAACTACAATCATTCAAAATACTCTTTCTCACATATTTCTAATCATCAATTCTTTCTTTTTCTCTTATTTCATCTCTTCTTATACTATTATTTACTATCATTTCTTACAAAAAATTTTTCTATTCTAAAATATCTACTCCATCCTCTATTATAAACTATAATCTTACTGTTCATCTACATCTTTAACTATGTTCTTGTATTTTTTTCCTTTAATATATTCTTATCATATTTAATTGTTGACGTCGTCCCTCAACCTCACTGGTTTTATCTCTGGGTTTATGAAGCAGATAAAATGCAATACGTTGGAAGAGCCTTTGGAACCATGTCCAGGACATGGTCTTCTATTAATCCAGTAAGTATTTGCCATATAATATTGATATTAAATAAGGAAAACAGGCGACCCTTTCAGGAGCAATAGATGTTATAGTTATTGAGCAGGCAAATGGGGATCTTGCATGTTCACCCTTTCATGTACGATTTGGAAAGTTTTCTATGCTTCGTCCTTCAGATAAGAAGGTATTTTTTAAGGGGATTTAAGGGGAATTATTGAGAGGTTTCAGGTAACTTTTAGAGTGAATAATGAGATTGTCCATTATTCAATGAAATTGGGAGATGAAGGGGATGCATTCTTTGTTTTTAGCACGGAAAGTGAAGTTCCAGAGGAGTTAAAGACGTCACCGGTTATTTCACCGTCTAGTAGTCCACAATCAAGTGAGGAGGTAAATTGATAGGGAATATAATGAAGTAGTTTATAAGATGTTTTTTCTAGCAAAGTCTTCAAGAACCAGATGAATTTGATTTAGGAGAGCAGAATAATCGTTAGTTATATGTATAAAAGTTTTTTTTTTTTGATAGGTTAAAAGGGATATCTAAGGAAGGAATTCTTGCACGACTTGAGGATTTAAGTTGTAATAATACAGGTAAAGTGAATGAAATGATTAGATAATGATAATATGTTATCAGGAGATATAGGACAAACGAATCTTTCACGTTTAGGTCATGAAGCATGGGATACAATATCTATCGATACATCATCAAATTTAGCTGCAGATACCCCTAAAGGACATTTGTTATCATCGGATGTTTCGGATTCAACGTCTCAGAAGACGAATCATGAATTACTTTCAGACATGAATATTTCTCAATCTTCAATTGATTTGGAGGAAGCACGTCTTAGTGCTATTAGACGTGCGTCTGAGCTTAGTAAAAGACTTTTGACTAGGGATATTCCTACACATATTACGGACAATGGGGGTATGTAATTTTTTTTTTGATTCTGGATAAAAATGACGAGTTAATTGATGTTATATTGGATATGCGTGGTTATAAATCATCGGACGAAGCAGAACAAGAAGCAGAAGCAATTGTTCGACGTATTCTTTCTGAATTAGATATCAATCCAGCAGAATTAGAACATCTTATTTCTTCTGATTCATATGGAAATATCTGGATTTATGCAAGTGAAGATTCAAAAGAGGATGCAATAAATAGAAGATCTTTGTCAACAAGTACTGATATATTTTCTAATGTAATGCTTTAAAAATTTAATGATATACATTAATTGTTAATAGAATAATCTTAATGATCTATCCAAGATTTCTTTGGAATCGGTGCCTAATTTAGAATCTGAAATTAAATCGCCTACTGATAGTACAACTACACATGTAAAAACACTTCGTCTTACTTCAGAACAATTGGTACATTTTATTTTTATTTTTATTTTTAACTAAATTATTTTATAGAAATCACTTAATCTTCAATTGGGAAGAAATTCTATTTCGTTTAGCGTTAACAAAGGAAAAGCGACTGTCTCGGCGAACCTTTATTTCTGGAAACATAATGTATCAGTCGTTATTTCTGATATTGATGGGACAATTACAAAGTAGGCTAATATTTTGTTTGATACAATTTATGTTTATTTTATCTAGATCAGATACACTTGGTCATGTATTAACAATTATTGGCAAAGATTGGACACATCCGGGTGTTGCAAAACTGTATTCTGATATTTATAATAATGGTTTTAATATATTATACCTTACAAGTCGTTCTGTAGGACAGGCAGATTCTACTCGAGATTATCTTAAAAAAATCGAACAAAATAGGCATAAATTACCTTTAGGCCCTGTTATTCTTTCACCGGACAGAACTATGGCTGCTTTGCGAAGGTAAGTGATTTATTTATTTTTCTTTCCTTCTTATTTACTCCCTTAAGAGAAATGATCTTTAGAAAACCAGAAGTTTTTAAAATATCTTGTTTAAGAGATTTACATAATGTTTTTGGAAAAGATTCAAATCCATTTTATGCAGGATTTGGAAATAGAATAACAGATGCTTTATCTTATCAATCAGTTGGCATTCCTCCTACACGAATTTTTACTATTAATTCTTATGGAGAAGTTTATATGAAATTCTTAGAATTTGCAGGTTATAGAAGCAATTATATTTCTATGAACGATCTTGTAGATCACTTTTTTCCACCACAAAGCGCTTCTTTATTTCAAATTAAACATCTAGAATTTATCGACACTTTATTTTGGCGCAATCCACTTCCTAATATTTACGATTCTGATGATGCAATAGAAACAACCCCTGATGATCCAAACCCTGATGATGATTTAGATGTATATTTTGACGAACATTATGTTCATATCGATATATGAATTTTTTATTGTCAATTTCTTTTTTATACAGCAATCTTATATTTAGCTCTTGCAACTTTTATATATAAACCAGCTCTTATTATTTCTTTCTTATGGCATTATATTTTTATTATTATAGGCTTTATCTTTATCGCCTATCTAGGTGGATCTAAAAGTTTGGTCGGTTTTAACGATTTTAACTATTCAAAATGCTGTTTTTTGGTTTTGGCCAAAATTCTAGCGCTACAAAACAAACTGTTGATCAACAAAAGGTTTCTGCTGCTAAGAATGAATTGGATATGGTGACTGATTTATTTACAAGGTAAAAAAACCTCGTATATATATATATTACGCCTTATACAAAATAGATTAGTTGATGTATGTCATCAAAAATGTATTCCTTCTATTTATACAGATGGTGAATTAAATAAGGGCGAATCTGTTTGTATTGATCGATGCGTTTATAAGTTTTTTGAAGTTAATACAAAGATTAGTGAAGTATACAAATCGATCTTTTTAAATTCATTATTTAAATAAAACAGCATATGCAGACTTTAAGTCAGCATGCAAACCCTTCTATGAGACATGCTTTTACTAAATAATTTCCATAATATAGCTTAAATAAAAACTAATCATTTATATAAAGCTGTATTAAATATATATTCAGGAATCGAACATATACACTTTGCATATGATATAATAAAACATATAAAATATTCATAATCTAAACATGTATTATGTAATATAGGATTTAATATTTATTATTATTTTTATAAAACTTTTATATAAATTTTAAATATTTATATATTATATAAACATACATACATATATAAATATATTTATATATATATTTCTACTCTCTTACAATAAATATAACCTTAAGTACCTTCCATTTATATTTCTTTAGTACTTAACTAATTTTAAGACGTAATATTTACAGTCACAAAAATTTTCATCGGACGATAAAAAACTATGACAAAAGTAAGTCTATAATTTCATTTCTTTTTATTCTTATTCAATTATATCTATTCTATTAATCTTTTTTTTTACTAATTATATTATAGGGAACTTCATCTTTTGGTAAACGACATATAAAAACACATACACAATGTCGACGCTGTGGTCGTCGATCTTTTCATATTCAAAAATCAAAATGTTCATCTTGCGGTTATCCTGCAAGTAAAACACGCAGATGTAAGATTATATTAAATATATTAATAAATATATTTAATAGATCAATATATTAATATATATTAGATAATTGGTCATTTAAAGCCATTCGAAGAAAAACAACAGGAACTGGACGTATGAGACATTTAAAACATGTATATCAACGGTATAAAAATGGATTTCGTAATATTTATATAAAATAATATATAATATATATATTAATGAATTTATATAGGTACAGGGGAGACTCCACGTAAAGCACGTTTAGAGTCGTAAATTGTAAAGAAAATGAATAAATCTATGTTGATGTATTATATGTTGATGTATTATTATATGTTGATGTATTATTATATACGATATAAATTATTTTCTAATATTACTATATAGTATATAGTATAGTATATATATTACTATACTATATATTACTATATATACATGATTAATGTGAACTTTTTGGACCATAACGTGCTATAAAAAGATGAATTTTGAAATAAAAAATAAAATAAGAGGTAAATACCTCTTGGATTTCTTGGATCATTTATATATGGTTCGGATTGCATCATCGTATCGGCTATTCGATAAACAGCATAAAATACAAGACCTCCAGCTATAAAAAAAGGCATTAATGGTTGACTAAAAAATTTTAGATATTTTGTATAATTTTTTTAAGAATAATTTACTTAAAAGGTGTTGGATATTTTTTTAATCCAAAATAATTGAACATTTTTATATGTAATGAATTAGAAAAGAGGGTTTTTTTTTCTTAATGAATGGAAGAGGGTTAAACCCTAATTAAAAATGATTATTAAAGATAAAAAAATGTTAAATATATGTATAAAATTGATAAGTTTTTAAAAGAAATAAAAGGAAGAAAAAGTAAAGAAAAGAAAGGTGTTTATTTTATTTAAATGGTATTTTAAAATTAGATTTAAATATAAATAAAGGGTTAGGGTTGAGTCGGAGCTAGGGTTGGGTTGGAGTTAGGGTCAAGTTATTAGGGTTAAGTTATTAGGGTTGAATAGGTTGGTCTTGATGGTTAGAGGTAAGTTGTTCAGTAAAATGTTTAGGGTTAGGGTTAGGATCGACAGTTTAGAGTTACTGCTTATGGGTTAGGGTTCAGTGTTTAGGGCTAGTGCTAAGGGTTAGGGTTAAATAATATTTTCTACGATTTTCCTCTTTATAATATATTAAGAAATGTCTTCTTCACGTATTCAAAGTCGTCAAAGAACAACAAGTTCTATTGCACCATTAAATGATTATTTAAATAGGTAAATAATTATATTTATTGCTTCATTATATATATATATAATTGCTAATATTTTATAGTCTTGAAGGATGTGTTTCTTCATTAAATGCATGCAATTATCGAGTAAAATATCAGTTTTATTTTAGGAATATTAATCTAATATAATTTCTTTATTTAATAGATGGATCTTTTATTATCGACACTTAATACGGGTATTAATGATTTCCCTCGTATACAAACCGTTTTGGCAAATAAACGCGTAAGTTTTTACGCGTTTAGGATGTATCTGATGTAATATAGCATTTTGAGGTGGTTTCAGAAACAGATATTCAAGAAGCACAACGATCTTTAGAACATGAGGTTTATCCTCAAATATTAGAGCTTTTAGAACGTGCAGAAGCGGGAATTACAAAATTAGAACGTCGAGAAAAAACGTTACAAGGAAAATCAGAATTACAAGAAGTTAGGTTACAGCAAAAACCATCAAAACCTCGAAATACATTAAATAATGCATCAGAACAACTCTCAAAAGCGAATGAATTACATGCATTACAAGTAAAAAAAGAAAGACTTTTATATAGTCTTAATAGATTATCACTTATTCAAGGGAACAAGGGACAGGGTTAGGGTTGAGTAGGGTTACGTTAGGGTTACGTTAGGTTGAGTTAGGGTCGGGTTAGGGTTGTCTAGTGGTGCATAGGGTTAGGGTTAATATTAAGATGATGGTATATACTTTCTTTAGGATTTATTATGAGTAAAATATCAAGATTATGAGGATCTATTAATATTTATATTTTCTTGGAGAATATCAATATTTAATTTTAAATGATTAACTTCGTATTCAATAGCTTTATTTTTTTTTAGCAATGAAAAGATGAAATATAATAGGATTACCAGTTAGATGATCTGTAATGACAGAAAGGGCGGGATCTCTGCTTTTGAGATGAATTTCATCAATAATTTGCATTAATTGTTCATTCAGAATACTAAAAATAATCTTAGAAGTATTTAATAAAGAGAAAAAAAAATACATAGATTTAGGATTTGTTGTTTTCCAACCACCAAAACTGAGTAATCGTGATAAGAAAGGAAATCGTTGTGTAAAATTATGTTCTCCTAAAAGATATATATGTGTTGCAATTGAAGTGTAATCGATACAAATGTTAATCATAATGTTGGAAGGTAATGGAGGGTCAAAATCCTATAATTAAGTTATTACATACTATTTAAGATAAAAATGGTATACATTGCTTTTAAGTGAATAAACTAAATCATTTATTGGTTCATTTGGATAAAAAATTTGCTGAGCGGATTGAATATGAAGATACAATTGATTAATAATCTATTTATATGTTAAAATTATAAAATCAAAATTTTATAATACTTTTTGGATAGAATCTGCATCTGTTGTTTCTGTTTGAAGGATTATTTGACTTTGATAAATTATATCATTAAGATGTGATAACTATTTATTTATTAATTTGATTTTTTTTTTTTATTTACTTATATATATACAAGTTAACTTACTTGTTCTAATAAAATAGTATTTTTTATATAAAATTGATTTGTTTTGATATTGTTTTTAAAAAATATTTGAAATTTCTATTTAAAACAATATTATTCTTTAGTTTTTAAAATTATTGTCTTAATACGCCTTTTATAAGCGATATTCCTCTTCTTGTTAGAAATCCTTTAACTGTTTCACTTTGTATCGAAGATAAAACAAGTGTTAAACTTTTTTCATCTGAAAGTGCTTCCATACATAAATTTAAATATTTATCTATTTTTTTAAAGATTTCTGGTACTATGGTTGATATAAACCATTCTAATTCAATTTTCTATATTATATATATAAATTTTAATAAATTGTAAAAAGGTCCAATAATTAACTGTTAATAAAAAATTATTATCTTTACTTATTTCTTCATAATTATTTGATGCAACTCGTGTATTTCCTGACATTTTTTTAATTTATACTTAATTTATTACTTGTAGAATAAACGTCTTAACGAATTAATATATATAAATACTTCTTAAGATAAAAGAAAGATTTTTTATAAAAAGACTTTAAAATAATTTCCTATGGTTTTATATTTAAAACGTATATATTTACTTTATTTTTTTATGTAATAAATGAATTAAGCACCTTTATATGAGGGACATATATGGTTACCATGTTATACACGTTTTTTACTTGGTTTAAGTGCATCATCAGCATTACTTATGAATCTTCGTAGAGCAGGTTATATTTTTTATTTTTAAAGATTATATTTACTTTTTATGATAGATTTATTGAGTATTGTAGGAGAATTAACGGCATTTCCTTATTTTTTACAGCAATTACATAAGAAAATGTTAATGAATTCTACAGGACGACGTATATTATTTGAACGTCCAAGAATGACTTTAATTACTTTAAATCCTAAGTTTCTTCATACTTTACCCGATAATACATTAGGTAAAATATATATTAAATGGATGGATACATATAAATTTATACCGGGTTTACGTTCTTCTGTAAGATACTAAAAAATGGATTTTTTATCTTTAATTTAGGTAAAGGTACGCTATATTAATCATGAAGAATGGGCTTATGTTATGCAACGTTATCGAGAATCGCATGATTTTTATCATATATTAATGGGTTTACCAGCAAGTGTAGAAGGGGAGATTCTTTTAAAATGGTAAGAAATATATATAAAAAAAAATCAAATATAAGAAATATATTTTTAAAAATTAAATAATATAAAATAAAATAATAGAAACTTATAAGAAATAGGTTTGAATGGGCTAATATGGGACTTCCAATTGCAATATTAAGTGCGATTTTTGGGTCATTTTCTTTATTTTTTAAAAAAAAATGTAAAAATATATCATATCCATTAATAAAATGGGCAATTCAAAATGGACAACAAGCACATGAATCAATGATAAATATATATTGGGAAAAAGAATTAAAAACGGATATAAATATTTTAAGGAAAAGAATAGGTATTATTCCGTATGATTTAAGAAATAGTAAATCAAATCAAATCAATTCAATTCAATTCAAATAAAATAAATTGAAGTTATAATATAAAATTGAAATTATAATATAAAAATCATATTTTATATTATAATTGGTATGTCTTTACTCTTCATCGAATGCTTGACGATTAAACTGATAAAGTTTTAGTATATGATTTTTTAAAGAAAGAAAAATACAATAATTTTCGGTTCAGTTTTTTCATCTTTCAATTGATTTAAAAGTGAAATCAAATACGACTCTGAAACTTTTTGTTGAAGTAAACCTTCTTGTGCTTTACGAAGTAAGATATTTTCGACATCACGTGCTCGATCTGAATGAACTAATGCAATACGTGTTAATCTATCTCTTGCAGCAGGTTCCATTAACCGAGATAACTGTTTTTATAGATCTGTTAGAAGCAAAATAAGGAGAAATAACATACAATAGCATAGCGGGAAGATTGATCATCAGATGAAGATTCTTGAGCAGAAGAATGCATTGAAAATCAATAAATTAAAGCAAAATAAGTCAAGTTTATAGGTAAAATAATAAATATAAGAATGATATAAAGAATATACGTTATATATGCGCAATGTATGCGTAATGTATGCGCAGTATATGCGTTCTTTTATTTTTTCTAATAATCTTTTCGGAGCCGGCTTTTAGGCTTAAAAAAATCTTTAAGACTAAAATGGTAGAAATGATCAATTGAATCTGTCTTTTTTAAGAGAAACCGATGTTAATGAGTTGAATTATGCTTAAATATTTATTATACTTTATAGAAAGGACATAAATTATAACTGTAGAGTAAAGGTCGGAGTATTATAGTTTAAGGGCAGCGCATATACAACGCATACAACACGCATATAACACGCATACACTTACATATAAGCTTTATATAAGCCGTATATAAGCTGTATATAGTTTATATACAGTTTTCATACAGTTTGCATATACTACAGATATTGCACATACAGTGCACATCTATTGCATATATATAAAAGAATACATAAAACTACATATATTTTTGATGGAGGAAGAGGGTTCACCTATTTTTGTTGAAAATCATTTAAATAAAGAGCTTTCTATCCTTAACAGCAAGTTAGTTGCATCAATTGAAAAACAAGCAAGCTTAGAAGACAATATTCATTGGACTTACCATGAATTGATGCTTGCTAAGGAAAGAATTCGTGAACTAGAAGCATCTCAAAAGGATTATATGAATCGGATGGAACAGGCATTATTAGAAAAACAAGAAGTTGAAAAAGAAATACAACAATTAATGGCACGTTTAATGGAAGAAAAGCAACAGAGGGGTAAAGCAGAAATATATAAACATACTGTTGAAAAAGAATTGGAAGATTTAACAAAAACTCTTTTTGAAGAGGCAAATAGAATGGTTTCATCGGCACATCGAGATAGAGATCGATTAGAAAAATATAATGAACATCTTCAGGCAAAGCTTAAAGATACAGAGGGATTATTACATTATCATGAAAAACAGCTTGCAGAATTAAAGGATGCAATGCAACATATGTCGAATGAAGAAGGGGCATCGGTACCTTCTACGCCTAAAAAAAGTGAAAATAGAATAAGTATAGGGAAAAATAATGAATTGATACGAGAGATAGAAGAAGAGGAAAAGCAAGAATCTTCGATATGTTCAACGGGTTTATTTATTCGTAGAGATATTCCTGTTTTTCAGGAATTTATGAATTTTCTTCAAGGACTTCGTTCATGGAAAAATCAGACATCTGATACACAAGGAGTAAATATGACACTAACGTCAGGAACGTTGCTGAATTCAGTTTCATCACTAGATTTTCCAATGTATCATGGATTAAATGGGTCATCAAATACATTACAAACGTTAACTACATCATCATCATCATCATCCTCATTTTTTCAATTAAATAATTTAGGGTCTTCTAATTCTTTTAAAGATTCAAAATTTATTAAGCGATGTATTTATGAAGATATTGAGCCAACTCTACGATTAGATAATTCTCCGACTTTATCATGGCTTGCACGACGAACTGTACTTTCTTCTATTTTAGATGGACATCTTGTAATCGAACCTGTTTCTTCTAAGTCTTTTGATTTACCTTCTTTGTGCTCTTTATGTGGTAATAATTGTTATGATGAGAAAGATGCACGGATTCATCAGTTTCGTACTTCTGAATCTCAGAATCACCTTAAATCCTATCCTTTATGTTCATATTGTTTACGACGATTAAGAAGTGTATGTAATTTTACTGGATTTCTTCGTCAACTCCGTGATGGATTATGGAAAATAGATGATGAAGATATTGAAATTAAAGCATGGGAAGAAGTTATCCGGCATCGAGAAGCTATGTTTTGGTTAAGAATAGGTGTTTCTGATCAAATGGAATCCATTCAAAATAAAACTGATTTTTTATAATATCTTATGTTATAAACAGGGAAATACATTCACTTTATAGATTAATGATTCATATTATTTCTAATAGCTCTATGAGGATTAATTATATTCATCTTCGTTTTAAAAATAATCGAAGTTAATCTATACATCAATCAATCATATTTGCTTTTTTAAATGATTTTGATATGATACATTTAGCTCTCTATATATTGGAATATGCATGATCTCAAAGTCTATTTGCTTATATTTCTTAAACAAATATTCTTATTCTTAAAGATTTAATTCATTTTTTGATAGATTTTGATTTTAAAAAAGATATTACTAATACTTTTCTTTTTAAAAGGATTTTGGGTCAAATACTAATTCGGTTCATACATCAAAAGACTTGTTTGTTTCTTTTTCACTCCTCTTCATCTAACATCTTATAGGTTCTGTCTTTTTTATTCCATATTTCAGCCATTGCGTAGATGTTTTATATTACTCGTTTAAAAAATATCTTTACATACTTTTCAATTTATATACAACAACTTTAGCTCTTTCTTTATTAAATCTTATTGCATCTAAATCTTGGATAATCTTTCTAACACTAAATATTATACAATAAACTGCTTAGATTATTCATTTTATATTCTTTTTCTTTCTAACTTTCTATCTCTGGCTTTTGTTCTTTATTTTCTTCTGATCTTATTCTTTCTCCTAAATGGGATGCTGCTGCTGCTGATGATGATGCTTCTTCTTCTTCTTCTAATGTTTTAAAGGTTTCTGATCCTTCATTCTCTTTAACTGGAACCCAACAAAGAGTTTTAAAACTATTATTATGCCCTTTTCCTTCCTTAAAATTTTGATGAAGTACCCATTCTTGCCTCCATTTCTGCGGGATAATATCAAGCTCTGTATTTCCCGGCATAAACCGGCCCTTTTCTGCCCGCGCACGAGCTGCCATATTTTTTTATTAATTATTCTCTTGATTCGCTATAAATTATATCTTGTTTAGATAATTCATAAAATACATCCCTCATATATTTTAAATAAATTGATTATTAAATACATCTATATTTAAGCATATTTTGTACAAATATTATCTTAAAAAAATACATAAAAAATACAAGTATTATAAACAAAATTATAACCTTTATTTGTCTTTTCTTACTATTTTTACTTAATATTTTAAGTCAATTTTAACTTAAACACATTTAAGTTAATCTATTAAGAGAGACTAAATCTCGTATGATTTGAACGTCAGAAAAACGAGATAAGAAATATTTAATAAAAATAGAGTGAAATGGAGTCAAAAATACAAGGAAATGAAAAGGATTTAAGGTCTTTAATTGATAATTTAAAGGAGAGAATTTTTTGCCTAGAAAATAATATTTTTAATAATGAATTAAATAATATATCAGGACATGTATCAAAACTTTCAGTATTAGATAAGGCGAAATTCTATATAACTCTGTGCTATGCAATGAATTCGTTGATTTTTAGTTAGTTTTGGAGTGAAAAAGGTGTAATTTTATTTTAATTGGGGGTTTTAGTGATTTTAAAACTCAATCAAGTTGATCTTAAAAATCATGGAGTAATGAAAGAGTTAAAAAGAGTTGAGGAATATGTATTAAAGATTAAGGAGATAGAAATGTCAAATTCTGAGAGTAATTTATACATTTTTTAGAAAAGCAAGATTCTGATGGATAAGGAACCATGGTATTAAATAAGCAAGCAGCAAGGCGTATTATAGCGCATGATCTTTCAGAAAATGTAAAAAACAATAATAAGAAAGAATCTATAGATAATGAGGATCATTTGAATTCAAATGTATCATGTCGAGGAAGGGTTCATATAAGATTTGAAGAATCAGATATAAATAAGTCAGAAACATTGGATACTAAAGAAATAAAGAATGAAAAAGGAATAGGAACAAGTGTGAGACATTTTGAAGAATCAATGGGATTTATGGGTATATATAATGAATTGGAAAATTAAGAATTCTTAAAGAAGAACAGGAAGTCATTCAAAAACTCAAAATAGGGCGTCTAAAAAGCAAAAAAAAAGTAAAATATGAGAATAATATGATATTTAATAGAATATTTTTGAATAAATAAGAATCAGAACGTATGGATCATAAATATAATGAATAGAATTACTTATCTATAATAAAATCGTAGTGTCCAGGACGATACAAAAGACATATTGTAATTGGATTTTCGTTTTCTACAGTAAACTCATATTTCTTAGCATGATCTGAATCACTTCTGTCGATATAATAAATATTAATGCAAACCTGATTGATTTAATTACAGAAAAATTAAAATGATTAACAAATATACTTGAAGTGCTTTGGATAAAGCATTGATCATCACATGATCCGCTTCTTTTCCAATGCATTCTATAGTATTTTGACAAAAAGTAAAAACATCAGCCACACTTGGGACATCTAGAAATGGTGCATATTTATGGGCGTTTTGTTTAATATAAGCACTTGTCAAAAAACGAAAATATACAACAATAGCATTGCTTTTCTCAGGAATATTCATAAGTGTAAGAAGTTCCTTCTCCTTGGCTTGATTATCTTGATTTTCGTCTGGTTTAAGAAGGCTTAGCGCTAATAACGTTTCTTCATATAAGTCTTCATATGATAATAATTCAAAACCGCTCTTTTGAAGTAGTTCTGTCGTCTTACTAAATTCAATTATATTTTTTTCAGAATCACTTGCTGTTTGATGCATTAATGTCCAAAGCCATCCAAAACATAAAGCTAATATATATATAGGTATAAAATAACTATTAACTTTTATAATCACCTCGATAAAAACAATCTCCATCTCGTTTTATACGATATAATGACATGTTTCCTAAGGCCTTTACAGCAATCAATCATTAATTATAACATGATATGGTCAATATACTTTTATTTTTTTATAAAAAGTCTCATTTTCTTTATATTCATTCAGCAATTCTTGGATAGAAATACAATTATGAACAAGTGGATCAGGGCTTTCTTTTACATCCATTGTTTTGTCTAATTTCTAAGTCTAACAGCTAAATAATTCATGAAATAGTTTATAATTCTGCGGCAAATCGATATAAAAGTATTTTAAAAGAAATATCAAGGTAAATAATGAGTTTTTATCTGGAAAAACATGTCTTTATATAGGTAAAAAGGTTATCTAATAAGGCTTCGTTTTTATTACATTATAATTTAAAGATATTATTAATATTTAATTTTAAAATGGAAGATATTATAATGGAAGATCAAGATTTTGATTTTGAAGAAGAAGAAGAACCTGATGCAGATATAGAAAATATGTATTATCATGCAAAAAGTATTTTTAATAATGGAAAAGAATAATTTTTTTTTTTGACATTTACAGCAATAAAAGATGAACCTATACAAGCTATTGAAGAATTTAAACAAGTAATTAGATTAGAAACAACAAAAGGAATCTGGTAAATAGAGTTATATTTAAAAGGATTAATCATGATATTTTGAGGGGATTTCGTTCATATAAACAAATTATGAAATTATTATTTAAATTGGGAAAAAAACATGATGTAGAAAAAAAATAAAGAAGTGTTTTATTATGATCTGTTAATAATTTAAGGTTATTTATTATTATAAGGAACTTTTGACATATGCAAAAAGATCAGTGACAAAAAATTATAGTGAAAAATCAATTCATAATATTCTTGATTATGTTTCTTTGGATAATGATATGGAATTTATGGAGAAAATTTATTCTATTACTTTAAATTCTCTTAAAGAAATTAAAAATGAGAGACTTTGGTTAAAAACGAATCTGAAACTTGCAAAATTATGGTTTGAAAAAAAAGAATATATACGATTAAATAAAGTTTTTATACAAAAAAAAAAAAGACTTATCTTATTTCATTTTAGATTTTAAAACAATTGCATGATGTATGTGAAAATCATGATGGATCTACAGATCAATCTAAAGGTACATACCTTCTTGAAGTTTATTCTTTAGGAATACAAATGTATTCTGAAACTAAAAATAATAAAAGACTTAAGGTCAATGATATTATATTTTTTGTATATTTTAACTTTTTTTTAGGAATTATATTATCAAACATTAAAAATAAAATCTGTAGTTATACATCCATATACTATGGGCATTATTCGAGAATGTGGAGGGAAAATGCATATGGAAGAAAGTTCTTAAATAATCAATTATCTTATGATTTTTTAATTTTTTTTTAGAACAATGGCAAAAAGCTCAAACAGATTTTTTAGAGTCTTTTAAGAATTATGACGAAGCAGGTTCTCATCATAGGATTCGAGTATTAAAATATTTAATATTAGCAAATATGTTAAATGGATCTAACATTAGTCCTTTTGATTCTCAAGATACAAGTCCTTATAAAAATAATTCTCAGCTTCTTGCAATGATAGATTTAATCAATGCATACCAAGAAAATGATATCCATAAAATAGAACCTATTTTAAAGGATCATTATGATGAAATTATGGGAGATTCTTTTATTCAGACATATATAGATGATATATTGAAGAATATTCGAAGTCAAATTCTTACACGTTTAATTGTACCTTATACATGGGTTAGTATTTCTTTCATTGGAAAAAAATTAAATATTAGTTCGAATGATGTTGAAGCATTGTTGATTAATTTAATTTTGGATGGACGTATTAAAGGAAAAATTGACCAAGTTAATCAAATATTAACTTTAGAAAAAACTGAAGATCCTGATAAAAAGAAATATGAAGCAATTAATGAATTAGCTGATAATATTAATAATCTATGGAAGCTCTATTTTCACAAACATTAATTAAAATTTCAAAATTAATAATTCTGTTTGAAATTAAGCTTTAATCATAATAAAAAAGCCGGAAAATTACTAAAGTTTAAAATAAAAGCTGAACTAAACCTTTGAAAAGCTTTATTAAAATGATTATTCTCTCTTAAATACAAATATTAGTATATTTTGATGAAAAGAAAAAAAACTAAATATATGTTTTGTTTTTTCTAGAAAATATTTGGTAATGCATTAATGTTTTCTTTTTTACATGATATCACAATTCCGTTGACGATATGATCTGTCATCTGCTGATGCTCCTCTAGGTTTTGCAGCAATAGCAACCCGTGCTGCTTCTGTAAAGGCTTCGTTGACACCTAAAATTATTATTATTATTAATTATTATAAAAAAAAATGATCTCTTTCCTCGATTATGTTTAGCACTACATTCTACCAACATTAGTTATGTATAATATTGCTTTTTTTAAACTTATTACCTAAATATCGTACTGCACGAATAAATTTTGCAACTGATAACCCTTCTTCATATTGAATATATCGATGTTGATCATTCATTCTCCGATCATTATATGTAATTTCATCCTCTAATTCACGCAAATCACATTTAAGTGCTACAAGGACAAGTTTGACCCCCTCACAATGACTTGCAATTTCTGCTACCCATTTTGATTGAACATTTTCAAGTGAACCCCGGGAATCTACTGAAAAACATATCATAATAACATGTGTATCTGCATATGAAAGTGAACGCAATCTGTCAAATTCTTCTTGTCCTTTAAAGGTGTTTAGATTTTAATATCACTTTGGCATTCCATTAAATTGCCATAGAACCTTTACCTGCTGTATCCCAAAGACTAAGTTCAATTTGCTGGCCATCAACATATACGTCATGTACATAATTTTCAAATCTCATTCTTTTTAGTTGTTAAATATTATAAGATTTCTTATTTTACACTGTTGGCTCATAAATTTGAGGAAAATATCCACCTTTTTTTTAATAAAAGATAATAAATATCATTTTTACATACGAGTAAAAACGTTTAATAATGATGTTTTTCCACATGCTGTTTTTTATTAGTTTTTATCTTATTAAATATAAAGTTGATATATATATATATATATTTATATATAAAAATTTATATATATCATAATATTATTCAATACTAACCTCCATCACCCAAAATTACAATCTTTCTATGTAATGCTTTAGGTGAAGATAAACAAAAGACCATGACGAATTCAATATATGTTTGTTATTTGTGTGCGCTAGGTTAGTTTTTCGGACATATCCGAAAAAACACAAATTGAATGAATTGTGTTTAAGAAATCAATAAATCTTTGATATATTGTTATTAATGTCGATGCCATATTTTTTTGAAACTTTTTTTGTATAAATTTTTATAGTATTTTTTTGATATATATATATTTTAAAAAAGTTAATCGCCTAGCTGAGTTTGTCCATTTCTTCGTATTCGTTGAGATAAATCCATTGAATCGCCATATGTTTGCCTTGCCATTTGTCTTAAATAAGTACTTTTATTATCACCCCATTTTTTATTAGCCATTCTTTCATTATGTTCTCTTTGTTCATCCTCTGCTTCTTGTTTAGAAAGTTTTAATAAACGATTTTGACGTTCTTTATCTAATGTTTCGGCATTTTTTGTCATAGCAGCAAGTCGTTCTTGTCTTTCTTTTTCATTTTCTTTATCTTTGCCATTAATTGTATTGTTTGATATATTTGATGTATTTGAAGAGCGATGATTTGAAATATATGATCTTTCATAATATCTTTCATAACGGGAAGATCGACGTGGTGATATTGATCTTGATGAACGAGAAATTGGTGATCTTGAGGTACGATGATGATGATGATGATGATGTCTAGATAGAGATCGATCAGAATGTCGTTGATGTGAATCATGGTTTTTTGATTTATTATTACTATGATTTGATTGAGAATGATCTAAATGATGATTATTTCCATTTTCTTTTCTTTTTTTTACATTTTGTGCTTCCATAAGTTGACGCAATTTAATAGGATTATTTTTAATAGCTTCATATTGTGCTTGTTCTTGTTTTTTAATAACTAACAAAGGATCTTCCCTTATTTTATTTTGAATATCTCTTACTGTATTTGCATTTTGTGTAGCAATAAATGGAGTTTTTCCATTTTCAAGCTTAAGTATTGAATAAAATATAAAATAAATTATTATTAATATACCTTTTTATTATCATCTTTAAGAATATCATCTATTCTCTTTCTTCCTAATAAATATGCTTCCATTTCTTCAGTTGTTCTTGAATCATCTGAAAGATGAGGTGCTGCGTACATCCAATCTAAACGTTCTACACGTTTTCTAGATTTTTATCAACTTTAAAAGCTGATATAAAATATTTCCTACTTTCCACCTGATGCTTCTTGCAATTTCTGCAATTCTTGAAGCTGTCTTTCTTCTTCTATTTCTTTTTTTATTTGTTCAATTCTTTTTCTTTCTTCTAAGGCTTTTTTCTCCTCCATCCATACCTTCTCTTGATTGCGAATCCTATAAGGACATTAGAAAATACATTTTTATCCTTTAATTGAGGTTACAAGAGAGGATGCCATGATTCTATATTAAAAAAATAAATATTTATCTATAATAAATGGATAAAAAACGTACTTTTCATATTCAAATCTCCTCCCCCCATTTTGTATATAATATTTTTATATAAATAATCTCTTTTTAGTCCTTTTTCTTGTATAAAATTCTTAAAAAAATTTACAATATATAATTTAATAAATTGATGTCTTATTATTTCAATTTTAACCCAAATTTAACCGCAAAAAAAAGACTAAAATCTATTAGAATATATAAAAACAATTTTAATATTTATTTACCTTTTATAATTATCAATTTATCTCTTTTTTTCAGCTCAAAATCCTTGATTTATTGATTTATCAATATTTTGACGTCGTTCGTACTAAATATTGAGCCTATCATAATAATTATTTTTTTAATATAAATCATCATTGTTCCTTAATTTTGATATATTTATTAATAATTAGTAAATATTTTGTTATATATTTCTTATATTTCTTATATTTTTAAAGATTTTAATATCTTATGTTTTTGAAAAAAATGATAAAAAAAACCTCTTAATTATTATGTTTTATAATCATTTCGTTTTTTATTTGAGATTTATTTACAGATCATCTCTTTAAGTTAACATATTTTTGTATAAAAAGAAAATATCCCACTTTTATATATGATTTTTTATACAATTTCTATAATTTTGTATAAAAATATATATTTTTCCCAGTATTTTCTTAATTATACATTGTTTTATATTGTATTTAATGGATTTGTTTTAGTTTTGAATATTTATCAAAAAAAACCTGCTTTTTGGCTATTTTTCTGGGATTTTTTGAGTTTTTACAAGAAAAAAATGAATATTTGCAGTAAAAAAATGAATCCAATTGTAATTTGTATTAGAATGGGGAATACAAACAGTTCTATTTCTTATATAAATGAAGTTTAATATTTTTTTAAGAGGGAGGATATATATTAATATATATATATAGAATGGAAAAGTTATTATTATTACTAGTCAAGAAGGAGAACGTCAAATTCCTATAGCTATATCATATTTAGATGGAGAAGAATATCATGGTATGCAAGCAAAATTTCAGCTTGTAAGAAATTCAAGAAATACAATAATTCACTATAAAAAATTTCTTGGGGAAAAGTAAGATATAATAATATGAAGATATATACAGCCTAATTATTAGAATGGAATCTATAGATTTAATAGAAGAGGAATATTCAGCTCAACCTAGTATTTTAAATAATCAATTAGTATACAAAATCACTAGCGTTTCTAGTGAGGGAGAATTAATTGAACAAATGATTACTTTAGAAGAAGTAATGATTTCTCATTTAAAGTATTTAAAACAATGTGCAATTGAATATATTGGAAAATCTATTATGGATGTTGTTTTTACTATTCCTACAGATTTTTCAACAACACAAATAGAAATTTTGGAAGATTGTGCAAAAAAGGCGGGTCTTAATGTTCTTCAATTTATAAAAGAATCAATTGCACAAGTTCTTGCATATTCAGAAGAAAAGGAATATTTAGAATCAATTGATAGAATTGTTGTTGTTGCAGATTTTGGAGAAATTAGAAGTGATGCAACTGTTATTGCTTTTAGAAATGGAATGTATACTATTCTAGCAACTCAGAGTAATGAAAAATTGGGAGGGAAACTTTTAGATGAATGTCTTGTTAATCATTTTCTAAAAGAATTCCAAAAAAAATATAATTTGGATCCCAGTAAAGATGCTAAAGCAATGGCTAAATTAAGGATAGAATGCGAAGCAACCAAGAAAAGTCTTAGTTCTAATGTTTTTTCGACAATTAGTGTCGAATGCATGTTTAATGGCTATGATTTTTTCTCTAATATAAATAGAATTCGTTTTGAAATATTAGGAAAACATATTTTTGATGAAATGGTTTCATTAGTAAAAAATGTTATCAAAAAGGCTCAATTAGAAGAATTCGATATAGATGAACTCATTCTTGCTGGTGGAACTTCTCATATACCTAAAATTTCAAACATGTTTAGTTATATTTTTCCAGAAAAAACTCTGATTCGTTCACAATCTCTGCGTACTTCTAGATTAAGTCCTTCTGATATCGAATCTTATGGTGCTGCCATACATGTTTCTTTGATTTCTTCTTTCACTAAATCTGAAATTGATAACTTAATGCTTCCAGAGATTACTTCGATACCTCATCTATTAAATCCTATTGGGGTTGTTGTCAAATCTGACGATGATACTGCTTTTATTCCTATGATTCATTCATATACTCCTGTTCCTGTTCAGAAAAGTATTATTCTTCATAAACCATCTGATCTGGATGATTTTCATATCATTATTTATGAAGCAATTGGTCATATTCATTCAAAAAAAACTAATTTATTATCTCAAAATACACTTTCTGATACTGACGATTCTTCTATACATGAATCTTCAAGAATCTTAACTCCTTCAAAAAAAATAGCTGAATGCATTCTTCAAAATATTACTTCTAGTGCAAAAATAAAACTAACTATTCAGGTTGATTCTAATCTAAAAACAACTATTACTGCAACGCCTCTTTCACCTCTTCGAGGTCCTCTACTTAAAGGTGAAATACTGGCTCTTCAAAAAAATATATAAATTCTATATTTTCTATATCAAATCATTTATACATCTCATTGTTATATTATTTTTTAACTATGATTTTTTCTCTCAAACCCTTAGGCTCGATAAACCATCTTTCAAAAGATAACTATACTTATAGTACTATTGATTAAGCTTATAAATTACTAATATAAAGGTATAGGAAATATCATCTTGATTTATAATATATTTAAAGGACTTTAACAGTTTTTTTTTTATTAAAATTGCCTTAATATTTATGAATATGGCGCAAAACAATAATTTAGCAGTTACAGCTCAAACAAATGGGATAAACCCTTTAGTTCCTCCATTAACGCATTCAGATATGATTCTTCCGCCGTTAGATATTAGAGGCATGCTTTTTAAAGGATTTTTTTCTATGTTTTATAGCTTATTTATGGTTAGAAATTGTAGAAAAAACAGCAAATTATGTTTCAAGAAATGGGATTGGATTTGAGGAAAAGATTAGAGAAAAAGAGAAGAATAATTCGAAATTTTGTTTTTTAAATCCGGCAGATCCATATTATAAGTATTATGAATTTCGTCTTGAAGAATGTAAGAAGGGGAAATTTTTGTCACCAGTAGTGCGAGATGATTCTTCTAAAACAGCTAAAAATGCATCTAAAAATGTTCCAGATAAGGCGTCTTTTTTGGAGCCGCCTAAATTTTATTTTTCAGTTTCATTACCTGCGATTTCTGCAACAGATTTGTATGTTTGCTATATACATACATATATATATATATGTATGTATATATATACATATTTACTAACATATAAATGTATATAGGGATATATTGAAGCTAACAGCTCAATTTGTTGCGAGAAATGGAAGGGAGTTTCAAACAACTCTTTCTCAAAGAGAAAGTAGGAATTTTCAGTTTGATTTTTTACGTCCAAATCATTCTCTTTTTCAATATTTTACAAAACTTGTTAAACAATACACAAGGATATTAATTCCACCTAAAAATACAAATAGTATATTGAAAAGGAATATAGAAAATAAGTATCAGTTATTAGAAGTTATTCGAAAAAGAGTTGCTTGGCAAAAATATCAAGAAGAACAACAAAAGTTAAAACAAGAGGAAGAGGATCGTGAAAAAAGTAAGATTAATTATCTAAATAATGTTTAAGTCTAATTATATTTAGTTGAATATGCTCAGATTGATTGGCATGATTTTGTCGTTGTAGAGACTATTGAATTTACAAATGCTGATGATCAAATGGATTTACCTACTCCTATTTCATTGAATGTTTTGCAATCTGCAACTTTGGAACAAAAACAAATGATGACTATGTATCAGGATTTTAATACTCCTTCTGAGGATATTTCATATAATGTTTCTCAGTCATATTCTACACAAATTGAAAAGGCGCAGCCAACTCATGAAGAAGAAGGTGTAGAAATGGATATTGAAGCAGATTCTGATGAAGAAAATGAAGCTATTAAAGAAAGAAGAGAACATCAAGCAAAAGTTCGTCTTGCACAACAACAAAGTAAAGCAAGTCTTCCTATGAAGATTCGTACAAATTATGTTCCAAAAGGTTATTTTATTATTAATCTTACTTTTTTACTAATATACATAAAAATAGCCTTGAAAAAAATGGAAAATACTCTTATTTGTCCTCAATGTAATCTTGCAATTCCTTCTAATGAACTTGAAGAACATATGCGTATTGAAATGTTAGACCCTAAATGGAAAGAACAAAAGGCCAAAGCTGATTCTAAATTTGCTTCAAGTAATTTATATCAAGAAGGTGCTGCTAGTAATCTTAAGCGTATGACTGCAAGTATGTATGACATGCAAGGAAGTTCTATGAGTAAAGAAGAAATGGAAAGATCAAAAAGACAACAACGTTAAATATCTTCAACATTTTATTTCTAATAACATATTTATAAGCATAATATATATTCATTTTTGATAAGTTACTTCAATTATAATTTTTTATTTTAAAGTTTACTTAAAAGTAAGTCTTTTTGACCAAATATATTTCCAACTATCGAAATCACCATATCTATATTGGATTGAATGTATAAAGGTAAATTTTTCTTCTAAAAAAATGTTAATCTCTTATTACATATTCTTTTATTTAATAAAACCGTATTTCTAATAAATAAACATTTTTTACAAAGTTCTCTTAAAATACTTAATTCTTCTGATGTCATAACCTTATCTATTTTTACAAGAAGATAAAATATCCACATTATCTATAATAATTAACCTTATTTCTTATCCTTTTCATATTATTACTTGTTGTTCATGACTATTACTTGAAATCCATTCCGTATTCCATTTTAATAAATTTAAAGCAATACACTGGTTAATAGATTTAAGAATTAATATTGTTGGTGGCTTCATTTCCTCCATAATTAATCGGCGCCATTCTATTTTATCCTCTGGTAATGACTTCATTTCTAGATTTTCTTGTAAATCAAATTTTTTCCGTAACTTTATAAACTTTTCTAAAAACTTTTCCTCCCATATACTTGAATATATTTCATCTGTTTTATTACTTATTTTCGGCTCTGATACTTGTATCCTCCCTGTACCATTTGATGGCGCTTCTACTGCCTTAATAACCGGCCTGTTCTTCGCCTCTATACGCACTTTTTTCAAATATGAAACTCCATCAAGAGGAAGTGAATCTTCACTTTCTGATGACTCATTTAACTCCATTAATTCCGGAAATACTCCACGTTGTTTAGTTTCTATATCTACTGGGCCTAAAATACTCATTTTGGACTCATTTTTCACCGTTTTTTTTCCTTTTTTTCGCATTTATATATAATATAACTAAATACTTTTATATATTGTCCATAAAAACCCTTTGTTTCCTATAAAATATACCCTTTTTTCCCCTCTTTTTCTTATCTTTTGTTTTTTTGACGTTGAATTGCCATGGCAACCTACCCTTTAAATACCACTTCACTTGTTAAATTTTCTTAATTTTTACCAAAAATATGCCTTTTTCGCCTGTTTTTAAGGCCTTAAATATGACGAAATTAACACGTTTAATTAGATAAATGAAGCCTTTGCTTCCATTTAGTACTATTTTATCCAGAGAAAGACATTTTGGATTTTCCCCATATTCAGGACGAGATATTTCTAGGGAGGAGAGATATCGCAGAGTATGTGATTTAAGCGGGGAGAAAAGGGTTAATAGAGGAGGGATATATGGGTGTGAATATGTAGGAGACGATTATTTAAAGGAACGAAGGGATTATATTGAATATTATCAAAGAAAGAAGGAAATTGATAGAAAACGAGAGGAATTAACGCCAGGAAGCCTTTTTAATGAGGTTATTACTAATGCTATTGAAGAAGGAGAGGAGGTTATTCAGTTATCGTATGTGGTATTTTTTGAGGGAAGAGGGTTAATTGAAATAGAGGGTGTAATATAGTAGAAATTCCGGAAAATATAAAAGAATTAACAAGTCTTGTTAGACGGTTAGATCCGGAAAATGAGGAGCCATTAGTTCCTCGTCTTAAGATATTTTTATCAGGAAATATGATTTATAAGCTTCCCAGTGGTCTTTTTGATCTTTATACACTTACAGTTTTATCACTTAGTTAATATTTTGTATATGAAATAAGGGAAAAATTAATATTATGATAGGAAATAATAAATTAGAAAAGATACCCCCATCTATTGGTCGTTTGGTGAATTTAGTTGAGTTAAATTTAGGACAAAATAAGCTTGTAAAGTTTTTTTTATAAAAAAAAAACGATAACTTATTTTTTATAGACATATTTTCCGTCGACATTACTTTTTCTTAAAAAATTGCAGATTTTATCAATATCACCTAATCCTTTACGAGAATGTCCGATTGAATATTCATCACAAACATCTTTTCAATCACTTACATCACCCGTTCTTCGTTATTCATGTGTAGACGTAATAAAAACGGAATCAAATGTTCCGAAATTACTTGAACTTAGTGCTAGAGTAATTGCAACTTCATTAATTTCAGAATCAGATATTCAAAAATGGGAAACGAAATTTTGTTTTACTCCAATGATTAAAAAAGCATATGAAGCTGGAAAATATCATATATCATGTGAAATATGTCAGAAACCTATGGTGAATTCAGATATAGATGTATTTGAATGGTGGGATGGTTTCGTAGGTACATGTTCACTTCCAATAAAAAGAAAAATATGTAGTTTATTATGTTTTAAAAATATTTCACGAGTTGAAACACCGTCTTTGTCAAATGAGTCTTAAATTTTGTAAATATATGTTTTTGTTTTTTTTTTAAATATATAATTTATATTAAAATATGAACATATACTTAATAAGATATATGGTAATCTTTTATAGGAAAAGTGAAATCATGTAACATGTTAAATATAAATGTATACATCTATTATATTTATATAATATTACACACTTAATTTTGCTTGCATTTCTTCTTTTAAGATCATTTGTCTAACTTTTTCAATTTTTTCTAAAAGAGCGCCAATGTTCCAGCTCCATTCATTTAATATTACATTTGCACTTTTTGGTTTCATAAAACTAACGGTTTGTGCTGGTCTATCAATACGTGCATAAATAACACCTGATGTAACTAAATTTGATAAATATTCTTCTGTTTCTTTCTCATTTAAATCAAGAAGCATATTTAATCGGTTTAATCGAATTCTCAAATAATACTTAGATACAACACGAATGTTCTATTAACAATTAAAATGATTGTTTAAACAGAGAAAATAATTTTTACATGTTCAATAATTCGTTTTTTTAAATCTGCCCAGCGTTTTTTGCCTTTTTCATCATTAAGATCAAAAACTGATGTTTTTCGAAAAAGTTCCCCATATATTTCTTTAATTTTTGGCCATCGCATAAGCTCTATCTTTGTAAAATATTTTATAAGTTCATAATGAACCGGAAGTGATTGTAATTTAGAATCTGCTAATGTATGATGCAAAAGATTTGACTGTTCATTTCCATAAGGAGATATAATAATAAAATAAACTATATTTTGCAAAACCTTTTTACATTATTAATTTAAAAAAAAATACATTTCATTTATACATACATCTTTCCATTTAGTTTCATCTTCAATTATACTAGGTGTATCGTAGACCGCTTTATAATATTTGCAAACTTCAAGATAATTATCTTCATATAATCCAATACGAATAAGTAATTCATAATATCTTAATTTCAAATCTTCAACACCTTCTTCTTGAAAATATTTAATTGATATTTTACGAGAAATTATTGATGCTAAGTTATAATCCGATTTAGCCAAACAAAGTCTAATTTGCTCAAGAATAAATTCTGTCTTTTCACGTTTACTAACTGATCCAAATGTTTCTATTTTTAATTCACATAAAAGCTCTGCTGCTTCTTTTATATTATTTTGTTCTTCTTTAATTTTTGCCAAATTTCTCGTCAATGACGCTCTTTCTGCTTCCAAAAAAATCTATCATATACTTTTAGAACTCTTTTATCTCCTTTTCATTTATTTTTTAAAAACCTTTCCCTCTGTTATAGAACGTAATGATTCTATACATTCTAACTTAGTCGTAAGACTTGGTATAATATCAAGAGCTTTCATAGCCTCTTGTATCATGTCTACAAGGCTTTTCTTTAATTGTCCATATCTTTTCGACATTAATTGGACTTGTTCACACATTAATGTCCATTCATTTGCATTTTTGCAAAGTTCTACTATTAAAACTAATAATCTACTCGTAGAAAATAAATCTGACCCCTATAATACATTAAATAGTGCCTATATTACTCCTTAATATAGGATACTTTGCGGGTTTTTTTCTCTAATATTGATATTTTTTCTAATGCACTATGAAGATTGTTCTATTTCAATTAATATAAAGAAAAACCTTATAAAAACATTAATTAACCTTAGCTAATTCCTTTATATCAGGAATTTCTGAGTCAAGAACCTCTTTATAGTCAAAACTAGGCCCTTCTAATAACCCATATGACATGGTGCCTTAAGGTTAAGAGACAGTGCGGTTGCTCGATAACCAGCTTTGAAGCGGTAGGGTTTCAGGCCTTTATAAACAAGTGTAAAAAAATGATAGAATTGTTAGATAATAGACTAGTTAAATATCTATCTTTAATAGATGAATATATTTCTCTTATTTTTATGTTTTTTGAAATTTTAAAAAAAGTAATAAGAATAAATTTAAAGGAATTAAAAGATTAAAAATGAGTTTTAACAGAGATGATTAGGGCTATTTATGTATTGGAAAGGCTAATTATAATAATAAATATAGTTATAATTGTCTTACAATCCAAGAAAAATATGATAAACGAATGAAAGCGATATATGGAGTGTAAGTAAATTAATATATGAGTAGAAAAGGAATAGAAGTGAAATATAGGAATATATATGAAAAGAATATAGAATTAATAGAGTTGAAGAAGATTAATAAAGTCGAAGAGACGTCTAGAATAGATATAGAAGAAGAAATTAGTATGAATCCGCTGTATTGGTATGGTATTTTAGTTCCTCAAGAATTGAAAGAAGCGCAGCAGTATTTTAAAGAAGGTATAAATAGTGAATTTTGAATTTTTTGTGTAAGAATTTAGGTCTAGAAAAAATTATTGAAATTATTAATCTGAGTTTTGTAATACGAAACTTAGAAAAAGAAATTGTTTGTTATAGAAAAGAGATATATCCTAGAAAGGTATAGTATATGATTAAAATATGATTGATTTGTTTTAAAATATGATTTGTTTTAAAATACTTGTAATATATAATTTAATGATGATAAAAAAAGAAGCCGACATGAATACATGTGATAATTATAAGATACGTATTTTGTAGATTATCTGATATTCCAAAAATGTTTATTTAAATAATATTGTTCCATAGATGGACAGTATTTTAATTTGAAAGAGATTTTTTTTGTTAGTCAGATAACAAAGTTTCATAATCTTTATGTGTAGATTCCCATTGTGTACTTAAGGAAGTTAGATTTTTTAAAATATTAAAAAAAAAAGAATACCGTAATTGATCTAATTCATTTGCTAAAGAGTCTAATGTATCAGATGTTCTTGATAATATAGATTTTTTAACAGTATTTTTAGATGTATTATCGGAATTTGATGATATAGTTTCATGAATATTATAATGATCTATAGGTATAAGTCGTTCAGATTCGTTCAAAAATATAGAGTCGTTTTCCATAGAATCTATTATAAAATTATTTGTATTATTTAAATCTTCTAAATTTGGAATAATATTTTTATCTTCAGATATTTTGTCTGAAAAAATTAGTTGATCATTAGACAAATTTTCAAAAACTAAATTTTTATTACTTGAAATTGTTTCCAAGTCAATTGTTTTTTCCAACTCTGGAAAGATAATATCAGCAGATTCTTTGTTATTATCATAATATGTATTTTTCAAGTTAATGTATTTTTCTTCAAGACTTTCTAGTTCTTTTTCCTGTAATAAAATATCTTGATGAGCCTGTATTTCTGTATAATCATCACTTAATGAATTATTTTGTATCTCATCATCATTGATTTTATGATCTTTAAGATTTAGAATAATCGCATTTCTATAATTTTTTAAACTATCATTTTCTTGTTTTAAATGGAAATTTTGTATTTTGTATTTCGAAAGTTCCTCCTAGAAAATATAAATATCAATTATGTTAGAAGAAAAGACATACCTTCATGCGTTTTAGCATGTTTTCAGTACTTTTCATATAGAAGACTGCTGATTGATAATCGCCTTCAAGTTGCTGTAAACGCTCTTTAAAATTTTGGGCAGATTCTGCTAAACGGCGTTCTGCGTCGATTACTTTTTGTCTTTCTAGATCAAGAGCTTCTTTTTCTGGATTAATCGAAGGCATATTATCAGGATCAGTGTCTTTGGAACTTTTTGAATTGTTCTCCATATCCTGGCAACTTATAATTTTATTCGCCGTATCTTCTAGACTAGAATCATTTAAGTCATGGGATTCTCTAATTTCCTGTTTAATATCATTATCTTGCTCTATTTCTTCTTTGATTTTTTCAAAATCATTTTTATCTAAAGTATCACAAGTCATGCTAGTGCCTCTAGTTACACACGAAATAGCATCGTTTTTAGATATTTTCTGTTCCTCTAATAAAGGATATTCTTCGAGTAATCGTGATATAGCAGATGCTTTCATATGAGCTATTTCTAAATCTTTATCTTTAGTAATCAATAAATTCTTCATGTTTCTATGATCCTTTTTGAGAGCATCTAATTCTTTAAGTAAATCAATTATTTTATCTCTTAAATCTTGAATTTCTCTGTTAGAACTAAAATTTAAGGTTTCAAGTTGAGAAATTTTTTCTAGTGCGGCAACTAAATCTTTAACAGATTTATTAGCTGATACCTGTAATGCAGAATATAAAGACTTAATAGATGATAATTGTTCCTGAAGCATTTTAACTTGATTGTCATTTGAAGAATTGATAGACGATGCTTCTCTAGATTTTTTAAGCAATTCAAGAATTCCTTCATTCATAATTTCTCGTGCTACATTAGCTTCTTTAGTAATATTTAATATTTTCGATTCAAGATTAGCGATTTTTTCCTCAAGTGCTTGTTTTTTATTACTTTCTAACATAAGTTCTCTGGTAAGTTGATTAACTTTATTTTGAAGTTCTACACGAGCTTCCTGATCTTTTTGAGACTTATTTTCTGAATTAGTAATACGATTTTCTGCCATAGAAACAGAAATATTGATCATTTCAATAGATTTTAAATATAGCATATTTTTTTCTTTAAGATCATCAAGTTCTTGTTTTAATGTAATGTTCTCCTGGTTCAATTGGTTTTTTTCGCATTCTAAATTGTTTTTTAATGAAACTTGTTCCTTGATTTTTTCTTCTGCATCGATACAAGCTAATCTCGTCTCATTTAGTTCAGTAGAAATTCGTTCGTGTGCACTTTCCGCAACTTTTATTCTTTTAAGGTAGTTTTGGTTCATATCTTCAAGTTGTTGCACTTTTCTTTGCTCTAAATCAATATCCTCGGATAATGATGCTAGCCTCTCATTTAATTCTTGCCTTGATGCTATAGTATTAGATAGTTTGGTGCTCAATTCTGAAATACGAGCATTTTCAACAGTCGATAACATTTCTGGAGTAGATAAAGCTGCAAGTTTTGCCTTATAATATGCTGCTTCTTGTAAACAATTATTTTTTTCTGCTTCTGCTTCTGCTATTTTTAAGCTTGCAGCTTTTGTCTGTGATAAAATTTCTAATTTAAGTAATGTTATTTGTTTTTTCAAAGATATAAGATTTTCGATCATATTTTGCCTTTCAATGGAATCAAAAAAGACCTCTGTAGATGATTTTGCCAAATCGGGATTCTTTATTAAATCTAATTCTGCTTGCAATAACTCATTTTTAACTTTAAGTTCATCCATGTTTTCTTTAAATTTTGAATGCTGTATATCTTTGTTATTTGCTTGAGAATCATCTGTATTTAAATTCTTCTCTTTAGTTATTTCTATCACTTCAATTTGATTTTTATCTACAACTGGCGCTGGTTTAGTTTCATTTTGATTGTTGGTATTTGTTTGACTTGTATTTAATTTCATATCGCTTACAATAACTTTCTTTATTTGATCTTGACTTTGAGACCTTGAAATTTGTAAATCTATTACTAATTAATTTTATTTAAAAAAATAAAGAAATACATACTATTCATACTATTAGAATGATGAAGAGTATTAGATTCTTCTTTAAAGGAAAAAGAAAAATCTTTCGATCTATTGTGTTTTCTAGATATTCTTTGTTTATGAAATTGTTCTAAAGACATGGTTTGCATATGGGTTCGTAAAGACTCAGAGTGCTGTAATGATTTTGATGGAGCTATAACATCAAGAGGACTTTTCGACTCTTGATTTAATTTTGAACTGGTCATGGATAAGGCTTTTTGAGGCATAGGTGATAAAGGAGAAGGTGCTAATAAACTTCCAGATTTTATCATTGGACTTGAACCTAGATTTGGAATGGATATTTCAGGTGGATAGCGAATTTTTGCTAATAAATATCTCAGAAATGTTAAAACCTTCATATTAAACACTTACATGTATCCAAAATATAACTAATTGATGAATCTTCTATTCTATTTAAAGAATCTTCCCCTCCAAGTACAATTATTTTTTGACCAAAACTAGTTAAGACATGTCCCGAACGAGGACTTGGAGATGGTCCCATATTTTGAAAAATATACCATCTTGATGTTGATATTTTAAATGCAATAAGATCTCCTAGATCTGATCCATCTAGACCACGACCTCCAAAAATATAAATAATGTCATCTACTAATGCTGCTGAATGTCCTTCTCGAGGTTGAGGAATACAACCATTACACGCTATTTCTTTCCATGAAAGATTTTTATAATCAAAGACCCAAACATCATTAAACCATTCATTGCCATTTGTACCTCCAAATCTTAAACATTAGACTTTTATAAAAATAAAAAAATATTTACATACAAATAAAGCTTTTCTTGATATGTAATCATTATATGATTAGTACGAGCAGATGGTAAATTCGTAACCGGTGTTATTAATTCCCATTTAGCATTAAGCGAATTTACTATATATATATATTATATTCTAATCAAAAAAAAAATATACAATCAAACATACACGAATCCAAATCAAATGAAAACATGTCATTAAAAAAACATGTTTCCATTTGTCCTCCAAAAATAATAATTTTTGTTCCAAGAACATTTAATGTATGACCATATCTTCCTGGTGGCTTATTTCCATAAACTACCGCTTTTGTCCATATTTTTGATGTAGTATTTAATAAATATAATGAATTATCATTTACATTATTTTTTGATGTTTTTGTATCTCCTCCAAATACTAAACCTCATTAAAACTTTCTTATTTAAAAAAAAAAAAATAAGAAAACCAATAAACGCGTTTCCTATAACAAGTCCCGCATGTCCTACACGAGAACTAGGACATTCTCCCGGTGTTTGTATTTGATATGACATCATAGTTGCTATATTCAAATATTAGTAAAAAATAACAAATTTTATACAAAAATTATTCTAAAAAAATATTTCTAATTATTCACCTGAATCAATCACCCATAAATCATGTTTAACTTTTTCCTTAACAAGTCCTCCAAATATATATATATCCCCTGTCTTATTAACCATAGAATTACTTGCATGTCCATATCTAGGAAATGGACATGGTCCAAAAATCTTTTGTCTATACCATGGATATGATGTTTCTTTACTTATATATCCTGATTCCGTGCTTTCAAATGGCTGAGAATAAAGTTTTTGTTGAAGTCCTGTACCATTTTTTAATTTTTTATTATGCTTAAAAAAGAATGCCATTATTATTAGAAAAACCTTTGATTTATCATGAAATAAATTGATTTTCTAATCTTATTCTGTATAAATTTTTATGCTTAATTAATCTGTTTTTAAGGTTTATTTTTTTTAAATAAAAAACGAATATTTAATAAAAACGATAGAACCGTGTATATATTTGATATCTCCCTTATATTTCATATATATATTTTGATTATAAAAGTGATTAGAATAATAAGATATATTGTTATTGATAAATTCTGTTATATGAATTGTTGAAATTTAAAAAAAAAAATGATAAATTATTAATTGATTATGTTATGATTGATTAAGAAGTGAAATAATTACTTGAACCGTTGAATTTAAACGTATTTGACTTGACATCATTTTGTCCTATTAATTAGTAAATTATTTAATTAAAATTATTGTAAAAATTATACCATATCATATGGTATAACATCGTCTACGATCTCAATAGTACCAGTTTGTATTTGAATATCTAATGGTATTTGTAAAGATAAAATAAGTGCAATTTGAAGTGCACGTTCAATAGCAGCAGATTGTGCATATAAAATAATAGGTTTTCCTTTAGAATTTAAAGACCTATATATATATAGTTAATTTATATTTATAAAAATATATGTATATTCTTACATTAGTTTCCGTTTTGTTTTCTTAATAATACTCATTAAAAGTGTTTTTCTTGATATAAATATTTTATTTGAAACATCTACTGGATGAGGTATACATCTCTTATGTATAATTGCATCTAGTTTTTTTAATTAATTTATTTACCAATAGTTAAAATGCAATACCTTTAAGTATTGCGCGTTTAATTGGAACATCAATTGTGCTTTTTATAAAGGTTTTTTTTATAGGTTTTGATATTTGGGCTTCTGAGCCACGTTTTCTTTTAGATGCAATTAGTGTCATTTTTATTAGAAAAAACTAGTATAAAACACTATAAATTCTTATGTTTTTCCTTAAAAATGTGTTAATTTGCCTAATAAAATTTTGTAAAATACTTTTTTTTAAGCCTATAACGGTTTTTAAAAACCTAACCTTCAAGAGATATCAGAATAACCAGAGATTAGCACGTTTTTAATAAATAACTGTGGACGACCAGTATTCTTAATGAGTTTTGCTAAGAAAGATGAAGATTTGGGTATATTTTTTATATGAATAAGAAGGATTATTAATATTTTTTAGAGCATATCTTTCATCATATTGACAAGACAGCAGTGCTTCAAGAAGCAAGAATATTTAATAAATCACCTATTAATCCGCGTGTCTGCCGTGTTTTATTAATGAAGATTGCATATCTTTTACATACGGGGGATAACTTTGCTATGAGAGATGCTACAGAGCTATTTTTTGGAATAACAAAGCTTTTTCAGCATAAGGATGTATGAATAGGATAATAATATGTTTTATAAAGTAAAAGATATTAGGAGGCATTGCGGCAAATGGTTTATGTTATTATTAAAGAATTAGCTAGAACAGCAGAAATAATTATTATGATTACATCGAGTGTAATAAAAGATACGACAGTGAATGTTGGTGCTATATATAGACCAAATGCTATTCGTTCATTGTCTAGAATAGTTGATGTTATTAGATTTAATTGGAGGGTTTAAGATTTTTTAATATATGGATAGGCTACGACAGTACCAACAGTAGAACGTATTATTAAAACAGCAATTATTGATAAAACACCATCAGTTTCGTCAGCAGGATTAATTTCATCATATCATTTGTTCACTATTGCAAAAGATATTATACGTAAATGGGCGAATGAAATATTTGAGGCACTTTTTTTAAAACCAGCAGTAAATTTGTCTATAATACCATATCTAACGAATCTAAATAATCGACAAAATCAAAGTTTTATTACTCAATATCATGCTTTGGGTTTGTTGTATCTTATAAGGAATCATGATCGTATGGCAGTTATGAAAATGGTTCAGAAATTTTGTAATTATCATAATCGAGGATCCTCTAATGGAAACATTCAGCTTAAAAGTAATTTAGCTGTTATTTTGTTAGTGAGATATATTGCAAAAGTGATTGAAGATGATCAAAGGTAATTTTAAAATGTAGTATGTTCTTATTTAAAAAAAAATAAAGTCAACGATATACTATGTTCAAGTTATTAGAAGAATTTTTGCATTATAAAAATGATATGGTTAACATTGAGGCAGCAAAAATAATCCTTCAAATGAGGGATGTGACTGAGGAGGAAGCTTTACCAGCAATATCTGGTTTGTATTCTAAATATTAATTATATCTTCTTATTTTTTAGCGCTTAGGATATTTTTATCATCTCCTCGGACAATTTGTAGGTTTTCTGCAATTAGAATTTTGAATAGATTTGCAATAACAAAACCACATTTGGTTGGATGTTGTAATTCTGATATAGAAAGTCTTATTTCATATACTAATAAATCAATTGCAACATTTGCCATAACGACTCTTCTTAAAACAGGAAATGAGGTTAATATTGATAAATTGATGAAGCAGATTCAAGGATTTATGAGTGATATCACTGATGAGTTTAAAATTATTGTTATAGATGCTATTAGATCATCATGTCTTAAATTTCCATCTAAGCAAGCTGTTATGCTTTCTTTTTTGAACAATGCTTTAAGAGATGAAGGTGGATATGATTTTAAAAATTCAATTGTTGAAACATTGTTCGACATGATTAAATATATTCCTGAATCTAAAGAAGATGCATTATCTAGTCTTTGTGAATTTATTGAAGATTGTGAATTTACAAAATTAACAATTAGAATTCTTCATACTCTTGGTATAGAAGGGCCTCGTATTAATCAATCAACTAAATATATTCGATATATATATAATAGAATTGTTTTAGAAAATGCATTAGTAAGAGCGGCTGCTGTGTCTGCTTTGTCGAAATTTGGTCAAGGGTTAAATAATTCTGAGCTTAAGATTAGTATAAAGACATTGCTCAAAAGATGTTTAGAAGATTCAGATGATGAAGTTCGAGATCGTGCTATTTTAAATATTAAATTCTTAGAAGACGATAATATTTCGGATATTTTTAAGAATAGTTAGTTTAAAATCTTAATGGGCTTATTTAAAATATTTAGGTAATGCATTTTCCCTTTCTGCTTTGGAATATCAACTTGTATCTTATATTTCATCTAATTCCTTTGAAAAACAATTTGATACGTCATCTATACCAATGATTACTAAAGAAGAAATGGATGCTGAATCATATAGACAAAAAATGGCTGAATTGGAATCGTTGTCCACGTTAACTGAAGCGACTCAACAATTATCTGTTACAAATAACTTTTCTGAAGATATTATGCCTCAATATTCTAACATTCTTCAATCTATTTCAGAATTTAAGGATTATGGTCCTCTTCTAAAAAGTACTTCAAAACCGATAGAATTAACAGAATCTGGAATTGAGTATTGTATTACTGCAGTTAAACATATATTCAAAGAGCATATTGTTCTTCAGGTATAGTTTTCCTCTTATTTTATCATTTCTTATAGATACAGTTTAATCTTATAAATACTCTCTCTGATGCTATTCTAGAAAATATATCAATAGTCTCTGAACCTGATGATTCTTCATTAAAAGAAGTGTGTATTATACAGGCACCAAGAGCAGAACATAATTCTTCTGTTTCTATTTATGTTTCTTTTTTAAGAGAGAATCTAGATTTTTTTGTTACTACAACTTTTACTAATGTTTTAAAATTTATAACTAAAGAAATAGATCCAAGCACAGGTGAGCCAGAAAAAGTAGGATATGACGATGAATATCAGGTTTATTTCTTTATATTTATATATTGGATTAAATTATTTTAGATTGAGGCTTTAGAATTATCTCCTGGTGATTATATTTCTCCCATTTATATAAATAATTTTAGTCAAGCTTGGGATTCCTTAACAGATAAAAATGAAGTTGTAGAGACGTTTTCTCTTAGCTCAATAACATCTTTGCAGGGTTATTATCATTAAATTATATAAAAAATTTCATTAATATTGTTTCTTAGATGCGTGTTCTAAAATTTCAGAACAATTATCTATGCAACTTATTGAGGGTACTGATACTGTTACAAATTCGTTTTTTCATATAATGAAGCTTTCTGGCAAAAGTACAAATGGCAATACAGTTTTAGCTATTGCTAAATTAGGTATATAATATGCCTTGTTTCTCTTTTTATATTAATATTGAAAAAAGCATTTTCAAAAAATGAAATCACTTTAAAGCTAAGTGTTAGAAGTGAAAACAAGTTAGTAGCAACATTGGTTGCAAATGGAATTGCATAAATGGAATTGCATAAATGGATGTATCTTTTTTCAAAAAAGTCTTGTTCCTTAAGATTTACAATTTACATTATTGACTATAATTGTTATTTTTTATTTATTATTTTTCTGTTCATTTGGTATATTATGATGCATCCATTTATGTGCTTCTCTAATGGTCTCTTCACACACTTTCATTATTTCATTGTCACTTAAATATTCATATTTTTTAAATGCTTGGGCTAAAGTAATTGTAATACCAAGACTTTCGCTACGTATCCATATTCTTCCATTGGATCCAATTGCAATTTCAAATGGTATTGATGCTCCTAGAGTTGATAAAAAAGGGTGATCTTTTTCAAGAATTCTGTATCTAATTAAAACTAGTTATATTAAAAAAAAAAAAATACTTTCTACATAAATGAAATGATAGTTTATGAATAAGAAATCCTCCTTTTAACTCCCCATACACTGATTTTTCGTTCGATATATTAGCACATTCTATTTCTGGTTCTGTTTCATTATCTACACTGATAACCCTGGCATAAACTAATGATCCTACCTTAATATTTCATTAATAATAATTTCATACTTTTCTAATTTTTTACTTGAAGATTTGGTCTATTTTTGCGTGTTGCATTTTCAAATGCAAGTACTCCCAATTTTGCTTGACGAATACTTCCTATATCTACTTTATATCCTTCCCCATGTCGAATCATAATTTGTCCTATTACTGAATCTCCTACTACTGGTATATACTAATTTTATTATTTTTTTTAAAAAAATATATTTATTAAATCATTTACTTTTCCTCTATTATAATCAATAGAAATCTTCTTTTTTGTTGCTTGTTTTAACCATCCTGTTTGTGTTGCAAAAAGCTTATTTGCTTGATAAAAATACGCTAATCCTTGGCCAATTTGTATCTTTGTTTTATCTTTCTCTTTAAATACTATTTCCTCCCCAGGAAACATAAAGCCCTCTTCTACTTTTACCCTTTCTAACCCTTTATCCATCGTTTTACCTCGGATATACCGCTGATTCGTTTTCTATATGGAGGATACTGAATGGTAAATACCTTTAAGCACTTATTTACTTATTATATATCTCTAGGAATGATTTTTTACGTGCTTATGGTATTCTTCCTCCTAAAGTACAGGAAAAAGAACCTATAGATTTACCAAATGAAATACATAAACCTCATATAGATCAATCAAAATCCTCTGATGACTCTGAATTAGATGATTTAGATGATCCCGTAATAAAGCAATATAGGTAAAGCTTATATTATATCTAGAAATAGCTTGATAAAGGAGTGAACGGCGTCTACGAGAATTACAGGCCTATGCTGCTGCTGCTAAGTACGGTGAAATACGTATGATTGAATATAAGGAGTGGATTACTGAGGTTACCGAAGCAAGTTATTATACAAGCGTTTTAGTTTTTTTATATAAAGATACGTAAGATTTGATGAATAATGATAGAAATATTAAGATCTAAAATAAATAATAATAGGATTATAGCAAGTCAACGGTTAGGAGAAAAATTGAAGGAGATAGCAATGAAATATTTATACATAAAAATAGTAAAAATAGAGGGAAATAAAACGATTGAAGGATATCCGGATAAAAATTTACCGACATTACTTGTTTATAAGTCAGGGAATGTAATAGGACAAAAGATAATAAAAATAGAGAATATTAAAGGTAAAGTATTGAATAATAAAAGATAAATTTTTTATGATAAAAAGAGGTGGAAAAATGGTTGATAGAATTAAATGTATTAAATAATGAGGAAATTGAAGAATAGAAATAAATAGTATATAAAGATGAAAAAGGGAAAGGATTTATTTTATACAAAAATGTATTCCAAAAGGAAAATGAATGTTTAGGAATGCAAAAAATGTGATAAATGTTAATGTGTAAAAAGGATTATTTGAAGTGTTAATTTTTTCTTCTAAAAGAACAACCTTCCATTAAACGAGCCTTTCCGCCTGTAGGTTGAGATAATACACTAGCACAAGAACCACAAATAACAACCGTTTGCGCATGAGAAAAAATGGTTGTAATATTAAAACAACCTGGACATTTTACATCCTGTATAATAATATATAAGCCAAAGTAGATAAAAAAAAAAGTTATTTACCATAAAAAAAGAATTTGGTTTTTGTATTAGTCTTTTAAGTTTATGTTTTCGTGCTTCTGCTTCAGGTACAGGATTTAAAAGATCAACTGCGAGTGTCTAAAAAAAATTGTTAGTAATATATCTTAAAAAAAAATATAATTTTGTTAATTAATTCCATAATAATTAATAAAATATAAATATAAAATATATTTGTTGAAAAAATATAAATATATTTCTCAATTTAATATTTTTATAAAAAAAAATATTAAATTTCTATTTATTTAGTTATTTATTGAAATAACATAATTTTTTAGTTTTAAAAAACATATAAGACTCTTTATTAACATTAAAGCTTTGAAATGATGCTTTTTTATATGTTTTATGTCTTACCATGTTGATTAAATGAAATTTTTAAAATTGATTTATTGATTAACGTTTAAGAAAAATTTTGTTACTGAAATTTAAAAATTTAAGAAAAGTTAATAAAATAATTGAAGATAAATAGATAAATTTTGTATTTATAAGATATAAAAAATAATTAATATAAATGTTTTTAAATAATTGAATTTTATAATAGTTTATAAATTTTTAAAAAAAGATTTATAAAAAAAAAAAGAACTTAAAAATCAAAAGAATTAAATTCTAAAGATAATATATATTCCTAGTAAATATAAGAATAATATTTTAATGAATGCCGATATTAGTTATATTAATAATTGTTTTTAAATTTTTAGTAAATATTTTTGATATTAGTATGGAAGAAGAAATTAAGAAATTATTATTATATATTGTATTAAGAATTCTAATATTATAAGACAGTTAATAAGTTTTATGATAAGTTTTTAATAATTAATTTTTTTTTTTTTAAGTGTCTATTTAAGAATTTTTGGTTCAAGTTGATATGTATAAAATTGAAATATGTTTTTAAGTATGTGTAATTATTTTAATCAAAAAATGTATTTAAATAGTTTTATTAATTAGATGAGATATAAATGTATATTATTTATTAAAATAATTCCTCTATATTTAACGTTTATGTTAGTATTTTCTATATTTGATATGTTTTTTAAAAAAAAAGAAGATAATTCTCTATAAAAATATGTTTTTATTGTATGAAATTATTATATTATATTATATTATCTTTTATAACTATTGTATTTTTTTTATATAAATTAAAAACTAAAAACAATATTTCAATAAAATATAAGAATGATTGAATTGCATAATAACTTTTAATACATAAGGATTTTATAAGATTTACATGATTATCTGTTATTTTGTTAAACATGAATAAGTTTAAGGGTTAATAAGTTTAGTTGTAAATAATATTATCGATCAATAGAAATATTATTATTTATATATTAGTTTAATATGTTTATTAATACAATTTATTTTTACTTAATGTTCAACAATTTTATGAAAATATTTCATGTAAGAGATTATGATTAGTTTTTTTTTTTTAACTTTTTTTTTTATTATTTTAATTTTATTTATAAACATGATAATATAAATATTATTAAAGTTATGTTTTAAATTTTGATAGACTTATTTACATTTATGAACTTTGAAGAGATTCATATGATGTATTTTTTTTTATAATCTTTGTAAAAGTTTATTTTAATAAAATTATATAAGATTTTTTTTATAAATTATTAGATGGTTTACTAATTTAAATTTCTATTTTAAATTTAAATTTCTATTTTAAATTAAAATATGATTATAAATTAAAAAGTGAAATATTAGATATAAAAATGATTTAATAGATTAGATTAAAATGATTTAATAGATTAGAATGATTTAATTGATCAAAATAATAGTTAAATTTTTATAAATATTGTTAATATATAGGAAATTATCTTATTTTAAAGTTATAATTAAAATAAAAATGAATTATATAGTTTATTAGAGCATAAAGTTCTAAATATTATATAATAAAAATATTAAGATAAATATAAATCTTTATTTTTATTAGAATATGCCTTATATAAAACCTTAAAATATTCAAGTACAAGAAGAAATTAAAAAACGTATATATATTTATTTTTAATATATTAAATAATTTAAGTTTTTATATTATAAATTATAATTCTAAAAAAATGCTCATGTTTATCAATGATTTCGTCCTATGTCGCATGAAAAGATATTTATATGAGTGTCGTTTCCATTAGCACATGCTAAAATAGCTTTATGAGGATGAAAATTTAAAGCGTTAACTGATGAAGGTTTTCCTTGATGCAAAAAACTATAGTAGTATTTAAATGCTAGTAAATTCGAACCATCTGTATTCCAAATTTTGAGATCATTATTAGTAGAACCCCTAATAATATAATTAATTAAGTAATTAATAAAGTTAATAAAATACGTAGCAATGAATGGGATATGTTCATGGACAGAAAGTGATCGTAAACCATCTGAATTAATATTAATAGTTTTTATAGAATTATCAAGCCTAATATCCCAAAGTTTTACATCACCAGAAATACTTAAAGATTAGATATATAAATAATAATAGTGAAAAACAAACCTTCCTGAAACAAGTTCACGATTTCCAAATTTTTGCATACTTATAGTAGGAATCCAAGTTTTATGCTCTTTCCAGACTTTAACTATTGCATCTCTCGGAGAATTTCTTTGATCATAAATACGTATAGTACCATCACCAAAACTAGCAACAAAAATATTACCGTCAACTTCATCTGAAGTAATTGAAGTGATACAACTCCTGGATTTTGTAGATATATTCTAAAAAAAGTTATATATTAAATTTTTGAGAATTAGCATTATACGTACGCTTAAACACATTTCTTGTGATATATCCCAAATTTTGACAACTTCTGCTTCACCACCGACAAAAAGTATGCCACGTTTTTGTTGCCAATCAACGATTAAACCATTACCACGATTTAGTGGAATTATATCTGTTAATGCTCTCCATGCAGTAACAAGCTCTATAGATTCTGTATCATAATTTTTATATATTCGTATAATGCCATCAGAAGACCCAATTAATATATATCCAATATCATCTTCATTTATAAATTTTATGCCAGTAATTCGTGCTGCAAATGTATTGTTATTTGAAAATTGGTTTAATTTTATTCCAGATTCCCAATCCCATACTTCCACGTAATCTTGATCATCAGTGCATATAAGATGAGACTCGAATTGATGAAATAAAAGATGTGAAATTTGTGTAAAACCTGATTTAAGATTACAAATTTGATTGCTCCATGATAGTGAATCTATATTAAGTTAAATTAAATTGAAAAAGTTGTAACTAAAACCTGCTATGTCTTTTAAGTTATACGCTACATTTATGATTTTTTCATTACGATTCCTTCTCCATAACCGTTGATTATAGTTAACACTTCCTGGTTCATCTGCTTCAGCTGGCTACAAGAGACTTAAAACAATATATTAATGAAAAATAACCTACTTTCATTTGGGGTTCTTGAAAATATTCACGGCTCCAATCAAAAAAAGTGCTTTGAATTACATATTTAGATGATTTATAAAGTTTTGAGTTAAAATTTTTAGGTAAAGGTTTAATTAAAGTTGAATGATTATTTGTTGATTTATAATGAATGTCTTCATCAAGGGAAACATTAGAGTTTAGCGCTGGTATTTCATTAGAATTCCCAATTTTAAGATTTTTCAAGGATAAAGCTATTGAAGTAGAGCATTTTAAAGTATTAGTTAGTTTTGAAGTAGATGGTGTTTGTTGAGTCCCGAAAGATGTAGATTTAATATTTTCATTAGTAGAACTATGTGATTTCGATTTATACGTTGTATCATTCTTAATACTTATTATTTTTTCAATAATAAATTTTGTTGTGTTTCCAAGTTGAGACTTAATAAGCATGTTATAAATTTTGTTCACAATATGAATACTAGCCAATTCAACCTCCAAAAATGGATCTACAGTGAGCAATAATAATGTTTTCCATACAGTTAAAAACAAAGAATTCGCACTATAATTAGCAAGAGGTTTCTGAAATTTAAAATAGTTAAGACCAAAATTGAAGAATTCGTACATTAAATGTTCAAATGCTGTAACCATGAATTTCTCATTATAGCGTGAAATGTATTGAAACAAAAAAACTATCAATTCTTTGCGTACTAAATTCGAGCCATCAAGAGAAAGATTTAGTGCTGATGCAACGACATAATTCTCTTTAGTAATCACTTCTTTATCTTCTATAGGATGACTTAAAAAAACTGTTAAAGCAACTAAGCTAGCAGTTCTAACTTCTGGAACAGGATCCGATAATAAATCACATAAAGAATCTACTATGCCTTCTTTAATACAAAGAAGCTTTGCATCAGAAAAATCCTTCGATATTTGACTGATACAAAGACATGACCATTGCCGTAATAAAGGATCTTTATCGCGAAGATGCACATGATTTGCCTGCAAAACACCTGCATTTAAACATGCTGTTTGCCCTTGTGTAAAATTCCTAGAAAAAATACTAAGGACAAAGGTACACATTGCACGATGTTCTGATATGTTAGCTACTGATAAATTTTCACAAGATGGAGAAAGAGTTTGAATAAAATAGGAATAGCCATCATCTTTAAGAAGATCTGATTGGCAAGAACCATCAACTGCTAATATCCTAGTCCATATAAAAATCAAAACAGGCTTTAATTCTAAAGCTGGTGACTGAAGAAGTTTTAAAATATATGGAAAAATTCCAATAGACAATGCAAGATTTACTGCCCATGGACCTAGATCAAGAAATCTACTAAGTAAAATTAAAGCGCCTAAACGATGGACTTGAGATAAAAGCACCTGAAGTACTATCGGCAATTGATCAGGCGCTTTTTTAAATACTGAGCCTTGTTCTATCCATACTTCAAATGCAGTTAATTGTTCCCTAAAAAAGGTACTATGCTTATATTCATATGCAGGACCTCCATTTTCTGCTTCAAGCAATTGAGGTAATTGTGCCAAACATGCATCTACGGCTAAATCCCATGAATTCCACATTGGATGATGATAGGTAGGAGGTAAAGAGGGGTATGACATTGGATGACACTGATGAACTCTCATTATTCGTTCTGCTAAAAGAAAGTTTCTAAATAGTGCTGCTACCATTAAATCCTGTCGAAACAATTTTTTAAATAAAGGCTTTGGAAGAATATTCCATGCAATAGTATCAGTAATAGCTGTAAATATCCAATTCAATTCACCAAGAGGAGTTCTTCTGTCTTGTAAGCGTCCTGGTATTTTCATTACCATATCTATAGTTATATTCGAAAGAAATGGGTTTTGTAAAACAAACCATCTAACTGCTATTTCAATAGGCGATGTTAGACAACATGTAAATAAATCTGCTGGAAGGTCTGGGTTCATAGGAAGCCATTCCCTAGGCCCACATGCAGCTAATTGAATAGATTCTTTTTGTAATGGTGATATAGGAATTGATGGATCAAATGCGCGCTGCTTTTGAGTCTCTGCATCACGTTGTTCTGCGAATTTATTAAAATTTATAAGAATATTACCAGCTGCACTACAATCATAAACATATAAACATGGAGAACCTAGCCATGTCTGAAGATCGTATAATGATATTGGAATATATTGAGTATAATTCTTATTAAATACCCATATCTCCCCACTTTCTGTAGGTCTTGGAACTCCATGTCCATTATAATGAAACAATATACGCTCATCTTTGGCATTACGGCGTTGAGCTGAACAAAATTTCTTAGTTTCTTCTATAGATGGGTCAAGATATTGTTTATATCTTGTACATGTACTAAGAGTTTCATATTGTTGTTGTAAATTTTTTCCTATAGCTTCTAATGACTTTTGTGATGGTAACGAAAATGGATCAATCCAACACTCCAATTTTGCGCATGGGGTCGTTTTAACTATATCAGGAGGATCAACTCCAATATTCATACATATACATAATGCTGCTGAAACCGTTTTTAATCTTTCTCTCATTCTCCAATCTTGGACTTGTTCATTTTTAAGTCTTGGAATACCACATGTTTCATGCCGTTTAGCTGTATAATACATATAAAATATCTAAATCCCTATTAAATATACTGTAATAACCCTATAATAGTAATAAACTAACATTATTATTCATACCATTATATTTTTCTAAATCTTTGTTTTTAAATCCATGGCGAACTTTTATTGCCTGGACTTTTATTTCATTGTTTTTTGACGCTGTTTCTGTAACTAATGTGTTTAAATATTTTTCTTTTAAATCTTTGTCCTTATTTATATCCTTATTATTTTCTTTTTCCTTTGTTTCTATTGAATCATAACATTTGATAATTGTTTTATTAAAATTTTTTGTTTCAATTGTAGAATAATTAGCTTGTATTTCATTCCTTTTAAAAATATTTAACTTAGTAATATGTTCTTTATCTACATCTGAGTCTTTCATTTCTTATTCTTCTGGTATTTTTGATTAGATATTTTATATTTTTTATCCATGAAATTTAAATTTAATATTATTGAATAATTCTATAAATGGTATTTTAAAAAAATGTGTTTAAATACAATTAATGATTTTCAATTTATTATGTATATTTCCTAACATTAATCTTTTACTTTTCATAAGAAATGATTTAAAACTATTTTTTAAATATTTTTAATATGTTAAATGTATTTATAATATAAATAAAGATATATCTAGTTTATATTAATATATTATATTATGCTTATACAATCATTGATAAGCTTATAAAATGAATAGTTAACTAAAATATATATCTTTTGTTATTAAAAAGTTAATTATATAAGAAAAGTTGGTAATAATATTAAAAATATGAAAAAAAAAAGATAATATAAACATGGAATTGCAAAATAAATACTGTAAATATTCATGAAAATGTTTATATTTTTCATATATAATTTCATTTATATTATTAAATTTTTAAAAATTATGTAGAAATTTATTTTTTAAAAAAAAAATAAAAATATCTTAAATAATATATAAAGATTTTTTTAATCTTATATAATAATCATATCATATATTAATTTTAACACTTTAAAATTTAAAATTATCTTTTTATTTTATAACTTTATCTTAAAAATATACTTATAAAATAAAAAAACCTTTATTTATAATAAAATATACAAATATTAGTAAATATATGATTGTTTATTATTTCAATTGGTCATCTTTTAAATTCTATAAAGGTTCAAACCTTAATCTCGAATTTTATACCATATTTTAAATTTAAGTCACGTTATTATAAAAAAATTATAAAAACTTAATTATTTTTAGATTTATATTTTTTTAGGCAGGTTTTTTTATAAATTTTCATAAAAACAAAGAAATGGTATATAATTTCAATAATCTTATTGGTCAGCCCAATATTAAATTACAAATAAATGATATGAAATATCTTATTATTTTAATGATTATTGGTTCATATGTTCAAACATATATGATAGATCATCCTTCAGATCTTGTTTTTAATGAAGATTATATAATGCAACTAGCTTATAAGTATATATTTTTAATTAGTAATATTTTTAATTAAAAAGGGATTTTTTAGTTATATTAAAAAAGAATTTTATATTGATAGGAATCCACCTTACGCAAGCATGTTTTATGCATTAATTATGCGGATTATTGGATATCTACCAGTTAATTTGGGTACTATCAAAAAGTATGTTTTATAAGAGTATTTTCTTTGCAATTAGTTTTAATTGAGGTATATTAGAGCTTTTTCATTGTATCGTATTCCTCGTATACCCATGCGATTGTTTTCATCTTTTTTTGGTATTTTATTGTCACCTATTACCTATTTTGCATTGAGGGTTATGAGATTTACAAGAAATACAGCTATTTTGGGCTCATTATTAATTATTTTTGAAAGCTCTGTAGTTATGCAGAGTCGATTTGTATTTTCTGATTCATTGGCTTTGTTTTTTACCGCTTTAATACATTTGTTTTGGAGATTATTTGAATCATGTCAACAAACTCCTTTTACAAAAGCGTGGTGGGCTTATTTAATGGCAACTGGATTTTTGCTAGGTGCTCTTATAAGGTTCTTGTATTTTCTTTATATTTCATTTCTAAATTATTATATAGTACAAAATGGGCAGGTATTTTTACTTTTTTTTGGATTGGTTTTTTGGCGTGTTTGCAATTATGGCATTTTATAGAAGATCTTACTATAACTTTGGTATGACATTGCACATATATGATTTAAGACTTATATTTTAGACAACTTGGATTAAACATTTTTTGTTCCGCTTTTTTTCTTTAATTATAATTCCTCTGTCGTTTTATATTGTCACATTTTACCTTCATATAAGTCTTTTGAAGAATGCTAGTGATGATATTTATTTAAGTCCTGGATTTTTATCTACATTTGATAATAGAATTCCGAAGTCTGTTCCTGCTCCAGTTTATTATGGTTCTAAAGTGACTATTCGGCATTTAAATTCGCCATATGGTTATTTGCATTCGCATCGTGATTTATATCCTGCAGGAAGCAAACGTATTTTTATACTTTTTACCTAAAAATCACTAATACTTTTATAGAACAACAAATAACTCTTTATTTATACGAAGACCCTAATAATGATTGGTTAATAACAGACTCTGGGGATTCAAAATACGAAATTTATCCTTTTTCATCGATTCGAGATGGTTCTATAGTTAGGTTATATCATTTAGAAACAGACAAGAGACTGCATTCTCATGATGTTCGACCATCCTTATCGGATATAGATTGGCAAAATGAAGTTTCAGGATATGGACATAAAGGATTTGCTGGGGATAATAATGATCTTTTTAGAATAGAAATTGATAAGTCGAGAAGTTATACTGATGAATCCAAGGTTATCATTCGTGCAATTGAAACAAAGTTTCGTTTAATTCATGTATCTACCGGGTGTGCATTATTTTCTAATAATATTTATCTTCCTGAATGGGGATATGGTCAAATAGAAGTTACATGTGCAAAAAGTGGAGTTTATGAAAATAGTTTGTGGTATATTGAAGATAATAGCCATGATAGCTGTAAGATATGTTTTGTCTATACATTTTATTATTAATATTTATAGTTTCTATTAATGTTGAAAAAGTAAGCTACAAAAAAAGTACTTTTTTTCAGAAATTTCTTGAATTACATAAATATATGTGGGAAGTGAATTTTGATTCGGAAGATGCAGAGCGTGGTACTCATCCATTTTCATGGCTTTTTTTGAGATCCGGAATACTTTTTTGGATAAAGAAAGACGATCAAATTTATTTTCTCGGAAACCCATTGATATGGTTATCAACACTGGCTTTCGTAGTGGTTTATGGTATTTTCAAAGTGTTTGTTATATTGTCTCAACAAAGAGGCTATTCATCTTATAATGATAGTATAAAAAAGAGAAATTATTTAAAAAATACTAATTATAAAAAGGAGTTTATTTAAGATATGATTATCTTATTGGTACTAGTCTACTTGGTTGGATCTTTCATTATCTTCCGTATTATTTTATGGAAAAACGATTTTTGTTATCTCAGTATATACCAGCTTTATATTTTTCTATTTTATCTATATGTTCTTTTTGGGATTTCGTCTCAGTCAGATTTTTTCATAAGTTTCAAATTAAATTGTTTACATTGTTTATCTTTAAAATAGTCATTTCTGTTTATTTTATAATGGCGCCTTTGATTTATGGATATAGTATGAAAAAAGAACACTGTACTTTTATTAAGTTTTTTAAAACATGGGATTTACATTGTTGATTTTATAGTTAAACATAAACTATATTTTCGATATTACTTGTATAAGTAACTTTTTACTTAACTTTTAAACGGTTCAAAAAAAATATAATGATATTATTTTTAGGTTTAAATCATGTAAATGTATTTAAAAATAATCTTGATTCTTATCTACTATTTTCTATTTTTCAACTCAAAGGTTCTAAAAATCAAAATGTTTTTGATAATCCTTAAAATAGTTAAAATATAGTTAAGATCTTAAATATAATTAATATGCTAATTTATATTTAATTCTTTAATATTTATATAAAACAAATACAAATATTATAATCTGCTATAAATTCTAAATACTATTATATAACAATTAATAATATCGAAAAAACCTGTATATTTTTAAATAATCTTAATTATAAAATAGCTACATCAATTAATTTATATTATAACTTATAGTTTATAAAATGCTCTTTATTTTAAAATAAAATCCATCAACCATATATAAACCTTGTTTTTTATATGCTAAAACCTAATCGCTATAATAATCGAGATTTGAAGAAATAACTGAATAATTATCTGATGATATATTATATGATATATTATTTTCTATATCCCAAATAAATTCATCTTGAATATTTATTGTCTTTAATAATGGTGATGTAGAATTAGAAATATATACATATTCAATATCTTTCGTGTCGCGTTCTTCTAGCGAAAAAGATCTATTTTCTTCTGATTCTATATCATCTTTTTTTTTCGTTTCAGAATTTAATATATAAGTATCTTTATTACAAAAGCCCAAATCTTCATTTTTTATATGTCTTTTTTTGACGTTTCCCTCTTTTTTTTTTTCTTTAGTCTTATTAACAACTAAATTGGAATTTGATAGCTCCTCTGATATTGTTTCTTTATCTTTTGCTTTTCTTTTTTTATTTTGTTCATATGGTATAATCTTTTTTAGTTTTTTACTTGGATCTGAATATGCCAAGTGTTTAATAGGAGATAGTCGTATTATAATTGAGTCTTTAAGAAATTTCATTTATAATAAGATTTTTTTTTTAATTCATAATTCTCTAATCTTAAATTTAAAAAAAAATAATTATTAAATATAAAAATTATTAAAAATATAATAATTTTTATTATAAAATTATCTTTTAAATTATATTTTAAGTTTTTAATTTTTAAAGACTTATAAGAAAAAAAAATCCGCAATAATGTTTTAATTTCTAATTATTTATTATAATTTAAGGATATTTCTAAAAATATTTATTATTTTTTAACAGTTTCTTTTTAAGGCATTTAAAATGAAGAGAAAATTGGGATATAGTTTTAAAAATAATTATGTTCGGTCTTTTTTTCAGGAATTTAAGCTTTTTAAAGGGTTAAGAGGATATATTATTAGAGACGATATGATGAAATATTATTTTTGTAATAAAAGTCTACAAAGTTTAAATCAAGAGGAACAAGAATTAAGATATCCGACAGTATTTAGTCATAAACGTCTTGGAAATATTGAAATGTCATGTAATATTGTTAAAAGTATCCAAGATATTATTAAAGGTATTTTAAGATGTAATTATATGAATATAATTTTGATAAATTTTTTATAGATTCTCAATCTAATATTCGATTGTCTGCTATGAAAATGCGCACTTTAAGAGGGTTTCAGAAAAGTAAAAACAAATTTTCTGAAATTGAAGCAGATTCATATCTTTTATATAGAATGCCTCAGGTTTACGCATCATTATATAATGTAATTAATGAATTGCGGTCAAGACTTGGTGAGGAATGGGTTCCAGAGAATGTTTTAGATTGTGGAGAAGGACCTGGTATTGGTGCTTTAGTTATTCAAGAATTATTTTCAAATTCTATTGAAAAAGTGAAGAATATAATAGTTGTAGAACCGATATATACTATGAGAAAACGTGCACTTTATCTTCATAAAGCTAATAAGACGAAAATTATTTCAAATTTTTCATCTATTACAAAGTTTAAATTTGATTTTATTATTGCAAATCATACAATTTTGGATACAAATGCTCCCGGACATATTTCTAGCACTTATATAAAGAAATTGTGGGCTAAAGTTTCGCCAGAAAATGGTATATTGCTTCTTTTAGAAAGAGGGAATCCTCTTGGTTATGAGGCTGTAGTTAAGGCTAGACAAATAATTTTGTTTAACTCTGGTTCTAATTCAAAAGAATCAGAAGTTAAAAACATTGGTCATGTTATTTCACCGGTATTAATAAAACGGAATCTTTATGAATACTAAAGTTTATTAGTGTCCTCATGATAAACAATGCCCTCTTTATCTTGATGGTCATAGATTCAATTCTAAAAAATGGTGTCATTTTGGTCAAAGATTAATTACACCTGCATATTTACAAAAAATAAAGCATTCTTTTTCTAATATAGAAAATTCTAAATTTTCTTATTGTATTATTCGAAAAGAAATTGTTAATCCTAGCTTGAAAGAATCAAAAATTAACCTTAGTAAAGACAAATTATTCTTTGATCCTTATGGTTGGCATCGACTTATTTTACCACCATTGAAAAAGCATGGACATGTTATAATGGATACATGTGTATTTGATGGTACCATAAAACGAATGATAATTTCAAAAAGTCATGGTAAATTGCAATATCAAAATGCTAGAAAGGCGTATTGGGGAGATATATGGGCTCTGAAGTCATAATCTTTTAAAAAAATGTAAACAGTTAATAATATACATTGAAAGTATACCTGAAAAATTGCTAATATTAAAATATTATACCCAATGTTTTTTTATTTAATTGTAATATTATAAATTTTTGTATGTCAAAATTATAGAATAGAAATGAAATCTAAAAATTGGAATGTATTTAATATAAATTTAATATTTTAGTGACTTTTAAAAACAAGTAATTCAAATATTAATTAGTTTTAAAGACTAATTTTAGAATATAAAAATAATATAGAACTTGAATTTAAAAATATTTAATAAAGACTAAGCTTCAAATATTTTAATAGCTATTTTCTACGCTTTATATTATTTTTTAACAATTTGTTGCTTAAAACCAATTCTTTTTAAATAATGTTTTATCTAAATATGCAGCTCATTTTTTAAAGAATACTTATATACCTTTGTCTTCTAATTATTTAAAAATTTAAATCTAAAGATGTTTTAAAATTATATTTATTCAGAAATCACAAATATTATTGCTACTGTATATCTTGAGATAAATACTTAATTATTTGAAATAATTATTAAGTAAATATAATAAAAAATTAATATTAAAATGTATATTTAATTTCTTATATAAAAGAAATTTACTATAATTAAGAATTGAATTATCTTAAAAAAATCAATATTAAAAACTGGTTTCATTTTGAAAATGCTTTTAAAGATTAAAAAACTATATTAAATTTTTTATAGAACTAAATTACTTTTACATTCTTATAAAAGAAATTTCTAATAATACTATTAATGATATTAAGAACATAACATTTAACAAGACAGCAAAAATCTTCATCAATTATAAAATAGAAACGCCTATATTAAAATAAATTTTAAAGTTCAAAACTACTTAAATGCTGTCCTATTAAAATGATAATTCCCCCTTATTCTATTCTTATATTCTAATATCTAGAAATCATTTGTGCTTTAGTTATAAAAAATAAACCAATGTTCAAATTTCATACATAATTCTTCAACATTAAATTGCTACCCAGATAGGAATTTATTAGAGCTGCTCTGTTATATATAAAAAAGTATAAAAAATAAGCGAAAGCTATTATAATGATACAATTAAAGAGAATAAAAAGGAAATTTAATCTCATATATTGCCAAGGCAATGAAACTCTTTTTTAAAATTAGTCAAATTGATTAAATATTTGTGTTCGTAGAGACTAGTAGACGTTTAAAGTCAATGAAACAGATAAAATATATCTGGTCTTGTTTAAAAAAATCAGTACCATCCAGTTTGACTTGTAGAAACATGTTGACTCTCCTCTCTTTTGATTTTACACGAATTATTAACTGTATATCCAGAAGATCCATTTTTAGCTTGAGACCGAAGCCTATTATTATAATAAGTTTAAAGATCTAAATTAAGAAAATATACAAACAAACAACTTACATCCTGTCACTCCCAGAGATATTTGTTGTCCTGGCAAATTCAATAGGGGGAATAGATAAAGAGGCCTCATTTGTTTGAGGTTGTACTTTTCGACGAGAAGTATTCATTGACCCAGAATTTCCTCCTGCTCGAGAAGGAAAGACTGATGATTGCATGCCATTAGTAGCTGATGTTTGCGCAATAGTATTTGCATTTCTTGTTTTTTGAAAATTAGTATTTTGATCATCTAATACGTGTACAGCTCCCTCCTCTTGTGTTTGGGTAATAGTTTGAGTTTGTTTAGTTTGATTCTATGCAATCATTAGAAATATTTAAAAATAACCTTTGTTGACTACATATTTAAAAATTGTCCAATCAAACATATAATCATAATGAAAACCTTCTCGAACAAAAAGATCACGAAATAACTTTCTCAGATATGAATAATCCGGCTTATCATCAAACCGTAATGACCTTGTATAATTTAAATAAATAGCAAATTCATTTGGAAACCCTCTAGTAAGAACTTCTGTAGGAGTTGTCATTTTTTTTTCCATAATACGATCATATTTCTGCTTTTTTGTTGCAGCTTTTAACCCTTGCCATGGAAGAGACCCTCGACAAAAATACATCATTACATATCCAAGAGATTCTAAATCATCTCTACGACTCTGCTCTAAAACATTATAAATTAAATATTAAATAAAAAAAAGACCTTACCAACACCAAGATGAGTATTAATACTTGCGTATCTAGCTGTACCAGTAAGATTCTTATTTTCTCTATATGGAATATGTAGATGAGTTTTCGGGTCTCGAAATTTTTTTGCTAATCCGAAATCAATAACATTCACTTGATTCCCTCTTTTTCCTATGCCCATGAGAAAATTGTCTGGCTTAATGTCTCGATGAATAAATGATTTTGCATGAATATACTCGATTCTAGAGATAAGTTGATCCGCTAAAAGAAGAACTGTTTTAAGACTAAATTTTCTATTGCAAAAATTAAACAAATCTTCTAAACTGGGTCCGAGAAGATCCATAACCATCGCATTATAGTCACATTCTGTACCAAACCAACGAACAAAAGGTATGCCAACACCTCCTGCTAGAGCTTTATATACTCGTGCCTAATAAAAATAAATAATTATATAAAATGTAGAAAATAACAACCTCATATTCCAATTGAGGGTGCTTTACTTTAGATGATTCTAATTTTATAGCAATCTCTTCTCCGGAAATAATATTCGTTCCTGAATTAATTCTGGCTCAGTCAAAACAAAAAAAAATCATTAAAAAATATATACCAAGATAAATATCTCCAAAAGAACCTGAACCAATTTTCCTACCAATCCTGTATTTATTACCAACTCGAAGATCCATAGCCATAATTGTTTTTTGTAAAAGTATTTATGATTTATTAATAATATTAGTTTAAATAAAGAACAATATACCTATAAAATTATATATTTTCTTTAAAAATAAAACTAGAAAAACTTACTTGAAAATAAAGTTATTTAAAAAATTAATAATATTTATTCTAGAAAGTAAAGTGTATTATTTAATATTTATATTATGGAAATAAAAAGGCTAAATATAAATCTCAGAAATGACGCTTAAGATGAATATGCTTTGTACCTTAGATCCTGTTGCCCTTTAAAATTAAAAAGCTCAACAAACTATAACTTTACTTGTCGTTAATGCTTCGTTCGAGAAAAAAATAGAAAAAAAATACCAGTTATAAAGAAAAAATCCAAAAAAAAAAATATAGGCAGGAATATTTTGTATATGATAGCAATTTATGGTAGAATCTAATCCCCTTTTTTTTTGAATCCTTAGATTCGTCTTAAATTTTTGATTGTAAATAAATATGCACGAATTATATGCTTTTTTAATTTCCTGTTCCTTTTTTTATATAAATTCTTTCCCCTTTTGTTTCAATATCAACTGTATAAGTTTTGATTTCAAATAGATTGCAAAATCTATTCTCAGTTTTTTTAACTTTTTTTTTCTTAAAATCTTGTCAAATGTTTACCAACACATAAACGGATAAATAATAATGTAAAAAAAATATATATTAAAAGTAGAAATAAGAAAAGAACATGAAAGTTAGACTATAATGACTTAAAATTTAAAATTATAGAAAAAGGCATAAATCTATATAATTTAAAACTATAAAAAAATTAAGATTTATGTGATTTAAAAAAAGATAAATCCAAGATATTAATAAAAAAGGGGAAAGGAAATGGACGCTAAAAAAAATCACCAGGATACATATAAGGATGATTATGGTTTATTAACAATAAAAAAATGAAAACGTAATATAGTAGATATCTAAGAATAATAATAATAATAATAGTTTTATAAAATTATGAATAAATTCATTTAATGTTGATAATATTTTCTAAAAAATAAATTTAAATAATAAAAGATTTCACTGTTTTAAAATATTATTTCCTATATAGTTATATTAATGTAATAAAATAAATATGTTATTTTTAATAAAAGGTATTTATGAAAATTATATCTTTTTATATTCAATTTAATGAAAGTATTAATAATAATACTTTTTTAAATATTTAAAACTAATTTAACCAAAAATATAATAAAAATAGCGATTAAAATTTTAGTTAAAATATATAAATTTAAAATTAGAAATATATATATATATATATATTATTATATAGTTAACAAAAATAATGTATTTTTAAAAATATAATATAAATCAAATTCCTAAAAAACATTTAATCTAATTAGTATTTTTATATCATATGAAAAAAATTAAAATATTTTAATAACTAATGAATTAATGAAAATAATATATTAAGATAGATTTATATAATCATATTAAATTATATAAATATTAATAATTATGATTTTATATTTAAGCTATAATTATAATAATCAATTAATAATTGTTATTTAATATTTAAATTTTTCTTATATATATTAGATACTTCCATTTAGCGAAACATGAAAATACCAGAATTTTACAAGCTAAAATATCATAAAATTAAGAAATTTCAATAAAAATATCTCCTAAGTATTTTCCAAAAATAGGAATTCTTAATTATTATAAATAATTATTAGAAAATAATATCTAAATTTCTAATCTCCAGATTTTTCTTACAAAATATATAAAACTAAATAAAACTTTCAAAAATGTTATATGTAAATTTTAGCTTTTAAAAATATATAGTAAGAATATAAAACTAATTATTTAATATTTATTCATGTTATGGAATAAGTCTCTTCGGATCACGTGGAAATAAGCTTGTGCGTCTAAAATAAGTTAAAATCTATTAATTTAACAATAATATAATACCTAATATTCCCAAGTTCTAAATACAAAAATAAAACACGTTCTAAACCAATTCCTCCTCCACCATGTGGAGCTGCACCAAATTTGAAACTATTAATATAATTGTCTAACCCCGTTGGATTAATATTTAAATCTTTGATTCTCTTCTGAAGATATTCAGCGTCATGTATACGTTGAGACCCAGATAAAATCTCTTCTCCTCGCATAAAAAAATCATAAGAATTTGAAAAACCAGGATTTTCTGGATCAGGCATTGTATAAAATGGCCGAGAAACTAATGGGAATTTATCAATAGAGTAAAAATCCACATTAAATCGTTCTTTTATCAATATTCCAAGTTTTCGTTCTTCATCAGTTCTAAAAAAATTAATATAAAATAGTAATACATAATAGTTTTTACGAAAGATCTGTATGATATTCTTCACCATTTTTATTTTCCCTAATACCGGCCTCTTTAAGTAAATTTACTATTTCCTGAAATGTAAATCGAACAGGTTTATTGTCCTTTAAAAACATAAAATCTGAACTGGGAAATTGTTTTTTAATAATATGTATCTCATTAGAATATCGCTTAGGAAGTTCTTTAAATATATATATAAAAAGATTTTCAATCATTTCTAAAACTTCATGATAATGCTCATAGAATGTCATTTCTAGATCAAGTCCAACAAATTCTGTCATATGACGATGTGTATTAGAATCTTCTGCACGAAATACAGGAGCAATTTCAAAAACTCTATCAAAATCAGATGCGATTAGCATTTGTTTATATAACTGTGGTGACTGAGCAAGATATGCATCTCCTTTAAAATAATCTAATTTAAATACATTTGAACCCCCTTCTGATGCAACTGCAATGATTTTAGGGGTATGTATCTCTATAAAATTATTTTCAAGAAGATATTCACGAAACAATTGACAAATACCAGACGATATACGAAAAATAGCTTGGTTTGTAAATGTACGAAGATCAATTATTCTATTATTAAGACGTGTATCAAGATTAACTCGTGCATATTTTGAATCGTCTTTAATATCATCTTCTTTTTTTTCTATCTCGTTTTCAGAACGATTTGCGTCTTCAATCTGGAATGGTAGTTTATTAAGAGATTCACTTTCTATAAAAATCTATTATATTAATTATTTTTATAAATTCTTTTTCTCGCAGACCTTATAAACATGAATTTCTATATCTTGCTGAGTAGAACTCTTGATAATACACGGGCTTTTTTTTATTTCTCCTTCTACTACGACGATACTTTCAGAAGCTATAAGACTACACCATTTAACCATTTGTTTACTTATTGAATTTTTATTCGCAGAAACGAGAGCTTGTACTGTACTTAATTGTTGACGTAACAACAAAAAACATATTTTATTCCCTTTTAATTATCAATCAATTTGGAAAAAAAGATATTAATAAACCTTGTAAGCGAGATACTTGAACTCTTGCTCTAAGTGTAATATTTTTACCCTCCATTATTTCAGATAAACTACATATAGAATGAAACTCCGTTCCTAGAATTATTAAAATTTTGAAATAACCTACATCAAAGTACCCAGTTTTTCAAGAGATTGATTCATTTTTTTTTTTCCATAATTTTCTTTTGAAAAATCCTAAGAAATTAACTATAAATAGTTTTAATATAATTATATTACATCGCATGGAACTTTATTTTCTGCATTAGAATTTAACAATCTTTCTTTTTTTTTTTCTTTTTGCTGTAACTTTTTTTGTGCTTTTTTAGATAATAATTCTTTACTTTCCCTAGAATACTATATTAATATAAACAATTGATGTAATGAATAAGATTGTAACTCTAAAGAATCTTTCTGATCCGATATAGGATTTGGAATAGATATGTTATCTTTTTCATTATTAAATAAGTCAGTCATTTTTAATTTAATTTTTGAAAATTTTGAATTGATTAATTAGGTTAGTTACTGGATTTTAAGATGTTGAAAGAAATTTTGACAAAATTTGAATAAATTAATATTAATCCTAGGAGAAAGATATTGTCAAAATATATTTATATTGTAAATTATGTTTTTCATAATTTTATATAAAAATTAAACTTGGGGAAAAATATAAATTTATTAAAAAACGAAAATAATAATAATAAATCTCATAATTGTTTATTGTTTTAATGTTTTTATTAAATTTTACAAAACATTAAATTTTTAATAAAATCTTTAATAGTTATATATATTTATTTAATATATGAAAAATTTTAATTATTTATTTTATAGAAAATGTTATAAGAAATGATTATATTATATATTATTCTTTTAACTTTTTAAATTGTTTTTAAAATTATTAAATATCAAAATTTAAAAAATTGAATATTTTAAATAAAACAGTATAAATTCATAATTTTTCTTAGTACAAAGATATCGCCATAATAAAAAAATATTCAAAATATAATTTTTAATAATGAAATTGATAAATTAGTTAATAATACAACAGAGATAGAAATATATAAGAATTTCTAATAATATATAAATATTGATAAAAATATCATTCTAATAAAATTGTATTAAAGAAAAAAAATTATAAAATATTCTATAAAATATCTGATATGGAAAATTATATAATAAAAAAGTTTAAAAATCATAATTCTTAATGTTCGTTTAAGATAATTTATAAATTTATTCTGTATACTTTTTTGTTTTACTAATTATAAATATTTTTAACTAAAAAATTAAAAACAATATAATGATCATGAAGCTTTAACGCAATCTTCTAATAAAAATTATTTATATAAGAGAAATACTAGAAATTAGTAAATTGATTTAGTTATAATTTTAAATTTTTTAATGATAAACACATTAAAGATAATATTTATAAAACATATCCTTTGATCAATATATAACCAAGAGATTATAAAGTATAAAGGTTTAAAGGATTTAGTCTTTTAAAAAGTTTTATCTTTATTGAATTATATTCTCTTTGAAGTTTTCTTTAGATATTCAATTTAAAAAAAAAATAAAGGTCATTTATTATTTGATATTAAATTTATTTATCTAAATAGCTCTACTAAAAACAATAACATCTAATAAAAATTATTGATGAAAATTCCCATTTTAAGTGATAATTTAGTGAACCTAAAATTGAAATTGTTTTAAGAAATAAAATATTTCAAGAGTTTTATGATATAAGGAAATAGCATACGATAATGCATTAGAATCTTTATAAAATATATGTTATTTTCCAAATAAATTTATTAAAAAAATTATTCTATCTAGTAATGATATTTTTTAATTTACAAGTTAAATTCTATTTAAATATACATATCTTAAAGATAAAACTATCTTAGATTCCAAGGATTTAAATTATAATTTATTAAAAAGTCAAGGTTTTTAAGAAATTATTTAAATTGCTATTTTTTTTAACATTTAAATGTTGAATTATTTTAAAGGAGTTTAATTAATAAAAAACCCTTTTAATATTTTTAATATTTTGATTTTATAATTTTAAATTTTAATTTTGAATACGTTTGAAATATTATAGTAAAAAGTAATAAATGCCTTATATTTATAAATCTTTTATAGATTTATAAATATAAGGCATTTATCTGCTTTTTTAAATTCTGCCTGAATTCCAGTTTTTTGAATAAAATTATATATTTATCTTTCTATGCTAAATATTTCATATTTAAAAATCTTAAGATATTTCAATGCAAGTGCAAGTGAATCACTTTAATACTTATTAGAATTTACAATATAAACGGCATTGCAGATGTTTTTTTAGAAATTATTTTATACAAATTTATAAGTTTTCGAAATATTATAGGTTTTTATAATACTATTATGTTCCATACAAATGTTTATAATATGGAGGAGGCACTCCCTTATCAATAAGCATATCAACAAGAGGCCTTTCTACAATCAATATTTCATCTTCGTTTAAACAACCCATCAATAACAATGGTCGATATTTATATGTAATCCAAAAATGTTTCCTTTTTTCCTTATTTTCAATATCTATAGATTTTTCCACGGTGTCTAAAGTAACGTTATTGGAATTTATAGAATGTTCTTTTTCATCTTGAGATTCTGAATTTTCTATAATATGCTTTCCATTTAATGATTTATAAACAAAATGAACTGAATTTCGATCATCTTTTAACCTACGCTTATTTACCTTTCTTTTGGGCATTTCTAGACTTAAATCAACAAATCCTATCCAATTTGAACCCCATAACCACATCCTAGACTTAATATAATAATCAAAAGATATGCCAATACAATTATCCTTTAACCTTAAAAATTCAGTAGGCAAATTTGCAGAATTTTTTTTTGACCAATCTCCCAATTTTCCAGTTTTAATATCAAAATCAAAAATAAAATTATCAACTGTTATAACTATAAGAGAAGCAGTAAATGAAGAAAACGAAATAGTAGCTGCTGGAGAAGAAAGTTGTGGAAGTTGCGAAACCATGATGAAATTTTCAAGATTATATATATATATGTCTTGGGAAAAACTATAAACAGCAAGATATTTAGAATCGTCAGAAAGCGCTATAAGTTTAATAATATTCGAATATTCGATAGTACTTATTGTTTTATCATCTTCTGGTTTCGTAATTGTAGCTATAGATTCCAATGAATATAAATTCAAAAAGTAGATTTTATTTAAATGTGCAATAATAAGATTTGATCTCTGATCAAATAATAGATCAGTTGCACCAATAGATTCTAAAGAATGAACTTTAAGTTTTTTAGTTTTTATATCTGAGAAATTAGAACCATATCTTAATTTAAATAATTTCGTTTCAAATAATGTTGCTATAGCGATATAATTTCCATCCTTAGATATAGCAGCAACATTAATATTTTCTTCTGTCTAACTATTATAAGTGAAAAGGATATGTAAAATAAAAAATTACATTTATTCTGATTTTAAGCAGCAAATAATTGTTTTTAGAATTGCAAATGAGAGAAGTCTCGTCGTTTGAATTTAAATATATTTCATTAATTTTCCATAATTTTACTTGATGATCAGACCAATTTATCATTATTCGAGAATCAGAAAAACTCATGACTGGTCTTTGAGGAACAGGTAGTATAATTCTATGAACCCGCTTCATAAATTTCATAACAGGTACAATTGCTAATGTCATATCAACACCTTATAATATTAGTATTAGTCATTGAAAAATATAAATGAAATGCCTCCTGTTACAAGAATATCAATATCCTTAGATTCATACAAAGCCATAGCACGAACGTCATGTCTATGGAACCTCCTACCAGCAACATCTGCCCATTGTTGATTTTCCTTGTTTATAATACGATACATAATTGTTTTACAATCTACTCCAGCAGAAAATAAAATATTCCCTGCCTTGAAAATTAATGCAAATATATAACAAGAAAAAAATACTCTATTAGAAGCTAAACACAAAACATCTGCAGTATGACTTTTAAATGACTGAAGTAATGAATAATACTTTTGATCCCAAAATTTAACAGACCCCGTAGAATCACCACTAACAATAATTCCACATTCCAAAATTTTTATTGCCCATACCAGAGTATCTTCATTTCCTATTTTATCAACACTCATTTGAGCAATAATATTGCAACGAGTATCACATGAGTCCCAGACTCGAATAGAGCTATCAGAACAACCAGCTATAATATGATGTACATTATTCCAAGAAAGCGAAAAAATTTTGCAGTTTTGATTAGTTAAAGTACATACGTACTCCATATTTCCTTTTGCAGAAGATATATTGACGATTACTAAATTACCATTATCGCAACCAACTACAAGTTTATCTTTAGATGGAGATGCTGAGATGCTCCATATAGATCCGGAATTTACATTTAAATGATTTAAAGGTGCTAATTTTTTTAAATCCCATTCTGTAATAACAGTTGAATATCCAATAGTAAAAAGTCTTGAAAAATATTGAGTAGTAACCCATGAAATTCCTTCAATAGATCTATTTATTCCACCACGAAGTGTTATTTCATGAGTCCAATGTTTCTGAGGATTCCATATTTCAAGATCACCATTTGCACGTCCAACAGCACAACGAAGGGATTTAGGTGTTGAATTTAAAGTAAAAGAATCATGAGAAAAACAAATAGATGTTATTGAAGAAGAATTATAATCAACAAAACGGCATCTATGAATATTCATTAAATAAATATTTTTATTTCTAGTATTTTTTTAAATTAAAAATTTCAAAAATAAAAATGTAAAAATTAAATATTAAAATATTAGTAAAAACTTAATATGAATTAATAAGCTAAAAATATTTAAGATTATAAAAAATAAATATTATTATTATTATTTATATGAAATAGTTTAATATTTTTGATATTTTAGAATTTATTTTTTACCATTTTATAAAATTTATTGTTATCAGTTTGAATTCACTATAGAATTGATAAAGAATTACTATAGAATTAATAAAGAATATTTTGAGAAACATCATTATTATTAAAAATGGCACTAACAAAATATTATCAACAAAAACGTTTAAATTCAAGAATGATTAAAATTATCTTTCTCTTTTTTTCTAAAAAATAAAACATTTAATTACTTAAATTATTCAACTTTTAAAAAAGATTTCCCTTAAAACACAACTTTTTTTTAGAAAAATTCTTTATATAAGAGAAAATAGATAAGAGAATGTGTTCAATTAAACTAAAAGTACATGTAAAATATCGTTAATCAAGTATTCTTTGATTAAAAATGAAGATCAAAAAAAGTATTGATTATAAATCAATATTGAAAACAATGCAGTGATTAAAGAAAAAAGTTTAAGAATTAGTTATTTGAATGAAGCAAAGTTAAAAATAAGGAAGACACTGGATTTAAGAATAATAATATAGTATTAAAAGTAGTAAAAGTTTGAAATGAATTGAAATAAATGTTAAAAGTCGATAAAATAAAATGTAAATTACATATTATTTTATAAAAAATAATTGAATTGGATGAGAAAAAATATAGAAAAAAAGTAAGAAAGATCATTTAAATTTATAATCAAGATTTGTAATAATTTTTATTATTAATAGTTTTTCCTAATTTTTTTTAGGGTATTTAAAATCGTGAAATTTATCCCGTCTAAATAAAACCTATTCATGAAATAACTATCAAGCTTAATAAAGGACCCAATATAAGAGCATATTGTTAATATTTATGCTATATATTGGGATCCAGAAATAATACAAGATGTTTTTTTCCATAATTAATAAAATTATAGTTCTAGGAATATTGATTTTAATTGGTGATTATATTTTGGATTATTTTTATTTTTAACTATTTATAGTTCCTACTTATGGCAATCAAAGCACGCATTTGAAAGCTAGAGATTCTCAAGTAAGAACAGTAAATACGCCGTTTAAGGATTTTGTTGTTAAGGAAGAAAAAATCCTTGCTTATATTTTGAAAGAAGATTATAAAGATGAAAATAAATGCAAATCAAAGCTTAATGAATATTGTAAAGAATTGAAAGGAATAGATAAAGAATTAAATAAAGTTCATAGTAAAGTTAAAGAAATTTGTGGTGATATAGATAAAAAATGCAAAGACTTGAAAGAAAAAGTTGAAAAAGAATTGAAAGTTTTTGAAGATGAACTTTATCCATTGAAACTTGGCGCATATGAAGGAAATTGTGAAAAACATCAAGAAAAATGTATACTTTTAGAAGAGATAAGTCATAATGATCTTAAGGAGAAGTGTGTCAAGTTAAGGGAAGAATGTTACAGATTTAAGCGTGAAAAGGTGGCAGAGGAGCTCCTTTTCAGGGCGCTTGGAAAAGATATTAGAAATGGTAAAGATGGTCTAGAAGACAATTTTAAATGTAAAGAAAAGATGGAAAAGATTTGCCCAATATTAAGCCGAGAAAGTGACGAGTTGATGGATTTTTGTCTTAGACCAACTAACAACTGTGCATATCTAAAAAGAAAAATGGAGGATATTTGCGAACTTTTGAAAACAAAATTGAATGAGAATGTATTAAAGGAAAAGTGCTATGAAAGACTTGAGAAATGTCATTTTTACAAAGCGTGTGAAAATACAAAGTGTGAAGAGGATAAGGAGCAATGTGAGGAAAAAAATATTACATATAAAGCGCCAGGATCCGATTCTAGTCCTGTCGAGCCGGAGCCGTCGTTGTTGACAAGGATTGGGTTGGAAGATGTTTATAAAAGAGCTGAAAAAGATGGAATTTTTATTGGAAGACAAGGAGTGGATCTACCAAGAAGGTTTGGTGGTGATTTACTCCAAGATCTCTTGTTAGTGTTGAGCAGATATGAGCGACAGAAGGAACCAAAAAAGAAATGCGATGAAGCGTTAAGAAAATGTAGTGATTCTAAGTATTTGGATACTAGTTTGAAAGAGTTATGCGATGATGGAAAGAAAGAAGAAAAATGCAAAGAATTACTAAATGTAGAAGAAAGATGTACAAATCTCAAATTAAATCTTTATCTGAAAGATTTGTCTACAGGATATGAAAAAGCTGATTCAGAACTTTTATTCTGGAGACAACTGCCAACCTTATTTACAAAGGGAGAGTGTGTAGAATTTGAGTCGGAATGTTTCTATTTAAAAAATGTGTGTAAAGATAATAAGATTGATAAAGCATGTCAAAATGTACGAGTAGCGTGCCATAAAATGGGAAAAGATAGGATGTTGAATATGCTCTTTCGAGAGGGGTTAAAGGGAGAGCTTGATCATATAAGATATTATAACAATCCTGAAAAATGTCAAAAATTTGTGGTAGAAGAGTGCAGAAAACTTGATAAAAAATACCTTCCAAAGTGTCTTTATCCTAAAGAACTATGTTATGCGGTTTCAGATGATATTTTTCTTCAATCAAAAGAGTTAGGTGTGCTTTTGGATGATCAGAGAGATTTTCCATTAGAAAAGGACTGCATTAAATTGAAAGAGGATTGTGAAGGTATTTTGAAAGATTTAGGTTTAAATAATGGGAAGTGTGTTACATTGAAAGAGCGATGTGAATATTTTAAAGTTACAAGAGAACTGAAATATGCGTTTTTGAAAGAAAAAAGTGATGCATTAGCGGATAATGAAAAATGCATGAAAGCCTTGAAGGATAAATGTGATAAATTACCTAAAGTGATGGGGGGGGGGGGGGGGTTATATCATGTTTCATGCGCTTTACCAGAAGAAACATGTAAATTTATGGTTTCAGAAGCTAAGAATCATTGCAATATTTTTAAAAAGAACTTGGAAAAACATGAAATTGTGAATAAAACTAAAGATTCAAATGAAACATTGGTTGGAGAAACCTGCATGCTATGGGATCCATATTGTGATCAACTTATGGAGAATTGTCCAGAGACATTAAAAAATGATTCCAGTAGCGCTGATGGGAAAGGAGTCTGTTTACAACTGAAAGAGAACTGCAAGCCATTCTGGGAGAAAAAACGATTGGAAGATGAACTAGCTTATCTCTTGAGAGGCAATTTAGGAGATGTAAGTAAATGTAAAGAAACCTTAGGAAAGTATTGCACCGAATGGAAAGCAGTATCAAATGAAACATTCAATGCTTTGCTTGGTAATTGTAATGATACTACCAAGGTAGATGTCTGCGAAAAATTAGTTGAAAAAGTACAGAAGATATGTTCTACTTTAAAAACCGATATGGTGAAACTGGAAGAGTTGGAAAACAAGAAGTATGAATACGAAGAGGCGGAACTGGTGGCAAAAGAATTTACGAAAGCAGCTAAGTTATTGCTATCAAAGCCTGGACAAGCCGTAACGCCAAGCGCGCAGAATAGCAGTGGTTCTCTACCAGCACAGCCACCACCACCACCACAAGATGAAACATCAGATACATCAAGCGGAACGCCAAACACACAAGGCGAAACGACAAAGAATGCAAAACTCGGACTCGTTAAAAGAGCGTATGTAGCTGAAGAGCTTCCAGAAGCAGAGCTAAAAGCATTTAATGCAACGATGATAGCATTGGAGTTGTATTTGGAATTAAAAGAGGAATGTGAACCTTTAGAACTAAATTGCAATTTTAGAAAGGATTGTTCGGATTCTAAAAAAATATGCAGAAAAATAGACACGTTATGTAAACTGGAACCATTAGAAATTACACCTCATCATACAGAGAAAATAACAGTTACGATAACGGAAACAAAAACCATTACGATGACTATTGCGACGACTACTATAGTCAATTCAATAGGTGGAGAAGTAATACGACAGTGTACATTGCTGCGGATAATGGATACATGGGTGACGAATACGATAACGAACACGTCGATAGTGACGTCAACACTGATGTCAACAGTCACGTCGACCTCGATGCGCAGGTGCCAACCTACAGAATGTATCATTGATTCAAACAAAGAGACAGATAAAGGAGGACTAGAAGAAGTGATCCCGGGTGAGGGGATGAAAATAAGAGTCCCTGATATGATTAAAATAATGTTGTTGGGAGTGATTGTTATGGGGATGATGTAAAATGAATGAAAAAAATGTTAATAGAATGAAAATGTGCATATATCCATTGTTTATATATAATATAGATGTAAATGAATGAATGAATTGAAAAATAAAGTTTTAATCATTTTAGTCCGATATTTTAATTAATAACTTAGCTTTATTTGGTAAAGTTTAAGCTTATCGAAGAGCTAAAATTTATGATAAGAACAACTCTAAGTTGTAAAAAATCGTTTCAAAACAACTTTTCACTCACCTGCCTACATCCAACTTAGAAACTACCCGCTAAACTCCCCCAAAAAGGCGGCAATGGCACGGCCGGTTAAGAGGCAAGCAGCAGCACAAAAACAAGATGACATTAAGGAGGAACACCTTTTGGCTTTCATTCTGAAGAAGGAGTATAAAGATGAAAATAATTGCAAAGGAGAACTCAAGAAATATTGTGAAGAGTTGAAGAAAGCAGATGAGAAATTCAGTGTGAATGAGAAAGTTAAAGAAATTTGTGGTGCTGGTGATGATACAAAACGAGACGGAAAATGCACAGGCCTGAAAGCTAAAGTTGAAAAAGAATTGGGAACTTTTGATACGGAACTTGAAAATGCATTGGTAGATATAAAAGATGAAAATTGTAAAAAACATGAAGAAAAATGTATACTTTTAGAAGAGACGGGTTATAATAATCTTAAAGAGAACTGTGTCAAGTTGAGGGAAGGATGTTACGAATTGAAGCGTAAAAGGGTGGCAGAGGAGCTCCTTTTGAGGGCGCTCGGAGGGGATGCTAAAGAAGATGGTAAATGTGAACTAAAGATGAAAGATGTTTGCCCAGTGTTGAGCCGAGAAAGCGACGAGTTGATGTCTTTCTGCCTTGATCCGACTGGAACGTGTGGAGATCTGAAAACAAAATTGGATACTGTTTGTGGGCCTTTAAAAGAAAAGCTTAAAGATGGCGAATTAAAGGAAAAATGTCATGAAAGACTTGAGAAATGTCATTTTTACGGAGAAGCGTGTGATGGTTCAAAGTGTGATGAGGATAAGAAGCAGTGCGAGGGAAAAGGATTCACATATAAAGCACCGGAATCTGATTTTAGTCCTGTCAAGCCGAGGGCATCGTTGTTGATAAGTATTGGGTTGGAAGATGTTTATAAAAGAGCTGAAAAAGAAGGAATTCTTATTGGAAAAGTAGGCGTGGATCTACCAAAAAGGTTTGGTGAAGATTTTCTGCAAGATTTCTTGCTACTCTTGAGCGAAGATGAGAAGAATGATGATGCAACAAGTAAATGCACTAAAGCGTTAGAAAAATGTGATGCTTCTAAGCACTTGGATACTGATTTTAAAGAGTTATGCGGTGATAATGATAAACAAAAGAAATGCGAAGAATTACTAAATGTAAAAAAAGAAAGATGTACAAATCTCAAATTAAATCTTTATCTGAAAGATTTGTCTACAGAATATAAAGAAGATAAAGAATCAAAAGTTTTATTCTGGAGAGAGCTTCCAACATTATTTACAAAGGGAGAGTGTGCAGAACTTGAGTCGGAATGTTTTTATTTAAAAAAGGCGTGTAAAAATAATAAGATTGATGAAGCATGTCAAAATGCAAGAGCAGCGTGCTATAAAATGGGACAAAATAGGATGTTAAATATGCTCTTTCGAGAGGGGTTGAAGGAGAATCCTGATTATTTAAGATATTATAACAATCCTGAGAATTGCAAAAAAATTGTGGTAGAAAACTGTAAAAAACTTGATAAAAAATACCTTCCAAAGTGTCTTTACCCTAAAGAACTATGTTATCTTCTTTCAGATGATATTTTTCTTCAATCCAAAGAGTTAGGTGTGCTTTTGGATGATCATAGAGATTTTCCATTTGAAAAGGATTGTCTTGAGTTGGAGGAGAAGTGTGATGAACTTCAAACTTATTCATATTTGAATTCTAAAAAGTGTGAAACATTGAGAAGGCGCTGTGAATACATTAGAGTTTCAGAGGGATTTAGAAAAGTATTTTTAGAAAGAAAAGATCATGCATTATATAATGAGCAAAATTGTACGGAGGTGTTGCATGAGAAATGTGAAGCTTTATTTAGGAAAAGGAGGAATCCATTTGGGTTTTCATGTGCTTTGCCAGAAGAAACATGTGAATATATGGTAGCCCGTACAAAAGATGAATGTAGTAGTTTAAGAGCCAATATCAAGAATGAAAAAATCCTAGAAGAAATTGAAAAAGCAAATAAAAATGAAACAGCACTTGAAGAACTCTGCACAACATGGGGCCGACATTGTCACCAACTTGTGAAGAATTGTCCGGATCAATTGAAAGAAAATAACAATGATCAAAACTGTGAAAAACTCGATGAAAAATGCAGGGATACTTTTGAAAAGTTGAAAGCGAAGGATAAGCTGATTCATCTGTTGAAAGGCAGTCTAAGAAATGATACTATATGTAAAAAAACATTAGGAGAGCGTTGCGCTGAGTTGGAAAAGAATGATACATTCAAAATTCTGCTTACTAAGTGTGAAGCTAATGCCTTGGGAACTGTTTGCGCGGAATTAGTTAAAAAAGTAAAAGAGAGATGTCCTACTTTAAAAACCGAACTGAATAAAGCGAAAGATGAGTTGAAGGGAAAGAAAGATGAATACGATGAGCTCAAAAAGGCGGCAGAAAAATCTACAAAGGAAGCTAAGTTATTGCTATCAAGACCTAGACAAACTGTAATGCCAAGTGCGCAGAATAGCAGTGGTTCTGTACCAGCACAGCCACCAGCAGCACCAGCAGCACCAGAAGCAGGATCATCTTCATCACCACAAGGGCCACCTTCATCACCAGAATCATCTTCTACATCAAGTGGAACACCAGGCACAGCAGATGGAACGACGGGCCCTGCAAAACTTGGACTCGTTAAAAGAGCATATGTAGATGGAGGTGTATCAGAAGTAGAGGTCAAAGCATTTGATGCAACGACGATAGCATTGGAATTGTATTTGGAATTGAAAGAAGAATGCAATGCTTTACAACTAGATTGCGGTTTTAGAGTGGAATGTCCAGATACTAAACAAGCTTGCGAAAATATAGACACTTTATGTAAACTGGAACCATTAGAAATTAAGCCTCATCATACAGAGACGCAAAAAGAAATCTCAACCACTACGACGACCACTACAACGACCACTACCACGACTACTACCACGACTACTACGACAACAACTACGACAACCAAACCGGGAAGTGGAGGAAAAGTAACAGAAGAGTGTACAATGATACAGACGACAGATACATGGGTGACGAGTACGTCATTGCATACGAGTACGACAACGAGTACGTCAACGGTGACGTCGACAGTGACGTTGACCTCGATGCGCAAGTGCAAGCCTACCAAATGTACCACCGATTCAACCAAAGAGACAGACAAAGGAGGAGAAGAAGAAGAAGTGAAACCAAATGATGGGATGAAAATAAGAGTTCCTGATATGATTAAAATAATGTTGTTGGGAGTGATTGTTATGGGGATGATGTAAATGAATGAAAAAAATGTTAATAGATTGAAAATGTGCATATATCCATTGTTTATATATAATATAGATGTAAATGAATGAAATGAAGTTTTAATAATTTTAACACAGAATCTTAGTTCGAAACTATGC